GCTGTTGTATGTTTTGATTTTTGTGGTTTTGGGGGTTAAGCGAGATCCAGGAGAAGGGCGGGCGACGAGGCTTGTAATATGAATTCGTATCTTGACTAGTGAGACAAATGTAACGTCACCTATAACAAGAACTAGGTAGGGACTGGTTTTTTGTTCCTTCTCGCCTTCGGGGTTGACATTTGTTTACATAATTTATATCAAAAACTTCCGACCTAACATTCCTATCCAAATTCTCCAAATCACAGAGGGAATCCGCATCGGCTCCTTTCTCGACTCCACCTCCGCTCTAGTTCGTGTAGGCTTTGAGAATTACACTCTTGTGGTTTGCTGTTCCGTCAGTATTACTCTATTATTTGGAAATAGTACGAATTATTCAATGCTTGTAGAACTTCCTCCTCCTACTACTACAAATGGCAATCGAAGATTTGCACAACACTTTACGCGACAGAGATACCTATCCTGGTACATCTTCAGGCTGTGCCAGACACAGGGAAGATTTCAGCTTAAAGGAAAGACTCAGGTTTTTCTTTACATCTGCGCCGAGGAACGGTGAGCTAGGAAGGACACAAAATTTCACTTAACACTTTTTCAAAGTTCAATAATACTCTCTTAATAGTTTACTCACTCTCAATAGCTTAGAGAGACACGTATTACTGTAAATGTATACTTTGAAGGTTTTCGAGCCCGCAATATTCTATTGAGCAGGTTCGCCGCTTAGATAACAACTTTCTATTGACGCCAAGGCTCCAAAAGATGCCATGGAAGAGGCTGACTCCAATTTGAGAATAGGCGTTGAAACCAATGAGAGTTTCTACGAGAGCAAAAGATCAATTGATAATGTACCCCGTACATTGTACATCAATGAAGATAAGTGCATGCTCACGGGCTTATTTCAAAATTCAATTGACTGGATAATGCCGGACAGCGATGCTCTCGAGCTTTTAATAAGAACTAGATCATAATGAGAATACTCTGATAGCGTCATGCTGACATTGAATTTATGTATTCTACGGTGCCAAGATGTTAAAGTGCGTGGTTCGAAATCTTCACTTTATTAGACGTGGGGTTAGTCACATGATAACAGTTTTTTCCTGCTTTTTGTAAACTTCTGAATTATAAATTCCATGTTCGAAAGAATATTTTTACTTGTGGTAGCCAAAAGTTTCTGAAAATTATAGTCTATTTATACTTGGAGAACTAGTCGTTATCGTGGGTCAGTAAATCAAGATGGTGCATCACGTGGCAGGAGGCTTATCTTTTTGTAGCAAACATCCATTTCTTATTTCGTTTTTCTCATCTTTTTTTGGGGTCACCAACATGTAGGATATTACTCAACTTGTCATAGAATATGAGGCCCGCTTTGGATCTTCTTCGATTTTCAACCCTTTTGCTTTCAGCTGTGATTGCTTCCGACACGAAATATCCAAATGCGCTTGAAAGTGCACAGCTGGAGAGTCTGAATTCGTATATTGTCATCTTCAAACCCCATGTATCTTCAAACAACAGAAAGATTTATGGCCGGTGGATCGAAAACCAGATCTCGAAGGATGAATCATGGAACGATGGCGAACAAAGCTCTACTCAATTTCCGCTTGAATCTAGACCACGAGCTTTTGGCCTGAAACATGCCTATGACATCAATGGGCAGCTGTTTGGATATTCTGGTCAATTTAATGATATTTTGCTTAAGAAGATTCAGCAACATCCAGACGTGTGGTACAAATATTTCCTCCTCCCTTATGTTTACTGCATTCTCAAATGGCTTTTTTCGCTAGGGATCGCCCTTTTATTTTCTAACAATTCCATGCTAATGACATGTATCAGATAGCCTGGGTTGAGAGGGACTCTGAAGTCCAAATCCAGGCTCGAGATGAAACAGTCGTTCAGAATGATGCACCGTGGGGACTTGCTCGAATATCACGAAGAGAAAGGCTCCATGGAAAACATGGCAACCCGTATCTATATTCAGAAGAGGCAGGCGAGGGTGTCAATGTTTATATCGTCGACACCGGTATCGACATTAACCATGCGGACTTCGAAAGCCGTGCTTTTATAGGGACAACAATTATTGCTGGCGAAGTTGACGAAGATGAACACGGGCACGGCACTCACTGCTCTGGTGTGTTTATTGGCAAGAAATTTGGAGTTGCAAAAAGAGCTGAAATATGTTCTGTCAAAGCTATATCGTCAAATGGGAGAGGAAAACAGTCTGATATGATCAAAGCTCTGGAATGGATTATCAACACCAACAAAAAGAATTTCGAGAATCAACGCACGAGAAGCACCAAGGTATTCAGAGGCAGCGTTGTGGATATCAGCATTGGAGGGCCAAAGTCTATTGCTTTGAATATGGCAATCGACGCTGCCATAGCTGCCGGAATCCATGTTTCTGTGGCAGCTGGAAATGATAACGGTGATGCTTGTCAGCATTCTCCTTCCAGTTCCAACTTAGCCATAACTGTTGGTGCATCTACGATATTGGACGAGAGAGCTTGGTTCTCCAACCACGGTAGATGCACCGATATTTTCGCTCCTGGGTTTGACATCCCTGGGCCATGGATTGGTCAAAATAACTCTTCTCGAAGCACGTCGGGAACCTCAACAGCGTCACCGCATGTTGCTGGTCTTCTTGCGTACTTCCTGTCACTTCAGCCTGCACAAAGTTCTGCTTATACTGTTACACCTTTGACTCCACAGAAGATGAAGAAACTTCTGATTGCCATATCCACGAAAGCCAAACTCGCCAATGTTCCTAGTGGCACTCCAAATGTAACATATTCTCCAAGCACACTTTGACGGTCATTGCTGACTTTTAAAGTAGTTCCTAATTTGGAATGGAGAGGGATCCTCGAACATAAGCCAGCTTCAATTCTAAAGACCAAAAAATCTACGATGGATGATTTTCGACGACCTTCGAGAGCTCTGGCTTTTAGCGCGTAGTGGGGCCATGGGACGCAACCATACGCTGTTGCTGGCCACTGCAAAACATTGAACTACTTCAGAATATTGAACTGAACTTAAAGTCTTCCAAACTTAGACTCTTCAGTTCCTGCTGAATTGCCTGCTCTTACAGAAACCTCAGAAGAGTCAATATGCTATCTAAAAAGATTCAATTTTTGTTGTTGCGGCTATCTGTGTTTCAAATTCGTCTTACGTGTCGGTTGGGTATTAATGGCCGCCGACTTCAGAGAGACTGTGATCATCAATTCCAGTCTACTATGGTTATAAACACAATGAGTCGAAAGCGCGCCAGCAAAGAACAAGGTAAGCCAAATCGGTTGCGATCCATCATTTTCGACCAAGTACACTAATTCTGAACATCTTCTATAATTGAGGTTAGGAGCTAAGTGGTATCAGGGGTAGAATTATTAGGATTATTTCCGCATTAAGCAATTTCGAGAGTAACAAGTGTATCTTCGAGATCTTTTCATATTACCGGGTATCCCTGTGATACATATCCGATGAAGTTATGATATGCCTAGATAACTTATGCTGCTCCACAAACAGAGATAAGTTGCGATTGGAAGAATAATGGCTGAGAAGATATACAGTAAATGAGTGTGTAGATCTCCACGGCGGTGGCCGTCATGGAGCCAGGGACCAAGCTCTTTGCGGAAGGAGTCAACGGTTGGTGGGTGAGTGAAGGAAGGCGGAGGAAGAGCAGAAGCCGAGCACAGACCCGACAAAGAAACAGTACGGGGCGCCGTCTCCGATTGGCAACATCCCTTGCAGGGCGTTGTAAGCTCTACCAACATTCATTCCTTATCCCTTGACGAACAGCATGCTTACCATCATTTCAACAAGTTGACGTTTATCAACCTCGAACAGACCCTTTCAACTATATCTCCCACTTAACACGGAGAAATACTGTGTAACTGTATTGTTTGCCGACTTGCGCCCCACATCCCACCCTCCAACTGCCTCCCTTGGCTTCGCTTGGCCATCAGTCAAGCAATCATCTGGCGCTCTTGGAGAGCTTATATTAAGCCGGACAAGGTTGTCCGAAGCTTAAAGAAGAGATAACGGCTTTGGATCTGCATTGCCCCTCACTACTGCAATCGCTCTGGACGGCATCCACTCACAACACTGCATTCATCTCCAATTGCCACAATCTCCAAGGCCCCAAGACTGAAGGAGCAGGTACCAAACCTTGTCGAAAAGATTTCGTACCTGGAGCCGGCCCGGCTAATGCACTTCTTTGGCGGACAAATCTCAATTAGGCTTTGATCCCTAGTTTTGTACGTCTGAATGGTTACATGAATGGTGCAATAATGGAGTCGTACCAAGGTTAAAGCTGTGCTTCGCAGCCTCGGTCGATGATTGCAGCTGCAGCAGGCGAGCTACCTGGTTCACTTGAGAAGGTGAAGGGACGACATAAATATTCGCCTTTCCCCCCTCCTTTTTTTCCTGCTCGCGCTCGTCCTATCCCCTCCAGTACAGCCCATCCCAAGCTCTTGATCCAACACAATCAAGATGCCTTCCTTCCACTCAGTTCTACGCGTCTTTTCGGCGGCGGCTCTTGTCCAAGCTGTTGCTGCCAGTTCAGTCTTTGAATCTTTGGTCCAGACTCCTCGCGGATGGACATTCGTTCGTTCTGCTGATTCAGATGAGACTGTCAAACTTCGAGTTTCTCTCAAGCAACAGAATGTCGAATCACTCTACCAAAAGGTCATGGAGGTCTCAACCCCAGACCATGAGCAGTACGGAAAGCATTATGAAGGTCACGAACTCCGAAGCCTCCTCGCGCCAACCCAGCAAACCTCAGATACTGCAATTGCATGGCTACAAGACAACAACATCACTGCTGTGAAGGATGATAGCGACTATGTTCTCTTCACTACCAGTGTTGAGCTTGCAAATAAGCTCCTTGACACCGAATTCTCTTGGTACACCAACGAGGACAAGCAAGAAGTCCTACGAACCCTTCACTACTCAGTTCCTGCCTCGGTTGCAAGCCACATCAACTTCATTCAGCCAACCACAAGATTTGGAAATCTCAACCCATTAGGTTCAACTGCTCAAAAAATCGACACTGGTGCTCAGTTCGATGGTCACACTAAATGGTGGGGATCGCCTATCTCCACTCCTGTCAACATCACTTGCAACTTGACAATCACCCCAGAGTGTCTGTTGGATCTATACAATGTCCACTACAAGGGAGATGCCAAGAACGGAAACACTGCTGGTTTTGCTTCTTTCTTGGAGGAGTATGCTAGGTACAGTGACTTCCAGAAGTTTGAAACTACCTATCTTCCATACGCAGTTGGCACAAACGTAAGTACCTTCCCATTCATTCACAATAGTTCTGTCGCTTACAAGACATTAGTTTACAACCGTCAAGTTCAATGGAGGACTCGATGACCAAGCTAGTGCCGAAGACTCTGGAGAAGCCAACCTCGATGCACAATACGTCCTCGGTGTCGGTTTCCCAACCCCTATCACTCAATTCAGCACTGGAGGACGTGGTCTCCTGATCCCAGACGGGGACTCTCCAACCCCAGCGGACAACACCAACGAGCCATACCTCGACTTCCTCCTCGCCCTTACCAAGCTCCCAAACAAGCAAATTCCTAACTCTATCTCTATCTCCTACGGAGAAAACGAGCAGGAAATCCCAGTCTCCTACGCCGAACAAGTCTGCCAACTCTTCGCCCAACTAGGCGCTCGCGGAAAATCCATCATCTTCTCCTCCGGCGACTCAGGAACCGGTGACTACTGTCTCTCCAACGACGGCAAGAACACCACCAAGTTCCAACCCCAATTCCCAGCAGCCTGTCCCTACGTGACCTCCGTCGGCGGAACCCGCTACATCTCCCCTGAACGCGCCGTCTTCTTCAGCTCCGGCGGCTTCTCCAACATCTGGCCGCGTCCATGGTACCAAGAACTCGCCGTACGCAAGTACTTCTCTACCATCGGCGACAAGAACAAAGGATACTACAATGCCTCTGGTCGTGGATTCCCTGATGTGGCTGCCCAAGGTCAGAACTACCGTGTTTTCGATAAAGGCACAAACAACGGATACCGTGGAACTTCCTGCTCTGCACCAGCATTCAACGGTATTATCGCCCTCCTGAACTCCGCTCGTGTCAGTGCCGGTCTTCCAACCTTGGGTTTCCTTAACCCATGGCTCTACACCATCGGTCAATTCGGCCTCAACGACATTACTACCGGTGAGGGAACCGGTTGCAACGGTCTTTCACGTTTCAACATCAGTCCTAACGGCTCGCCTGTTATTCCGGGTGCCAGTTGGCCTGCGGTTGCGGGCTGGGATGCAGTTACTGGACTTGGTACGCCAGATTTCGGGAAGTTGTTGAAGTTGAGCACTCCATTCGCAAAGAATGAGGGTGGGTATAATACCTCGTAGTATTTGTAGTTAGCGAAACGTTGGTTGTATAATGAAAAAAAATGAAAAATGAATATTATGTAACATTTTGTCATGCTCTTGATATTCTGCTAGTCTCGTGTGAGTTCCGCTAATTAACGCGATTAAAACAACACGCTGTTCAAGGGATACGGAGTAAAGACGCTAGCATTGATATGATTGAAACGTAATCCCTGGGTTTCCAACAGTGGTCGTCTTTTCGAGTTCTCCATCAAAATCACTTACCCCAATTGAGCAAAAGCCGCCCGCTCTCATCTCTTTCCCACCTTTAAGCCATCAAATTCGCAACCTGAAACACGCAAAACAAACAACACAATCATAAAGTCGGCGCGGAAGATTGAAACAAAGCTCTATTCCCAATTAGCTACATACACGGAAAACGCTTCTACTTCAGAGTAACCAACTCCTCGGCACTCGTAGGATGAATAGCAACACAACTATCGAAATCCGCCTTGGTCGCACCCATCTTAATAGCCACACCGAAACCCTGCAACATCTCCCCGCTTCCCAGACCCAGAATATGTAATCCGACAACTTTCTCGTCCGGACCGTGGCAGATCAGTTTGTACTTCGTAGGTCCCTTGTCTTCGGGTTCCATCATCGCGTAGTACATGGCTGTGAAGGAGGTGGTGTAGATTTTGAGGTTGTCTTTGCCGTATTTCTCAACGGCTTCGGGTTCGGTGAGGCCGATTGAGCCGACTTCTGGGTGCGCGAAGACGACGGACGGGATGAGGTTGTAATCGAGTTTTGAGTCGCGGAACTTTTCCGGTCCGAAAAGACGATCTGAAAGTTTGCGGCCGGCGGCGATGGCTACTGGGGTTAATTCGACTTTGCCTACTACGTCGCCCAGAGAGTAGATGTTTTCAACGTTGGTGTTTTGGTAATCATCGGCGATAATTCTGCCTTTGTCGTCTTGTTTTACTCCAGCCTTCTCAAGACCAAGGTCCTCAACTTCTGGCGATCGACCAATAGCCCAGATAAGGTTATCGACTTCTGAGAGCTGTCCTTCTCCGTCTTTGTCCTTGTAGTGGATGGTAAGCCTTCCATTGGAATCCTTCTCTACTTTGCTCTGGCTTGACTGCTTATGAATATGGATTCCTTGTCTCTCGTACTCTGCTACGATAGCATCCTGCACCATTGGGTCGAACGCACGCAAGAATTTGTCGTGGCGGATGAACAGATGCGTCTCCGTCCCTAAAGCGTGGAACATTCCAGCGAACTCAACAGCAATATATCCAGCTCCTACGATGGCTACCTTCTTTGGCTGTCTCTCAATCTCGAAAAACCCATCGCTATTTGTGCCGTATTCAGAACCTGGGATATTTTGAGGGATCGTAGGGTGTCCGCCGACCGCGAGTAAAATCTTCTTCGCTTTGACGGTTTGTTTGGTGCCATCATCTAAAACGATTTCGGCTTCGTTATTGCTGGTGAGATGTGCGCGACCGTGGATGTATTCAACTTTGTCATTGCCCAGGTTCTTCTCGTAGATCCCATTCAATCGCGTGATATAAGCATCTCTCTTCTTCTTGAACATAGGCCAGTCGAATGGCGCACTCTGCTCTACGGAAAATCCATATGCTTTCGAGTCGTGTATCGCCTCTGCCAGCGCGGCGGCGTTCCAGGTAACCTTCTTTGGCACACATCTACGTTTCTGTTAGCAAGCTCTTTCGCAGAGGAATTGTATACCTTACCCCACATTGACACAGGTTCCTCCCAAGCGTTTGCTTTCCACAGCTATCGTCTTTGCACCGTAATATCCACTGGCGCGCCTCGCAGAAGCTAATCCACCACTGCCGCCACCAATAACCAAATAATCACAGGTCTTTTCTGCGGGAGCCATGATTGCAGCCGTGTTCGAGAATTGTCTGGAAAGCGAAGTTAATCTTGAATTTGCCGTCTTGGAAGCTGCAGCAGAGGTAGCTCGTGCGAATAGAGAAAGATTTAGCATGAGAGTAGTCGAATTGGGGTGAATCTGGAGGGGGTGGTGGGGTTGATATGCTCGCGGGAAGTGACGTGCTAGGGACTGCAGATGTCTCTGTGACGATGATTTTGTTAGTGCAGTAGGTAGGTGCAAGGGGTGGATTACCAAGACGCAGTTGAGTCTAGAAGCTCTGGCTGACAATACTAACTCTGAACCACCCACATCTAATCTGCTAATATCGCTATGCGATCGTGATGCATTATTGATCTATATTGCTTCTGCAATTGGCTGGTGCAAACATTTGCCAACATCGCGTGCATAATGGCTTGCTTCCTAATCAACGAAGGCGTACAGAACCAGTTCTACCTCGGAAGGAACCTCGGGAGCAGACGACGCCTGCATCAATTGACAGCGGGATCCAAAGAAGCCGAGCTCGGCCCAATGCTCCGATCCCCTGAGACTCCTCCCCAGTTTCAATATAACCTAATGTAGCCATTTTACTCCAAGGTGATTATTGCGTTTTGAGGACCTTTCATTTGTCAAATATACGAACCAGCTAAATTCTGAAGGGTCTCGGTCCATAGGTTTGTCAGACACCGAAACGGGCATTTCATGGAGGGCCCAGACCCCGACGGATTAGTCTCAGATCCCGATTACCAAATCTACCAAAATCTCGGTGAGTTTCTCTTCTTTGCGTAAGTTCTTGTCCAGATTGATACGGCTTTTCGTGCTGGTCATGAAGTTTCACACAGCAGCAAGAGCAGCCTTTCTTAAAGAAAGTCTGTCAGGCTCTATCAGAAATATACCGAACGGACTTGGTCATGCAATATCACAAGAGCCTATTTCCATCGAACAATATTGACGAATGTGGACTAGTAAGTATTGTTAGGGTCTAGCTTATCTGTTTGTCGCTTATCTCGCTCAGTATTTGATGCTATGTATACTTGTCAGACCTTGAAGTGATTAAGTTTTAGAATTTGTCAACGACGCAACCTCATTCACTCCCTCCCACTTCTTCATGGTGGCTACAAGCGAAGTCGCTTATATTTTTCTTCTTTGAGATGTTCCTTGTTGCATAAATGCTTCCGGAGAGTTATAACGGTTTTCGCCATAGCAAAGGAGGAGGCAACTTCTCGTTGAACGCTTTGAGGTGATAATGTCGCTTATTATTGTTATGATAACCCAAGGAAGTTACAATCATCACGGCCATTCAAGGTATTTGAGAAGATATGATTCAGATGGCGATAGCAAGAACAAGTCAGATGTGTCTCTCTTGTATTTGAAGACTCTTTGTTTCTCTTTGGGTATGCCTCTTTACAACTCTTAACCACTACGAGATCATCCACTATTCATTTTTCCACGCACCACGATCATTAAGGTTCCTGACATCATGAACCTCTCTACTCTTACGACGACACTCTTTGGTGTACTTAATCTTGTTCTTGCTACGGAAACTTTGCTTCCGAAGGATAAGATATCTCACACAGTAAGCTCGGAAGAGACCGACCAAAATATGGAAATCCCGATCAACGAGCGCGACATTCCTCTGACACCTATCTCCCGGGAGGAAAACCCACTATGCTGCAAACAAATGGCACGAGATTGGCTCTCTGTATCGACTATGTGCGCCACAGCTGCATCTCAACAGATAGCACTTTTACCTCAAAGCGCTTGTTACATTACGGGTAATACTTGCAAACCGCTCGCTTGCTATGGGTCAGCGGAAGTCTACTTTTGTAATGATGTCAGTATTCCTCCTCGTGTTTCCTTCTTGTGCTATGATAATTTATCTTTTGATGCTGATTGTATTTCTCTAATAGAAACCATATCCACAAAATCCACCATGCGCTGAGCTCGCTAATTTTGTCGCCAAAATCCAAGGAGAGTGCAACGCGGTCGATGATAAGCATGCACACTTCGTTTGTGGTCAACAGTTTGATACGGGAGGATTTAATGTCGTGGTAAAGCGGGCGACTGACAAGAATGTGAAGTGTCAAAAACCGACTTTCGATTGTGTTGGTAATTCTATTTGGGAGTAATCATGCGGGTGCATCTATCTATTCTCCGAGTTCCTGGGGCAGTCATAATAGATATGTCAGATAGAGAACGAAATAGGTCAGATAGGGGTAATATTTCAAGCAAGACATTTCCCAAAACCGCTGCTTACTCGTTTAAATCTTTATTCAAGTGCTGATACCACCAAATCCCTCGTTGACCCATAAATTAAACTAATATGCACTCATTGAGACTTCTAGTGTCTTATATGTCCAAGACTGGAAGTGCATGCACTATGCTAAGCGAGTTCTGTGTTTCTGTCAATTCAGAAACAGTCTTCAAGCAATCGAAACTCGCTTACGTTACTTGAATATCATATCCTCATTCTCATTCTTTTGATCCTTCCTTTTTAAAGTTTACACAACTCACCTTGACAATACATTATACGTGTGAGCCCTCCTTCCAATATTCTGAAACCATTGTCGTTGATTTGTTGAGTATCGTCGGGTGTACTGATTCGATATTCTGTAGCTTGACTACAACGTCTTCAGCAATCATGCTCCTCACAATCTCTGCAGTCAGCTTCTTAAGCTTCACCTCAGTAATAGTGGCACTTATGGATCACCACATCAATGATATCCGCTTTCCGGATACCATAAACGAAGCAGACTATCAAGTCAAGCCCGGCAGCAATCGCATCCCACTGGATGGCGAACTCCCAGCAAACATTGCCAAGATCCAGAGCAACAGCGATACCGATGGTTTTAGCGCGGCAAGACAAAAACGGGAAGTTCCCCAAGAAAAGGCTCAAGAATTGCCACCGGAGTTGCCTCTTACTACTGGTGGTACAGTATGCTGCGGACCCCTTCATACTTTCCAAACCTCCAAAACTAACATGAAAAGTTCTCAGCAGTAGAACGATGCGAGTCCTTTGATAAAGATTTAAAATATGCGTATGGCAGTTGTGCTCTGCAGGCAGGCATTATCGCAAAGTATAGAGGTGGTCCAGGTGAAGACCCCGAGATCATAATCGACCCCAAGAAGTGCGTAAAGGCTGCGTGCTATAATCAAGCGGCTGCCCAGGTCTGCAACAACGTTCGTATCTTAACCATCTAGTTTTGCAAGGGATTTCAATTAACCATAGCATCGAACAGAACGATAAGCATCTGAAAATCCTCGCGGCAGACGTAGGCAATGAAGTCAAGGACCTGGTTGCCCACGGTACAAAGTATGAAAAGAAAACGCATCAAGCGTGTGGGAGGGTCACTAATTCTAACGGGTGGACTATTACTATCAAAAACGATAAAGACGGCATCGGGGCATGTGATGATGGAAAATATCATGATTGTGAGAAGAGTAGCTTTGTGGGTGACGCCAAACAGATTGCTGCCTAGGAAAGATGAATGAATTCTTGATGGTATGATGTGGATTTCATTTGACGATGGAGAGGATTGGGTGTGAGGCTATCGCTTCTCTTTAGATGTGGAACAGATTCAAGGAAATCAACCTTTTGACTTGAAATACTTTTCTATTGTGAATATTGACATGGAATGGATTCGAGCCTCGAAAAATGAATTATTTCACTAATATGTAGAAACTACATTGGATAACAAAAGCTTATCATTAAGATTATCGGCAAGATGATGTAGTCGAGTGAGAGATATTCAATCTATGCCATACTTTCAATTCTCACTCTTGCTCACTCAATCATCGTTATTAACAGCCTCTTCTTTGCCACTTATTGTTAAACGCCCATTATTCACAGCTTTCAAGCTTTAATGTTATGCCATCTTCGTACTACCTCTCATTACTATAAGTATGGCCCAGCTCTGTTCTCCTCCTTCTGATCCTCCTGACCTTTAAGCATAAAAATCGAGCTACAGTTACCAACCTTTCAAACTTCGTTTAAGAATCAACAAAACCTATCAAACCATGTTCTCAAAGAAGCTCATTCTCAGTATTCTGGGATGCCTCTCTGTTGTCGCCGCTGTCCCAGCCGCCGACACAAATGACCTGCCATATCCAGTTGCACCATTCCGAGCGTCTTACCAAGAGACCCCAGATAGTGAGCCCATCATGCTCGAGGGAGACGTCCATGACAAGGTTCAAAAACTTCGAGCTCGTGCTGGTCTCAGCGAATTCAGCCCTGCTGCCCTTCCAGAGATCAGAAGTGAGCTCGTTGAACGTACACAGGTATGTGAAAATTATATTGCACTTCCGGGATTAAGATCTAATAGAAAGTACAGCAAAACACGTTCTGCTGCAAAGACATCGGCCAACCTTGGAATTACGCATGGGCCGGCTGCACACACTCAGCAGCAATCAACCTCTCGGTATTGAAAGACGTTTATGTAGAACCTCGCTCATGTGTTCTCGCTCACTGCTACGGCGAAGCCGATATCTGGGTTTGCAACGACGTAAGTCCATACTATCCTCACTTCATTTTATGAAATCGTCCTACTAACCGGCCCTACAGAATGACCACCAAATTCACCCCGAAGCAGGCTACATCGCCAAGATGGCCGTTAGCATCGAGCTCACCTGCGTTCAGACCAACGATAGTCATAAACGCTTCTCGTGCGGTCAGCAGTTTGATTCTCAGAATTATAATGTTATCTTGAGGAGGACGGGTGTGCAGAATACTTGTCCTACCGGGAAGGATAAGGATTGTTCGGCTTGGTCTTATTAGGTCTGTTTGATCGTTGAGTTCCTTTTAGTAGGATCAGTGAGGTCATGTGCTGAGGGTGGGGTCTGGGTATGGTTGATAGTTGGCAGTATTGATACTATGGGTGAATTCGTTGGAGGTTGGGGGTTATTATTCAGACCTTTAGTTCGGGGATCGATGGTATATGGAATGTAACACTTTGATTTTGGGTGGTCTGAGTATGGCCTGTGAATGAAATGTTATAACTCCCTATTATGACCCTCGCCGAGATGACGCTAACAAATGATTGGCAAATGCGGGTAAAGAATAAGATTATAACTTTGATAGGTTGAGATGGAGTACTTATGCTAGACATTTATAGTCTTATTCCGACCACCGCAAGTCTTAATGCTGGTTATGAGATCTTTGGGATGCAGGTTCGGAAGATAATCTTGCTAAGATGCTTGCCAGTGGGAGTTACAAGGCTCTTCATGTGATCCACTAGAGAACATCCAGCGAAGCTTCTCCAGTTGACTCCAGCTGAAGATGGTTTCTACTAATGAAGGTCCTGGGCGAAAATACCACTCAACCAGAGGCACTTGGACCATCTTTCATTGGCATAGATATTGCTCCCTTCTTCTCCTTGATTTGCAACTGCTTGATTTTCAGAAGTCCGTAGAGCATCTTGAGACCAGGGGCGGGAATTCCGAGCTTTTCCGCCTCACGTAAAGGCTCGCCGACGATGTTTTCGAACTCGATATAATTTCCCTATCCGGTTAGTCAAGAATTAAATATCGTGATGAGAAGGAGTGTTTCGATCCGCAGTCAGAAACCAAACCTTACCTTTTCAACATCTTGCAACATGCTAGGCTTGAAGTAAGTATCCCAAGGATCACAGTCAATCATATCTTGAACCACAGCTTCTGGAATGTCATATCCTTTGGCTTTAGCAATCTCCCAGACTTCGTACATGAGCGGTCTGATAATATCTTCAATAGGAAACTCCGCCATCCGCATCCGACTCGTGTCCATGCCCGTAATCGCACAGGCTCCATTGTAACTTGCGTTATAGATAAGCTTTCGCCATCTTACAAATCCTACGTCAGGCTCGTATGTGCAAGAAACCTTTCCGGAAGCAGAATAGAGCTCGACGAATTTCTCAGCTGCTGCTACTGAGAGGGAAGCAGAGATGATGGAGGAGGGTGATGTAAAAGCACCGACCAAGAGGCGGTCTTGATCGTCATGTAGGATACATCCAGGTGCTGTTTCTGTTGCACCTATGAGAGACACTCCGGACACGATTGGATTACTTGGAAAAGCCGCAATGACTGGAAGCTCAATATTCAGCCCATTTTGCAGTAGAACTATGGTTGTATGTCTGGGTGTTACAGCAGGCCGTATGAGATCCACGACTGTTGGTGAGATGTCAGGAACATTCTTCGTAGTTACCAAAATCATGTCGTATACCATCGAGCCTTCTTTGGAGACATTTGGAACCCAGTTCAGTACTATCTGGCCATCAGTATGGATATGATTTTCATATCTGTGCAGGCATACTCTTCGTTGGTCTCCATCCTTCTACATCCCCATGATCCAAAGACTTAATGGTAAAGCCGCTCTCCTTAACAGCCTTGAAGTTGGAGCGCAAAACAGCAGTAACGGTTGCTAGACCCCCAGCTTCAAGATTGTAAGCTGCCATCGTGCCAACCCCCCCAGCACCTATCAGAAGAACGCTCGTCTTTTTCGACATGATGGATGAACTTTCAGGGCAAATTCAATTCTAGAAAAGCGATGTAGCAAGATTAATGAAGCTTATCAAGAGAGCGAAATCCGGTATTCTAATAAAAGAAGTCGTATCTAGTCAAAAGTGGGGAACTTGAAAAGTGATTCTCTGGAACGACATCGGATTGAATCAGGGCAGTATGGGCCCTCCATGTCTATTTTTTGCGCGAAAGAAGCAAGTAAGGAGAGGTTTCAGTCTCGTGCAGAATGAACGAGACTCATCTATACCTGGGAATGTGAAGGGAGGAAATGACCCAGTCTGCAACTGATACCACCACGTGAGGACGCGAAAAGGACCAGTTATGGTAAAGACACTAGACGAAATCTAATACTGCAGAAATTAGACGTCTAAAGATTGTATGTCGACTCTAGAAGGGTAGTAGCAAAGCTGTTAGTCAAGTCGTTAGGTAAGGAGATTCTTACGCCACGACGGAGGTTTATTTGGCGCTAGTCAGCTCATCCCTGTTCACCCCAAATTGGGCGCGTCAACCCAACCAAAAAGTACAGGAGACGCGAACAACATCACCAGTATACGAATGAACTCAGCAATTTTGCCCAAATTCGCCATCGACAGTTAGCTAATGAACGATATACCATCGATGTCTCCGTAGTACCTCACTTTCAGTAATAATATACCGCGCAGCATCCAGCTCCCGTCCTGCACATTCCAGACGCCATTGATTTACTATGACGGACACACTACACAACGTCCCTATAGTGCTAGACAATGGCTCTGGTACCATTCGCGCCGGATTCGCAGGTGATGATCTGCCAAAATGCTATTTTCCTTCGTTTGTAGGTCGGCCGAAACATCTTCGAGTACTGGCAGGCGCATTAGAAGGCGACGTGTTTATTGGGGATCGGGCTCAGGAGCTTCGAGGGCTGCTCAAAATTCGCTATCCGCTGGAACATGGAATCGTCACCGATTGGGATGATATGGAAAGGATTTGGGAATATGTTTATGGGGAAGGGTTGAAAACTTTGAGCGAAGAGGTTTGTTCACCATTTGCTGGCTCCCTGTGGTTGCGTGGTTGGATTTACAACTCGTTGAATTGAGACTGAAGTGCACCAATTCGACTTGTGACATGGCTGATCAGACAAATAGCATCCAGTACTATTAACAGAACCACCGCTGAACCCAAGGAGCAATCGCGATACCGCTGCCCAAATACTATTCGAAACATTTAACGTCCCTGCGTTATACACTTCAATACAAGCAGTACTGTCATTATATGCTTCCGGGCGTACAACTGGAATAGTACTGGACGCTGGAGACGGTGTCTCCCATGCAGTCCCTGTGTATGAAGGGTTCGCTATGCCAAGTTCCATACGAAGAATAGATGTGGCTGGACGAGATGTGACTGAGCACATGCAAACGCTATTACGAAAAGCTGGATATGTTTTCCATACCAGTGCTGAGAAGGAGGTCGTGCGAATGATTAAAGAGAAAGTCAGCTACGTAGCAGCAGACCCAAAACGAGAAGAGAAAGAGTGGACAAGTGCGAAGTTGGGCGACGGCAAGACGGTGGAGTATGCCCTGCCGGATGGAAATAAAATAAAGGTACAATCGCCGCAAATAACTCTGTTTGATATTCTGACAAGTCCTAGATAGGAGCAGAACGATTCCGTGCACCCGAAATTCTCTTCGATCCGGAAATTATTGGCCTCGAGTACCCAGGAATCCATCAGATCGTGGTGGACGCCATCAACCGTACAGATCTCGACTTACGGAAATCGCTATTTGGCAATATTGTGTTGTCTGGTGGTAGTACATTGACCAAGGGGTTCGGTGACAGGTTATTACAAGAAGTACGACGGCTGGCTGTAAAGGATATGAGGATCAAAATCTCCGCTCCACCTGAACGGAAATATTCTACATGGATTGGAGGTAGTATTTTGGCGGGTTTGAGCACGTTCAAAAAGGTAGGAGTTATTGAGTAACTTTGGAATTGAGAAGCTAACATGATTTGCAGATGTGGGTCAGCATCGACGATTGGCATGAGAATCCGGACATCATACACACTAAATTTACATGATCACTTGACATACTACGCAAATGTGCGGATTTGCGACGGAAATCGCTTCCACACATCTCTCCGTCAGAGGACATGACGAATCTCTTTTGTACCCCATGAGTGCAAAAATGGCTATGTAAAATGGCTTCGAACTGTTCTCACCGAGCATATCAGCGCCTTCAGCGGGAAGGCTCTGCCGATTAATATTCATTGTACACTATTAACTTTTTATCTCATGCTGATCGCGCAAATGCCAACAAACAGCAATTGCGATGGGGTGTAGAAGGAAATCTAGGTGGTGTTCGAGGGAGCCATGGAGCGTCTTGGAACCCCCAGTAGGGTGAAATGCTAAGCCTTAGGCCGTACCAGTTTATGATAAAATGGCTGCAGGAGATTAGCACAGCAATATAATAAATGATACCCATATTCGCGAACCGTGTTAAGGATAATAAGTGAGTAGTGGCTATCGAGAGTCTGGATAGAGTTGACATGCCTCGTTTAGCAGAATTTGCTCAGCAGGGTTGCTCCAGATATTACCTATTCACCTCCAGATCCCATTCAAGATCCTCCATATTTTTGTTGCACGTCGGATTACGCTTGCACAAAACTAGCGTCTTTTCGCAATGCGCTCGTCTTTTCATTGGCTAACGCCGAAAGTCTGCTCCAGGAATTGCAAGTAGTACCGGAGAAGTAAGCGCGCCACATTCACTCATTCACTTCCCAAAAAGACTAACCAGATTGTTTTGTTGCACGTCGAATTACGCTTGTACAAAACTAGCGTATTTTTGCAATGCGATCGTCTTCTCATTGGCTTGAGTTTGCGCTTGCTCGAGTAGTGGTATGTCGTGCCGAAGAGGTGAACGTTGCACATCGCAAAAGAATTGTACATAACTAGCGTCTTTCTACTATGCGCTCGTATTATCATTGGTTCTGCTCTTCGTCGACTTCGAATGCGCTCGTCTTGTTATTGGTTATCAGAATTCGAGGTGTTCTAGGTGGACAGGGGAGAAATTTGAGTATTCACTGAAATCACTTCCCAACCCGCTTTTTTTGCTTTTGTTGCACTCCGTCCCCGCTTGTACAAGGCCAGCAGCTTTATATAATGCGCTCGCAGTATCATTGGTTCTGTTCATCGTCTACTTGAACGTGATAGTGTGTTTGGTGGTTTGGTTGACTAGGAGGGGCGGGGGTAGAGATTCAATTTACTAGATGTCCTTAAAAGTCCGTTGTAAGATTTTGTAGCACATCGCAATAAAATTGTACATAACAAGCGTCTTCTGGCAATGCGATCGTGCTATTTTTGGTCTAAAGTAGTTTTAATCTTGCGCTCTTATCTTCCTTAGTCTCCCTATCTTACAGTGACGAGAATGCAGCCGGTCATACCGAGCATTCACTTACCCAATTCTCACAAAACGGTTTTAATCTTTTTGTTATACATCGGACTACGCTTATATAAAATTAGCGTAATCTAGGTTTACGCTTGTATTATTATTAGTTCTAAAATTCGATATCTCGAGTATAATACCTAAGGTAAAGCTTAGTATTTACCGAATTCCTTCTAGAATCCTACGCTAGTATCTACCCTTACTATTTTATTATATATCGAATTACGCTTATATAGAATTAGCGCTATTCTAGAATATAATCGATCTACTATTAGTTTATAGAACTAACCTTAGAACTATTCTACTACTAGTAAAGCTAGATATTTACTAACTTCCCCTACGAATCTTACCCTAGAATATACCTATTCTTTTATTGTACATCGAACTACGCTTATATAGAATTAGCGCTATTCTGTAATACGATCGGTCTACTATTAGTCTATAGTAACAACTTCTACCGCGCAATGCTAAAGGCAAATCTAGATTTCCAAGGATCAAATCCGTGGATACTTCTCCATCATAAGTCCCTTAAGCTTCGTGTAAAAAATTTCACGCTTGTAAAAAATTACAGTCATCTTGTAATACGATCGTCATGTCATTGGTTCGAAGGAATGGTTTCAACCCGGCTCCTACGCTAAGGGCAGAGCTTAGTATACACCAATTTAATTCATGACATTCTCTCCATACTCGTTTGTTGCACATCGCTCGCGCTTGTACAGAACCCGCGTCCTTTCGAGAATGCGATCGTCTTCTTGTTGGTCGAATCACGAGGAGGTTGTCGAATGTTCTTGCCTAGAACGCGGTTTGATATTCACTAACACCACTTCTGTCGACATTGATGTTATTGTGTTGCACATCGCTCACACTTGTACAAAATTAGCGCCATTTCAGAATGCGATCGTGATCTGATTGGTTCTGTAGGATGGACATACACTAGAGAAGGATCGATGGTGTCGTCTATAACTCCCGGGTTCTGGACCCCTATTCACAGGCGACGTAAGGGAAGCTTTTCGTGAATGGCAGACAATTGTGCATGTGAAAGCTTTTTAGTGGGAATTTTGCAAGGATTTCGAGACTGAAGATCTGCTTATAGTAATAAAAGAGTTGGATAGTTTGTGAGAACGAGCCATTTACCTCGAGACGCAATGGGTATTTGCACGCCTTATATTCTTCTTCATCAAGGGTCAAATCAATGGCCCAGAGCATACTGAGTCCTTTGATTTACGTGAAACAATCCTATAGCAAATTGATTGTATATTGATGATATACCGCTGAAGTGACGAATACTGTATTTTAAGAGGCCACTTCGCTTAAATTACCGTCGTTAGTAATTCCTCACACCACCAGCCTACCTTGAACTTATGACTCGATATATCTCAGTACATCGTCTCGCTTTTAATATATTACAAAGTTTTAATGTCGCTGCGGGATGATTCCACATATCTCTATCGCTAACCACCATGTCCAAAGCAACCACCTAGTCCCCTAAAAAGCAACCCATCACAAAAAAACACATAGCACTGTCGACTTGAAGATTTGCAGATAAGACAGGCGTTTCTATTCTGTTGATTCTCCCTGCGCATCTCTTCTCCTCTCCTCATCCCTTCCTCTTATAGCCGCCTTAAGCATAGCGAAAGCCCTATATTTCATATGACCATATCTCTCGGCCGTGGCAAACTCTATGTCCAAATCATCGAGAGAACATAGAAACGCTTTTATCTGGCCAAAATAGTCAATCGCGGTTGGAAAATCTTCCGCGTAGAGATTCCTCCGCAAAACGCCGTTTTTTGTGTACCAGCACTCGAAGCTGTGAAGAGGTTTTCGAAATGTTCTGAATCCCTCCAGATAAGGTATTTCAAAACTCAAGCTAAAAGGTGAAACTTTGTTGTTGATCACACATCCCTCGAGGATAACCGTAGGCATTCGCTCTCGTGGATTTAGTGGCTCGGGGAGATATATCGGATCTACCGACATACAATCTATCGTCCATTGAAGCACACGATCAAATGCCCGGTCGACTTGATCCTGATCTACCGGGCTTGGACATCTATAACCTGAAGCACTAGAGCTTGGAGCTCTAGGTTCTTGACCGCTAAGACTTTGGCTTCTACTCCTAAATCTCGGCCTTTTTGTTTGTTGAAATTTCATCGTCTCTTTTGTCAGTGAACGTATCCCCGTCCCGATTCATCGCGGAAGACGTGATTTGTCTGAAATACCACAGCAACACCAAGTACTATAGGCTTGGAAAATATTGAAGCTCCTGTAGCAAGACTGATCGGTATCGTCACATGGGATATCCAGGAATGGCCGATCCTGGTGTTTCAACTTTGTGCAAGCCGATGTCGCTGAAGGACTGCTTGTAGAGACTTTTGCAATGACACCTCTCAAGCTGTAAAAAGTCCCCCTTCCCAGTCTGAAAGAGCGGAGCCGAAGACGACTCGAAATGAAAGGAAAGAGGGCGACAAAATGAGTGATAGCCATAAAACGACAGTGTTGCGAGAGTGACGACCTAAAGCTCAAAAACCCGGCAGCATCTCGCTATCTACATAAGTATATACTGTCAATCAAACTCAGCTTCAAGGGTCAAATACATCCAATGTCTTTCTCCACTTACGTGATATCTATTTTCCGAGATTATGAATAACGTTGTCGTAGATATGAGGAGTGTTTGGGTGAGAAAATGCCATGTAGGTATTAGCTCGATACGTAATTTTGAAAAGATGTGAGGATGGCCATCATCGTACCTGCCCTTTACATACGGTCTGCTTCCAAGTAGCCGACCATGTCAATTGTTGGAGATCCGAAATAGCCTGCACAATGGTCCACGATTCTTTGCTTTATTGCGGTAGACACTGGTCACCACCGCAATTAGCATAATAGAAAAGCTTCACTAATGAAAATTAAGGTCAGTAATCCCAGAATCACCAATATAAACAGTAGACTCATGTGTGTGCAACAAGTACAATTACCGATTAAAAATAACCGAGCCCCTTGAATAGCATATCTACTACCTAGGTATTAATCTGATGTGTAAGGAAATATGCCTTTGATCCCATTTTATCTTCCAGCTTTTCAGCTACTTACTTCCCTTCACCTCTTACATGAAAATTTGATAAAGCCTATGCGCCCAGTTAAAATGCCCTGAGCGCTGAACGCCACTGATCTTTCATGCTTTCAAAATATCCGTCATATCAATACGCCCCATAATAGTCATAAATGCTCAAGCAAAATGCAGCAGAATTTCTCGCAAATAATAAGAGGTGATATATCGTCTCATCAAAACCCGTTTGAGACCGCCATCTTTTCATTAGTATTATATCTTGAGCCCATGGAACTGAATGAGTTCCCTGGGCTTATGAGTGATATGGGCGTCATAGTCCCGTCGTTGGTGCTCAATGTTGAGCTCGTCGATCCTACACTCGATGTCATGGTTCCCGTCCGGGATGAGGCCACAGAGCCGGTCATATAATCAGCACGTTGATATACTTCTCCACGAAACATTGGATAAGCGCTTTGAGGAGTGGAAGGAACTGTGGCTTGCACAGCCGGCCCGAGGGCCGCGCTTTGTGGTGTCATGGGTAGTGGTATCTGCGATGCTGGTGATCGAGCGATATACGATGAGCCGTTGGCAACACCGTTTGAGCTTTGCGGCCCGGCGAGGTATGACCATGGTGAGTTTTGGATGAGCTGACTCGTTTCTTTGATAGTAATGTGTAGTGGCCGTAGAATAAGAATAACCTCCACTGGTAACAGGCTCGTACTGTTTTTAGCTTCCTTCACCCCAACCACAAGATCCGTATATGTCTAGAGCTGTGTCAGTTGAAATCAGAGGAACAGCGGCAGAGTATCACTTACGTATACGAATGCACTACAAAGCTCCCAAAACGGTCCTTGAGTCCTCACGCCAGGCTCTCTCAGCCTGATCTGAGATAATCTCTGTTTCAAATTCTCTGCAGTCTGCTGCGCTAACGTGCATTTGTGGATTAAGTTACTCCAAAATTGAGGAACATCAGAATTGGACTTTTGCGAACTTTGCCTCATAGCCTGTACGAAATGGCTACTGACTCTAGGCAGTGCCTTGACTGCCATTTCAGAGGATTCTTTGAGGCGCAGGTAAATCTTTTCAAAGAACTGATCTTCCTCACTAAATTCATTCCGATTCATCCTGTCGCTCGAGGTGCCGGAAACAAAAGATTCACCCGAACGCGGAGTAGCGCTGGTCATTGTTACCGATCGACCTGCGTTCTGTAATAATGATGTGGGATGACCGCTAGTAGCAATACGTAAATTGCTCGTGTTGATTGCCGTAGCACTTCTGGCTCGCAGAGAGATGCCAGGCCTTTCTCGAGTTGGAGTGATGGACTTATCTCGCGGAGGGAACCGCAGAGTCTCATCAACTTCAACCTCCTCTGAAATTCTTGGCTTATGCGCCTGTCCATGTCTGAAAAGATCGGCACCGGCATTCCGGACTTCTGCTGCGCTTCCATAAATGAGGAGAAGCAGTGTGCGGATATAACGTGGGTCGCCGTTATCAAGTAGCGTTTCAACATTAGTGGAAAGAAGACCCAGGACTTGAATGTAAGCCTGAACACTCGTAAGACACGCACGATGTACATTTTCGTTCGACCGTGGCGATGCCTCTTCGTCTTCCTCGGAATACGTAATGTAATTTTGGATATGTCGATCGAGCTCTTCCACATGGGTGGTAGCATTGTAGAAAACTCGTTCCAGACTGGTGCGCTTATTCGTACCATCCCTTGCAAGACCTAGGAGGTTCTGTATAAGTGGATGAACTTGGAAGAGTGCATACAGGATTCCCTTCGCGCCTTCAATCACAGGATCTGGCGAAGACGATTCTCTTTTTCGTTCCGGTAGACTAGACAGCCGCCGGACATACGTTGCTCTTTGTCCCGAGTCTGCAGGACTGGCAGGACTTCTAGTATTGCCGTTTCCATTAGCCCCATTGGCACCGGCCATAGCAGATCCGTGACTCAGCCCTCTATAATGGCTGTGTCGATTTGATTTGGATTCGTCAACTGTACCCAGATCCGACGCTTTCCTTGAACTAGAAACAATTCCCATTCTTCTCGAGCGATCCGATGGACGAACTTGCTGAACAAGACCTTCACTATTACTTCGAACTCTTTCATTCGAACTCCCAATTGTCAAAGGCATAACATCTGGTCTCCGAAGCGCTGGATTTTGTTGCGATAGGCCGCGAAAATGAGACCTCGAAGGTATCGGAGGCGGTCGTGGTAAGGCTGGAGACCGCAGGTCAGGCACATCGGTACCGTTGACCTTGATTGGAAATCTCCCACTCATAACGCGCTTCATAGGCCGTGGCGTCTCTGTCCCTTCACTTGACTCTTCACCGCCAGATTCCGTTTCCGATCTATCGGTTATCACTTTTGATTTCAAAAATTTCTTGATCTGTACAGTCACTGCGTAATTTTCGATTTCGTTTTCCTTAAACCGTCCGTTTGGTGGGGTCGTCGTCTGAGGTTGTAGTATTTCTTTGGGAGGAAATCGAATAGGGTTACCGTCTAGTTTAAGGACCTGCAAAGATGTCATATCCGCCAAACACAGTGGTAATGCCTCGATGCGATTCTTTTGTACCGAGAGGACTTTCAGAGACGTCAGCTTGACAAGCTCTGGCGGCAGGACCTTGAGCTTGTTTCTGCCGAGATCTAATATTTCGAGCGAGGTCAATTGGCATATCTGGCAGCCCTGTCAGCCCCCATGTTATCGCGTGAGAAAAACGTGGTACATACTGATTGTGGAAAATCTCGAATGACGTTATTGCGAACATTCAAATATCGCAACGAAATGCACTCCGAGAACCTAGAGGGGAATGTGGAGATCTGGTTGTGTGACAATGCTAATCTGCGTAACCACAGCCATTAGCTGCATTCCGCAACAGATTGGACAGAGCCGTACCTTTCCAATTCATTTTTTATTATATCCACCACTTCTTCGGGAAACCTTTGTATTTGCTTATGGCTCAGGTCGATCGTTACCCCTGGCTTCAATTCATTACTGACCCCGCTGGTCTCGGCCGCCTTTGTTTGGTTCTCCTCCAGGGCGTTGCGCATCGCCTCTCTCGCCAGTGCCACAACTTCGCTCGCGGAAATGCTCGTCTGCGCAGACAAGGACGAGTTCGATGGCTCATGTCTGATGGCGGTGTTGGGGATTCTTCGAGCTGTGTTTAAAGCAGGTGGTCGTCCCACGCCGTTCTCCATTTGCGGTCGACCGGTCGACTGAGTCGCAGCTCCCAGCGGCGGTCCAGTAGGGCGGTCCATCATTATGCCTCCCTCCTCCTGGGATCCCTTATGTATTCTTGAGGTTGCTGCTTGCAAGTTGGAGCAGAGAACGTTTCAACTCTCACGTCGCCAAAGTCCAACGGTCGAGGCGCTTCCTGGTCGGTCCGTGAGAATGCGAGTGCCGTTCATGGGCCGGTCTGTGGAGTATCGTCGACGGAAGCTAGGTGCATAGCGGTGGCATCTCGCAGCATCGCCGTCCGCATTCCTTTGTTGGTGGTGCTGATACCATGAAGTTCGAGGTTCGAGGTGTTGTGGAGATGGAGATTTGCGAGGTGATGCTTTGCTGTCGAAGCAGTTGCGATGCGATCCTTTGAGCCCATGCACCTCAGCAGCCGGGGTCGTTCCCTTTTGGGTACGCGAAGAGCGAGGGGGGAACTAAAATGGGGGCTGACTGAAGAAAATCAGGAGAAAGCTGTAAGGTACCGGCAATAATTCTGAGAATTATTAAAGCTGTGCAACACAAGTAGTCTGACGGGTCTGACGGCTCTGTCGACAGTTTTCTATTATAGCATCTTGAGAAATCTTGCTCATCGACTGAATTAGCAGCAACGGTGCATAATACCTTGTATCTCCCTACTTTTCCAAGCCTCCACGCCATTATTCTCCGAATGGTGACACTGTCCGCCAACATCGTTGACTACGATCAGAGTTGCGGGGGGAACTCTAGACCTACTGCACGACGTATGTGCGATGGTGTGAGAAGATGTAGAAAATTGGCATCCGAGGCTTCGCACAAGATTAGGATTTATCCCCATCGCTTAAGAATATTCTCTTCCAATTACAAATTCACTCTGAGTTATTCTGGTGAATTGAAATGCGTAGAAAACAATCGTCTCCTCCCTGAACTCCTGAACCTTTTTGAGTATCTCAAACTATAAGCGCTCGCTGACATTCAAGTCTCACAAGCTGCAACAAGCTTTATCCGGCACAATCTGCCTTTATTACGCTGGTAATATAATACCAATTTCAGACTCTAACACCCTCAACGCCCATTGGAGATGCACGACAGTAAGCCTACCAGAGGAATGCTCGAATCCAAGCTACGTTAGAACAGGCCTATGAATTCTATCTCTTTGGGATATCACAGCTTGAATACAACTTAATATGAGGAGTGAGAATTCACGATATACAGACAAGAGTCCATCGAAGAGTATTCGTAATAACTACATCCGGAACTAAATACCAACTAACTTGCTCCAAAGCATGAAATACATTCCCGTGTATTGTCGTCAATAACCTCTTTTTTCCCACGAGCGCGTTAAGCACTCCATGAAACTCATTGTTTCCTCCTGTATACCTACGTCCCTCCTCAGTCGGCTATTTTGCCGATAGATGTGCTCTCGAAGTTCAGAGTTTTCGGATTGTGATCAAACTCAGCTCTCCAGGTCCAACATAGCATCACCTCGCGTTACATACCTCGGAACGGTCATCATTCAATGGAGGCCATTTCGCAAGATGTCCTCGTAATGGAACCGGCGTCCTCGATATTCAAGAGCCAATGACAATGAATTGAACACTCTGAACGTTGAGTTGGTGAAATTTGATGGTTCTCGTTTTCGTGGCTATTTTAAGAGACCTTCACATGATGGAGCAACAGGTACTACCAACCGATCATCCTCAAACCGTGATTCTTTTGAGACTACCTCGGTACTTTCTAAGCTAGGAAGAAATATTCAGCAATGCATCGTAGTATCAAGCCACCTCCGTGGATTAGAACGCAACTTCTTCTACATGTTAAAACTCTGTAAGCACGAGCAAAATGGTATACCACAGCGCCCTAAACACCGGGAGCTCTCCTTTCTATTTTCCCAAACGCCCACATCTGGCCATCACTTCAAAAGATATGTATGTTCAAATCCTTATACGTTAGTATTGTCACTGCCTCTCGAGGTCTTTTCTTCCGTCACAGCTAGGCCACCAGAAATCCACTTTCTCCATGAAATTTCGGAGCCGTCAAGTCTGCCAGGCCATAGAATCTTCTTGAAAACCAGGGCTCGTATCATCATATAGAATATAAAAATCCAGAGACACACTAGCAAGCCGGACAAGACAGTCCCAATGATCCTAATAGCATGAGAATTCAGGGATTCGCCGACCGCAAAGGTAGCCGTGATCAAAGCCGTATTAGGGAAAACGAAGGAATACCAAGTCATATCGAAATGGATATGGTGTTCCGCATCATTTGGCTTCATAACCTGCAAGTGTGCCCCAATACTGACAAGGAAGAACCAAATGCACAAGCCGTAAATCCAGAGTCCCGCCATGAGCGAAAAAATACGGAAGATTAACCTTGCACCACCCGAATGCCCCATGTAGCTCTCTGGGAAAATTCGATTCACAACCAACCCAAGATTGACAAGGCCCGAAACTGTGAAGCCACTTGGTCCGACGGAGACGAACTGTTGGGATTAGCATGAATTCTAATTCGCGCAAATGAATGAACCTACCATTCCAGGGCGACGATTCTCTCGAGGAAGCTTCTGCGTCATAAGTCGGTAAATAAATGCACTATATATCATCAGGCTGACCATAAAGCCAGTACCTTGAACACACACTGCACCATAAGCAATGGCAATCGAGTTAATTCGCTCTGCGGATGCATCATCGGGGAGAGAGGATATAATGTTCGAAGCCAGTGGAGCAAGTAAGAGGGCCGGATAAGCTGGAAAAATCCATATGGGAGTCATGGTATGTATCGGAAATTCCCTGAAAACATCAGCCTTGTACACGAGCACATTACATATTCTTAGGACCCACTGTGTTGACCAGATTATTAAGTACATGCCAGAACTAGCAATAAAGCTGATAGAAGCGTAACCCCAGAAGCAGACTTGCATTACTGTATGAAACCACGGCCCTGTACGAGGCAATCCGTATTGAGCCATGTTGATAAGGATGGTTCCAACGCTGTTATATCATTAGAACTGGCACGAGATTGCAGTCTATCATGCTTACGATACTACCTGCACATTGAGGTTAGTTTCGGCATGTTATACGCTGCAAAGGTAATATATACTTACACAAGCCGGTATGAACAGACATTCTGATGGACTTATGAACGAGCTTCGAAACGAGCCAGGATTCCAGCGGAATCGGAGACTGATAAGGGAACAAATGAATAAGAAGAGTATAATATTAAAAAGAAACACGATCACGCCAAGTACACGGAGCCATTCGGATCTGTAAGGGACTTTGGTGGTATAAGTACTGGATTAATACAAGGTTCATTCAAGCTTACTCGTGTGAAGAACATTTGCTATCCCACCGGTGGCCATCGTCATTGTGAACCACGTCCATGTAAAACAGCCAATGCGATCTCTAATTCCATATTTCTTCTTGGTAGCCTCTTCATCACTTTGCTGCCCCAGCTCCGTCAGGCTCGTATCATCTTGTAGAGCCTGCGCATCGTTTCCTTGGACTTGACCACTGATATTCCCTTCCCCATGTCCTCTATATCTACTGTCCCCATCTAAATTGGCATGGCTGCCGTTGAGATTTATGTTGTCACCGTTTGTCAAAAATTGAGGTCGTGGAGATTCGTATCCGTTTGCAATGGGGACATCGGTCAACCGGCTTGATAGAGGTGTTTCTGGTCGCATTTGTTGAAGATTCCCTCCTCGGGCGCCGTTACAAAGAGCTTGGAAATGGCGTACAGCACGAAGATTGTGCTCGAGTCCAGACCGGTGAGCGTGTTGTTGAAATTGACCAGTGTGGTGAGGAAGATAATGAGATTGAGAACGAGCGAACCGACATTGGAGATGGCCATTGTGAAGTGGAAATTGATCAGATAAGTAGGCGGGATGCGTGGGGTCGTGGAAATCCAGCTGCAGTTTGCACCAGGCAAGAGGGGTGATGAGAAGGCGCGAGGGGATCGATCTTGTGGGATTCTTCTCGGGTTCTCGGCTTTGTCGATAGGAAAGTTGTTGGTCTAAGCAATGATGACCTCGCGGATACGATCTAAAGCCCACTAAAAAGATGGGGACCAGGGCGGTGTGGCACGGCAGTATGAGCTGTGGTGGAACATCGATCAAGACCTCACACGGACTTCTTCTCACCAAAGCCTCAACAGATCAACAACAGCACCGTTCGTTTGATGGGAAAATTCCCTCTGTTTCACTATTTCTACCATCACCCTATGCTATCTTCAACTAATCAATATAACTCACATTTCTAGCCGTTCCTGTCGCGTGCTGACGTCGATGCTTGATCGATCACATCCACCCTGCAATTTTGTGTTTTGCTCATTTGAGCCCAGAATACAGCGCGGTTGGCGGCCACCGAATGGCGAATGACGGATGAAGTTGGCCGCTATTCTCAGAGATGATTGCATCTGGTCATGTCTGTCAGAGTCCTTGAGCTCGATCGTCTCAAAATAACAGATTCTGAGCACGAGGATGAGATAGAATGGTTTGTACGTCCTTCGATTCATGTGAAGATACCAGAGACCATATTCCATAAACAAGACAGCGAGATCGTCGAGGCGCTAAAGTCTGGGGATATCTGGGCCAGCAGAGGCGCATATTGCTCACTTGACTGCTACATTGAGACTGGTCGACTCCTCGACTCTGAGCAGAAGCTCCGCCTCTGTGAAAGTCTTGGGTACCTAATACGGGATAGTCATGTAAGTTTGCGTTTTTTACATCGCGGGCCCCGCTGATTCTGATCAGTTATGGGCTCAATTGTCTCTGCCAGTCTCTCTGATAATCGCTCGGCCTCTGGATCTGGCGGCATCTCAGCCCGACTTCTCCCTTCGACTTGCGAATCAGCTTCCCAAACCTGCCCCTATTTCACAGACCGATTCATGGCTGTCCGGAACAATTGACGTAAATCCTCCCACCAGCGTGGTTTGCTCCACGATTCAAAAAATAGACATATGCTTGGAGATGAGTATTGCTCAACACAAGCTGGATAACCCTCCGAAGCGAGTAAAGGCCGCCGTCAAGAGCCTGATAGAGGAAGATGCGTGCACCACTAAGACTGTTCCGCGCATCGAAATTTTTGAGGGAATTGTGAGGCGTCTCTCGTGTTCCTTGTCGGAATCTATCACGAAGTGTTTTGGGTACCCTGGATCAAATCAGACAGAAGATAGCAGTATCCCATCTGGAGGACAGGTGAAGCAACTCAACAAACAGGACTGCCAAGATGTCCCGGCGGAGCTTGAAGAAATGCTACTGAATTCTCTTTCGACAGATGCGGTAGCTGCAGGTGTGGTGGGACAGACGGATGAGGAGATGTTGTTGTCACACTGTCGCCTCGACCTCGATCCTTATGTCACCCAGGAAGAAGAGGATATGTTATTCCCGCAGCAATCGGATACTGCGCCCTTACCCATCTTCTCCAGATCTTCATCCTCGGCTTCTTCAATGACATCTTTGAAACGCCCAGCACCGTCCTTAGCAACATTGGAATCTTCTTGTCAATCCAATGTAGATATTGCCCAAAAATATCTCATTCCTAGCGCCCATAGACTCATGGAGGCCACAGTACGTATGCTTGTGACAGGAAAGGCCGTTGATTGCCGCAAGCCTCTCCATAGTTTCAAAGTCAGCATGCCACATTCTGCGACGCCGTTTGCTAGATTACTACCCAGCATGTTCAATCCCGGATTTTCGGAGGTGAGCCTCTCTTTAGCCATCAAACCTTGAAACATGACTGCTGACGTTAATGAAGGCAGTGGCTAGCAACGCGTACTTTCTGCCGACGATATCACATGCAATCTCCGTATCCTGGCCACAATATACTCAATCACCGGTTCTTAAAAGCAAATTAGCCGAATTAGCGATAATTGTACTGATAAATGAAGAGGCTCTGAACACGCCGACTATCGTCGCCATTAGACTCTCCAAGGTTGTACAGAGTAGGCTGTGGTCGATGATGCAGATCCACCTCTATGATCACTCTGCTACAAAAACATTGAAGTGGAAGAAAACTAAGAGTTCCACACCCGAAAACGGTTGGAATGGGGTTCAAGATCCACATGTCTTGAATTGTCACAATTCCGAAGAAGGCTCGAAAGTTGGTGCTCATGCGAATGATTTGGAGTTTAGAGAACAGGTCGAAGAAGACTATACGAGTGAATTTGAAGATCTCTTAGGAGATGCTGACGGTGAGAAACTAGACTACTGGGAAGAGCAACGGATAGAAACAGAGCGGCATACAGACGAAATGCTATTCTTGGACGATGATGACAATTTTGAAGAAGATGACTTTAGTATTATCCAAGCTATCATATCGATAGATAACACACACCACAATGAACATATGCTTATCTAGCGTATACTGTTTGAAATCATACTTTGTCGGCAATGATGCACCTGATCGACGGTGTTGATAATTGTAATAGAATGTTATATCACCTCGATCCTCGAATCATTTAGTTCACAGCGAAGCGTTGTACCATGCCTGAACTACAGCGAATCTTGGAACCTCGCACGCTGTTAGCAATGTGGCCCTATAGCTGGCAGCTTAGGCTACAATTAAACTTTTGTATGATACGAAAAGTGGTCTAGGGAAGAAATAGAATCACTAAGTCAGGTGTAGCATTTGGTCAAAATTATCGATTTTTGTATCTCCGTTTTCCGCCCGCCTCTACACGGCCATTCCAACTTGACCTTTCAATGGACACGCTATCTCACCTGCAATGCTTTATCCTCGACATTTGGGAGGAGGTTCCAAAAATAGGTAATTATGTCCTTCCCAACAAGCATCTCTGAACCCTGACACCGTACCGCCAGCGACGTACTCTCACCATGTCTCTGTGGGCATGTCCTCCGATGTTATTTTCTTCTCGGTAATTCAACCTAATCGAAATCATTTTGTCTCACGTCCCAGCTTTTTCTACATCTTTAATTGGAATCCTCTCAGGACCATCCATTCCGTCAAGCTGCCCCGCACCCTTTTCTCTAGTGTCGTCAGGTCGCGCAACACGATCATATCCCACACCCTCATTAGTATAAGTGTGTTCTGGAGGTACTTCCTCATCACTGGTATCGCTTGTGTCACTTGTATCTGTTGCGCTCGATCCTTGGCGGTTCATCTCCAAATCTGAGCTCTGTGGTGTAGGTTCAGGCTTGTCGTCTGTTGGTGCAAATTTCGACTTGACACGGATAGGTTCGCCGTACTTGTAAAATATGAACGGGATTGGTGCAAGTAAAGTCGCTACTCCACCCAGGAGTGAGGCGCCTCCGCCAACTCCTAGAGCATCAAACATATACTGTGTAAACAACGGCGCAGCAGCTCCACAAGCCGAACGGGCGATTGTGTTTGCAGCAACAGCACTCGCCGCGTACATCAGATACGTGTCTGTCAGGTAATTCAGGTACGATACGAAGATAAGAAGGAAGGAGCAAGCAAGCACTGCGCCCGCAATAGTCGGCACTATCCAGTGGACAGAGTTGTAATTTGCTGACCACCCAAACCAAAAAAGCGAGATTGGAAGTAGAATTCCTCCCAGAATCGCGAGTGGCATGCGATCTTCCGCCTTTCCCACATGTCCAGCTTCTAGCTTCTTTCTGTCTCGGCTTGAATTCCAGAAAACAATGGCACCACCAACGGCGGCTCCGACAATGGTTCCAATAAGTGGTAGTTCCCCGACTCCAGAATTCCAGCCTCTCTTCTGCTGGAAAACAATGGGATAAATGGTGAAAAGCATGTAGAGTAGCATATACACGATACTCAAATATACTGCGACCATAAGACTGATCGGATCAACAAGAATCTTCCAGGGTCTCGTCAGAGCAATCCTATATATTGCCATCAGCGATCGATTTTCCCCCTCCACAGGAGCTTTCACGTCTTCATATCCGGGAATCTTCATCTTGCGGATTCTCTTCGCTTTCTTCGTCAAAATGACAGGCGCGAGCGTCTCGGGGATTGTGAACATGAGTACAGTGGTGGCTGCCCCAAACCATAACAGCACATAGAAATTCCACCTCCAATCTTTCTTCAATTCTAAAAACCCAGAAATAACAGGTCCTAGGGCTGGACCAACGAATGTCATCATCGAGAACAAAGCCAATGCATTTCCACGCTCGACCGGTCCCCAGATATCAGCTAGCACGGCCGGGCTATTCGAAAGTGGCGAACTAGCAAAGGTTCCCGTCAAAAATCGTCCAATAAGTAACGCAGCGAAGTTGTTCGCAAAGGCGCACAGGAAGTTGAAAATCACATATCCTATGAAGGAGATGTAAAAAATGTATCGTCGACCGTAGAACTCGCTCAGTGGTGCCCAGAAGAGTGGTCCAAAACAATAGCCGAGCAAAAATAACGTCACCACCAAACCCGCCGCCTCCGTCGACACAGAGAATTGTCGTGATATTCCTTGGAGTGCACCAGATGGCGATGAAGATGCGAGCGTGGCATTAACGACGAGCAGAACGGTTACGAATGTGATATACCATCTTCGAGCGGGCGACCAGTTCTTCGGGTTTTCGATGTCGTCGGGCGAGAAATCGAGGTACCCATTCTGATTTAGGTATGGTTTTCCAGTCGATGGAAGACGACCTGATCGATATGGTTTCGCAACCGGACGGGAGAGGATTCGCGTTAACCTCGACATGATCTAATTCGTCGTTTCGTCGTGGTCGACGCTCATGAACAGAATGTCGTTGAAAAACACCGGACGTCCAGGTTTATGATGGATCCCACCACCCCATATTATCTTTGCCTCTTCCCCTTGCCGGATATTGCAAAACTCCATGGAGCTAAGTCATTAGCCTCACCATTTCGAGATCGCGGAATCGAGAGATTCGGTACTTTTGTAACTTTTAAGCGGGGGGTCCTATAGGATGTACCCGCTGGATGGAGACAGAAACCATCATCCTTTGCCCGATGAAGGAAATAAGCCAATGATATCATTTTGAGTTGTTGTGATGCACTAGTTTACACTTTCGGGAAATCGGCAGACTTGCAGTAGTCGCGTGGTGTGTATGGATTGTTGTTTTAGGACGAGGATGTTTTTGTCCTTTGGAGGCTGAGAAATCCACTGATGAGGGGGGAAGTTTCTTATTGCCGTCTAAGCGAGAGGTGGTGAGGTCATGTTGCGGGAGAGGGCTTATGTCCGATCTGGTTTGCCTAATCGGGTTAGTGAGGATGGCATAACCTCTCCGGATTTCCCAGACATGAATAATCTGTTGTTTTATTTGGACAACCGTGAGGTAAGTAATAATACAAATTCAAATGGGTAATAAACGCCACCAGAAGGGAAAACTTTTACTGGCACAGATGTGTAAGGACTTCTATGGTGAGTCAAAAAGGTGCTCATTCGGTATTGAATCGGAAGAATTGAGACTTAAAATGGAGGGTATTGTTTTTGATGTATTGCCATGCTTACCTGTTTTTCAAATCCGTCGGGGTCTGATGATTATACTTCCTACAGGGCGTAAATAACGTTAGATTCACGTCAATGCGCACTAAATGCTTGGAAGTGCTGCTTTTAATCGCCACCCTAGTATTTTGTATGGCCGCCATCTGCAATAATCACAGCTACATATCTATCGTACATTCCTCGAATTAACTCCTGAATAGTGGCATAAGTTACCGATTCCTAGGCTTTTTGGATGACCTCTCTTAATCTCTTATAAGAACTATAGACTTCTGGGTAGTTTTCTTGAATCCAATCCTTCATTTTATCCCAAATCGTCTTAATTGGATTTAAATCGGGCGAGTTAGCTGGCCAAAAGATAGGCGTGATTCTAGCTGCCTCAAGAACCTCTTTAGTAAAGGCAGCTAAATGCCCTTTAGCGTTATCTTGTTAGAAACGAAGATCTGGATATTCTCGAAGAACTTCGTCGACGAGAGGTAGGATAATACCGCTATAAGAGCCGGCATTAATCTTCTCCTAATCCTTCTCCTAAAACAGTCCTTTGTGCCTTCTATATTTGCCACTTATTGACCCCCAAAACATCCACCTAATCTTTCTTTAATATCAGTTCTTAACACAGTCGTTGTGATAGAGCTCTTCTTCGCCTACCCGCCTTGTAATAAACGTCTTTGTGTGTTTACCTGGGTTAATCCAAGTCTCGTCACTCTAAAGAACAGAATCCCATTGTGCGTCGGTCTAAAGAACGTGTTCCTAAGCCCAGGCCAGCCTATCTACCTTATGTTGTTCTGTAAGCGGGCATTTCTTTCGAGCAATCCTTCGTACAAATCCCTCCTTTGTAAAGGCAGCCCGAATCGCTTTTTCGCCGCATTTAAGCCCAAGAATCGGTGGGATATCTTGCCATTTCACCCTCCTATTCTTATCCGAAGAAGTAACCCATTTAATAAGGCGTTTCCGGGCAGGAGTATTAAGAAAGACCTTCTTGCCACGAAGGTGCTTTTAAGGTGTTAATCGATGTGCGAGGGCATATTGAACCTGCCGAGGAGTAATATTTAACTATAAGGCAATATCGGTAAAGGTGTAGTTGGCGTGAAAGTATAGAGTCTCGATTCGAATTCGATCATCGCGAGTAAGCTGTTTTCGAGGAGTCTTTGGCGTTGGCACACTATAAGATGAATCCATAATGTCAGATACTCTTAAAACAGGTGTAAAAGTAGCAGTTTGGTCATAAATACCCCATTAGCTGCCGTGGCGGTGGCAAAACGTGGCAAATCTGCACGCTTTGATAGTAAGCTAACAATATATCGGCCATAGAGGAAGTAAGAAGATTACGATATCTTCCGTTGCGTAAGCGGGGAATATCAATGGTTGCATCATGAGATTACTCATTTTCAGTTCGCGAAATGTCTAAATTGTATTAGATCTTACTGTAAGGAAGAAGAAAAATTAAAATTTAGAGCCAGCTAGTGCTGTTGCATTTACTACTTGCGGTGGAGCTAGACTGCCGAAAAACAGATTTTATTAAGCGAGGGTTCAGGGGCTCGGTTATTCGATGATCTGGACCCAGACATAAGCTCGCTTTCAAGATCTTCTTTCCAACAAGCATGGAGATTGTGTGGCACTTGTTTTAAGGCTAGCAGTTTCTAGAACATATGGTAAGTTTTGCGACTGAGCTCAAAAAAATCCGCAGACGTTGGTTTCTACAACGCACACTGAAGTTAGTGACTAATTTGAGTGGCAGTTACCTCGTGACTGTTTTGTCGCCTTTAGGTGTAGTTACAAAGAAGGTAAGCACTTTTGAAATGACTTGTTATTTAAAACAGTGTCTAAAGTTGTTATTGAGATCGATGTACAGACAAAATTCTTGATTTTCTACAACCTTGAATGGGCAATATCGTGTTTCGAATCCCACTTATTTTTTCTACAGTGAGACAACTCCATTCATTCTTGATTTGTTTACAGTTAGATGATTGGAAAAATATTCTGGCTTCAAGAGGGTCACAGGCTCTTGACACAGTCCATTCCAATCATATATGATACACACGATACTACTCCTAGACCATGACTTGGATTCGGTAGGTTAAGCGAGAACTCAGGGGCTGCTTAGGTACCAACCTTTGGATTGACCAGGGGTCGCGAAATACACAGCTTGTGCTCAGAGGCGATCTCCAGAAATATTCATTTGATTTAGTTGTAGAATGAAAGCCGTATTCAAATATCCTTTGTGGCAAAGTAGCTTTCACACAAGGACCTTGGAGTTTGATAGTATGCACGTTGCCGATGCGTTCTTTGTTCGAGTTTTCGGACTTTCCGAGAAGGTCAATAGCTGAAAGACGAAGTTGCAAACACCTTTTTACGCTCTTTGCCAGGAAAATAAGACACTCAACCTTCTGTGAGCTTTCAACAACATGTAGTAAAAAAGCCGTCGAAAGATAATAAATTCGAGTTCCATTAGCTTTGTGGCTCAAGACAGTTGATGCTCGAGGAGACTCACGGTACTTCTATGCTACCTGTGAGTATCCGAGACTTTCTTTAATCTTAGAATAATCGGTAATGCTTGCAACTGCTGTTAGCTTTATGTGAGCTCCTCGACATGCACACAAAATCTATGCACAGTGATAGCTACCTAGTTTCACTCAAAAAAAAAGGGATTTCAAGATATTACGCGTGCTTGCATATGGCATTGCTATCAAATAGAATTCAATAATCCATAAGGACTCTTCCAGAAAGGATACTCTCTCCGTCTTCTATTCTTGCCACAATCCAGAATTCAAATCAATCCTTCCGAATGAAGAAAAGCCTTTCGCGCCTCCTGTATTCCCGGAATCCTCTAAGCTTGACCCTAAGATTCGCAACAGACAGCAAAAAACACAAACCATCATATCACCTTCACAAGCCGCGCTCGCCTCGCACAAAAGGTATGAGTACAAACAGATTTGGTACCGACTTTCCCACTCGAACCACTCAAGCAGCCAATCTTAATTTTCGCATCGAAGAATTATGTGTAGGCACTATCTGTAACATTTCCAACGACCTTCCTCCAAAGAGTGCCAGCGCATGCCAGATGCACGGTTTCTCGGCGGATGAGACATTCTGTCATCCAGACTCGCGAGCCACTCATCCGGCTATGATCTTGGAAATCATCAGGTCACAAGATAATTCTACTATCACGCATGTGAAGTATATTCATGTAGGAGGAAACCTCAATCAAAGGGGAAGCCAGAACTAATTACTTTATCCAGATTTCTCACTTGACGGCGTTGACGCACGGTGATGGAGGCTGGCAATTGTATCAGGACACTATTCTGAATGGCAGAATTCCTCCAGACAGCGGGCCAGTGAGCCTCTTGAAAGTGACGAGAGGGCCCCTGAGCGATCGTCAGTTCTCAAAGATGCAGCGTGCTGTCAATTACAAATTCATCGAAGATAGCGGATTGACAGGAACGAACTGGTTGATCTTGGGACACTGGTACATCATTGAGATTGAGCACCCAGTAAAGCTAACAAGCAGCCGGAGATGGCCCCTCAATTATCATCGTCTTGACAGAGACTCTTATGGTACCCTGATGGAAGAAATGAGCCGACATCATCCATATGACCTCTTTTGGAGGCCGAAAGAAGCATGGGAATATTTGTACATCGCAGATTCCAAGCTCCTTAACCAACAGGAGGACTACTTTTGCGATATTATCAGTGAGCTGGTATCTGAAGGTGACCTTTTCGTTTTCGTTGGATACCCAACAATGACTGCTGCACCCCGATCGCAGGGGTTGAGTAAAGAAGGCCCGGAAAAGGAGAAACCAATCGCGCTTTTGGCACGTTGCAGAACAGCAGACCCTGTATTTTCAGCACTTGTTAGGAAGAAGATTCGAAAGACTTATTGTTACAATAGAATCCCAGGTACTTTTCCTCTCAATGCATTAAGACTGATCTGACGAAGAATGATAGGTAGGAACAAGGGGACCTGCACCACGCAGTATACGTTGCAGAATGTGCGCTATTGGAAAGAGTTTCGAGCACATCCCGACCAGCCAGATTGTTGCTGGCCCAAGAGAAAGAACTTCACTATCTGAGAGACAGATTTTGAAGAGATTTGAGGGCTTCTTAATTGAATTCAGAATAGATAGTGTCAGTAACAACAAAGGTTACCATACTATTTCAAACAGGCTACAATCCTTAAGTTGGCTTCCAAGAAAGACTCGACAGCTACTGCCACATTACTCGTTGGATAAGTTTGGATCATCGACCTCTGTCGCTAGTATGTATAATAGCGTTCGGACAAACTTTCTTAAAACGCTAAATTCTCGCCTAAAGAACATTATGTTGACAGTTTTTTTTGACAACCTATTTGCAGCGAAGAGATTGTAGTTAAAATGCATGAAAGCTCTTAACATTCTCTAGAGCAGCAATTTAACAATTAGAAACAACCCGTCTAAACACTAAATAATTCTTCGCACTGCATTTGCACAGGTGTGGTTGGCAAAAAGACTCAACAACATACAACAGTAGGTATTCGCTGGTGGTCACCCACCCAACTACTAATCTACCGATCTAAGGCTTGTGTATGGCAGAGCGGACGGGATGCCCAATTCTCCTTAGTCTGTGGTCGTATGTGACAAATTTGTTTCATATTAAATATATACTGTAATGACTGTGGTGGTTACATAGGACAACATTACAGCTGTCTCACAATCACCACCAACTACGCTACAACTCCCCACTCATACAATACTTAGATATATGATTGTGTTCAAAAATATAAAACAACACACTATGGAACTACCGTCAATACAAATCAGCCGTCAAAGCCGTGAGTGGAATTGAAGTTACAAAGGGAAACCGTAGGAGTCAAATTAACCGAATTTTCAAACTCATCATGAAGGGACACAAGAACATGCAAACTATCTTGAAACATACTTTTCTAGTCACAACTCAGAGTAAAAAGACCTAGCTTAACTATATTCATACTCATTGAACATGATGTATCCAAAAATAGTAATTTTGACGTTTCCTTTACATGTTCTGACTCCGAAACATCGTGAATTTTATGAAAGGCAGAGACATGGTCAATGATGTATTTCCTGAGTACTGTTTCAGTTTTCGAAAGTGCTCTAGCACAGATCATGACAACAAAGATATTCATTGACTGTGGTAGGAGCTTGGAGACACAGTCCGTGTCTGCTGCAGTCTGCGATTCTAAATGTAAATGCAATCTTACGAAACAACGCGGATGATGAGGAGATATATAAACTAAAGATGGACCCTTTCTATGTGGATATCTCATTCCAAACAAAACATACAATACGATTGTCCTCTACAACAACCAAGATCCCTAGCTTTATATTCTGCCTGCACAGCAGCTGCAATACCCCCTTCCCAAATGACCCGTACACCAGCCTACCTAAAATTGAAGAAAAGCTTAAAAGGCATTGGCCACAAGTTTCGTGATAAGCGAAACCAAGATACAGAAGATTTCTACGAAGTCAGAGTCGGCTGTGTCGGGTGGCCTCGTCATGGAGGGCCTACCTGTGATAATTCCGATCCCCTTCACAGACACTCCATCGCGAGAAGTGAGCAACTTGTAGACTCAATAGGAAGCCACCCAGTTGTTTTCCTCGAAGTCTTAAAAACGAATGGAGTTCCTACAAGAGTTAAATGTGCAAAGGTAAGTCATCGAAACCTAGGATTGTCTCCTGAGAAAGACACTGACCAGTATGCAGTTACTAAGTTTCAGCAACAATCAAGATTGTCAATATACAATTTTCCAGAAGTCGCAAAACGCGTGGAACAATAGAAATGCACAGTTTGACGCTCTCGCATTACTCCACTTTGTCCCCGACGCCGACCATGAGAACTCCGAAATTTGGGGCACAGCATATGAACGCCAGGTCAAAATAAACGAGATGAAACGTTTTGCATCTTTCAGATTTACAGTTGAGAATCCATTTAAGAAGACAAGGTGGTGTGCCGTTGACAACTGGTTTGAAGCGAATATTGCAGATTTCGAGCCTTTGGAAAGTCAAGGGCCAATGTCTAGGTGCCGGCTGGATCAGCGGTCTTATGTTAAACTCATGAGAGCAATGGAGAGACGGGGATATCGTGGTGATAACAGCAAGTCTTGGGCTGAGAAGTATCGTGAAATCTTCGAGAATGGTTTGGCTTAAAATTTCTTTTGCATTCAATGGTTGAAGGGGATTATGAGTTTCAGATTATGAAATTAGAAGACAAACTGAACATTTTGGGAGTAAAAGGGGGAGTATCAGGCTAGAATTTTAGATATAGATTATTGGAAATACCATTTTTGCTTTACACACAGCTCACTATTGGAAATTCGAAACCCATTTGATTTTCCGTAGGATTTGTTATGACCCGAGATCTCACACTAACTTCCACCGAGATTACCCCTGTAGTAGAGCGTTAACAATTAATAACTCTCTTGATGTATTTACGATCATAAATAGCCAAGTCGAAGTGTTGTTGGATGGTAAAGTAAGGAGAGCTTTAGCTATATAGCTCTCGGGAGAACGCTAATTAGGGTAACATCACCATCGAAACGAGAAAGTTTTTCTCAAGCTTGAAACAATAAAAAAGCTCTATTTTTCTACGGCTATCAACCTTGTCCACGTCCCGCACGATAACACAAGGCTGCGATGTCTCAGCCCAAAGCATCTACCAATATTTGAAGCCCACCAATGAAAAACACGAGATTCAGCTTCATTGCACCTTTTCAGCGTCAGATTTCCCTTTTGAGGAGAGCGGAAAAGAAACAATTAATTTAAGGCTGAAAATTTCATAGAATAACACTCATAGCAAACCCCTCGCGCCCAGAAATCTCGGATTCGTCGCAACTTCACTCATCCAACTTACAGAATTCCGTAGAACACATAAGTTACCCACTTGAGATCAGAAAATGAAGTTCTTTCATTTCAACATCTTTGTGTTTTCCATATCCGCTCTCGTAAGTCTTCTGAATTTTCCACTCCTCGGCTATCATGCCAGCAGAAACTACAACCATAAACACTAACATAACCTCTCACCAGCTTATCTCCAAAGCCAGCGCACAATCCACAGGCGTTCCAAACGGCGGATTCTTAAGCACTCGATCGAATGGCATATCCAGCACCACTACAGTCCCAGTAATATCGACGACGTTTGAAATAGTCAGCACGGCCAAAGCTACGACGACCACTTCACGAAGTAACTTAACTGCTGTCACCGTCCCCACAGAAACTACTGGCGCCCCACCACCCGGAGCGTATCTCAATCCCGGGACCACGAGCAGAGCAGCGGCTGTTGGAAACTACGAGGCTCCGGCAAAAGCGGGATTCGTGCTTGGGGCTGTGAATGTCTTTCTTTTTGGTATTGGGATTTTGGGAGTGTTTTGAGGACGTAATGTGGGAAGGTGCTCAATTAAGGGAATGGGGTTTGAGGGGGACCTAAGATTGAGGATGGGATGGAACTTGGTAAGAGAGTGGTCTTGCCGAGTTAGTGGAGGATATCCACATAGATATATTTCAGCCGTTGGTTAAGCGAGATCGACCTCCTATATTTACGAAAGGGTCTGAGATGAAAGAGTGATTTCAGTAAAGTATAGTTTACGACGATCTTGATAATATCATGATCCTGAATGTCGAGGTGTCTCATCTCAAGCCACCTCGCTTCCGCACCGGTGGCTGCAGCTGAAAACATCTTCTTCCGATTCATTCTCTCATCCCTTCTTGGCTGTGTAACAAGTGAGCAAGACTCATGATGATGAGAATTTCTTGCCTGTTATATCTCTTCTACCTGTCAATAAACCGAGGAGATAATTTCTGAGTATAAGAAAGTAACATAGACGAGGAAAGAGGACAGAGAAACGCAACATGGCATCATTTACAGACGCAGATATCCCTGATCTAACAGGCAAAGTAATAGCCATAACAGGAGGTTCGTCCCCCTCTCACACACCAAAATAAACTCAACTCACCCCTGAGGAAACACCGGAATAGGCCTCACAACCTCCCGTCTCCTCGCCTCCCACAACGCAACACTCATCCTCCTCTGTCGCGACCCCTCAAAAACAACCACAGCAACCACAACCCTCAAGCAAACCCTCCCACAAAACCACGCCCCTATATCCACCATCCCCTGCGACCTCTCCTCCCTCCCCTCCGTCCGTCTCGCCGCCTCCACCCTCCGATCCCAGACAAAACAGTTGGACATCCTAATCTGCAACGCCGGCATCATGTCATTCACTCCCGGCCTCACGAGCTCGGGTCACGAAAAACACATGTGCGTGAACCATCTCGGTCATGCTTTGCTCATCAACCTCCTGCTCCCTCTCCTTTCCGCGTCGCACGATCCGCGTATCATTTCTTTGACGTCCAAAATGGCGTTTTACTACGCCCCAAGCTCCGGAATCGAGTTCGAGGGGTTGAAATCCGAGTAAAGAGAGTTGAGTACGGAGAGTAGGTACGCGCAGAGTAAGTTAGCTAATATACTGTACGTGCGGGAACTAGCGCGACGGTGGCCGGGTGTGTTGTGTGTAGCGATCCATCCCGGGCTGGTGGAGACGGGGATTAGTTGGGGGGCGAGGGAGGGATCGTGGGGGAATTGGGTCTGGATGGGGGTGTTTAATGGGTTTGCTAAGGCTTTGTGGACGGTTTTTGGGGTGGGGATGAGGGGGGTGGGGGAGGGGGCGCGGAACACGGTTTGGGCTGTTGGGGCGGGGAGGGGGGAGATGGAGAGTGGTGCGTATTATGAACCTGTTGGGGTGAAAGGGAGGGTGCTTGGGGATGAGTGGTTGGTGAGGAGGCTTTGGGAGTGGACTGAGGTGGAGTTGAGTGGGTATTGAGGTGTTGACTGTGGGTGTGGTCGAATGTTGTTATGTGTGAGGAGAATGAGATTCTTCACTCTGAGAATATATCAACGTAGTATCTCCTCAGAATATTTCGGAGCGTGCAGTAAGTTGCCAAATGTGTTCATTTTAACAATGCCGATTACGGAATGACCAGAGCGACTCAACCAGAATTCGCAAACGTGACTTCCCTCCGAATTCTGCGTTCAATCCTCACTCACTTCCTCTCCGGTGTATCACCAAACAAACACCCTCCACTCCCCTCCGAATACCTATCCCCAACAACCTCCGCATCCTCCACCAACTTCCTAACCTGCTTCTCCTCTTCATCACTAATTTCCACCTTCGCCGCCCCTAAATTCTCCTCCAGATACTTCACCTTCTTCGTCCCCGGAATCGGAATGATATCGTTGCCTTGCTTCAATAACCAGGCTAGCGTCAGCTGAGAAGGCGTACAGCCTTTCTTCTTCGCCAACTCGACGATGCCGTCGACGAGCTTGATGTTCTTGGGGAAGTTCTCCTCCGAGAAACGAGGGAGGTAGCGGCGGAAATCCGAGGCGTCGAAGTCGGCGGGGGAACGGTAAGCGTTGGTTATCATGCCGCTGTGAAAAGGGTTAGTAGGATGGTGGTAAGGGGTAAGGGATGTGTTTACCGGCCCAGAGGACTGTAGGCGACTACTGCGACGCCTAGTTCTCTGCATGTTTTGAGGAGGGAGGTGGACTCGTGTTCGATGTCGATTGAGAAGGGGGAGTATTCCATTTGGACGGCGGCGATGTGGTGGATTTTGCAGGCTCTTCGAAGGGTGGCGGATGAGACTTCTGAGAGACCGAGATACTTGATCTTTCCCTCACTGGTACCATGTTAGTCTGTCTGATCTCATCTCATCTTGATCTCGCTTCAAAGGTAAAATGGGACTGAAACGTACTTCTTCAACTTCACCATCGCCTCAACGGTCTCCTCAATCGGAGTAACACCATCTGTTCGATGCATGTAATAAAGATCAAAACAATCGACACCCAACCTCTTTGAACTCTTCTCCCATGCCTCGCGCACATACGGTCCCGTGCTACTCACGGTAAAGTTTCCCTTCTCATCCATCTTGTTTCCGAATTTCGTAGCCAGGAAAACCTCATTTCGTTTTCCAGTTCGTTTAAACCATTTGCCTACAAGATCCTGTAAGACGTTAGGATATAGTTGTGTTGGGTAGGAAGGATCATGTGACCTCGCTGTCCATATACATGTCTGCGGTATCCCCTGGTGTCTTTGTTAGTATCATAGACATCGTGATTTTACTTCGAAGTAGATGGAACATACAATTCGTAGCGCCGAGTTCAATAGCCCGGTCTAGAATCTTGAAACGCTCCTCATCACTATCAAGAGGGCCGTAGAATCCTGACATGCCCATGAGACCAAAGCCTATGGCTGGGATTTCTGGCCCATTCTTTCCTAGTTTGCGAGTTTGGAGTGTAGCTGGCATTTTTGCTGTTTATTCGATTATTGTATTGATGATGCTTGAGAATCGAAATAGAGAAATTGGGAGGCAATAGAGATCTACTTTATATGATTCCATCCCCAATGTGTAACTTTCTGAAATTGGATCGTGACGTCGGTGTTGAGGGTCCCATTGGAATACTCTAGTCATGTCCGTACAACGGGATGCTGTGACAGGTTGGATCGGATGGTGGAGGAGCGTCGCTCGGAGGATGGAGGGGGAATATTCGGCTTTACAAAGTTAACGCCGACCAGTCCACGGAGAAGGTGTCGAGGCGAGATGTGGATCAGAAAGGACCTATTAAGAACAAGCTGGGCTCCACAGATTCTATACTTAACAAATCTCAAGCTGCAAGTACCTAGGTAGTGAGAACTCGCTTATTCTCTAATTGATCCCGGTATAGAAGTTATGGCATTGTTTGACACAACAATGTAGTCTGTTGTGTTTCAATCTTGATAAAACATCAACGCCACCAATATGGGTTTTATTTTGAGAGATTGAAAATCCTCTAGTAAAGGACCACATCTGCACTCAGTCGTACACTCAGTCGTACTCCCACTTTACCCAAACATTCCGCATTCGGAAATATCCCCCACTTACACACACATCTGGTTTCTACCAAAGATGCTCCTTACCGTGTATCACGGCATGAATTATCAGTAGTATCTTGTAAGAGTACGAGCACGTGTAATTAACCAAGTAGCGTGGGTACGTACTATCGAATAATCCAAAATACTAAGTAGCCCAAAATGTCTTGGCTTCTGAAAACATCAGACGCAGCAAGGATGCTTTGCCAACTTGAACGTATGAATATCGCGGTTCGACAGTCGACTGCCATTTTATCGTCCACCGCGAACTTTATGGGCGGCCAGACATCACACGACTGCTCAGCCGTTGTAGCAACAGAGGACTTAGACCATACGAGTGTAAGTATTTCCTACTCCGTCCAGGAATTTCAAGGCCTTATTTGTCCTGGGTTTGTGTGCTAGTAGTTACGCCTGTTTGCGGATCAAAAATGTATGTAAGTTGCAGGCAGAACGCATGTATCGACATGTATCTCGTCTTGATTGGCAAGTAGAGGTTGCGAAAATTGTGGTCCGATACTTGAGACCGAAGGCCGGGTTTGAGATGGAAATCTTGTTACTGCCCTCTCATTAGCTTTCCAGCGCAAATCAACTGCTCGACATGGCAGACACGAATGATACTCACTGATTGCCTAAGAGGAGGGTCTTCGATTGTATGCTAAGCAAACATTCCTTGTACTACGATCTCCAACGTAAGAGCAAGCAATATGAAGAAATACCTTTGGATATAATCCAATGCTGATGTAAGCGTCTAAACAGATGAAAGAAACACTTAAGCGTGATGTGAAGGAAATCCTTGTGTTTCTGAGAGGTGGTGGCAGATGTGGTTGGCCAGGTGGATATCTTATGATTGGCGGCATTATGGGAGCTTTATTAGATGTGTCTCGGGGAACTCGCTCGGCGGATGCAGCTGACGGTGAGCGATTAGAGGATCGCGGGTGGTGCTTCGATTGCGCTTCTAGACCGCAGAACGTGCCAGTGTCTTCGTGGTGGCCTATTCCTCGCAGATCAAAATCTGAGTCGACGTGCCGTAAGGTATTAAAGTCAGATGGATTCTGAATTCTGAAGTCTGACGTGTCTGTCGGTGGCTCAATACCTAGAGAGTAGCCACATTCGATGTGTGACGACCCGTTTGCTTGCGTGATAGTTTGTTGCTCTCTGTTCAGCTCATCGACGCGGTGAGATTGGAGTTTTTTGGTTTGCGTGTGTGGTATTGTCTTGGGTGTGTTTTTGATCGTAGAAGGTTTTGAGAATGAATTGGACGTTGCTCCACGAACGAAAGCCCGCGGAAATCTTGGAGTCTAGAAGGCGGCAGATCTTCCACATCTGCGCTGCTGGTCGGTTGCGTCGAGAAGGTACCTGAACGCTTTTTTGAACTCATCAGAACGTCTGGCATAGCGTCAAATCTGTCCTTGGTAGTATTGTATCACGAAACATTTCAATCTGCGCAGTAAGGCACTGCACACTCACATTATCGGCAGGATCTGTTTTGTTGGATGTGACTACTTCAGCCACATCATCTGTCTCTTTCGTGTCTCTGAATGTCGATGAACATGGCCGAATGAAATCTCGTTGACTGTCTCTACTTTGCAGAATATATGAGATACTTCCAATTTTACTTTTCGCTGCAGTGTTAAGAGCTTTGGTAGACAATAGCTCTCTGCTCCTGTGACCTTTTGCTATCAAAAAACAATCTGGATGGTGTGTCAGGGGTTTCGCCGGGGATGCTTCCGTTGTGTGTTGCTCCATCGGAGGCCGCTCCGTTACCATTGGAGGTGTGCGAGAAACCGATCACAGTCCTCGAGATCGGGCCCCACTGGATCTGTGTTTCGAAAGTGGCAGGTCGGTAAGCAAAGTTGGTGTTCCTAGTCTCAAGGCGTCCTTTCCCCGCATGTCGATGTGAGTTGAATTCCAACTTTGAGTGATGGGCCATGATTCTAAAAGGTATTGCGACTTTGGCGTGATAGTTCTCGTACTGAAGAGACTACCCAATGGTTTCGGTTTTCACTGACGATCCGCATCTTGTGGTTGTTTATGTCAACTTGTGTGTGGGTGTATTCGACCTCTGAGTCGCTTTTCCCCATGGATCGACAGAACGAGCACGATAGCGGCTTGCCAATAATGACTGAACATGCTTTAACTCAGACCGCGGGATATCTGTAGACTCTTTATGCTTTCCAGATATAGAGTGAGGACCATTGGTCAACAATGAGACCATCGGACTCCGCTGTGGATTCTCTGACAGGACTATTTCCCAAGACTCGACGACCCTAGCCGTGTCACCAGGATACGTGTTAGATACGATACCTGCCCGGGCTATAACTGCCCAGATTGCCCAATTTCCCCTAACATCGTCGGGTACTTTGGATGCTCCCAAGTGTGCTTGTGGTCTCTTGCATAACCGGTCGCAGGAGCTTTGCATTCTGATGACATAGCCAGTGCAGCTTGTCTTCATGGGCTATCTACACCATGGATGTAGATTGTAAACGACAGCGCAGGTGAGATCAAGTTGATAGCGTGTCAAGTAGTGATGCTATCTTTGTTCTAGCCCCGCAATGCGTCCTTCGCAACGGCGGTTGCACTCCTAGAACGGTAAGATAATACAGCCGAAGAGTCAGACGGTGTGTTGCAAAGACTAAACAAAAATACTACAGTAACATCCGACTAGAGCATTGTGGCCAAACTTCTTAAGATTGACAGTGGTTAGCGTGTAAGTCGGGCCAGACACTTTCGAAAATAATCACTTCCACTGAACGGCGAAACGGAAAAGCCATATCTTGCAGTCGATGTGATGGAGACCTACCGTGCATCCCTAGGTACCACGCAATGCCACCAAAATACGGTCAGCGACTCGGTACGTGGTCCAAACTCTCGCTTCTGCCGCTGTAGACTGGAAGGCGACGGCAGAGTGCAAACTACCACTACCAACGTTTCCGGTTTGGGGCCCAGAGAAGAAGCTTACGGACAAGCAACCCATGCCACGTTTGCAAGGACAAATCTCCTCACATCTGGCTGTGAGATCCTGGGACACACAGACACGGCGGTGGCTTTCGGCGGTTGTTCGTAAGCGTCCTCCCTGCCAGATGGTGGTATTCAATAACAGAAAGTTTCACCATCGGTTCCACCTCACTGTGCTGCCCTTGTCAACGTCGGCGGACGTGTGGAAAACACGATTGCTGGTGTATTCGTTCTTGTCCACGGAAGCACCGACAGGAGTGTAAAATTTACAGAATAACCGAGGATGTAACTGGCTCTCACACAACCAGTGAAAATAGGAAGCGAGGCGTTCTTCAGTATCGGGCAACCAGACTGTGTCTAGATTTCATTAGAACCAGCAACCGTGAGAATTTTCACTCCTGGTGCTCCATCGCTTAGACACTCACACAGAAGGACGACTTGTCGTTGAGGCTGGAATGCCACGAGAGTGACTAGACGAGAATGACCCGACAGCCGCCTCCTGCAGGTCAATAGTAGCGTGCAAGGGCCACCCTCACATCGTCCCACAGGCTCGTTCTCGCTGAAGCTGCCGCTGCCCTGGCGGTTGTGGAAGGAAGCGTGCTGATTGGATCCGGATCGGGGATCCTGTGCCAAGCAGCACTATCAGCATCCAGAAATGGGAATGGGAGAGGTTTGCTTTCAAGATGCAACAGATTGGGACCGACGATGCAATAGAAAGTGGCAAACGTCTGAGCCCGCGAAGCGACTCGGAGAGAAACGAGTTCAGAAACGTGGTAAAGGTAAGGAAGAAATTATTTACCGACACATAATTGCCATCTCAAGTCTAGAACGGCCAGGAGGAGGAGGAGGAGGAGGAGGGAGGGAGTTGGAGAGATGGGATGGACGATGGTTTGGTGGGATCGTGAGCCGAAAAGTCGTTGGACTAAAGCGAAAGCCGGACGATCACCGAGGAGGAATGGACTGGCCGGAGTGATCTATCATCTTTACTGTGAAGTACTTAGGTAGCATTTGGGAGAGTTCCGTGGAGAGTGGTATAGAGTACCTAGGTAGTGTAGAGTAGTGTTACGAAGTAGATAGAAGCAACGCAACGGCCACGTGCGATGATAACAGCTTGAATCACCGGCATCCGCGTTGACGTGCGATGGAAGGGTCGTCTGGATGAGGTATTGATTATATCCAGAATAGACTTTCTCTCTTGTCATGTTTGGCCCAGCGTTTGTCTAGCGCCCTACTAAAGCCGACGATTACTGTCGTAGTCGAGCAGTCTAGCAACCGTCGCTAGTTCTCCCCACTACGCTTATCATTGCGTAGCGGAGCGTCCACCACCTGCCATGCATCACGCTTACGCCGGGTGTACACTCGAGTAGGCGTGTGTGCTCGAGTTCTTAGGACTGCACTGCACTGTAGACGACTAGTTCTAGCAGTCACGTGGCCACTTCAAGGCCCAAAGCCAGGGTTCACCCATTCCCCTGCTATTCCACTCTGCCTACAGAACGTTGCTCCCTGAGGGGCCCTTCAGATTTGGGTCTGGCAAAGATTTCAACCACCATCAACATCAGAATCCAGATTCGCGATTCCTGCGTGCCTGCCAATTACTCTGGCCGGAGCATTCTCTCCTGCGACAGCTCTCTGGACGATGCGACTATTACCAGGACCGATCGTGCTTCCTTTTGCGCCTTGCTCATTATTCAAAGATAATAACCATGCCCACGCCCGCTAAAAACGCGCATGCACGCAGATCCAGACGCTTCGGAGCCGGTGCGCTGCCCGTTTGAGGTCGGCTCGATCTCTTTCACTACTTTTTCCTTCTGACGTCGTGGTGGTGAGCTGCAGCCGCGAGCGAGCATCAGCCCAGACCCGCTCTGCCTTGATCGATATTGAACAATCCCATTGCAAAGAATGGCTCGGTGCGGTTTGCCATTTCAAGCTTCCCTCGCTGCCCACGCCGCGGATTCCAGTACCGCAAGCTGCTTTTGCGCGAGCTGAACCTCCCCTCCCACTCTGCTCCCCACATTTCCCCCTCTTGGACGATCCTCGTTGCTATATATCACCATCATGCCCACCGTCCACCGCCCGGAGACATTTCCAGTTCTCCTTTTCTTCCATTGATTCGCAATTCGCAATCGACGCTTTATTAGAAGTTGTGTGCAGAGACCCGACGACGAAGCTATCCATGCTGTGCTCCTCCTAACACAGCACCACTGCCTCGGGCATCGCTGTGCATCCCATCGTACCAATCATCGTCATCGGGAGACAAGGCTGGCCTTCTCTTCCTCCGCCTCCCCACCTGCAACCACGATCCTTTTCCCACCCGGCAGACGGCATTCGCTGCTCTCGCCATGAACGTGCAAACGCAGCAGCCGCGTTCTCTTCTTCCAAAGACAGAGCCGTCGCCACATTCGGCGTCGGCTTCTCCCACCCACAGCGCGCCCTCGGTGACCAACAACGACATCGCCCAGCCGGCAAAGCGACGATGCGTGTCGAGCGCCTGCATGCCCTGCCGCAAGCGCAAATCCAAGGTGAGTGCCGGCGTGGTGCGGCCGGATCGAGAGAGTCATGTACTGACCACGTCCATGGGCACCTGTAGTGTGACGGCGTTCAGCCTTCATGTCATGCCTGCACGACCGTCTACGGGTCGGAATGCTTTTATGACATCGACAGCGACCACCGCCGGAAGGGCGCTCTCAAACGTGATATCTCCCAGTTGAAGAACGACTTGGGCCCTCGAAATGCGATCCTGGACGCCATTAGGAACGGCTCCGAGGCGGATGTGGACGATATCATACAGCTCATCCGCACCACCCAAGATGAAAATTGGGACTCAATTGCAGAAAGTGCGAAGAAGATCGCGCAAGCATCGGCGGAGAAGAAGCCATCTGCATATCTCTCCGGCGAATTGGATACATTTGCGGTCAAGACGTCGACCAAACCAGGAGAAACACATCAGTATGGACATACTTCGAATCTCCACCTACTTGCGGAGGAACCTGAAGGTCGAATATCCGAAGTGATGCAACCCGGAAGTTGGACCAATGTGACCCAAGATGGAGAGCTGGTGCAGCACTTGATTCAAGTCTATCTGGCTTGGGGAAGTCCACTGTACACGTTCTTCTCAGAGGAACTCTTTATGCATGGGATGGAAGATCGTAAGATGAAGTATTGTACGCCATTGCTTGTCAATGCCGTCTTGGCTTTGGGCTGCCATTTCTCGGATCGGCCAGAAGCTCGAGCGAATCCATCGGATCCTAATTCCGTGGGTGACCACTTTTACGCTGAAGCAGAACGACTATTCCGAGAAGATAGTCGACCATGCCTGACCACTGTCCAATCACTAGGAATCATGTCGCTACATCAGGCCATGAACAACCGGGACAGTAGTGGATGGGGCCTCATGTGTCAGACGATGGGGATGGTAATTGAGCTCGGACTACATAAAGAGGCTCCGCCAAATGGCAAAATCACCCCCTCCGAAGCCGTCGCTAGGCGGATAACATTTTGGGGTGCGTACTTCCTCCAAACGGTTTGGGCCATATGCGTTGGCCGCATAACATTGCTTCCAAGGACCGCAATACGGATGGATAAGCCATCAATATTAGAACACCTAGAGAAGAAGCCGTGGAAGCCCCATGGCCACATCAGCTATAATGAAGGATCAACTTCAGTTGAGCAAGCAGGTTTCAGACATACCTTAATGTTGCATACGATTTATCTTTGCGAATTTGTCGATGACATCGTACAATTATTTTATGCGCCACGAGATCGAGTTACGAGTCGAAGGTTACAAGCATATCATGAGAAACTCCAAACGTGGTACCGCAATCTTCCAGAAGCGCTTGCTATCAAAAAAGACTCCCCAACGTTACCACAGGTCATCTGTCTACAGTAAGCTCTTCGCGTTGTCAAATCGCTGTTTCTGGGCTAACACCTCCAGCGTATATTATCATAATTGCGTGATTCAGCTTTTCCGCCCATTCATCAAAGTATCTTTTCTGCATTCGGCGGTAACGCCACGGCAGATATGCCAGGATTCCGCCGTTCGTATATCAGAATTATTGGCGGTTTACGAAAAGACCTACGGATTTGGACACATGAGCTTTTTAATTACCCATTGTTTGATGACCGCTGCTGTCATCCACCTCGTCGTAATGTCAGGAAATAACATTTCGAAAACTGTTGCTGTACAGACGGAAAAATACATAGCGGACATTATTCGAGCGCTGCACGGGATACATCATCGATTCTCGATCGTTGAGAGGTACCTAAAAGCCATTCGTGCTCTCGTTGGTCGATGGTTCACGAATGTGCCAGCAAAAATAGCAGAGGCACTGTCAGAGGTAGATATTGGGTCTCCGAGTTCGACGTCGTCGAGTCAGCCCGCGGCTAACATCAACCAATCTATAAATTCTTCTGAGCGGAAACCCTCGGCACCTGAATTGTTTCTTCCCTTTTCACAGTTCCTCAACTCCAACGAACCCTCTCGGTTCGGTTCTCAGCGACAGCCGCAGGCGCAGCACAATAACGAGCTCTTCTGGACGCCATTTCCCGGCGCATCAGATGGAGTTCCTTTGGCGTTACCACAAGATCCTAACCCCATCAGTCAATTGATGGACATCAGTAGCATGTTGGACTCGGGCGTTGATGGCGATTGGCCGCAACTGAACCGCGATGGATTTACGATGGGTGGAGAGGACGAAGCCACATTCTGGAACATGAATTTCGACATTCACGGCGCCCACGATGCCGGATTGGCCGTTAACGCTGGCCGTGTTCTTCACTAGTCTGGTCGGCGCCCCTCTACCCTATTTTAGAGGTTGAAGCCGGTTTGACGGATGGGATGTAAGAGCGTCTGGGGTATGGTGTGGAATGGAGTTTTTACATGCTGGTTCTCTGGAGCTTACGGGATGCCGGACCTACGGACGATAGGGAGTTGGGTTGTGATTAAAATACGCGTTTATTCTCACCAAGTGTGAAGCGACGGTTCTTTAGTGGAAAGGAATCATATATCATATGACTAGCGTCAAATATTCAAACTATGGTTTTTGGTTATTATTTCAAGATAATTTGCACCCCAGCCAGATTGAGGGAGTGACTAGTGATACCAACACCTAGCACGTGGGCTCAAAAGAGCCCCTGGCGTAGATCGTGTCGGATTTACGATATCCCGCTCCAGGCACGATGATTGGCGGATAAAGTTTTCCCGTTCCAGTCTTCCGTATTCTGACATGGAGAGCTACAACCAGCAGCTGATGCCCTGGATATATTCTTTCAATTTGTTTTGCCCAAATCAACATCTTATAAGCTCACCCTTCTCTGCCCCCTTCTCCCTTCGCCTGTGCAAAAGCACAGTGCGAGTTTTGTTTCTTTTATATAGCTTCTGCTCCGCCGCCCGAGATACGAGCCTATGATGAACGCCGAGCAGCTCCGTCACCAATAATTTGACCCAAGAACTGGTTGACTTGACACTAGTAGCCTACTCCACAATCTAACCACATTGTCTATCCCAACGACCCATTTCGCATTCTTCCAAATCCGAGCGAGGACATTGAAAGAAATTGCACCATCCTTATAGCCTGAACTCCCTCTTGCTATTCTCTAGCCATTGAAGAACATCCACCATGGCTTCCAGACTCAGACAGCGTTTGGCCAAACCCCTCCTCTATTCTGCAGGAGCGGCGGCCATCGGAGGCACAGCTCTGTACATCACATATCGCCCTCGAAACATTCCTGGTTCAGAATCTGCAGTGGTTCCTCCTCCGGGTTACGGCGAAGGCGGGGATTTCAGGCCTCCTCGATTCCCCAATGTCAAGTCGCGAGCAGAGCAGATCGCGGATCTGAAGAGAAGTGGGGGAACCAAAGGCTCAATTACCACGCTGTCGAGGAACGATGCGGCATCGCAGAATGAGGATGATATCTACGACTTGCTGGTCATCGGAGGAGGAGCAACAGGAACCGGAGTTGCTCTGGATGCTGCGACGAGAGGATTGAAAGTGGCAATGGTGGAGCGAGACGATTTTGCGAGTGGCACGAGCAGTAAAAGTACAAAATTGGTTCACGGTGGTGTTCGATATTTGGAAAAGGCTGTTTGGGAATTGGATTACAACCAGTATGCATTGGTGAAGGAGGCATTAAGAGAGCGAAAGTACTTCTTAGAAACCGCACCACATCTGTCGTCATGGCTTCCAATCATGTTGCCTTTGGATAAATGGTGGAAGGCGCCGTACTTTTGGGCTGGAACGAAGGCTTATGACTTTTTGGCTGGATCGGAAGGGATTGAAACATCCTATTTCTTGACGAAAAGTAAGGCATTGGATGCTTTCCCTATGTTGAAAAAGACCAATTTGGTGGGTGCTTTGGTTTACTATGATGGAGCACATAACGATTCTCGCATGAACGTGTCGCTGGCCATGACGGCTGCGTTGTATGGAAGCACAGTCGTAAACCACATGGAAGTTACAGGCTTGGAGAAGGATGCCAATGGCAAACTTTGCGGAGCTCGTTTGAGAGATTTGGTAGAGGAAAAGAATGGCAAAAAGCCGGAAGAGTTCTTGGTTCGTGCCCGTGGTATCATCAATGCTACAGGACCTTTTACCGATGGTGTTCGCAAGATGGACGATGATACCGTAAAGGAAATTGTCGCGCCTAGCTCTGGAGTTCACGTTATTCTTCCTGGTTACTACAGTCCTCAGAAGATGGGTCTTATTGATCCTAAGACTTCTGATGGCCGAGTCATCTTTTTCTTGCCATGGCAAGGAAACACGATTGCTGGTACCACTGATGCTCCTTGCGAAATTTCGCAAAATCCAGTAGCTGGTGAGGATGAGATTGATTGGATTCTCTCTGAGATTAGACGCTATCTCGCACCCGATATCAACGTGCGCCGAGGCGATGTGCTTGCTGCATGGTCTGGAATTAGACCATTGGTCAAGGATCCAAACGCTAAGAACACCGAGTCACTCGTCCGGAACCATCTCATCAATGTTTCGCCCTCTGGGCTCTTGACATGCGCTGGAGGCAAATGGACGACTTACCGCCAGATGGCTGAGGAGTGTGTCGATGAAGCTATCACTCAATTCAAGCTTAACACCAAGCCAGTCACAAACGCTCCACGAGTCAGTGGCACAGAAATGGTTGATGATGGTGCTCATCTTGACGGATCATGCCAAACCCATCAAGTCAAATTAGTAGGCGCACACGGCTTCTCCAGGACACTTTTCATCAATCTGATCCAGCATTTCGGTATCGAGACGGATGTCGCCAAGCACTTGACAGAATCTTATGGAGATAGATCCTGGACTGTCGCTGCATTGAGCGGACCTACAGAGAAGCGATTTCCAGTTCGTGGAGAAAGAATCTCCCCACTTTACCCATTCATCGATGGAGAGGTTAGATACGGTATTAGGCATGAGTATGCTCAGACGGCTGTGGATGTCATTGCACGAAGAACTAGATTGTCGTTCTTGAATGCCCAGGCTGCATTAGAGGCGCTGCCTAAGGTTATTGATATCATGGCCGAAGAGCTTAAATGGGATAACAAGCGCAAGGACGTTGAGTGGAGAGATTGTAAGTCTAAATTCCTCGAACTTCTTATGCTGTAATTTTCCGGAATTACAAACTAACGTGATCTAGCCGTCAAATTCCTTGAATCAATGGGTCTCCCTAAATCCAAGCTGCAGGCCACCAGAAAGGAAGTCGAAAGTGGCAAGCTCAGTTTCAAAGACTCGGTTGAGTATAAGATGTACTCGAGACACGATCAACCCAACGATGAATTAGAGAGCGATTCGAAGAACTCGCCGGTCATGAAGCCGGATTCTCCTGCTAATGCGTAGATGTGATTTTGATGGGGTTGTACGAATATGAAAGATAGGACTTGGTGGCGTGAAAAGGATAAACGTTGAAAGTGTGGTGGAAATGCTGAAAATTAGAGTGAGATAGAGGGGAGGGGATTGTATATAATTTTGATGGTTAGATGTCACTTTGGGCATGCTATGGTATATATTTTCTCGCTTAGCCACCCTTGGTGGTGTGATTTTCTGACTTGCGGGTCGAGAAGTTGGGGCATATGAAATTGGCTCCCAGTTCACGGCTTGAATTTGCATATGTGGAAATTCTGTGTGAGATTGGGTCCGGTAGTGGAAAAAGCGACTACGCTTTAGGGTTTGTTCCCCCACGACAACCGCTTTGTCTCACTACTTTCCTTTCTCGTTATCAACACACAAAGAGTCCAGTCGCATCATCCATCAAAGCCTTTCTGGTCCCCTTTCTTGTTCGTCCTTTTGCCTTATTCGTACACAGTCCCAGGCGCCTATGCGGGGCGGCAAAGCTACTGCTGCGTTCCGCAACTCCTTGGTGTGCATTCTATGTTGCTCCTAGCTGATCACGACCCTGGTTGAGGGTGGAGGCATGAGATCTGCTAGATACGGTGAATGCAAAGGGGAATTGGAATCGAAATCTTCTCAACAATGATAATCGTTGAAGGAAGCCGCGGCGAGGAAAATACCTCTGTCATTGTAGGAGATTGAAATTGCGCTTTCGTGGCTATTGCGATATCCGTCGATTCAGCAGTCTTCTAAATAATGACTATTCCACTGGCAGACACATTTTTTCTCTCTTTAATAAAATTCTTTTAACGAGCGTTTTGTTACAACAATCCGATTTCTGCACAGCCCATACACACATACGTGCCTCGGCGGGGTACAGCTGCCTAGCCAGTTGGAACCGTCCGCGTTATTGTTTCGTTTTCCTCAGCCTCGCCTCTAATGCGACCATGATTGTGGTCCATTCAGAGGCCGGCTAGGCATAAGAGGGTTGTATGCCAATCATTCCGTTTGTCGGCGTCTATTTCATTCGGTGTCTGAAAGGGTTGGGTGCGGATGCATGATGAGGCTGATTTTGGGGTTTGTGGTTACACCACCTCAGAGACGTTATCTTTGAGCTGCGTGCTTGCTTTATGGTCTTTATGCTTGTTTGGAGTACATCACTTTCGCTTCGAGCTATTCCATATCATTTGTTTCTTTTTTTTTCATGGTTCCATTCGTCCATTCTGCTCATGATATAATCACGAAAGTGCAGCCTTACCACAAACCATGAACTCAACCCGCCGAAACAGCGAGGCTCAGCAAGATGATCGTCCTGTGGTAAAAATCACCGATCTATGTGTCGGTTGTATCGTCTGGCTCCCTGCGAAAAGCGAGCTTAACGGTGGCATCAAATGCACCTGTACCGGCTGTATCCAAGCCGTTGACTTGGAAGATCCGGGGTACAATCACCCTGTTCTGGTTGTTCGGATACAACTCAGCGATAACCTTGCTGAGACTGTCTGTGACGTCGTTTGTGTTAGATCTCCTGTCCGATCTATGAATTTTGGTGGTCTAATCCTCTCTTAGCTGACGACATTTACTGATACGAGCATTTCAAAATACATCAAACGCATTAACCGCAACTCTGGTCACCCTATCGAACAATCCATATCAGTCCACCACCCTGAGTCTGAGGCGGTACAGATACCCCAGCTTCACCTCGAAAAAGGGAAACTCCGAAAACAATCTTATCTACGACTTCAACATGTTTATGAAGTCAAAGTCACGTGTTTGAGGACTTATAACTGGCGCTACTCCCAAGGACCGAAACTGAGGCTGAGAGAGGAGAGTTATGAGGCCTTGATGGGGAGGTTGGGGGCTGATGCCGAGGAATGGGTGGAGACGGATATGGTGGCGAGCGTCATGCGATTGAAAGTGAGGGAGGCCGAGGCGAGGACTCCGAGGACACAAAGAGCATTGCTGGCAAGCGTACCGGCTGGGGATTGGCCGTCAGTGAGTGGTAGGACAATACCTACGCCAGTAACGGGATTGCAGAGAAGTTATAGCGCTGCTGCTGCTGGGAGGATGCCGCAACCTGCGAGGGTTCCACAGACGGCATATATTCCTGTGAGATATCCGCAGTCGACTTATGGATCGGTCGGAGTGCAGCAAGGGAGTTACGGGTCCGATGGAGTGTATCAATATGGATATGCAGCACAACAACCGAATTATACGTATGTCTCGCCAGTACTGCCTGTGGAGAATCACACTGGTTATGAAACTCGGGGGGCAGAGGATGCGCCGTCTACCCCGGAAGACGAGGGACCTGGCTGGGGTCTTACGATCTTTGTTAGCGTGGTGGTGTGTACTGTGTTGTATTTATGGAAGAAGTTGTGATGGAGGAGGAGATAGCGATAGATGGGTGATGAGGAGGATTATGATTATGAATTATGATGGTGGGGAAGTGGATATGATGGAAATCTTTGAAATATTTGGGACTTGGGAGTGGAAGAGTGGATGATGAGATGGATTTTTACGTGGCCTTTACCTTTATTGGGGCTGGAGTTTAGGGAGTGATATTTCTGCCAGCAGATCTTCTTTTTGCTCTGATGATTTTCACACGTGAGTTAATAGCTCTTCCACTATATTATCTCAACTAGATCAAGTGAGACCCTAGGGTTGGCATTCGATTAACGACCGTTTTTGCCGCTCGAGAAAATCGATTAAGGCGCGGACAGCTTACTCACATCGAATATAATGTATTTCCACTCATAATCATGTACAACCCTACTTTAGGTGCGCTTCTACACTTTTAGTTTAAGTGTTACAGGAGGACTATAAGTTCTGTATCGTCAGCGTCTACTGAACTGAATTGTATCGAAACGAGTACGAAGTCTCCACGCTGCCACATCGGACTTCCTTTTATATCACCCTAGTACTATCTCTATCAAAAAGACTAATACTTTTATACTTAGCTATACTACCGTGATTTATAATATAGTAACGAACTTATTTATCCTCCTAGGAAGAATAAACTAATTTTAATCGTCTTATAGACTACGAAATTAAGTATTGTTGTGTTTAAAGTTATTTAGCTTTAGGTAACGGAGAAGGAAAGTTAGTACGTCCTTGAGGAGGAAGTGTCGCTTATTTTGGTTCCTGGGTTTTTCTCATTAAGTTCATAGTTATTTTTGTTGTTTCGAAGTGAGAAAGGATTTTTTTTCTAGGCTCTGTGGCGTAGGGATGTGGTTTGGTTGAACTCCAATGTGCGCGAAGACTGCTTGTATTTTATGAGGGATTCATGGGAGAATCGCGTGATGGTGGAATGATGATGTGGTGGCTCCGAGGGGTGATGTGCGTTTTATTTGATTAGTTGAATATAGTGTACAGGTCCCTAGGGAAAAGATAGAAATTTCGTCTTAAGTGAGTTAAATAGATAGACATTTTTATTATTATTTCAGTGGTTTGATATACTAGTAAACGAAGCTCCAAGTCTTAGTAGAGTCGACAAATTCATCTTGAAGAAAGTCATCCTATCCACCAACCTACAATCCGTTCTATCACAATCTCCCCTTTCTTCTAATAATCTAGATATCCATGCAGACTCAAGATAAAGACAGTAATCCCACACAAAACATCACCAAATTTATAGCCCCAAGGACAAACACTGCCTGAGATTGACGATCGCTATTTCTCACAGCTGCAGCTCTACTAGTCGTTCCTGGGCGGAGATACGTAGCACCCGGCGCACTCATAGGCCTACCACTTACTGTTTGCCTCTGAACTTCTTTCCTACGACTAAGATACGCGCCAGCAGTCGGGGTGGCAATGATTTCTGTGGTTCCCAATGTTGTAAGTGATCCCCTTATCGTCTCTGAAATTTTGGTGTTCGCAGGCCCTTGGGTGTTGATGACTGGGGTTTGAGAAGTGGGTGAGTATATTGGGTCGATGATCGTTCTTCCAATATTTTGGATTTTGATGTTTGAGAGTGTTTTATTTAGGGAGCTAGAGGGTTGGGAGGTCGTGGTGGTGAGGAGCTGGTGAGAGGGTGTATTGTAGGAGTGGGTGTTCGCGCGTTGCGGGGAATGGTAAGTGAGTATTGAAATAGAGACGTGATACACTCGCTTACACTAGCAGATGTGAGGGTGGTAAACATTTTACAATTGAAGAATTTCGTTGTGGATTGTCGACAGAGGGCCAGAGAATTTAAAACGATATCCGTGCGAAGTTTTTTGTTGTAAGCAAGAGTTGCGTGAAATTGCAGTTGTGTGAGAGCCAAGAAATGAGCGAGGGAAGTAAACTAGTCTTTAATACTTTCACTTCGAAGGAGATGCGCTTTCGATAGGTGCGTCAAAGCTGTTTCTGGTAAATGTTTATTGGATTGGTCGTCACTATATTTACATACTTCCGGGTAATAAGATAATCGGTCTTGTATCACCATCTTCATGTTCTACAAGGTCCAGATGAAAAGGTAGAGCGGGATATGGACTTGCTGGATAAGAAAATGAGGAGGTTGTGAGATCTGGATAGATAACGGGTAGAAGGTAAAGCCGAGCACCTATTGAGAAGCTACTGTGCTAAAAAGAAAATCTTGAACGGCAATGAGTAAGTTGGTAACTATGCATGCACATTCTAAGACACCGCTTGCATTTTCGAAGACGAGATTTATCATTTCAATCTATTGACACTCAGCAGTATCTTCCACCACTTCAATCTACCTTGTAATGCCAAATTTTCAATCCAACCTATTGAATCCACTTCGTCCCGACCACCAATTTAGTACTACCTGAATGCTTGCTTCCCACAAATAGGATCATACGCGACCTCATACTTTCGGAAAGCATGGCTCCCAGTATTAACAAACGAGGGTCGTGGGTCTGAATATACATTCGTCCAAATAGGCGTGACCTCATTCAAAAAGTCGCCAACACTGTAGATCGTCTCAGCGAGTCTTGGACGACCAAATGCAACATCAACGTGTGCGTTGGTGTTCAAGACAGTACGATTGCCATCGAAATGCTTCGGCCAGGAACCAAACCACGTTGTGCCAACCGGGACTCGTATGTAGCTTTGCTCCAAACCGGTGTCGAGGAGGACGGAAATACCTAAGCATGGCGAGGGGATTGAGTTGACTTGTACGCAGCCGAGCATCATGTCCCATGGGTAATGGCCCCTTGGAATGACACCAGAAGGTTCCGTGGCTGGCGGTGGGAGAGGAACTTCCTTGCTTCCAAAGCCAGCAGCGTCGTAGTTGGTTGATGTCAACCCGACAGTAATACCATTGCCGTCAATGATATAGCCAGGATGATATGTCGCAGTATTCACTGCAGTTCCATGAATACTAACGACATTGAGTATTGGGTTCTTGTCCGGCGTGCCTCCTTCCATACCATCAATCGTGCGTCCGAATCCGATTCCCATCATCCGTACCTGATCATATGCCTGTGGTGTACAACCACCGGGACACGTTGCGCCGCTTGAACCGATGATGTAGGTCGTGCATTGGCATTTGCTCGTCACTACCAAGACTTTTATTTGAGTCTTGATGACATTAGTGGCTGGTGCTAATTTGTTGAAGTACATGTTGCGATTTACCCAGTAGCCGCTATAGAGCAGCTTGCTACTAGATAGGTACTCGTACCCAGGAGTTGCGGTAGCCGCTTCTGACGGTAGCCAGTCGTCGAGCTGTGTATCGCTAATCATAACACCGGTGCTGCCGGTATCAACGCTGAATTGATAACTCCTGGTGATGGCACCCTCGACGCCGGTGGTGGGGTTGGTTTTAGTGAACCAGCCGTGGACCTTGGGGTCCTTGTCGAAGGGGAATGGTGGAGTGGGGTTGTTGATGAAGGGGATGGACTCTGAAATGGTTTTACCTGCATGAGGACCAACAGAGCATGGTGGTGGTGGTACAGCAATTGAGATGCTCGGAAGCAGAGTTGCTAATATATAGAATGATTGGTGAAACATGTTGATTGTCTTCTCAAGTGTAAGAGGTTGGAGTCTTAGAACGAAGAAAGTGCCGATGTCTTTATCTTGAAGGCTCAAGATACTCCGACTTATATACTTATTTCAAAATCCGTTCTGAGGAATGTGTTGCCGAGTTTATGCTGCCACATCGTAAGTCGGGCAAAGGACTCTCCGGAGTGTGTGTTCAACATAGACTAAGCTGATGAAGTCGAGTTATGATGCTCAACTGATTCTCATGATTAAGACAAAGACGTTCGAGTTTTCTAGCTACTAGCGAAACACTTTCTTGTCTGTTGTATTGGTGTTGGCGGGAAGTCTTTCCGACTAAGTGACAATGTCAGCCTTGAAACTTGGCAGAATAATTGACCGATAAAAGGGCGAAGAAGGTGGAAGCAGAATACTTACAGACAATATCTTTAAATCGTAAATCTATAGTTTCTAAGAGTGACTAAAGTGTATCTCCATGTAGTCACTCGGATGTTCCACGACCGACGTCGTTCATAATAGCTTGCTTCCCCGAACCGAGCTGCAAGTCAGCTTACCTACCGTGGCTGGAATTACTCAACCGAACAGGTGCACGCTCACATAAGGCTGAAAAATTATTAGCTTTCATGCACATCAGCGATCAAGAGTCATCTTGAATCATCATTTGGCCAAGACGATAAATGCGTGAAGCGAGACGGGAAAAACCCATGTGTGGAGAAAATTGGATACTGGGTGTATAATATTGTACAACTACCGTCAGGCATCAGCATTTTCACAATATTGCTGTGTCAGACACCAAAACACGATGGTTACCCAGCCTCAGGCCTCCTCACATGAAGCGGTGCGTTGACAAAAGTGGGTGATGCTGTAATAATCTGTTTGGTTGTAGAAGATAGTACAGTCGTCAGCTAAGCGAGGCCAACGTCGTAAGAAGAATAGGAGAGATGGTTGCCCCCGTATATGACTGCTGATTTTGGGAACAAGAGATTGAAGTTTTTCGCAGCAAAAGAGCGTATATTTGTCATGATAGCGCAAGCATCTACCTAAGAAGATCCCTTAATTTTTCCAACGACCCCTATCATTATTGTCATAAAAGATCCCAGACGCGTTTCAACCCTAATACCCAAGATCCAGAATAGATAGTAACCATATAAACACAACGCCCAGGGGACAAATTCTTCCCACAGTAGTAATAACCCCCTATTTCCTTGCACCGAATGGATCCAGCCCAAGAATACATATTGATACAGTTTCCAAAGACTTTGTAGGTTGTCTTCCGCCCATCTCCACTTCATAAATCTCGGTTCGTATGTCATACATACTGGTCCGGCAATTTATTATGATTATGGGCTGCCAAAGAACACATCGGCTTCATCTCTGAAGAGGTCCCCACCATTTGAATTGACGAAGTCGTCATCAAATTTGCTTAGAAGAAGATCCGGATCTCGCTCCAGTTGACTCATGTCGGTAGAACCAGCAGAGGCAAACGCTTCCAAAAACATCTCGTCCTCGTGCTCGGAAATGTTGGCTAGTGACAAGGAGTGTAATACATCTCCATGGTTTGAGATGTTTTCCATGTCATAGTAATGGCTTGGAGCAGGTGACGAAGATGATTCACATAGCCCCGGCGGGGAATGATATTGGCTGTGCTGACTATGTGCTGGTGATCCAGGCAGAGATGGTTGATGGTCAGAGACAGAATTGTTGCGCGAGTAATTGGACCGAGAGCTGTACGCCTCTGGTGAGGCTGCATTCTGCATCGCACTGGGTGAAATTCCGATTTCGGCCGTAGGCGAGTGGCCTTGATAGTCGGTTTGTCCTGGGTGAGAACTTGACGCAACTTGCGGATACTGAAAATTGCCAAACAATTTGTCATCCAGGATATCAATCTCGCTTCTTGGTGAGTGACCACTTGTACTATCAGAACTGCCTGATGATGATGAGGCGGAAGACATTGCCTTGTTCTTGCTGCGAGTCCGCGAGGATTTTTGAAGCCTGTCTTCGTCATCAGGTCTGGCTTTACGTGGTCGTCCTCGTTTCACAGTTTTCTTCACTACGCCGTCGAAAGCGCCAATACACATTCCTCTTTGTCTATGCCGTGTAAGCGCATCATGCCGAGCAAAGCTGTTACCACACTGGCAAGGGTATGGCTTCACTCCGCTATGTATTTTTGCGTGCCGTTTTAAATCGTGTTGGCGGACGAAGCATTTCTGACAATGAGGGCATTGGAATTGCCTATCGCCCAGATGTGTTTGAACATGCGACTTGATGTTTTCCTTGCGACCAAATCGCTTGCAGCAGTCAGGGTATAAACACATCCATTTACCATCAAGTAGGTCTGGCCCTTGGATATAGGTGGCAATATCATCAATGGTAATTCCAGTGTCCGTGATTGTTTCGTCAATATTGATGCTGTCAACAGATTCAGATCTTCGGTGTGATGAGCGAGATGATGGCGACTCAGGAATTGACTGGTTATGGGCAGCTGGAGCTTCAGCATAACTCATGGCAGGAGCACCCAAAGACGGTGCGTTGCGAAAGGGGTCTCCTCTGATTGTCCTTTGAGTAATTTCTGGAGATGAGTTGTATGAAAGTGCTGGCGATGGGTCTGCAATGACGGGTGAGTACTGCTGATCTTGGAATTGAGACTCGTTCTTCAAAAATTCCATATCCAAATTAGACATGTTCATAAAATTTCCGGTAGGCATAGGAGCAGAATCGAAGTTACTAGCCATCGACATTAGGCCATCGTGAGGAGGACTTGGGCCTGAGTGCATCTCTGCTTCTCTCCGCATGTCCTCGAAAACTCCTCTGGCCCTCTGGCTGGTTTTTGGCTTGATTGTCTCTTCCATGGAAGTATCGTAAGAATCCATGAAACGTTGGTTCATCTGCTCTTGCTTGACCATTCTGTTATGAGGTGTGTCCATTGGTGTAGGAGGGAAGTAATCTATATCCAGTCAGCTGTCAATTCTCTTTATTCTTGGTTCTGTGCATACTTGAAACATTCTGGTTTGGGGGTGTAATGGGTCTTTGCGAGGATTGCATGGCCATATTCTCGAATTGAGCTACTCTGTCGAGAATTCCGCCACTGATCCTCCTTCCAGCGGAGGACCTTCTACTCTCAGTATTTCCGTTGGACATGCTAGCAACGCTGTCGAAGGCTGTAGAAAAATCCAAATATGCTGAGGGGGTCAATTGCCCGTCCGCCCCGAATAGGTGAAAGTCGTTGGCCCCCGTAAAGTTATTGGGGTCGACATACGTAAGTCCTTCAATTGGTCCAGAACAGTTGTACTGTGGTTGAGGTTGTACTCGCTCTCCATAGTTAATGTATCCGGTATCGAATGATTGTCTTTGAGGTGTGATGGCTGGTGAACTGAGGTAGTTCTCATCATTGTCTAAGCTGAAATGCTGGCCCGGGCGTACCAGTCTCTGCTGCTGCGTTTCTCGCAATATATGCTGTTGGTGTGTCGTTTGATATCCTAAGTTAGTGCTACTTACCGTTACATCCTGCGGGGGTGTAGGTCGTCGTCGTTGATCCAGGCTCATGCCGCGTCGGTGTGCGCCATGTTTCTGGTGTATGTTGGGCAGGTTGTTTGTCTTCACAGGTTCGAATGCCGTGGGTGTCGAGTTTTGTCGTCGGTGTTGTCGTTGGCGATTGTGAAGGGTTTTGGTTGGATTTGACAGCATTATGTATGCTTGAAGAGTTCGGAAATTGTCGTTGTCGTTGAAAGTATTGCAATTAAGCAAACCTATAGGTTCCGAGACTAGAAGAACAATTAGCACTCGGAGTCCTTGACATAACTTCTCATGCCCCAGGCTGAATTTTCACTTCGTCTTCTTTCATCACTTCAAGAGAGGAAATCCCGTCGCAATGCTTACCTCACGCAGCGCAAGCCGTTAGGCCGGGCGAGTAGAGATCTTAAAACCTCTCAGCAGTTGTAGACTCGAACAGAGCCTGTTTGGTTGGAAAAGGGCCCTCCTCAGGCCGGTTGTTTGAATGGAAGCTTTTGGTTAAAAAGTTGTCTTCGCGGCCAGAGGAGATGATAGATTGAGGGATGTGTGTGTCTTAGTTTTGTATATCGTGTAGCAGAGTTGTGTGAGATTGAAGATTGTGGTGATGCGGCTTCGATACTATCGCGGAGATCGAGGTAAAGTAAACAGCGCTTGGCGCATCTGCGTTGCTCCCCAGCAACCGCGCCAGATCGTTGCCCCACTTCTCTCGGCTGCAGCCGTCAGGGTTTCCGTACCAACCTGTTCACCTGTCAAAAACATTTCCTGCACGAGGCGCCTGGTGAATTGAAGGGGTTTCGTCAGATCAATCCTGCCACGACCGAAAGTCCCGCTCCTGCACACATCTGCTCCGCGCTTAAGCATCTTCCAATTGCAACTCGAACTGCAAACATGGCCTCGAATGCTGGCCACGGTACGATGAGGGGAACGCCCAGTAGGGGTCAAGGTCGAGCAAACATACCCGCGTTCACCAATAGTCCAGCATCAGCTATACCTCGGCCGACGTTAGAAACACACCAGAGCTCAACAGCTCAGAGTGAGGCTGGCGGCTCTACTATGAGTGCCAGCAGACAGAAACAATCGAAAAGAGACGAGGTATGTCGGCATCAAAGCTTATCGAAAAACCGGTGCGTATGCGGGAATTCCTAATGCTAATAAGCTGTCTGTAGGCGATACGGAGGAAGATCGAGACCGATCTCAGCAAGAAGAAGCATACTACAGGTCGAGCACGACAAACAAGAAAGGCCCCTCCAGGGACGGTCCTGGCCCTGCGTCCGAGTCAAGCATTGCAGATAAAGCCAAATACTACAGTTGCTGAAGCAGCCCAGTTGATGGCCGCGAAGAGGGAAGACTGTGTGCTGGTTACCGACGATGACGACCGTATTGCCGGAATCTTCACCGCAAAGGATCTCGCTTTTAGAGTTGTAGGGGCAGGTATCAAGGCCAGCAATGTCATGATCTCTGAGATTATGACCAAAAACCCGCTTTGCGCTCGAACTGATACCAGCGCAACTGATGCATTAGACCTCATGGTTCGTAAGGGTTTCCGCCATTTGCCTGTAATGGACGAGAATCAGGATATCTCTGGTATTCTGGATATCACAAAGTGCTTTTATGATGCTATGGAGAAACTAGAGCGGGCATACAGCTCTTCCAGGAAACTCTACGATGCCTTGGAGGGCGTTCAATCAGAACTAGGATCCACCCAACCACAACAGATTATACAATATGTCGAGGCTCTCCGATCGAAAATGTCCGGTCCAACTCTGGAGTCGGTCCTTGATGGGCGCCCTCCTGTGACAGTCAGTGTTCGCACATCTGTAAAGGAAGCCGCCGCGAAGATGAAGGAAAACCACACCACTGCAGTTCTCGTACAAGATCAGGACTCTATCACTGGTATTTTCACGAGTAAGGACGTTGTTCTGCGAGTCATTGCCCCTGGTTTGGATCCCGCGAATTGTAGTGTTGTTCGAGTGATGACCCCTCACCCCGATTTTGCTCCTATGGACATGAGCATTCAAGCCGCTCTTCGAAAGATGCATGGTAAATAGCTCCCCGATATTTCCTGGTAGATTGCGACGCTGACTGTTTCGCAGACGGTCACTATTTGAACCTTCCAGTCATGAACGAAGGAGGGGAAATTGTTGGTATGGTTGACGTTCTAAAGTTGACATACGCCACTCTTGAGCAGATCAATACCATGTCAACTGGCGATAGCGAAGGCCCTGCATGGGGTAAATTTTGGATGGCCCTTGAAAATGAGACTGAGTCTATCATGTCTGGAGAAGGAAGTCATCACCATACCACGGGAGGGAGATCCCTCATGTCTCCAGATCTCTCACGGGGCCACGAGCGAACGGTAGATGTAAGTGTTGCACCGGGTGACTCTGCTTCTCACGTCGGCATGGACTCCCCCTCACGTTCCGTGGTCAGTCGATCCGCAGACGTACCAGCAGAAGAAGTACCATTCCCATTCAAATTCAAGGCGCCGTCCGGACGCGTTCACAGACTCCAGGTTATTGGGGCTCATGGGCTGGCTGAGCTTATCACCGCAGTAATCAGTAAATTAGGGTCCGAGGTCGAGGCCGTCGGAGGTGCTGCAACTTTTGAAGACGGACACCTGGGTGGCTCGGGCTTTGCACTGAGCTATCTTGATGACGATGGAGATACTGTTTCAATTACAACAGATCAAGATCTTCTGGAAGCTATCTTATTAGCCAGACAAGGCCATCGTGATAAAGTCGACCTATTCGTACACGATCCAGAAAAAGCACCAATCAGCGCAACGCTAGATCCTCATCCGGTCATCAGCAGCCAAGCACCGAGTCCCCCACCATCTCATACGGTACGCGAGCGTAAGCGTGTTGTTTCTGATGAGGACGATGAGAGCGAAGAAGAGGTTCATGTTCGGTCGCGATCTAGGAAGGCCACCGCGAAGCCAATCGAAGCGCAAGTGATTGCTGGTGTTCCAAATGAACTGCTATTGCCAGGCGCAATTGTAACTCTCGCTGTTGTCATTGTTGGCGTCTTTGCTTTAACTCGTGCGACAAGTCGTAATTGAGCTGCACAACGATATTTGGTTGGCGTGCTTGGGTTTCTTCGTTGTAAATATGACTTTGTACAAAGAATAGTGTTGCTATTTCGGAGACATAACCTAGCAGTATTTAATATGAATTATTTCCGTAAACTCAAACGCAAGCCTGTTGTGTTTAGATAACAATGTTTTGTCTGCTTCACCTAAAGACCTACCAGACTGATGTGGAGAGAAGTCGATTTCGAGTCTGGATGCTCAATCACGTGATAATACCTACCTAGCGTGAAATCGTATGTCCCGAAAAAGTGAACGCGAGCATCGGACAACATAGGTGCTCCAACAACCATGATATTAAGAAACATAGCCTTACGGCATGGTAAGTGTATTGTGATGGAATCTTGTTTCGATGATGTGCTAATTGTTCTTGCAGGCCGAAGAGCACTCGCACCGCCTTTACGCAAATCCTTCCTCCGCTCCCTTACTACCGATACCTTAACCCAGGACTCAATATCAGTCGAAGAATCGATCGGCCAGCAGCAAACCTCGGCGTATTCCCACGAGCTTCCGATTAATCCATTGCACTTTTCAAATCCCAACAATGCCACACGCGCTAAAGAAGGCGTCAAAGAGAATTACTTCTTGACCAAGCATTTAAAGAAACGTACTGCAAAGCTCGGAGCTGTAGTCGAGCCAGTATACGTACCGGACACCTTCGTTCGAAATCCGCCAAAGCCCGAGGACGTGACATTGGAACTGTTGCTAGCAAGCCAGAGTCACCTAGGACATAGCACAAGTCTGTGGAATCCAGCGAATCAAAGGTACATCTTTGGGATTCGGCAAGGCGTACACATTATCTCTCTAGAAGAAACAGCAGCCCATCTTCGGCGTGCGGCGAAAGTAGTGGAAGGCGTTGCATATCACGGAGGCTTGATTCTGTTTGTTGGAACGCGCGCAGGCCAATCGTCAGCGGTAGTAAAGGCTGCTGAACTAGCAAAGGGATGTCACCTATTCGAACGGTGGATACCAGGAACGATTACGAATGGAGACCAACTGCTCGCGAAATGCGATCTGAAAGTTGTGGACAAGGACGACACCGAAATCACGTCTGGGTTTGAGACTAAGGTGGAGGAATGGACTGCGCTCAAGCCAGACTTGGTTGTGTGCTTGAATCCGTTGGAGAACTACATCATGTTACATGAGTGCGGTCTGAACAACATACCCACAATGGGCATTATTGACACGGATGCCGACCCCACTTGGGTTACGTATCCAATACCTGCAAATGATGATAGGTCAGTATTCTGTACTCTTGACTTTCGTTCGTACTAACATTGGGCGTTTAGTATCCGGTGTATTCAAGTAATAGCAGGTGTGCTTGGGCGTGCTGGTGAAGAGGGCCAGAAGAAAAGACTTGAAGCCGCAAGGACAGGTACAGTCACTTGGCTACCACCACCTGGTCTTGGAAGACCGGAGGTTGGTGGCGAAGCTGAGAAGGCGTCTTTCGCAGCAAAATCTGCACAGTCTACTGTGGTTCAAGGAAATAGCGAGGCATCACCAGTTTTCACACGGCAAATTGGCGACTCCCCCGAATTATAGGGCTGGGAATTTGTATAATATCTGTATATGGTACGGAAATGAAATGTAATATTCAACTGTTGTTCGCTTACGTAGATTTCCTAAGCTACCAATGTACACCAAATTTTGAAGACTGCTATGATTCGCGTTCTGGGCCAAAGCTTATCCTTTAGTATCAGCTTTTCCCTATTCGAGCCACTTCTTTATGGAGTTTGGCTTGTTCCTCGTCAGAGGTGTGGACGAGTATCTAGTTGGTTTATTTAGGTATGGTAATTTCAAAGTCCACAGTTCTTAATACTGCCCGAAGCTGACATGTTCTCTACAGTGTTGCCGTACTTCAGGGGTGGATATCCTGCGGGTGATTGCGCATTGGGGGTTAATTCAATTGCTGACCGATGTCATTCTCCCTAAGGGGTTCACTTCACATTTACCAGCCTCCCCGTAGACGACATAATTGTCAGTAATGTGATAACTATGTCTTAATCAAAGAGTTATACTTGATGTTATAAAATCTTCCTACCTCAGTAGGTTTCCCATTGAGCTTAAAGAGCTCTATTTACTCTTTAAGATTAGCAAAATATCTGAATTCGTGAACAAGCAATCATCTGAAGATTGTGTCTTGACTGCCATCTACCTACCTAGGTAGATATCTTTTCCACCGCGAGCGAAGGCAACGTACCACCAGGGAGAATGTGAGCCTGTCTGGGCAGTAGCAACCCTGATAGAATCGGTCATTGACCCTTGATTCTGACCTAGCACAGGTATGTAGCCATAGCAACCTTACTTTTCTACCAAAGTTAGCAAGACGCTAACTTCGAATGGTCAGGTCAATTTCTGGAGATGCGTGCGGAGCACTGGGTTTTTCAGCTATTCAAATTTATCAGACTATCACCTCCGTTTCCAAATGCCATAGACTGTGCTATTCCGAAACGACCTACGCATCCAGAACCATCGAACCCCAAACTCTTCTACAAACACTAGTGACTCCTCCGCCGTCAGATCCAATCTCTCATCATTGGATTGGAAATGCAGAGTTATGAGGGCCCCAGGCGGGTCAAGTTGTGTGGCAAGATGACGTCCTCGAAAGGGTTTAAGACTATTGTTGTCGAAGGTCCCAAGAACAGTAATTTGGTCATCACTTTTCACCGCACCTTTCGTATCCCGGACGATGGGAAACCCAATAATGTACTGCCAGATTGTGGCAGATTTCCGATCTTTGACCTCGTGGATTATAAATCTAATTTGCCCAATGATTTGATGGCCAAGGGCGGAGTATTCATTCCAATTCGTCGTAAGTCAACTGCCTCCCAAGTGCTAATATGAACTCGTTGACAATGAATAGAGCATGAGGCTATGTGGATCAAGTTCACCAGTGTTCAGAAATTTGCCGTTCGCGTCTGGGTGGGTGGAGTTAATGCTGTTTCTGGAGAATCAAAGACTCCAGCGCTTTCGGAGCCCGGCCTCAACCAGTACATTCCGAAGTCCCAAGACTATATCGTTGTACCCCAGCAGCAATGGCTAAACGGCATCGCTGATGAAGAAGGTCGAGTTTCACAACTTGTCGCACCCCCAGTCGGATCTGGATACTCGATTGAGAGGCAAATCACAGGACTAAATACTGCTGCTGACATTGTCTTCGAGATCTATCCCAGCTTTGGCGATACTGCTAACCCGAGAATGCTCGAGTTATTGATCCTGGGACCACCAACTCCGACCAGGCTGATAGCGCATGAAGATACGACCATCGAGGAAGTTAAAGAGATGATCCGCGATATCGAAGGGACTCTTTGTGACGAGCAGCAGCTATTCTCGTGGCAAGGAGTATTGGAAGATGGTAAGGCTTTATATAGTATCTTATGTGACTGTAATTAACATGTCCTAGGACGCACCTTGTCTGACTATGGAATCCAACAGGTATGCCCCTCATGATTTACGATCTATAAGCTTGCTGACTCTGAAATCTGTCCTGCAGTTACACGCAATACGCCTAAAGAAGCGCCCTCGAGCTGGTGATTCTCCCAGTGAAGCAGTGATGGCGGAGGAGGCTGCTCGGTCAAAAGCAGATCAAATAGCTACAGAGATGGCGATTGTCCCTGGAAGGTTAATTAAGGAGAGCCTCGTCGCTGATACCTTGAATCCGCTGTATTGGAATACCGAAAGGAAACTAGTTTTCAATTTTCACCTACTTGACGCCTCCACAACGCCGATGCTCGGTCTCGCTATCCCTCCCACTCCCATTAACCGGAAAACTTATGCGGAATTTGGGTACCCCTTCTTTGAAGAGTACGAGGATCTAAACGTTTGCTTACCCGACGAGAACCCGATTATTTGGCCAGAAATTGAGGGCTTGCCTCTTGGCCCAAAAGATTCCCCAAGAAAGAAGGCCGACAATCAAATGAAACATAGATATATCAGAGTGCTTAAGCTCAACAAAGTTGATAAAATGCCAGGGTTCTTTCCCGCAAAAGCTCTATAGATTCAATCTGTTCCCCTCAGGACATTGGGTGTGACAGAGTATGATCTGCGGAGAGATAGACTGTGCTTTCTGGTGCAGCGATGGGAAAAGGACATTTGGGTTTTGTATGCAATATCGTGGACCGTGGATTGTATAACATGAACAAGCGTGTATTACAAGCATGTCGATTTAAATACGGCAATTAAAACAAACTTCATTCGTAGCAGTAGCGTCAATTATGTTACTCCTTAGTTATCGATGATAAATAATTTTTCTCGATCAAATGTGGCACCGGGGCTTATGAGCATCTACTGAGATCCGTCATATACGAACAAGGTAACAAGTTAAAGAATTAAATGGACCTCAATATATTTTAATTCATTGAGATGACCCATAGTGGGTGAGCAAGGTGGCAGAACCTCCTTATCATATCCAACTTAAGTTGTCATTGACAATAGGCAAGTACTTATCATCTTTAGAAGAATTTCAACGTAATCATAGATTATCGTGTTTATTCAGGGTAATAGACAGAATATAGTAATTTTGTCAAGGCAAAAGAATAAATATGATGGATCGGGTTTGAGTGCTACTTATTGTCTTGCGCGGGGAGCCCCCAATATGGTCTTTATTTTTGCACTTCATAACTCTATGAGCGGTTGGCGAATGGCCAGGATTGGGCTCATGTTTTCACTAATTATCAGCATTATTCACGGAATACTGCTAGATTTGCTAATAAAGGGATTATATCGTTGGTCATTCATGGTAATCTGAAGCTCGTATTCGGGGAAGTTGTATGCGAAACACCATGGGCAAACTTTCTTTCAACATACAGCAGAACCAAGTACCTACCCCGCGATTGAGTGACCCTTAAAACGGCTGCGGTCGGGTGCAGAGCTGTATCATTATATGCATTATTAACTACCTCGTGCCGCGATTTTGACGCAGAGCCTGGGCAGTAGCACGCCGAAAGGCGGCGAACTCGGCGACGCATATTTAAGCGAATCATTGATAGATCACTCTCGATCCTTTTTCAGCCCTTCTTCCCGTCCCCAGATTCTCAATCCTCTTTCCAAACTAGCAATGAGACTAGTACTTACAGCTAGTTCCTGAAAGCTTACCCTCTCAGTCCACCAGTCCAACCAGCCTTCCGCTCTTGCACCTTCCTCGGGGTCCAGTAATCCCACACTCACGTCGATCACGCTCGGTCTGGCATCGTTGTGCCAGAATACAGTCGCTCCACAGACACTGCAGAACTCACGCATAACACCTGCTGACGATGAGTACCTCTTCAGCGTGCCAATGTTGAAGTCAAGAATTTTGCCGTTTTCTTTGAGTAAATTGCATTTCGGTACGAATGCCCAAGGCTGGATTTCGTATCCAGAGTTGAAACGACATGATGGGCAGGCGCACAAGCCTGCTACGTATTTCTTGTCATTGGCTCGTAACCACCAGCTCTCATTGTTTGGATTTGCTTCTTTTTTCTCGTGGAAGGGATACATCAAATCTGGAAATGATGATACTGCTGCTTTAGAGCCTTCGTCGGGTCTGCTGATGCTGAACTTCACTCCACCACAGTGGCACGCGGCTGTAAGTCTTGCATCCGTGCTAATTTCAGGCTTTATTGAAGTAGTTTGCGTTAAGCTCCCATCTGTTATTGGAGGTTCGTCGTCTTGGCCAGCCCAACTCTTAAGTGGTTTTACATTCCCGTCTCTACCCACGATATCTTTTAACCAAATCGAAATCCCACCATCGAGTGACCCTTCGGTGTACTTGCAACCCGTCCAATTCACGATACCCTCAGTAGATTCTAACACACCTGTGGTGATGGACCATCTCTTAGCAGCCTTCACTTGTGTAAGGACATGTGCACCACATGTGGAGCAGAAGTATCGGTCATGATTTTCCGTAATGGCATACTTCGTCAATTGGTATCTCGATGGATCAACAATATGATCCGGAGGTATAGGAATGTGGGATTGGCCACATGAGCCCGAATTCTTTCTGCACCGGTTGCAGATGCAGAGGGCACGATCGATTGGGAGAGACGACTGTGGATACTGTATTTGATACTCGAATGATTTGCAAGCGCATGCGGCGTTGACTGTGGTAGAAGCCATTCAGACTGAACAGCTGGGACCTCTTGTTGGAACCTCGAAGTCACGGACAAGGTTTACTAATGACAAAATGGTCAAATAAGTGAGGGGAAATCGAATAAGTCCCTACATATAACCTTATCTTCTGCAGCTAAGCGGGAAGAAGCATCCAATGGTAATGAACCTTTTCGTCCTTAGGCAGGGCTTCAATTGAAACTTGGAGTTCTACACGTGTTCCAGTTCATATGAGCTCGAGTAGTTCTACCGTGTGATTATTCTAGGATTTCTGGATATCGACGTCGACGGTCGAGGTCAACAATCCCACTCGCTTAGCAAGTGACAACCGAGATTAAGCCGGTCAGGGGTATCGAAGCTTTTCCAGCCGTACGAAAATTATCCGTCCATCATGCAGCTTCATCAACAAATCAATTCTTCTTTGACGGAGAAAACCCGCTTTATCGTTCCGTGATATCAATAAGGCTACAAGTTCAAGACCGGATACGAATTGTGCTCGGTGCCCTTTTGTTTGGTCCGCCAATCCCAGAACCGGTCTCGCTGAGTTATTTTACATAACCTCGGGTAGCCGTCAAAGGATCAAAACAACTCAGGTCGCAGCGGCTCAATTGCTTGGGGAACGCAAGGTGAGTGTACACAGCTGGCTGACTATGCATCATTGTCTTTCATTGGATCTTGGCCCAGTAGAAGTTCTCAATGACGCAGTTGAGGCTGGAACACCCTGAAGTGATGGTAGGAACATTTCAAACAACGTCAGAGCATCGCATCAAAAGCCTCATATTGGAGTTCCTATCTTGATGTAACATTCAGCATCATGCCAAATTGCCCTACCCGGCCGAAGTAGGAGAGCCTCGTGTCAGGAATGGTCAAATTTTCTATTTCCGAAAGATCCCCGTTTGTGCCAAGATATCAGAATAGCTTCTGAATGGGCGATTTTGATATTTTGGTGGGTTGTTCAGACCCCGGTTCGAGGAAGATGCGGCTTGCTTGATAACATCTGGAAACATCTATCAGTACATGGGTGAGGGAGGTATCTCGGATTCTTGCGTCAATTGATATATATATCTTCTGTCTGCCACTGCATATTTTGGATTCGAATCATCAACTACCAGTCTATACCTGTGACTTTCTCAGCTTTCTGAAGATTATCCTTTTTTCCTATACTATTTTGAAGCCCCTACTACATTGAGACAATATGTCGAATACGAATGAGCCCTCTGAGGTGCCAGTTCAGCGATTTGAATCCATCAATACTACAACATCACGACCACCTCAGCCATCAATTAATCGATCACACAGCAAATCCGAAGTTCAACATGCGAATACTCATGCATCTCAAAAGGAAGGACGAGATCCACGTCTTGATGTCAATCTACCATACCGGACTCTCACGTCCAATGCCAACATGTGCGAGTACACGGCGGAAAAGCCTACAGGAGAAATCGACGGCCCATTAGAGGCCAACGGAAAGGCTCGATATAAGCTTGTTACATTTACACCAAACGATCCGGAGAATCCCAAGAATTGGTCGAAAGCTTTCAAGTGGTATTGTACGATGGTGGTGGCATTGACCTGTTTCGTCGTAGCATTCTGTTCATCGGTTATCACAGCTGGTATTGTTGGTGTCGAGGAGGAATTCAACAGATCAGAGGAGATTGCTTTGATCAGTATTTCGATTTTCGTGGTTGGTTTTGGTCTAGGTACGTTAGCACCTAAACCTGTTGGAAGTGTCTTGTGCTAACGCTCGTCAGGTCCTATGGTCTTTGCTCCACTATCCGAAGTTCTAGGTCGACGAGTTATCTACGCCTCAACGCTTCTGCTTGCGGTAATCTTCATCATTCCATGCGCGGTTGCACCTAATATCCAAACCTTGCTCGTATGTCGTGCCATCGACGGTATCGCATTCTCGGCCCCTATGACGCTTGTCGGAGGCACCTTATCAGATCTATGGAAAACCGAGGAGCGTGGTATTCCAATGGCGGCATTCAGTGCTGCTCCATTTATTGGTCCCGCAATTGGACCTCTTGTCGGTGGATTTCTCTTCGACGCTGCTGGGTGGAGGTGGCTGTACTGGATCCAACTCATTCTCGCTGGTTGCGTTTACATCCTTATTACATTCACCGTTCCAGAGACATATGCACCTACCATTCTTGCACGCCGTGCTGCCAAACTAAGAAAGTCAACAGGCGAGTCCGACCATGTTACTGAGCAGGACCTCGACCTTCGTCCATTCACCGAGCGTCTCCGTGTCTTCCTCATCCGACCATTCCAGCTCCTCTTTGGCGAATTGATAGTTTTCCTGGTTTCGGTATATATGAGTGTTCTTTACGGACTTCTTTATATGTTTTTTGTAGCTTTTCCGATCGTATTTCAAGAAGGAAAAGGCTATAGCGCTGGTATCACAGGGTTGATGTTTATCCCACTAGCAGTTGGTGTTGTAGCGTCGGCATGCTGCGCACCTTGGGTAAACGCACACTATCTCAAAATGTGTCAAAAATATAATGGAGCTCCTCCGCCAGAAGTTCGACTCTTCCCAATGATGGTGTCGTGTTGGTTCATTCCAATCGGTCTTTTCGTCTTCGCTTGGACGTCCTACCCACATCTCATCTGGGTGGGCCCAGCGCTTGGCGGCTTCCCTGTTGGATTCGGATTCATCTTCCTCTACAATTCTGCGAATAATTACATTGTCGATTCATATCAGCACCAAGCTGCGTCGGCTCTTGCTGCGAAGACTTTCATTCGAAGTTTTTGGGGTGCAGCAGTTGTCTTGTTTACCGAACAAATGTACGCAAGATGTGGATACCAGTGGGCTAGTTCGATTCTAGCTTTTATCAGTCTGGCATGTTGCGCGATTCCTTACGTCTTCTACTTTTATGGAGAAAAGATTCGTCGTCACAGCAAATACGCATATAGTGGAGACGATGAAGAGACGTTGAAGACGAAGGACAGTGCCAATGAAGAGGACTTGCACAGAGCAGTGAGCTATGTTAGTACTCCTTAGTGCACATAAATTTGGCTGTCACAGTATTTTTGCCACGGGTTTTACGGTGTTGAGGGTGGCTTTTAGGTGTTGCTCGGTTTCCTGTACATATATATAAACATACCCCTATATCAATTATAATCAGTTCCACATTTCTAAAAATATTGAGAGGAATTTTGTTGATTACCTTTTCGGCTTGCGAAGCCTGATAATCTGATTGCGATCACAACTCAGTCAAAGCGAAGTGACTTCCCACCTTAAACACTTAAAGTTCCTCGTCTAACGTTCAGTATAATTCTTAATTCAGAGCGATGCCGAGACTGAACTGATCTGCGGCTACAAATATAACGTGAATAAAATTATTCCCACAGACGAAATCAATTCTTTGAGGTAAAGAAGAGTTTGAACAACTAATGCGTCAACATTTCTTAATCATTTGAGAAGTCATTGAAGATATACGTAGAAGAACACATTTCATCAAGTGAGTAGGATGAATCTCGTTGGTGGAGTCATGCTTTACCATGTTCCATCGGATGATTCACTGACTTTGTCTGAAAATTTCGCAACACATAGCAGACACATATAGCTTGAAATTGACCGTGTGTCGAACCAAATCCCAATTGTCGCTTAGATGTATCCACGTTTTCAGATCCAACGATTTCAAAACATAAAATCCAACAAATCATCTCGATCCCTCTTCAAACTAGCAGCAGCACTGCTATTCGCACCAATAGCACCATCCAAACTCCCAGAAGCATGCTCAGATTCAATATTCTGTCCAAACCCATCACTATTATTATGAATAACAAGCATTGCATCCTCCAGCTTCCTTCCGGTAGCTTTGTGACTCTCGGCAAACTTCGAGATATCGTATTGGTCTTTCTCGCCTTGGAACAATTCCGTGGTGCTTGCAACCAACACACTCTCTTGTTTACACAGTGCTAGCTTCGCTAATACGACAGCTTTGGTATCGGTGTAATCGTTGAAAGCAAATACCTTCATATTCGCGAACGTATTGTGATCAGATAAGACTCTCATTGCGGCTAACAAGAGTCGATTTAACAGGTCTGGTCCTATCGTGGCGGCGAAAATTGAGGCCGGATTGTACGTATATACGTAACCTTGAGGACACAGCGCTTCGAGTGCGGAAAACTCATTACGTGCTTGTTGAATTGCTGTGTTGATCAACAGCTCAAGTGAGATGAAGTCTCCGTACTGTATTTCGACGAATTTGTCAATCAGGGAGTCCCCTATCTCTGAGGACGAAGAAATGAGTTCCTCTAACAACGCAATAGCTTCTTCCACATTCAAAAGTCCCTTCGCTGCCGATCTTGGAGGCAGCCTATGATCTCTGGTCAAATGATAAACAAGATGGCTTCTCAACACCCGATCATACTGCCTCCTCAACTTCTCATCCTGTTTCTCATCCACCCCCAAAATCTCCCACTCTCCAGCGTCAACCCCTAAAAACTCCTCGTAACCAAGCTTGCAAACCGCCAACATAACCAGCTTGGTCTCGAAATCCATATGAATACTCGCACTCATCACCACATCCCTAACTAGCGTCTTGCCATTTGTAACCCCAAAATTACTGACGCCGTGACCATATTGATAGCGGTAATCCCCCACGATATGACAAAGTGGCACAACTGGGGTTACGAATGTATGGAGTGCACCTTCCATATCGGTGATTTCATCCTGGCATCTGGTCTCGAATTTTACTCCTAGGGCCGAGGTCTTTTTGCGGCGCATGAGATGAGCTGTCATGGAGTGAGGAATGAAGGAAGAGCTTGAGATTAGGGGTGGTGGGAGTTCGGCGGAGTTGTTGAGGTAGTGTTTGCGTGGATCTTTGTTCATTGGGATTGAGGAGGGGTGAGTTGTTGATGATGAGCATTTTAGCTCGATGGGTGGGATGCGTGAAGGTGGTGTTTTGAGTCTGTAATCCATGGTTGAGTATATTATCATGAAACTCAGAAAATTGTTGGTTGATGTATATTTTCTCAAAAAAATGGACGGAGGAATTGCTTGTGGTTGTAGGTTACGGTCTAGGAGTGTGAGTCAGGTAGCAACCTTCCAGATTGGGGGCCTAATGCGGCTGAGCAACCCCACGATCGCTATGTAAAAACTTTTTGATGACGAAATGTATATAAGCTGGAGTGAGAATTTTGAGATATTCTGCAGTGGAAAAATAAATAGCAGTCGAAACCGAAATGTTTTTTTGATGAGGTTGACAAAATATCGTGGAGCTCGTACTTCGTAATTCTTTTGTTATTTTAATAAGCTGCTTGTAGACCCTTTTGAGGCAACCTAGCAATTGAAAGTACGTAAAAAAACACCGAAATGTAATTTAACAGGATATACAGGAGGTACTGCCACTAATATCGTCCGTTACGAGAAATAATTTATGAAGATTATTGCATAAAGTCCTGTATCGTTATCATAAAATAATATCTCTCCATTTTGCTTCATTTTCAATCCAACTCGTGAATTTAAGTCCCTGAACGGTGTCAAACACCTACTCTAAAACACGCATAGACCCCCAAGCACTAATTCCATCCTGGAAATGCATATACTGTGCATGGTACTGTATCCGCTAAAAACAGCTCTTCCCATACGAAGAGTTGCCATTCCTCTCTCAGATGACTGTCAAAACCAAAGGTCATACTCCTTTTCCCATGAACTCTTAAGACAACATCCCCCACGGTGATAATGGCCAGTATAAAACCACGAACTTAGCCCAAAAGTGTATCCACACTCATCACGGAGATTTATAAGGGAGTCCAACAACGGGTGCCCTACACAGAACACAAAATCCTGATAGTACCAGTACCTAAATCTCCCCATTGGTTCCAGCCAAGATGACAGGAATTCGTTAGGCAAATTCAATGCCTTATTTCCATCAGTTCCTGACATCATGATTTTGAGCTTTTGTAGGTTTTTCATGGAGTTTAAAGTGCTCCACAGATAGCAGTAGTTCTTGGCTGCGGTAGGATCCCTTTGCGGTAAATCCGACTCCATGATGGGTATGCGCAAGTATAGATGAGTCAAGCTGTTCCAACCGTGAAGTGGGATATCTGTGTGAAGGCGGTAAAGGGTGAATTCTGAATCGAGGCTTATTTTCAGGAGCGCGAACAAAGCCGGTATGTACTCGTAGTATCTTCATAAATCAGCCATTGTTGTAGGGATTCCATTTTCAAGCTTTAAAATTACTCACATTTGACGGCATGTTGTTGCGATGTTGAGATTGTCCTGTAACAGCCTCTTCTGCTTCTTTCGTTCCTTTGTCAAGTATTTGCTCTTCTCTTTTTTCTTCGTTTTCTTGTCCGGTTTGCTAACTTTGACTTCAGGTGCACTGGTAAAAACATTCCATAGACCCCGGTGGTATGGCGAGGGATTGAAAGAGGGTCGTTGATAATTGGACCATGTTATGTCCCAGGGGTATTGTACAGAATCGGCGAAACAAAAAGCATAAATTTGATAACGAATGTCGAGAGGTAGTCTGCTCAGAAACAATGAATTGACCTGTGGGATAATGTCTTCGAATTCTACGAGTGATGATAAATGCGTTTGCGGGGTTTCGAACGACTCCTCTGGTAGAAAGCATGCGAAGTCGTGGCAGGGTGCGGGAAGTTTCTTGAATTTTGGTGATCTTCTCAACAACTGACATTGGCCTCAGTAACCTGTAATTATAGAAGAGCACAGCGCACATACCTTAAGCTTTAAATTTTTAATACTGATACAGAGGTCAAAGTACGCGTTCCTCCTGTGAGCTCGGCGTAACATCCGTTCTGTAGGCTTCTCGTATTGAATATCAATCATCCTGCTGGTTATAAGTTTCTCCATCGAGCCGCATCGGGGTAATTGCATAATGTCGGAGAGATTTGGAGCATCCTTAATAGAATAAGTGAGGAGGCTGGGTTCTGGATGAAAAGTGGTATTCGGCGAACGGTCACTGTGAAGTGGACCTTTTTCATAAGCAGTTGAATTGGCCTCGACTATCTCATCAGATATCGAAGTGAATTTTAACGTACTTTGGCTGCTAATCGAAAGTCTCGGAGCGGGTGAAGGAAAGAAAGGGACGAGTGCCCTCATAAATGACGGAAGAAGAGCTTACACTCATGACTCATCAGAGTCATCTTTCAACCGCGAGCAATTTGCGACATAAAATGGAGCATCGTGGTAATCCATTATTGAATTCGGAATGAGAGTCATACAACAAAGCTCCTGACAGGCCAAAGACTCAATGCGAGCCCACTAGAATAGGACCCCTCTCAACCGCTCTACGCCCTCTTCATCTTCGGCCAATAAGAAAGCCGGCTCCGAGGCAAAACTCCGAATAACTTCTCTTCAGTGGTCTTCCCATTGTGAATTTCTCCGATGGATGTGTCATTGTAGTTGGTTAAATGGAGTCCTTAAAGCAAGGCTTTTGTATTTGAACGAGTGGAGTGCTTTCCTTGACGTATTTTTCGCTCATACCTCAACGAAACACTTCCACTGATTCTCACACCAATCCCATAACTTCGCAGGATACCCCAAACCACCATCTTCAATAGAAATCATAGCTTTAATGAGGTCTCTCCTCGGACAATCTGAATCTGGACGAATCTTTCCCCATGGCACAACATAAGCACCATTATTTTCCAAAGTCAATCCCGGCGACAACCCAGCATACAATTCTGTATAAGCACCAAACTTTGCCTCGTATAATATCCGCTGGATAAGCCATCTGTACGCTGTGGGGTTTCCAGCATACGCATCTGTGTCCAAGTTTCCAGGATTTTGGATCACGCTCACGATACCGAGCTCGCCATATCGATGAGCCATTTCTCGGCCTAGCATCCATGTTGCTGCTTTTGAGGTGGAAAAGTTGAGTTTGAGATCCGGAGTTCCTTTGTCTAAGAAGTTGAAATCGATTCCGTTTTCTGGCGATGCTAATTCGGACATGAAGGATGATGTCCAGACGACACGGACTGATCCTGGGACTGGCGAAGCAGCGACGGCAGCGCGCAATTGTGGTATGAGCAACTGGGTAAAGTATTGAGTTGCGATACAATGCATTCCTATCATGCTCTCGAATCCCTGCACTGTTCGAGCTCCAACTTCAACTCGCTGAGCACCTGTGCCAGCATTATTCCAGAGAATGTCAAGTCTTGACTCCTGAGCCGCAAAAGTTTCGGCGGCCTTTTTGACAACGGTGAGATCATTCAAGTCAAAATGTAGAAATTTTACCTTTCCCTTTTTTGGGGAGACTGGATCGCGTGCTGTATCAAGTTGCTGGATTGCCTTATCGGCTCGTTCCTGATCAGTGAGTCAGCATTGATGAAATAAAAATTTGGTCATGGGCTGAAAGACGTCTAAGCAAGTGATTACCTTTGACCTTGAAGCCATATAGACCGTCGCACCTTTATCATATAGCATTCTACAGAGCTCAAAGCCTATCCCCGCGTTTCCACCAGTGACAATGAAGACTCGGCCATCCTGAGCTGGTATGTCATTTTCGGTGAAGGATGGGGCAGACGGAAAGAATTGAGAGAACATGCTCTGGAAGAACGACATGATTGCTGACCAATACTACGATCAATCTTGAAAAAGTTGTATGCCTAGATTCAGATGCTGCAGCTTCTCAGATATGGGACATGACATTCTAATACTTGTACCTAGATAAGATGCAACCATGACCTTACGTAAATCGCTGCAGAGATATGGTTGGTTATTATTTGGGGGCAGATTGTGGCACAGTACCTGCTAGTAAGGTGTCGTACTTGTACAGAAGTACCTAGGTAGCCGCCTACTGACCCCTCTGTATGCAAATTGCTTCCTATTAAGGCCGTATAGTAAGTCCCGATGTGAGGGAGCATATTCTGCAGATGTCTGAGAATCTGAAGGATATCATCTCATTTGACACAAACCCAATCTCTAACTTTTGATGCCATGCTGGCATACAAATCAGTGTCCAGTCAATCAGGTCACAGACAGAAATCCTTTTACAACATTACGTCGTGGCCGATATCGGCGACTGCTTATTCTTGAATTTACAAAGTAAAATCCCCTTGTGCTTGAATTTTTTTCTCTCCTCCTTGTTACAGGTACCCGACTTCAACATCAACATACCCACTACCGTTGACATGGCGACGACAAAGGTCTTGGTTCTTGGAAGTGGCATGGTCGCTCGACCATGCGTAGAATACCTCGTTCGCAATGCGAAAAATGAGGTCACCGTAGGTGATTATGCCGGACTTGTATTTCTTTTGGAGCCCTTTATTTGGACCTTTTTTTGACTCGTATCTGAACAGCTTGTCGAACACTCTCCACTGCGCAAACGCTCATCGCAGGGCTGCCCCATACCAAGGCCATCACCATCGACGTGAGCTCCACCAAAGCTCTTGATCCGCACATCGCGGCTCACGACCTTGTGATTTCCTTGGTTCCGTACGTTTATCATGCCACTGTCATCAAGTCAGCCATCAAGGGCAAAACGAACGTTGTCACGACTAGTTATGTATCACCCGCCATCAAGGAACTGGACACCGCCGCGAAGGAAGCGGGCATCACCGTCTTGAATGAAGTCGGAGTTGATCCCGGCGTGGACCATTTGTATGCCGTCAAGACGATTGCTGAAATCCACAACAAAGGCGGAAAGGTAAAGGAATTCTACTCTTATTGCGGCGGTCTACCAGCACCAGAATGCTCGGATAATCCACTCGGTTTCAAGTTCTCCTGGTCTCCTCGCGGCGCGCTCCTCTCTCAACAAAACTCTGCTATTTTTTTGGAGAAGGGGGCAGTGGTCGAAATACCGGCCCAGGAGCTTATGGCCAGAGCAAAACCATATCATGTCATGGATGGATATGATTTTGTTGCTTACCCCAACCGCAACTCCGTCCCGTTTCGTGAGTTTTATAACATTCCCGAGGCACATACCGTAATTAGAGGATCTCTGCGATATGAGGGCAATCCTGCCTTTGTTAAGGCCTTGATGGATCTTGGATGGCTGGATACCGAGAAAAAGAGTTGGCTGAAAGATGGATTGACATGGGCGGAAATATTGCAGAAAATCACAGACGCTGAAGCATTGTCCGAGAAGTGTGACATCGTTTCCAAAACATGAAAAACAAACACTTACTTATACGATACAGTTCCCTGACAAGTCGCATCAAGGAAATTTGCAAATTCACGAGCGAAGCTGAAAGTGAGCGCATAATCTCCGGCTTGCGGTGGATGGGAGTTCTCTCGTCTGAGAAAGCCACAATAACAGGCGGGAACCTTTTGGATACTCTTTGTGCTCAGTTAGAAAAACTCATGAGTTTCCAGCCTGGTGAACGAGACCTGGTGATGCTGCAACACAAATTCGTGGTTGAATGGGCTGATGGAAAGGAGGTGAGTTTCAATCCCGCACACTGCTCTTCAACAGATTCTCATGCTCATAACAAGGCTGTCTTCACATCTACGCTTGAACTTCTCGGAAAGCCTGGGGGATATTCTGCCATGTCGCTCTCCGTCGGGGTCACGTGTGGTATTGCGACGCAACTGCTGTTGGATGGACATCCGGCATTGAACGTTCCTGGTGTTCTTGCTCCGTACACCAAAGAAATATGTGATCCTATTAGGGACCTCCTTGAGCAAGAGGGTGTCAAGATGGTCGAAAAGCAAGTTTCTTAAATTGTATTTCAACGGTACTTGAATTCGTCATTCGCATTACAGAATCGTTCACTCATCATTGAGTATTCCAAATTACTTGACTCTCCTCATTGTAGGGGCATCAGGTGTCTCGCCGACACTGACGTTAACCTCTATTTCAATGGGTGGCAGCATGACTTTAGAGTCTGCAAGCCATGCCAATCAGACTGTGTTAGTTACTGCCCGACCCTGAGAAGTCCTGTGATCCGGATACTTTGGTCAGTGATTTTATTAATATTATTTACTTGTTAGTACTTGAGCATAGCTATAGAGCTATAAAGAGAGACTTATTAAAGAAACCTAAGAGGATTAGTTAGTAGATGTAGAGGCTGGGATTCATAACTTCTCTTAACTTCCTTGAGGTAGTATTAGTAATATAACTTAATTGCCCCTGTCGCTAGGTACTAATGATCTTCTGTAGGTGGTTCGGCTCAGCTTCGGCATCCTCTTATGTGGTTTCGGCCCGTCAAATCAATGGCCCCGGTTTTCGCGGATGCAGGGGAGGAAGCAAATCTTCTGCATCCAAGCAACAAGCGGAGGCGACACAACATCAAGCTTTCCAACTGCCTCACAAGCCTTTCCAAGAATCTAGCTAAAGCTGAGAATGCTTTTAGAGCTTGTATTGGAGCTCTTCCGCTACTACCGAGATGCTGTTTACAACCTTATATCATGATAATAAGTATTCGAATCTCGAAACGCCTCATAAGGAAACCTCGTGTTCGAGGACGTAAGCTTTTTCTGCCACGTAATGACGACGGACCACCGCTAGGCTCGAAGAACACTGGGACTGCTGGGATATATTCTCATGCCCATGATGCCATCTCCAGTTTCCATTCTATTTCGGTGTTTTTATCCACAGATGAAGTCTGTTTCAGGAACCGGTTGGATGGTAGTCGGATCAAGCTTTGAGAACTGGAGAAGCTATCAAGGGTTGATCCTCGTGCCGGCTGCCGTTGTGGGTAAGTAAGACGACGTCCGTAGTCGTAGTATTACTCGTAATTATTGTACGAGGGCCCTCTGTCTTTCTTTGCTTGTGTGTCGAGTGTTCATTTCTCTTTCCTGTCGTTATCGTTGTTTTGCCTTTTCTTTCCTTCAGGACCGTTCCTTTCAAGTGAGAGGAGAGTTTGACATCGAATTGGATTATTGAATCAGCTGTAAACTACTGTACGTATACCGAGACTTTAGACATGAGGGGGGCAAATGTCTTCAGCTATGGAGTCGCCATATGTACAACGTGGAATCAATTAGCGACAGCAGTGTCATTAGACATCACATCAGATTGTAAGTTTCAACCACTTGCTCATCAGGAATCTTCATTACTGCATTACTTAAACATTTTCTGACTGCAACAAAAGCCTCAATCAAATCCGCCGCAAGCACAATATCCTATGGCCTTATGAAATACTATACAGGAAACAATACGGGCGACAATCCCGGGAACCTTCCCGATCCGTACTACTGGTGGGAAGCTGGAGCAATGTTCGGTACTATGGTAGAATACTGGTATTACACATCTGATACAACCTACAATTCGGTAGTACAAGCCGCATTACTATCTCAAGTCGGCGAGGATTCGGATTTTATGCCTACCAATCAGACCAAGACTGAGGGAAACGATGATCAAGGATTCTGGGGAATGGCAGCTATGAGCGCAGCAGAGATGAAATTTGACGACCCTCCCGCCGGTGAGCCTGGATGGTTAGCCCTCGCGCAAGGAGTATTCAACGATATGGCGAGCCGCTGGGATGACAGTACCTGTGGTGGAGGATTGCGATGGCAAATCTTTACATTTAATTCGGGTTATACCTACAAAAATGCCATCGCCAACGGATGTTTCTTCAACATCGCAGCCAGACTGGCGGTCTACACGGGGAATCAGACCTATGCAGATTGGGCAACCAAAACATACGACTGGATGGACTCCGTAGGCCTCATCGGCGATGCCTACGAAATCTACGACGGTAGCAGCGACACCGAGAACTGCACAGTTATAGATCACGGTCGCTTTTCCTACAACCAAGGCATCTACCTCTTTGGCGCCGCCATGATGTATAACTACGTAAGTCCCCATCTCCATTTCCTCTCATCCATCTAACATCCCCAGACAAACGCATCCACCATCTGGCAACCTCGTGTCGCCGGTCTCCTCAACGCCACATCCGCCTTCTTCTCTTCCACCAAAATCATGTACGAGCTCTGCGAGCCCGCGCAAACCGACCATCCCACAGGAACCTGCGACACTGACCAACGCTCCTTCAAAGCCTACCTCTCCCGCTGGATGGCCGGCACCGCCAAAATCGCGCCCTTCACCCACGACACCGTGATGTCGTACCTACGTCCCTCCGCCGAGGCAGCAGCAGCGCAATGCGACGGCGGCACGGACGGCGTGACGTGTGGCGAGCACTGGACGGCGGGGAGTACCTGGGACGGGCTGTATGGTGTGGGAGAGCAGATGTCGGCGTTGAGTGTTATACAGAGTCTGTTGATTGATGAGGCGCCGGCGCTGGTGACGAATATGACGGGTGGAACGAGTGCCGGGAATAGTGCGGCGGGGAGTGGGAGTGATGATTCGAGTGCTGGGACGATTACGCCGGCGACGAGTGCGGATCGCGCGGGTGCTGGGGTGTTGACGGCGATTATGGTTTGTGGTGTGCTTGGGGGTGTGGGGTTTATGATTTCTGGATAGTGATTCGTTGAGGTGTTGTGTGTTTGACATTTTTTCTTTTGTATATGCTTCTTCTCTGGTATTGTTTATCAGGTCTTAGGGGGATACTTCGCTTAGCGTATGGTGTTTGGAGTTTTAGTTAGCACATCGTTGTATCTTATCAAACAAGCTCGCGGTGGCTAATGTACAATCGTGACACGATATATGTTCAATAAAATTAACACAATATCCTAATTTCGGTCCACAATCTTCCACAAGTAACGTCCAAGTTTGATATTTATCAATTCCAAAGCACCCGTGGGTATCAACATAAGTGATGGTACTCAGTGGACCTCCCGTCGCGCATCTCAACTCATATTCGACAAGATTTGAATGAAGATTCTAATATACCGAAGATTGTACGCAAACTGTAGTATATGTTGTCATATCCATTTTTGAACTCAATCAACGAAATAAACAACGTTGTATCACTTAGATGGCCACTTATTTTCTTTTGGGCGAGCAAGGTGCTATCGCGGAGGACAGAATAAGTGTCATACACACCTACCCACTAATCCTGGACTGAATAATAAGTCGACTTCGTATACAGCTTAAGAAATCCTATTTACTTAAAAAGATCTAACAGAATATCTTATATTGTTCCAAGTTACTTCACTAAGTACACGACATTTCGTCAACTGAATCGAAGAAATATCGTGCTTCGACTGCCACTTATTTTGTCCACCGCGAGCTAGGTACCTAGGTACACTTGACCCAGGGGCTAAGATAATAGGGTAACCGAATACTAGCTTACGCCAGAGGGGGTAATATTTATATATTTAGTCACTGAAAAATAACAAGTTTTAACGTTCACATTTCGGGAATGCGTAAATAAGAGGAGAATATCTATATTCCTGCTAACTGCTCAAGTACCTCTACCCTTGTGAGTTGCATCCAAGTTCAACATGAGGCTCAGTCTTACCTCCACGAATAATCTTGTTCCACCTCCACCTCCATTCCCTCATAATCATCTCCTACTACCACACCTCATCGATAAGTCTTTAAACCTAATTTCTTTAGCTTTTATTTATAGCTAACATGCTTTCAAAATGATCAAATACGGAGCTCAAAAAAATCAAGTTGCCCTGCCCAAAGTTACTATGCGCCTCGCTTGGTAATAAAATCGATCCTGAAGACATGTTAACTTCGCCAATCTCATTTATCAAACGCCCGAAACCCGAATGTGGTGATTTTTTGTCTCCAATTCTTATGATCAATTACTTCATAGTGACTCGCCACGCTACTGGAACTTGCCTTTAAATTTTATCAAGAATAATGAGTGATTCGTCGCTTTGTCGTTCGCTCAAGGCCGTCGTAGATCTACACTAGATGTCCGAGGAGAATCTATGCTCGGCCTTACGGAAGAGCTTGAACTTCGACGTCGGTGTTCTCTCTGATCATTGGGATTCGAGGGATGCAGCCCGGATTGGCGAGCGAATAAGTTGAGGATATCAGTCAATGAAATGACGCCTGTCAATCGACCTGAGATGCGAGCACCCGGCAAAGCAGCAGCAGAAACAGCTGGAAATGAGCCATGGAGCGCAGGTGAAGCAGGGTTTGAGTGTAATGGCGAAGCCAACATCGCGTGACCCATTGAAGGCGTTGAAAGAGGAGTTGCGGGTTTCGAAGGAGATGGTGATGATGATTCGACAACCCACATCCGATGCGATCTTGTTGCGACCAATTTTGCGACGGTATGAGCCAAGGTAGAGTAGGGGCTGACATGAAAGACTATAAAAAGGGGTTAGGAGCAGTACAGTGTTGCAGGAGAACTGACATACCTGGGAAAGAGTCCTTTCCATCACCAATACCACGTTCAGACAGGATGACTGAAACAAAATGAATGCAAGTAGATTTTAGCAATGGTAGACTAGCCGAACTGGTGAGTAGCTTGACATCTGCTGTTGATATGTTTCCGACGACATTTGATGCATTATCTACGACTGGCACACTGGTAAGACCTTCGTTGCTCATCAGTTGGAGCGCGTCTGTCAAGGGTTTATCGCCACTACAATCCAGATCAGTATCAACTATGGGAGAATGCCTGAACCAACTTACTTGATTGCGATAGTCGACGGCGTGCCAATTCCTAAATCTTTGAGAATGCTTGGATACAGTTCATCGATGGTTGCAAAGCTGCTACCATTATCCCACAGAAACTTAACCACCTTCAATTGACTGAGGATTCCGACGACTTCAGATCCATCCTCCTTGTATATCAAAATGCGATGTACGCCACTTCCGAAATGTTCAATTGCTTTTGACAGATTGTCAGTCTCTAGCAGTTTTACAAGGGGCTCCTTCTTTGCCAAATGCTCCGTATCTTTAAGTGGTATCGGTGTTCCTTCTTGCGCTCTTTTCGCGATGGAGTCGAAATCGGCCAATTGACTCTGATCTGGATTTGCCAACCCAACCACAACCAGCAGATACGCGTTCAGATCGCTGTAATCAAATGTCCCGCACGCGACCGTGTCCGTAGGCTTTTCTCGTAAAAGGATAACATTGGGAGGTCCAGACTTGATCAGCAGCTAGAGTCGAATTAGCATGCTCTAAAGTAATAATGATTTGAGATGGAAACTCCATACCGTTGTAGCAGTTTGAACATCGGTATCTAATTCTGCCCATCTTACTTCCTCCTTGACCACCAACTCCCCCACGCGGATGTTCCTCCAATCTCGCCCAGCAAACTTCGGATCGCCGGTACGTGTAGCAGGTGGATGGTTGATCAGCTCCTGGACACCAGCTTGAGTAAACGATGGATGTCTTTGAGACCTTGGAGAATGGCGTAGGTTATCTGCGAAGCTCGATCGATGACTTATTGTCTGCAGAGTCTTTGGACTGGCCGTGTTGTTACGCGCAGGCACCTCCGCTGGAGTGACAGGATCGGTCATGGTGGATCGGCACGACGCACGAAATTGAATGTCAGCAAGGCTGTGGAAGGGTGCGACAGATGGATTGAATGACTTGATGAAGAAAGATGAGCTTGGTCGCGATTGTAATGAAGATGTAGATATTTGAGGAGAGCAGTCGATGACCAGCTATGAGGTAGAAGCGAAAAGCGGCACTCTTGCTCAAACCTAGTGATAAAGTTATTGGCGTGGTGGTGAATCCAAGAATCGCGAAGTCGTCTCTGATATGAAGGGGCTTGGGGATATTTGTAGTTCAAACTGAAGCTGCTGGATCATTAATCAGGTAGGTTGATCTGGTCATTAAACCAGTTGTTGTGCAAAACTTCTACCTTGTCTAAATTGCAGTTTATTGCATTTCAATGCTCCACGACCCCGCACATTACGAGGAAGGGGAAGTTTCTCAGGGTCCTGCTCCACTACCCAGCCGACAAACATCCAGTGTAGTCAACAGGTGCTGGCAGAGAGGCCGTAAACGTTTGATAGTAGCAAATAGAAGCAATTACGATTGATGGATTGACAATCGTGATTCTACTGAAGTGTTGTTTTACAAAGCAATTGTGTATCTCCCTAGGTAGATACCCAGGTAATCTTACCTACCTAGATATTGTTGTCCCATTCCTGCCTTGGCTCGAGTTTGGGAGGTGAGTTTTTGACTCCGATACTGAGAAGTATATATTTCCCATGAGGAGATATACCATTACTCACTTCAACATCAAAGAATCTAGTGAAGAGTGCGAGTAGTAAAATAAAAGTAAACAAATGGAAGTATAAATTACCCCTCATACCCCGCGTTACTCGTAAGAACCATGCAATCGAAACCTATGAAACTAGCTACCCTCGCGGTGGACAAATAAGTGGCAGTCGAAGCACGATATTTCTTCGATTAAGTTGACGAAATATCGGCATTTAGTGTATTAACTTGAAACAATATAACTTATTTCGTTTAATTATTTTAAGTAAATAAGACTTCTTAAGCTCGGTTCGAAGTTGACTTATTGAGTCTTAAAATTAGTAGGTAGGTACTTAACTGACACTTATTTTGTCCTCCGTGAGCTACCGTAGGTAGGTAGTATGTTCCATGTTCAGTGGTAAAGCATTGCTCAAAATTGTGAGTCTCTGTACCACTTGCAGGAAGCCTCGATTATCTGAATAAAGAGAGGCGAATATGGGCTTTGATATTGAAGAATGTTCATCTGAAATCTACCCGCCGTTCATTAGTCGGTTGCCGCCGCTTGTCACGCGGCCCCTACACAAAGCGAACGCGAGAGCCCAGCCAATCATTCCGACGGGCCTGTCGACCATCGAAATTTATTTTGCTGGCATCCATCGCCGCACTGCCAATTTATCCCCCCACCACAACCGACCACACGCGTTATTCTTCTCACCGCGACCTTGATGTTACTTCCAGCGCACTCCTCCAAATCCAATACTTCACATTCGAGCCTGCGCATCGTTTTCGCCAGCATTTATTTCTTGGAAACCCCGAAGCTGCGTCGTTCTTTGTAGTGTGCGAAACAATCTCTGGCTAGGGCGCTCTGCGCATGAACGCCTACCTCCCCACCAAACGCAGTCAACAACGACCTTGTTTTATTCAACAATAACAAATAGACGCAAGAATGTCGGTCCTACCAGCAGAAGTGCACACAGAACTTGTGCAGTTACTGGATGCCCTGCAGTCCGCCGAGAACTCTGTGCGATCAACGGCAGAGGAACATCTCGCCAACAACTGGGTTGCAACAAAGCCTGATATGTTATTGATGGGCCTGGTAGAACAGATACACGGATCGAACGATACAACGGTTAGTAACCACAAATCAGCCATATGTTGGAAGATAATGGGAGCCAGGAAGATTAATGCTAATTCTCTACGCTTCCTCTAGACTCGCTCTTTTGCTGCCGTTATTTTCCGTCGTATCTCGTCGAAAACACGCAAAGCACCCAACGGCGACAGCGTTGAGCTCTTTCTCTCCTTGCCCCAAGAGCAAGCGTACGTTATCCGCCAGAAACTTATTGAAGCCCTTGGCGCCGAAACGACGAACAGTGTAAGGAACAAGATTGGAGACGCGGTAGCAGAGATCGCTAGACAGTACTCAGAAGGCAGTGAGTTCTCCGTGCGGTGTCGCATTTAGCAACATACTTGGGGTTTAGGAAGTGCTGACCAGAGATAGAAGAGCAATGGCCTGAGATTCTTGGCGTACTCTTCACTCTTAGTATATCGCAAGAAGTTGGCCAACGTGAAATTGCCTACCGCATATTCTCAACCACTCCTGGCATAATCGAAAAGCAACACGAAGATACTGTGCTCTCTGCATTTACTAAGGGTTTCAAGGATGAGGATGTTTCTGTGGGTACTGACTGTATAAATATTGATCATGTCTCTAACTCGGTCATAGGTGCGCCTGTCAGCAATGGAGGCTTTCGCTTCTTTTTTCCGAAGCATCTCGAAGAAAGCCCAACAAAAGTATTACGCGCTCATTCCAGAAGTTCTTAATATCTTGCCTCCAATCAAGGAATCTCAGGAGTCGGAGGAGCTCACGAGAGCATTAGTATCACTGATTGATCTTGCTGAAATCGCCCCCAAGATGTTCAAAGAATTGTTCAGAAACTTGGTAGCGTTTAGCATATCTGTGATCCAAGACAAGGACCTTAGCGACCAGGCACGGCAGAATGCTCTTGAGCTGATGGCAACCTTCTCTGATTACGCGCCGGCTATGTGCAAGAAGGACCCTACATACACCAGCGATATGATCACCCAATGCCTTAGTCTGATGACGGACATTGGCGCTGATGATGATGATGCAGCGGAGTGGAATGCGTCAGACGATGTAGGTAGCTCAGTTCTGAAAGTTCGAACAGCAGCTGACAGCAAGTAGATGGACCCTGATGAGAGCGATTTGAATCATGTTGCTGGAGAGCAATGCATGGACAGACTGGCCAACAAGCTAGGCGGACAGACAATCTTGGCGCCCACGTTCAGCTGGCTTCCTCGCATGATGAGCTCCGATGCTTGGAGAGATAGACACGCCGCTTTGATGGCTATTTCAGCTATCTCAGAAGGCTGTCGAGATCTGATGGAGGGTGAACTCACTCAGGTCCTGGAGTTGGTTGTACCCGCTCTTCGGGACCCTCATTCTCGAGTGCGATGGGCGGGGTGCAACGCACTCGGTCAGATGAGTACTGATTTTGCTGGTACTATGCAGTCAAAATACCACTCAGTAGTTGTTCCTGCGATCATTCCCGTCCTTAACTCACCAGAACCCCGAGTTCAAGCACACGCAGCGGCAGCATTGGTCAATTTCTGCGAAGAAGCAGAGAAGGAAATTCTGGAACCTTATCTCGATGATCTGCTAACTCATCTCTTCCAACTCCTCCAAAGTGAGAAAAGATATGTGCAAGAGCAGGCTTTGTCGACAATAGCGACCATTGCGGATTCGGCGGAAGCTGCGTTTGCCAAATATTACAGCACTCTCATGCCACTTCTGTTTTCCGTCCTCCAACAGGAAAATACTAGAGAGCTTCGGCTGCTTCGTGCAAAGGCTATGGAATGTGCGACTCTTATTGCCCTTGCAGTCGGTAAAGAGAAACTGGGCGAGGATGCCAAGACCCTTGTAGAGTTGCTTGGGACCATTCAACAAAACATCACCGACGCGGACGACCCTCAAGCTCAATATCTAATGCATTGCTGGGGCCGAATGTGCCGAGTCTTAGCGCTTGACTTCTTGCCATGCCTTCCCACCGTTATGCCTCCATTATTGGAACTTGCTAGCGCAAAGGCTGACATTCAGCTCCTAGAAGATGACGAACAAGTTGAATCAGTCCAACAAGAGGATGGCTGGGAGCTTGTGCCATTGAAAGGCAAAGTTATTGGCATCAAGACCAGCACACTGGATGATAAGCACATGGCAATTGAGCTTCTCGTTGTCTACGCACAAGTACTCGAGGGCCATTTTGCACCTTATGTGGCCGAGGTTATGGAAAAGATCGCACTCCCTGGCCTTGCGTTCTTCTTTCACGACCCAGTCCGTGTCGTTTCGGCGAAATGTGTCCCGCAACTTCTTAATTCGTATAAAAAGCAGTTTGGCATTCCATCATACGAGGTTTCGCAATTATGGGGCATTACAATTGAAAAGCTCCTGGAAGTTCTGAGCGCCGAACCTGCCGTTGACACCCTCGCCGAGATGTATCAATGTTTCTATGAGTCTGTGGAAGTGATGGGGAAAGGCTGTTTGACACCACTCCATATGGACACATTCATCGACTCCGCACACTCAGCACTTGAGGATTATAAGGACCGTGTAGTTAAGAGAGAGGATGAGCGCGCAGATGTGAACAAGGATGAGGGCGAGGAAGAATCCGAAGAGACATTATTCGCTATCGAGGACGACCAAACCCTGCTCTCTGATATGAACAAGGCTTACCACTGCATTTTCAAGAATCACGGCGTTGCTTTCCTTCCCGCTTGGCAGCGACTACATGCAACGTATGATGCTTTCTTAAAGAGCTCGGATGCTACACAGAGACAATGGGGTTTGTGTATCATGGACGATGTCCTCGAATTCTGCGGAGAGCAAAGTTGGAACTACAGTCAAGCGATTATTGAACCACTGGCAACTGGTTGCAGAGATCCAGCCCCAGCGAATCGACAGGCTGCTGCATACGGTATCGGAGTAGCCGCACACAAGGGTGGTCCACAATGGTCGCACTTCTTCCGCCCTGCTGTGGATCTACTCTTCCAAGCTACGCAAATGCCTAATGCCCGAGGCGACGATGATGTCTATGCGACGGAAAATGCATGCGCAGCTATTGCTAAAATCCTTCATTATAACGCCTCCGCCGTTCCAAATACCCAGCAGGTCATTGTGCAATGGATTGATACTCTACCAATCATTAACGACGAGGAGGCGGCTCCATATGCTTATGCATATCTTGCTCAGCTGATTGACCAGTAAGTTTACATGCGTGTTTAAGAAGCTCTTTGTCGACCTAACTGACTGTTTGCTTTAGACAAAATCCGGCTGTCATGAGCCAAGGAGCAAAAGTATTCATGTTCATTGTTCAGGCTTTGGAAGCCGAGACTCTGACAGGCAATACGGCAAGTCGGGTCATTGCAGCAACAAAAATGCTCCTCAGCAATGTCGGTTTGAACCCGGCTCACCTCCTATCCCAAATGCCCCCCGAAACTCAACAAATAGTCCGACAATATTTCAGTTGATCGTACGTTTCCAGGAGAATCCATCCACGATAGCAGGAGGCAGTCTTAACAGAAGTTAAGACGAACCCTTAAAAAGGGTTCAAAGGACGAAGACGTTGGCCAGGACATGTAAGCTGGGAATGGATGTCCGACGGCAGGCTGATGAATTTGATACCACATGCGTCCCAGGCGGTCTTTTTGTGGGACTAGGAAATACCTAGATGATTTGGCATAGTGGACTATGTTTAAGGGACCAAAATTGGTGGTGGTGTGTTGGTGCACACATCCCTGGCCATGTCATCTGCCAGGCGGAGCGACGAATAGATAGACTTATTAATGCCTGACGGAATTTCTGATGAATCTAAAGAAGAATGAAAAGCGAGCCATGACTTTGAACAGACAGATTTGCTTGGTGACCTCCCGCTGTATCTTTTGCTGTTTCTGACTGAGGCGGTGAAGTCCCGTCATGGTGGTAATGTACGCGGGTCTCTTAAAAAGGTCTAGATCAACGCCCTCCTATGCTTGCTCCCTTTTGTTTAAAGAGGAATTAGATCTATGGATGCTTTAAGGCGTAAAAAAAAGGATACAAAAATAACAGAAACGACATATACGCATCCATTTGTGCTATCCTACTTTGAAAATTCTTTAAATTGAAAGATCATGCTCGTTGGAGGTCGTCTTTCGAAATATGCTGAAGGCTAGCAGAGCTGCCCAGAGATAAGAGCGGTTCACCCAAACAACACGGCCAACGTCCAGCTTACGTCAAGCTGGCTTTCCAAGATGGCATTTTGAGAATGCGATACCATGGATCGTTCCGTGCTGCAATAACCCACCGTATGACCACACCGACCGAGTCCCCGAAAGCTCCAACTACGTATGGTTCCAGAAATCGTCTGGATTTAGCCACCGACGGACGCAGCTAGTGAGGAAGGGTTTGTGACTAGATTTTGATGGTCGGGAAACGTGGTCTAGCAGCGGTCGAATTATTTTCCATGAAAGCGTGCGCTGCTTGGCTCATTACAAAGAGGCTACAGCTACGAGTATCTACCTAGTAGCTATTCTTCGAACCGCGCTAATCGTCCATAGTCACCTTTCATCATTTCCCGCACTCGCATACGACTCCGTAGATCCTCCACATGATTATTTCCGCGAATAATTCGACCACGACGACGACAACTCCAACCCTCGTCGCTCCGAGAGACAGCAACACAAGCCGCGAGCTGCGCTTCTTCTGATCTCCTCGCGCCCAGGGATCTTGTCCCACACCGGCTTCACACTGCGGGGTCGAATATCCTATCATCCTCGTCGTACCTCAAGCCTCTTTCAAGCCTCCATCAAAAACGCAGCAGGCCGCCCTTTCGGGACTGTGGTCGCACCCGGTCGGCGAATACTTATTTCAACGACACTCGCGAGCGGATTCCGCCCACTCCTTCATCTCGTCGTCGTGCTCTTCTAGGGGCTGATTCATACGACCGACCAAAGACGGCTGCGAGAACAGCTGTCGGCGTGTGTTCGCACCAGCTGTTGCGCATTCGCCCAGAGCGCACCACCCGGTATATCTTTTGTAAACGCACATATCGAGCCGCGATAGTGGCGAGCCGGAGAAATCACCATTGGACGACAAGTATATCTCGCAGGCCAGCCAGCAGGCGTTGAGCAACGTTACGCAAGACTCGTAAGAGTCGTGGCGGTCTTCAAGAGACCTGTCAAAAAATAGAAACCAGGACAAATAGCGCCGGATCCCTCTCTGTTCGATACAACCCACTAGCCTTCGATGTTCTCGTTCTTTGCCCCATGATTCGAAATTTCCGCCAGTACATACACGACGATCGAGGCAGAAGGAAAGGGCAGATGTGGGAACGATGAACGATTTCTTTGGAACGACGCCGCTTTCGCAGCAGGACTTGCAGGCTAGGCTTGCACAGAGGAGAGGTCAAAATGGCCGTCTCGCTCGTACTATGAGCATGACAATGCTCCCGCAAAATACATCACCGCAGCAGAACAACAATGGGATGGGAGTTGGGAACTTAATGGGTGGTGATTCGCTGGACGACATCATCATGCAAAATGATATGGAATTACACCGGCGTCAAAGTATGCCACAAGGCTATCAGGAACCGGATCACAGATCCTCCATGATCGAGTTTGGGTCAGGCGATGGAACGTTGAACGGTTATCAATTTGGCGTACCTACGTCGGCTGCACCCGACCCTCACTTGCGGCGGCAGTCTTCTGGTGAATTAGATATGCGTGGAGCTTACCAGAGCATGAACTTGGGCATGGGTTTACCTGATCAACAGATGGGGTTTTCGTCGTCAATGGAGCCATCGAACTCTTTGATTCTTGACACGGGTTCTGGACAATATGGAAGAATGTCTGGGGACATAGGGCATTTAATGGGATACGACGCGCTTGGCCTAGATGGAATGTCTGAAGAAGACCATGCCATCAGTATGTTCTCATCCCCGACCTTCGCTCAAGGATTTCCGACTGGGAGCATAGATGGGCTATCACACGATTTCATGCTGCCTCATGAAGAAATTGCACAACCTCAATTACAGTCGCAAACCAACGGCTTAGACGGCAGCCAGAGTGCCACTAGCATGATGCAAATGCTGTCTGGCAGCACCCCTGGACTAGCAGTTCCGGATGGGAACATGGTAACTTCACCTATCAAGATGATGGATCAAAACAACAACGTAAACTCATACAATAACTCTCCTGCAACCAGTAATGCGCCTACGATCTCAAGAGCCAATTCTTCCACTCTAGCGACAGGAGGGGCGGTATCTACGCCCAATGGCCCTGCCCCTCCGCCAGTTGCCGCACCAGGGAAGCCAGCACCAAACTACACCGGCGTATACTCTTCCAGTGGTTTTGATATGTTGGGAATCTTGATGAAAGTCGCAACGAGAAAGAATCCAGAAATTGACATAGGCAAGGTCGATATGTCGTGCGCCTTTGTTGTTTGCGACGTAACCATGCCTGATTGTCCGATAGTGTATGTATCTGATATATTTGAACGACTGACGGGATATAACAAATTTGAAGTAACGGGCCAAAATTGCCGGTTTTTGCAATCCCCAGAGGGCAAGGTCCAACCTGGACTCAGAAGAGAGTTTGTCGACAACGACTCTGTCTACTACCTCAAAAACAGAATTGCTGCCAAAAAGGAAGCTCAACGAAGTCTAATCAATTACCGCAAGGGTGGCCAACCATTCATGAACCTGCTGACTATGATTCCCATTTGTGGAGAAGATAGTGACGAAATCAAGTACTTTGTTGGATTCCAAGTCGATTTGGTTGAGAAGCCAACTTCTGTCGAGGGTAAAAATCCTAGCGGTACATATACCGTTGATTATTGCCAAGGTACCTTACCAAGATATATCTGGACGCCTCCGGAATCTGCCAAAAATCAGTCAGATGCAGGGCAAACAATTAGCCGTGATGATGTGTCAACTGTCCTGAGTTCCATAAGCACCCATACTGAGTCTGAATTGACAAAACGAATGTGGGACAAGGTATTACTGGAAAACACTGACGACGTCGTCCATGTACTTTCATTGAAAGGACTGTTTTTGTATCTTTCTCCCTCTTGTCGACACGTTCTCGAATACGATTCTTCCGAACTTGTTGGAACAGCATTGTCATCGGTTTGTCATCCCAGCGACATCGTTCCAGTCACAAGAGAGTTGAAAGATACATCTACTGGTGCCTCAGTCAACGTTGTCTTTCGGATACGACGTAAGAGAAGTGGCTATACTTGGTTCGAAAGTCATGGCTCCCTTTGCGTTGAGCAAGGAAAAGGTAGAAAATGTATTATTCTGGTTGGGAGGGAACGACCTGTCTATGCTTTGGCGCGCCACGATGTTGAAGCTGCTGGAGGTATTGGCGAAAGCGAAATGTGGACAAAATTGTCAACGTCCGGCATGTTTCTTTTCGTTTCCTCGAACGTTCGAACACTTTTGGACCGAACACCAGACGACCTGGTGGGGACGAGCATTCAAGTACTCATGCGGGAATCATCCAGGACCTCATTTGGTCGATCGCTGGAGAAGGCAAGACGTGGTCAACGCGTCACTCATAAACATGAAATTTTAAACAAACGTGGTCTCGAATTGCAGGCGCAAACTACACTTTATCCTGGCGATGCGGCAGAGGGATCGAAACCAACATTTCTGGTGGCGCAAACACGCTTGTTAAAGTCCCGGAGCGTACTCTCCGCCGCACATAGCTCTAGCGCGAAGTCCATTGTCTTGTCGCAAAACCATTCCGATCAATCAATACCGATGACACCCTCTGGTGTATCTTCATCGCAAGATCAGGAACCAGGTGCAATTGGAGTTCCATTGGGTCCAGTGACTATCGCTGGTGGTGGTGGACTTGCTATTGGCAGTCAAGACTCCGCCCTCGCATCCGAGGACAATATATTCAGTGAGCTTAAGACTACACGATGCACAAGCTGGCAGTTTGAGCTCCGCGATATGGAAAAGAAGAACCGATCTTTGGCAGAAGAATTGCAAGCTCTGATAACAAATAAGAAGAAACGAAAACGGCGCAAGGGAATTGGTGGAGGCCAACGGGACTGCGCCAATTGTCATACCCGAGTGACACCTGAATGGCGGAGGGGTCCTAGTGGAAATAGGGATTTGTGCAACAGTTGTGGACTGCGTTGGGCAAAACAGGTGAGTCGCAGTAATTCTGAAACAAGTAGCGATATCCCGCTACCTCTGACGTGTGGCGTCTCCCGGTCACATTCTTCAACATCTCGAAGTTAGAGAGTGTTAGATGTTCTTCGTCATGTTTCTTTCGCCATCGCCTTTGCTTTGTTCTGTTCTTGTTTATTCGTTTTCAGAGACTGGTATCTCTAGAAAACGCACCACGGACCAAATGTGTCTCTCGAAGTCTTCGAAACCTTATAGCATCTCAAAGCTAACGACAGTCTGTTGTTTGGCCGATTTGCTGGATCCGCTGTGTATTTATACCCTCATGCTCGTGCGCTGTTTGATTGTCGCCCAAGATACCCTGTCGCTTTTAATATAAATTCGACTATTGCTGTTCTATGACTATGTCACAATGTCAGCACTTTCTTCATTGTCAATTTCCTTGTATCCCTTAATCCACTCCTGCTTGCCCCCGTCAAACTGCTATCATCGTTGCCTCCACCTTGTATCTAATCATTATTCTCCATCTAGACTGGTCGTGTTTCCCCTAGGAATTCGACTCGAGGAACCGACAATGGATCCAAAAACTCTGCAAGTCCGAAATATGGTTCTCCGCAGCACAAAATTAGTCCTCTTCAACAACAGCAGAGCTTAAGCAATACGCGAAATCTCAACCCAAACCCGAAAGAGAATGGAGTAGACATGAAAGGTGGGCTGGACGATGGGGGGATAGAGAAGGGTGCTGCGAAGCCTGAGTTGCTTGGGGGTAGATCTACGGCTGATAGTATGCCTGTCCGTGAACCGAGCTTTGGGTTTAGGGATGGTGGACAGCGGGGGATTACCATGATTCAAGAGGAAGATGGCGGGAGTTAAATGCTCTGAGGTTTCCATCATTCGATATACACATTCTTGGACGCGCTCATGTTTCGAAATTCAGCCGCCAACGTCCTCCTGACTGCCTCAAAAGACGATCCAGACATGGCAACATGTTGGGCGTTCGAATCATTTTGGCATTCGACATTATCGAAGCAGTAGAGGCGACTGCACGCCACGCGCCAAGAAGGTTACGCCCTGTTGTTTGGCATAATCAGTTCCGACATAAGGGATTTCTTGTTCATACCTTGACTACGCACCTACATGCGACCAGCATCATTCATGGATTTTGGATTATCGGGGGGTCACCTCCCTTCCGTCAAAGAAAAGGAGGGTTTTATCTGTTTACAAGGCGGTTCTCATATGGGACGTTGATTTGAATATCATTTTTGGGTGGGGGTGGTTTGGTCTTGGCTTACATTGGCGTTTATGGCGGAGCCTAGTGGGGAATGCTTGTTTATATCATCTTTTAATTCTGGGGTGGATTTTTTTGGGGTGGCAAAAGTGTGGGAGTGGAATTGAATGGGGCGCGGGACGAGAATGGAATATATTGTTAGCGTTTGTGGTGTAAATAATGCGAGTTGGAATATGTTGAGTTAGGCGGTTGAATAAATTTGATACAGCTCATGTTGCTATTGTGTAGGTGTGATGATATTGTAGGAACGGAGCGGTAGATGGCGGTATTTGAAACACAGAGCAAAATTTTGTAACAAGTTATCTCTCTGTATACATTCACCGCACAAAATCAGGGGACTACATCTATGCGTGCTATGGTATTTAAACATAATTCCCCATGTACTGTAAGACATTCGTGCATGTAAGTGATTGGGACTCACTCCTATTTCGTGTCAGCAAATCGGAGACTTTCTACCCTACAAGAAAGGGTTTGATAATTGGAGGATGTCATGTGTATCGAGTTCAAGTATTCAAACGGCGGGATTGTAAACAGAAGTTCGAATGATAAAGCTGAGCTAGATATTGTGTTATCTATAGGATTCGATAATCTTGTGGATCTGTAAATTTAAGGGGCTTAGAAGGTATTGATGTTGTTTTAAGTAGAGAGTTTATTATATGGGAGAAGATGCTTAATAAAGAGAGGGGCTGGTTTTATGGTTTAGGGGTGTTTTGTGTGTGAAGATCTAGTGAGGATTTTGCTACACAGTAGCTCGAGGGTTCAAGATACATGCGTATTAGCAAGTGGGATCCAATGAAACTATTTTGACTAAGGAGTTCGTTCTACAAGAAAAGATGACTTTAAAAGGGATCAAAATAGCTGTATACCATAACACATAGTACCCATCGTCTCGCATCCATTCGTATCTCAATTCCATCACAACCACCCCAAGAAAAACCAAGTCATCTACTTCTTCTTCCCCTTCCCCTTACTACTCGATCCCATAGCCGCCTCCCTCCTCTTCGCCTCCCTCGCGTCAATCTCAGCCTTCTTCTCCTTCTCCGCCTCATCCTTCTCCTCTTTCTCCGCCATCTTCCTCGCAGCCTCCTGCTCCCTCTTCTCCCGAATCAACTTCAGTCTTGCCAGATCCGCCTTGGCCTCGTCGGTCTTTCCCGCCTCATGCAACTTCTGATACCGTTCCTTAGCCTGCTGTGCCTGGATCGCCTCGCGTTCGCGACGACTGAGTTCCGCGGCTGGTTTCTTGCCTTTTCCGCCTACGGACATATCCTTGACTCCTTCAGTCGCCTCTTCGACTGCTACTGGGGCAGCTTTGGCTTGGTTGCGCGCGGCTTTGGAGTGGTTTGGGTTCGCTGGCATGTCGTCTTCGTCGTCACTTTCTTCTTCCGAGGAAGATGGCATGTCGCCGGGTTGGGGGACGCCCTTCTTTTTGGCGATGGCGGCTTCTTTTTTGGCTTTGGCGGCGGCACGGCGCTCTTCGCGGGTTAGGGAGGGCTTGTTCATGTCTTCTTCTTCGGATGAGGATTCTTCTTCCTCGGACGAATCTTCTTCGGATGATGAGGCGTCGGCATTGCGGTCTTGGACTTCGTTTCCGTCGGCGTCGAGGGGTCGGAGGTTACGAGAGAAATGCTTGCCGCCTGGATGGAGTTAGGAGCGGATCTTGAGAAGTAGGAATGTTGTTTGGGGAGGAGTGGGTAGGAACTTACCTCCTCGTGTGAACTTCTTGAATTTACCGCCTCTGCCACGGCCGGCTGCACCTGGTGGTCCTCCTGGTGCCATGACGGAAGATTGTCTCGTCGGGTTACGATATGACTGTTCTGATCGAACGGGAATGTGTCGATATCGTGCGAAATCAAAGGAAAAGAGGCTGATTGTCCGAATTCCAATTAGCAAGACAACTTTCTAGAAGGGTATCAAATTCTTACCTGCAAATTCGCACTCAGATGTCGTCGAGGACTGGATATTCACAACCAAAGGATCCCTTGACCCTCAGAAAACACGAATGATGGAGGGGCATCAACCCCACTGACGCCATTCCCAATCCACCCTAGCGCCTTTTCAAAACTGGTCAGCACGTCACATGACCGCATCGAAAAATTTCGACTCAAAAGCTCGGGACGTCTCGAGCTCTTCTTTTCCTCCCTACATAAAACACAATCCTTCATATTCACTCTGGCTTTTGTCAAACCTTTCAATGATAGGTCTGGAGGGGAAAATGGAGGAGAGAACATGATCCGGTGATTTACTTACCCTGCGGCCTGTGGCGCGAGAGCGCGTTGGGTTTGGAGAAATATTTATACAGCGGGACATATGCGATTTTGATTGGGGTTTGATGGGACTGGGGGTTTTGAGAGACGGTTGAGTGTTGGTTATGGGTTTTATTCTGGAGGAGACGGTCTTGTGATGGGGAGTTGGAAGGTTATATTCCTGCTTTTGAGAGCTGTCTTTGCGCAAGCGCGCTCTGCTTCATACTCCCCTTAGCATACGTGTTTCAATTGTCGCGACAAGAAAGACTTTATCCGTTTCTTATTCGTTGCGGAGCGTCCTATCCCTTCTGACGCTGGATCTAGCGGTCTAGTTGGGGACCAAGTTATGGTTTCTGTCTGATATCCGGGATGCGCGCGTAACTTGAACTCAGTTGGCAGATTTGTCTGGTGTCTGAGGTCCGCTTATACTTTTTACTTTGGTCACCCGGTGTTCATTTATTTGTTACCTTGCTTCTCCTGTTCTTATATATACTAGGAAATCAACTGCGGTGAGCCATCGTCTTCATACTTAACTTTGCACTTCTCGTTGCCTCTACTGCCCATGACCGCGTACGAATTCCGCCCATATCAGCCTTTTCCCTACACTTCTACACTAAACAACACTTGCTCTCAAATACGACAAAAGCAACATGGGAAAACTTGCAGAAATAACTCTGTGTGTTTTTGAGGAAGGTGTCTACTCTGCTGCTGGGTGTTCTCAAGCAGCATGTGGTCATTGTTTCACTCATAACTTTATTAAACCGCCGCAATTCGATAACAAGAAATATCACTTCGAAGATATAAACCATGATATCAATCGAGACATACCCCGCTGTTATGCCTGCGACCTGCGTAGGGCTGAACGTTCCATCCAGGAGCTCGAAAGGCCGTCACTGCCAGATGAGCAGCCCCTTCCAGAGGTTAAGGAAATTCTAGAGGGATTTAGAGAGAATTACAAGATGGAAGGAACGGAAGAGTCTTGGAACTCAATGAAGGAATCGGAAAAAACCATCCGCTATCTTAGGAAGATGCAGGCGAATATGCGAAAAGATCATATCTTGTCCAAGTTCGAGGCGATTTGGGGAGCGGATTTCCAGCAGGGTCAACATCTTGATCGAGAAAAGTCTGAAGTTTATGAGCTACCGTGAAAGTTTGAGGAATCGGTTTATGGTGGATAGCATAAAGTGCTTCAAGAGGACATTTTAATCACATAACACGTTTAACTTACGGAGAATGAAAGACGAAATGAACGGCAATGTCTCAAAATGGTCTAGTTATTATCGTGTTTCCGCGAGCACTCATTTCATTCACTACGAGCTATTTACATACTACCCCGCCGCTACTGCACCAGCTTGCTATTGTACTGCCCGCCAGTTCTACTTAGTTTCGGCCAATGTTAATAACCCTTACGAAGACGAGAATAATGGCAAAAGACCAAGTGTGATTAAATTATGAATAACAAATAGTAAGATTACTGTTGAATCAGCTTTGTCTTACTAAATCCGTTGATGGCAAGATACTCGACGCCCCACTAGTGACGAGGTCCAAGGCTTTGTCCTCGCATACGCCGTACCTGAGATTGTTCGTACAGCCCCTCCATACCTGACATCCTTCGTCAACTCTGCAACCTGTCTTGTAAACCACCCAAATCGCAAGTATGGCAGGTTTTCTGCGAGGAAAGCAAGCTGGTATACAAAACGATTTATCTGCTGGTATCGTTTCAGGTCTATTCTCTCCCGATGATCGCGCGCGATTTGGCATTAACTCTCAAATTGGGTCAGTTACTCAGGTGCATTGCCAGCATCTGCTAACGTATAACTAGATGTCTCGCATATGACCCAATTCAATCTCTTTTAGCGGTCGGTACGAATGAATCCCCCTTTGGCAGCGGCCAAATCTACATTTATGGTCAAGGGCGCGTCCAAGCAACCCTTCAACTCCCCCGTCGCGCATCTGTCAAAGAACTCCAATTCGTGGCCGACCGAATCATTTCCTTAGACTCCAAGAACGAACTCATAATATGGGATCTCGCATCTGCGAAGAAGGTCACGAGCTTCAATCCGCCGGGTGTGGTTACAACTATGGTTACGGATCCTATGCTGGATTGGGCACTGCTTGGGTTACAGAACGGAGATGTTATTTGTTACGATCTTGCATCGGAAAAGATTGCACCTTTGCGACTACCAAATTTCTGGAAAGAGAGGAGCCCCAAATCGAGGTTATTGCCGGTAGTCTCCATGCAGCTTCATCCCAGAGATATTGGACAGTTGTTGATCGGATATACGGAGGGTGTGGTTATCTATTCCTTTAAACAAGCCAAGCCAATTAGGTATTTTGAGTACACTGTACCTGCAGGAGCTCCAGGTGGTAATACAGACTCGCAAAGTATTGGAACCGTGAGGAAGCCAAAGCTCACGCAAGTCTTGTGGCACCCCACTGGTACTTTCGTTGCTGGCGCTTTTGACGACGAGAGTTTGGTATTCTGGGATTCAAAGGACGGCAGGGTTGTCATGGCTAGGACCTTGACAGATACAAACGTTGACAAACCTGGAAACGTCTCAAAAGATCCTGGAGCATTTAATTTCAAGGAGCCATTTGTGAAGATTGCTTGGTGTTGTAGAGAGAATCCGGATGATACTGGTATCTTAATTGCTGGTGGATCTAGCAAAATATCACCACAAAAAGGATTGACTTTCATGGAGCTGGGTCAGACCCCGGTTTATGCGACATCATCATGGCAGGTTCTTAGCGATCACTTCGAGGCTAAAAAGCAACATTTTCTACCTACACCACTTGGTGCAGAAGTGGTCAATTTCTGTCTCATTCCAAGGACGTCTCCTCATTTCGCCGGAAACCAAGATCCTATCGCTATAATTGCCGTTCTAACTTCTGGAGAACTTATCACCTTGAGCTTTCCTAGTGGTTATCCAATCTCACCTACAAATATGCTTCCTCCCTCTTTGACGTTCGTTCATCCCTTTGTCACGACTATTGCGGTTGCTCCTCTGGACCGTGGGAGATGGCTGGGTATGGTTGAAAGCAGGCAGCGAGGAACACGAATACTAAAAGGTGGAGCTGAAAGTGTGAAATCATTAAGAAAGAAGGAATCTCGTAATATAGTCCTCATGGCTCACGGAGATGGTACCGTGAGAATATGGGATGCAGGACATGGTGATGAGCTTGAAAATAGCACAACATGTCAAGTCGACCTTGCCAGATCACTAAATCGATACGAGGACATAAATATTACTATGATGAGTATGGGTCTTCAGACCGGAGAATTAGCTGTTGGCACTTCACGCGGAGAAGTGGTTTTGTATCGATGGGGAGGGAACAAACGCGTTGGTCAGGAGTTATCACAAGACCTTGACGTTGTTTCAGGCGGCCTCACAGATATCTCTATACGTGCCGAGCCAGCTCTCAAGGAAGGTTTACAGCCCTACGTTTTGTATGATTTGGCTCAAGGGCCTATTCATGCGCTCGGCGTTTCCGACATGGGGTTTGTGGGCGTTGGATCTGAAGGTGGTGTCTTTTCCCTCATCGATATGCGAGGTCCGTCAATTATCTTCACGGGCTCAGTGAACGATTTTGGAAAGGCGGAAAAGAGAAGTAGTTTCATGAGAAAGGGAAGTTCTCACACCACATCACGACCAGATTGGCCAGTAATTCTCGAGTTTGGCGTAATGACTTTAGAGGGGGACAACTACTCGAGTATCGCTTGTTTTGTAGGGACGAATCTGGGAAAGGTTGCTACATTCAAGATTATTCCAGATGCAAAGGGCGCATATACAGCACAGTTCGCTGGTGTCACGTCATTGGATGGCAAAATCGTCTCTATTTCTCCAATCGTGTCGAGTACTGGCAATCGCGCTGCTGCAACTGGAGCAACCGTGGGGTCGCTGAGAGATGGTATACAGACACATGGAACATTGGTCGTTGGTAAGTCACAATATTCCGAATTGAGTAATGAGCTTATGAGACTAATGTCTTTTAAGCCTCCCAAAAAGAAGCGAAGATATTCAAGCCAGCATCTGCCAGAGGAGCTTCAAAGAGCTTCGATGATTTTTTGTGCGAATCAGCTTGCGTCACGGAGTTTGATGGACATGGTTTCGCTCTTGTTGGTGTCTTTGCTGACCGCTCGATTCATGCCTATTCAATTCCCGCCCTAAAAGAAATTGCTGCGTCGAAAGTTGATAAACTGGATAAAAGCCGTTTAGGATCCTCCATTGTCACCCCATCAGGATGTGTATTTGGCTGGACAGGCCCTTCAGAACTCGCAATGCTCAACGTTTGGGGAACCGGCGAACCACTTCCCAAATCTCATGACCACCTCTTCAACCCCAAAGTCACAATTCCACCTCGACCAACAATCTCGAATATGCAGTGGATATCAGGCACGCAGTACGTCTCGCCCATTGACCTCGATCTTCTCATCGGTGGTCCAGATCGTCCACCAAGCAAGCGTATGATGGCACTCGCTGCCGAAGAAGACCGTCTCGCTCGCTCGGGTGGTTCTAGTCGAGCGGGCACTGCTCCTGCTCAAGAGGGTTGGGGTGATTACATGACTAGACAGCTTAACGAAAGAACAGAGAGGCTGAATATCATTGGCGATTCGACGGACCAGATGTTAGAAAATAGCCAAGGCTGGGCAGAAGACGTCAATAAATTTGTTAGTCGGCAGAAACGGAATATGTTACTTGGAGGCATTACTGGGAAATTCTTTTAAGGGAGGCAAGGATATGGAATAGGATGCATTTTTGGTTGAGATAGCGTTTCTTGGGAATTTTGATCATGGAGGGGGCATTTTCATGGGTGTTTGGATTGGACGGATTTGGTTTGGACAACGTGGGAGGATAGCTTAAGCATGATACCGCCTTCGTGGCTGAACCTTTATGGATTATGGGTAGCAATGCATTGATAATTAGCATTGTTTCTGAGACTACAACAGTGCAGTTGAGTAAGCTTGCCTGAATGATAAGTGTTTCTGAATTAGTTAATAAACTAGCAGTATATGTTTGTATATTAATGCACTAGTAGGTAGTGTTCTTAATACTTATACCTCGGACTAGCGACGTGTCTTTTATAAGTACTAAGTAATAAAAGGCTGTAGTAGTTCAGTAGTCACATGCCTAGTCGCTAGAGAGCTCAAGACTACGGTACAAACCTTTCCCTTAGAGGACAAAATAAGTGTCAGTTACCTGCCTATTGGTTTCCGGACTAAATAAGTCGAGTTAGAAGAGCGTTTAAGAAGTCTCATTTACTTAAAATAATTGACGGAATAATAGTCGTTAATCCCCCTATAGGACACGCAATAGGAGGGCTCTACCCGACTATTATCTCATATTGCTTTAAGTTAATCCGCTAAATAACGATATTTCGTTACCTTAATCGAAGAAATACCGTACTTCGACTACTCCTTATTTTGTCTATTAGGAGTCTTTACATTAACCTCTACCCAGTGCCACTTATTAGCTTCTCTGGGATCGGTAGAACACTATCCAACTCGGCCTACTATTGTATAACCTACTTTATTCAAGAATAGTCCATATTTTCAAATTCAAATTCGTAACAGATAGATATCACTTCTTATCGGCTTTGCGAATTAGAATGAGTCGGTTTAACAAAAAATATTTATTTGAAATTGTTCCACTCTTTTAGTAACAGATGCCCGAGAACACCAATCAATTAAATGTTATCTCATCAGACCTTATTTGTCCTAAATGGACATACAAAATCCCTCGCAGCCCATTTCACTTTCCCTCATCAACCTTCTTATCCTTCTCGTATTTCAGGTGCTCGCTTAATCAACCTAGAGGATCTCAGAGATCTTCTCCGCATCCAAAGCTGTTTATTAGCTGTCCTGAACTCATGATGATGGAAAAAATGAGTTCCTATACGTGTGTGCTCGTGGATAGGAAGATCTTTGTTAAATGCTGAGCATATCGCCAAATTTAGGGATCAAAGAGTCCATCAGTGTCATGGGAGGAGAAATTATATTTTAAAGCAATTCACCTTTCAATCCGTCTAACTACAAGATTACTCCTTGTTCTCCGCGTATTTCTCTCCCAGCGTCTCGACTCCAGACTTTCCAACAATGAATCTTGTTCATTATTTTACTATATCGCACCATCTTGTCCTTACTCATCAATCTTCCAACTTCGCTACTTTTCATTGAGTTGATCCTCGCAGGCGGGGGGCAAAATAGGAACAATCTCATCCGGCTGCCCCCAACTGGATCCCCTAGTTTCTGGCATGCTACCCGGAAAATTGTATGTGTTATTGGTTTGTCCACCACCGTACGTCAGAGCACTTCCGGACCCGTTATCTCCTTTCCTCGTGAACGGCACTGATGGAGAACAACTATCCTGACTCTGACTGCAGGAATTGTATAGGAGGTATAGCAATGTTGAAGGAATGAGACCACCTATAATGCTGCCAGGTAACACTTTCGAGAGTGGCGGACCTGAAGAGGGGGTTCCCGTAGCTGATGGGGTAACTGTGGGACTAGGATTCGCAAATGTGACTGGATTATTACTGGGAACAGTAGTCGTAGGGGGTACTATTATAGGGGCAATAGTCGTGGCGATGACGGTAGAGAAAGTTAATGAATTTCCGGCGATGACAGATGGCTGAGTAGGATTTTTAAGTGCGCTCTGGGTGATTACGATCTGGGACCTTGAGACTGGGAGCATTGTCGTGCTTTGAATGATGGGGGCGGGACCAACTCCGTTTTGAGGAACCTGAGATGAAGTCAGTCAAATCAATGCTTCGTACCATCGAATATTCTTGAATAGAAACGGAAAATACATACAGTTTTCGCAATCTGAGACTGAGGCGCCGGCTGATCTTCTGGGACGCATAAACCTTCTTCACCAAGCCCTCTTGAAGAGAGGAGTGCTTTGTTTCCAGCTGGACAGCATATGTTTTCGGAAAACCAATTCAAGCTAAACATGGTCCTTGCGCACATACAGGAACACTTTGAACTGCAGATGAACAGTCATCGTCTATTGTAGCTCTAGTGTTAGCGGTATAGTTATTGACTCCACTTCTAAGCAACTTGGATAGACAAATGGAAAAATAACTGGTGGGGCAGCAATAGTATGCTGATATAGTATTGCCGAAACACCATTGATTGACTTCACAGGGCAGCAAGCTTGACCTCCGAAACCTGATGTGTACGGACATGCATTTGGCGCGAAGTTCGGACAAGTTGTTCCACCTGGGAGTCCCATGGCCCATCCGCCAAGGTATGCAGCCCGTGGCCTACTTCCGTATACAAAGTCTAAAATATGGTAAGAATTTGAAGCTTGAGGCCAGAAGGCAAGCAGAGAAATAAGAAAAGTAGTTAGGAACATGTCTAGCGGATACTGAGAGGACGAGGGACAGAACGTGCTATTTTTTATTTACTGCTTGGAATGAGAAGAGACAAAAGTCTTTATGCATGATGTAAGTGTGGAAATCCAGCCTCGTCCAGAGGAGTATTTTACACATTCTATTTTAACGATTATATGGGGCTCAGCACCTTCAACCGTAGCCCCATTCTTAACGTAAAAGATAGCCTCAAGTTGTCATTAGTTGCTTATGATTGGCTCGGTTTAATTGCATGTAAGGCAAATTGTTACTCGGTGTTTCCTAGGTGGTGTCACGAGGCCTCAGAAAATGGCGTGTTTCTAAAGTGTTGTGTGCAGCTCTAGCGCAATTTGCATATACACTTTTGGCTATGACTAGAGCGTGAACATTCCAGAATCCTGCAAGTGTAAATTCTGACATTCTGTAGGATATTAAAGAACAGGATAACCCGCGTAGTAGTTGTCGCAAAATCAATCTATGCTGGTTGAGAGTATCAATCAGCTAGCTCTTAGTCATAGCAATTGGCCCTTAGACGCCCCGAGTTTCCAATGTGGGCCAGCAGGTAGGCATAGCCTCTTTTTGGCTCAAAGTAAAGTGCCATATTAGCGGGGTCTAGTTTACATGAAGAGACAGAATGTAGGATCCGCCCCAGAGCCCATCATTTGATTCTGAAGGAGCACCTCAAGTCTGACAGTCTGACTTAGACCGTCTAGCAGCTTAGAATATTTTAAGCCTCATAGAGGAGATGAGCTACCGCTAGGCGGATACGTATTTTTTGTGATGTACGATACTGATCTTAAATTAATATATGAAAGTAAACGAGGCCGTAAGCCGCATATTAGCTGAGGTTTCTTCACTATGTATTCATATGAATAACTCTGTAAACATGCATGTAAGCGAGCCCCTCTGCCTCATGCTCGCTTGAACATCGTCACTCAGGGGCAGGGCATGCCAAAGACTATTGGCTTGACCAGGACTCTGCACCTCTGGATACTGCACAAGTACTTTGTTAACAATTGCAGATTGAATGTTGTGATTGTTACGAGAGCCTATACCAGGAGTAGGGGGGCTCAGCTAACTAAGAGCTGCATGGAATTCAATAATATAGTTGTTTTCGCTATATACTATCGGCCGGAGTCTTGTCTAGGATCTTGCCCAAGAACCCGGTCCAAAAACTTCCCTCTTTCTTGTATGCCCAAACACGCGGCTAATTTGGTTTTGGCCCTTGACTATACTCCTTGAAAGCCTCTGCCCGTGCTTGCTCGAGCGACCAGTTGAGCGATCCTACGGTCTCTCCTCTATGCGACAAGTCTTTGGGCAGATGGGAGAAATAGACAAGGAGTAGGATTTTATAAGAAGCACACCACTCAGACCTATTCGGCAAACTCCTGTACGCAGTTGTGACCAACTGTATCTCTTGTGATTTCCCAACCACCCGTAAGTATCATCCAAGATCTACTTGTTTTAGGTATTGGACTACATATCACATTCAGGAAGTTCACTGCTTGTAAGCCTCCCGCTTTGCCTCTTTCCGCGCTGAGACCACCTCGTCTCGGGGAGGACAAAATAAGTGGCAGTCGAACCAGAATAGTTCTTCGATCAAGTTGGCGAAATATCGTAATTTAGTGGATTAAGTTAGAACATTATAATTGTTTCGTTAACTGTTTTAAGTAAATGAGACTTTAAGCTCTATTCGAAGTGGACTTGTTATTTATCCTCAGATTTACGGCTAGGTGATTGCCACTTATTTCATCCTCCGCGAGCTCGTCTATACCTTGAGTCTTTTGAATATACCCTTCTAAAGTGGTAGATTCGTCCATCATACTGACGATATCTTCGACCTCGTCACTGAGACCTCTGCAAATTATGATATCAGAGCAGCATCGTTTCAGCGAGTGCGTAACGCAGGTTTGTGCTCCGCGTATGTTCGCGTAGTTCCGATCTGTTTCATTTCGAGTAGCTGTCGACCAGATGCAGAGTCTCCCTTTTTCGAAGTATCTCGGAAGCTCGAAATCCCTCGTTATTTCTGGTTCTAGTAAGCGAAGATCTGTGACTTTGAAGGCAATAGCTTACCGCGTTCTACGCTTAAAGCATATGGGGGAGCTGTAACTGGAAGAGCTCAATATCTGGGATGATATCGCACGGATCTTAGGTTGTCAGTAGTATTTGGAAGCAAAACACAAATGGTGTGATATAATCCAGGAGCTAGAATCTGCCGTGAATTGAGCCAGCACTTTGGTGGTGACCTTATAGAGCAGGGAATCTGTACTGACCCTCAGTAATCCGTAGCAGTACCAATGCGAGGTAAATATGGCCCGAAATTAATACCACAGAGCGTTTAATGTTACAATGGGACACAGGTTCTTATTGTACAAGCCATATATTTTTCCTATAATTTTCCCTGTCTAGCTATAAAGGACCCTCCCTAATTGCCCATGTTCTCATCTACGAGAATTCACATTCATGATATTGCAACCAAACATACTTCCAAGGTTCTCTTACGGTACCGAAATCACAACAACAAATTCAGGAGTCAACGGTTTCCATCAGTCATTTTCAACTTTGGCCGTGTATATTGCAATGTGCCGTTTTGTTTGAGGCGCTCGCAGTGTTTGCAAGGCTTTTCTTGATAAGGGCTTTTTCTGTCTCTTCTCCCATTCTTATCTGCATGCAAACAGATCATATATATCTCCCTATAGAAATCACCAGGTCGGAATATTATGTAAACACCTAGGTAGGTTATAGTAAATAAAATATTTCATATGACTAGAATACCCCATTGAAGCACTTGATATTGGACAAGATAATTGACAGCCGAAACAGGATTTTATCTCAGTTCAGTTGCATGAACACAATGTGATGGATTTCCCTACTAGTTTGAGTAATCAAAGCATTGTAAAACTCCGTTCTAAATGGTAGTCATCTTAAGAGAGCCTTCGGCAAGTATAATAATTTAATAAATCGGTTTCCAGACTTCAGCCTCACCTTACTACATGGTTAAGCAATTTACACTGCTATCATCTCACACTCTCCCTCGTATCTCCAACTATTACATAAAACCTTATTTTTGAAAACTAGATTTGCTCCCCGTCCAATCGTCTTGGCCTTGAATCCCATACTACCAACATTTCACGTGACCGTCCTCGGTCCACGCGATTCTGCTTGTGCTACGTCCGTAGCACGAAAGACCACACACTCGTCCGCGCGCTACGGATATACCACAAGTCGATTTCTAAATATATAAAGCATTTGGTGTCACCTACTCAGCTCTGTTCAGAAATCGCTTTAAGGGCAGCATTTGTCATGTCAGATCTGGTGTTCCGATAATTTGCATCTTTCTTACATGCGATGGAGGAATACCGCGCCGCTGCAACGAATGCTGAATTAGGGTCTTATGGGGGACCAACCAGGTGATTAAAAGCTCTGCCAGTATACATGGAGAGGGAAAGGATATTGACTGACACTTTTCAGATTATAGGGAAGAGGAACATGTCACGAAGGAAATGAGAAGAGCATGCAATAAGAAGTTGGTTTAAGCATAATTTGTTTGTATTTGACAATAACAACGGACCAGTGTCCATGTTGTGAGATTCTCAACTAAGGAGAATACAAGTTACTTCAAGACAAGAGTCGACCCTCTAAACGCCATTTTACAATTCGTCTTTCCCGCAACTTTTTAGTTGAGAGCCGAAATGCCTTCATTTCCCAGTCATGGCTCGTTATGTACTATATTACAGTCTATACAAGGATAAAAAAAATCAGGCATCGTTGTTTCGAGCAGCCCACCCGTTTTTGGCCTCTGCAACTTGTTCTCCGAGGTAGGAGAAAAGCTTGTCGGAGACCATGGCTTGGGTATCCATCTGTCTGTTTGACCGCCCTGCTACTTCTTTGGAGCAGAGAACGAGAAGCTCGGCTTTCTTGATTTGTAGACCAAGCATCTCTTGCTTGAGTCTGCGCTCGTCCTCTTTGGCAATCTGATACATGCCCAAGGAGTAGCGGTCGCCATTTGATACTGTTTGTCCTTGGCCTCGAGACACATCTTCGCGTGCCTTGTGACATAAACACTCTAGGATAGAGACTATGCGGGCAGCAAGAAGTGATAGGGACACAGGGATAGATGGATTAGTTGTAGTGCAAGCGCAGTTCAAGACATCTGAACCGAGCTTGAGAATCTCTTGGAGTTGAGCAAGACGCATGTCATATGACTTGTTGGCATCTTGAGAATCTGGCGTAAGGGACAGGTGTGTGATTATGGATTCGTTGCAACTGCAAGTATGCGTGCTAGCTGCAACTTGTCCAGGGTGTGATGCGTATGTTGTTGTGTTTGCATGGCTTGATTGGACACGTTTTGGTTGTGGAGTTGGCTTGTGCTCGAAGTAGCTATCACACTCTATCGAGGGAATGACATTATCTGAGAAGTCTCCACTCCCAGTACCAAAAGGCATGTAATCCGACTCTGTTGGACTTTGCGAGTAGATCGAGCTAGGTTTGAAACACCTACTAGGCGCCTCATCCGCGGGATTTGGGGCCGAAAAGTTATAGTCGTTCAAGCTAGCGTCCACGAGAGGGTCTCGCTGCTCAAAGTCAAAAAATGAAGGACAGGCCATTGTTTTTGGCGAGATCTGAGGAGTTGGGAGCAGATTGGTCATGAACATGTTGTCAAAGGCCCAATCCTTCAGTTGATGTTTGATGTATTCTGGAAGGTCTGGGCAAGAATCTGGAGATGATCGGTATTGGTCATGGCTTGCCGAATCAAGCGATTCAGTTGAGGGAGACCCAGGGAACTCAAAAGATGTTGGTGAGTCCAGAAAGTCCATGTTCATGGCCATGGGTGGTGTTGGGAGCCCGTTTGCTGTAATGTGCGTTGGCTGATTGAGTTCTAGATCATTGACAGACGTTGCTGGCGTGGATTGGCCGGTTGAATGGAGGTTTAGTGAAGCATCCAGGAAATCCATGTCGATTTCTGTAGGGGAAGTTGACATTTCCATCTCCATCTCGGCGTTCTTTCTCATCGCCTGGTAGCTCTCCGCGCTCCTCTTTCCCGACCTCCTCGAGATACCATAGACACATGGTACGTCGTGTTTGGAACATCTGGCACATGACGGCTTAGTCTGAGTGCAACGGACTTTCGCCGAGCTGCAAGCATCGCACGAAGCTCTCAGCTTTGGTGCCTTGCGAACGTTGTTGCGGCTTCTGGGTGTTGGTTCCGACATCGTGAACTTTGTTCGAGAACTCAGCTGTGGGGCGTAAGAAAATAGGCTGGATCGTGATCTGTTCGGAAGGGCAGATTTGAAGCTGTAGATGCGATTTCTCCTTCTCTGCAGAATGTTCCGACGATCGCGAACAAAGCTTCCTGCAGATTCGCTTTTACTTATTCATTTCCAAGACGGTCCCCACCATCAGCTGCAGTCCCAATCCAGGGTCGACGGCGCCATGTCAGCATCATGGTTTCTGCACCAGGTTGAGATGTCTGACGGATCTCCGTGCCAGAACGGCGTTTATTTGCGTGAGAGGCATCTTGACTGGTGAAATGGCTGGGAAGTCAAAAGACCGCTTTGACACGGAGTGTCATTGGGGAACACCGTAAGCTGACAGCTTCAGCCTGTCAGAAGTCGGCATTTCAGCTTAGCCCACCACCCCACCACCAGCTATGCCACTGTGCGCGCCGCAAAACGCCGGTACGCCGTACTACGGACCGTACGAGTACCACATATTTCGAAGGCTCGGTGTGCATCGTCCAGTTCGGATTAAACCCAAAGGCTATTTGACAAGACACTCGTTAAGACACATGGAGTTTGAATACGCTATATGGTACCTGACTTCCGGTCCCTATTGTCTTACTTCGTATAACGTTACAAAATAAAGATTGTGACATTGTTACGGGAAGTGGGCCGTTTCTTTCGTACTACTCTACAAGCAGCTTACCTTCTAATCTGCGTCGAACTACTCCAACACCGCATACATATGCAGAGAGTATGGTATTCGAATTAGACGATTATCTGCTTGCTTCGCATTCCCAAACCCCTCGATCGACAGTACCCTTGGCCCTTATGCTTATCGACTTAATCTCTCCGGCTGCCGCGCACATGGAGAGAAGCTTTGACTGGGAAGGACTGGGTGATGCTAGGTCCAAAGGAATACGCTCCCTGCTTTCCGTGTGTCTGTCTGCGTGTTCGACACGTGGAAACCCTGTCTCTACCTTGTTCGAGATAGCGGCATCTTGAGTGGGAGATGGCGCCATGCACTTTGACGGCGGGGTCAGCGCTAGAAGCCACATGGAACCTTGGAAGGGTGTTCTCTCCATGTCACGACGGAGACAATACTATCTTTACTATCTGCCTGTTTATTATGCTCCTGTTCACAGTTATATCAGTATTCAAAACATTTGCCGGCTCAGCTGTTTCGATGTCCAATGCGGGAATAAGAGGTTAAAGAGACAGTAAATAGTGATCGGGAGCACGGCTTCACTAACAAGATGCAACGCAGTTCTGATTGACCTTCTTTTTGCGCTGCGCAAATATATATAATCAACACAATCTTAAGTAGAACTTAACATTACAATCTTGATATACTCAGCTATACTATGGTTATTTGTAGTATATTAAGTAGCTCAATTACTCTCGTGGGAAGAACAATTACAAAATTTCTGGCATTTATCGTCTCATGTTGATATTTTCGGATAGGGTAGTGGAGGCGCTACAGAAGAGACTTTATTGCATCCGCACAGAGGCAGGAAGATTGAATGGATACAAGCGATTGACTAATAAGGGTCCTAACTTCATGGGTATGCCAGGTAGCAACGAAGGAAATAGCCAACTTTCTCACTTACATTATTATGAGTATCGCACTAAATCTGCTTTTTAGCTACCATATTATCATCATCTCCTCTAAACTGTAACTACAAACGGTATGGTCACGCATATAACTGAAAACCATCCCGTTTTCTCATGTAAATAGCTTATTGAGCATTATAAATGGTTGCCACAGTAACCTTAACAACCATCACGTGAACGAAGCTTTTCGGATGTTTCCTCCTTTCCCTAACGGAGACTATTCCACAATCTGAACCCAACCGCGTTAAGAAAACGTGGAAAAGCGTATCCTCGTTTCTCCTGGTTGGTTCGACCCCGAATCTAACGAGAACCGTCAATTTGGAATCGCGCCGACGTGGGAAAACGTGGCAGCCATATGGGCTACCGACGCCCTGTTTCGAGCCGTGTTACCCTACATCTTTCTTTGGCAGCTCGTAGGAGATAAATACAGAGAGGGAGCGCTACTGCAGGACTGCGTTTCCCTCACGCTTTATCACGTCTTATGTTGCACCGGGTATGAAGATCTTATCATTTTGGAGACTGGAATATCGGGTGTGGAATGCTGGATTGCTTGTCACGTCCCCAACCTCCTTCCTATCAGGGCCTTGGAAAAAAAGCAATATCCTCCGCCGGTTCACTGTTGTTGCCAGAATATGTGCACGTTTTCAGTCGCACCGTGGGATTTGGTCCAAAGATAATACTTTAAACGGCAGCCAAAACGGACGAATATCGAGCTGCAGGGTCAGCAGCGAGCTGCAGTTTTTTGAGCTTACCATAGAATTTTTAATATATGAAGCGGGCTTGTCAGTAACACAAACAGGCACATATGCAACGTCTGACTATTTGCGGTGAGTATTTCTCTTGGCCTTACCAGCAGTCTTACATTGTCTTTCTTTGCAGCCTAATGTGCCTACAACTTAGGGTCATAAAGTACAGGTACATTAGTACGAGTCTGTACGACTAATTTGCTTCTAGCGTTCTTCTCCAGTGGAACGCTGCATCCGATCGTAATTCACGTCCTGGGTCCACAACGTAAAATAGCCATGTAAAGATGTCCGTTTTTGACTTACACTTTTCAGAAATTCCCATTGTCAATGATCGGCGAGGATCTGAATCTCATTCGGATTGCCATGCATACGAATATTATTTTTGCAAACCAGTACGCTTGCATAATTGCTAAAGAAGGCAATCTTGGCGTTATCATACGGTTGTTACCTCATTGATATAGAGACTCTCATTAAGAGATAACTGCAATGATGCCTAAAGCTTTTGGTCCAGGTTTGACGATATTACAATGTACTCAGTACAAGCTATTTTCATCTCAACCTGCTGTACCTCTGTACCCCGTACCTCGTCAGCCCTATACCGAGCAACAGGCCGACCACTCCACCATTTAGCAAATCACAAATGATTGAGTGTTTAGCTGAAAGCTCGAAGTCCGGCCCGATATGGTATTGGCTCTTATACGGTGCTGATGTGCGTTACATATAATCTGACTGACAGCAGCTGGAGTTGCGAGGATGAATCAATTAATCAATAAGCATACATAGCGTTAGGAGCGAGAAGATATAGTATCGGAATCATGAAGGCCCGCGTTGACAACTGCTCCGGAGTGAAGAAAAGGGGGCGTATCACGTGATTTATCACATGATATATTACCAGCCACTTTCACCCGCCACCAGGGGTCTCGCTAAGGCACCAGCAAACAGAAAAGATTATTTTAACAATCCAAGACAAGATAAGAGCGGAAATTTTCTCCGCCCACCTTCTAGTCAATTCAAGAGTGTTATAGAATGAGACCAAGACTTTAAGACCAGAATAGACGTCAAATCTCGCTTATCAAGACAGTGTATCTTGTCTCAAAGTCATCGAAAGTGTTTGAGATCTTCTAAAGGGGTAAGCTCAGAATTACACACCTCTTCAACTCTATAACATGTGGTTATTTCGAAGTACAAAGATCACAAATATCCCAAAACTTCATAACGATGACTACATCAACCAAGTGAACTTAAGTACCGTATCTCTTGCCATTCCTTGGTGTTGATAACCTTATCGTAGTACTTCGATAAGAGCCGAAGCACAACATCTCCGGATTCTCCGCAACAAGCAACAAACGCCAACCGAAAAGCTATAAGAAAGCCAAGTCCTCCTGGGTGAGACCAGCGAGCCTCAGCCTCCAAAAAACACATACAAATATACCTGCCAAGTGCTTGGCCAAGGGTGTGTATGGCGTCTCCCCCCTGAACCAGCACTTTTTCCTTATCAGCGAAGCGAGAAGCGTGGGGTGTGCGAATGAGACACCACGAATTTCAACACTTGCTGTTGGGTCGCCCTTCATCTGGGAATTACCCAAAAGGCCAAGTTTCTTATCCTCGAGAGAGTTGGAACACCATTTTTAGTCAAAACAATAGGCGAAATAGGCACATTTCGTCAATTGTTTTGAGCAATTAAGAAAAACTCAAACTCTATTTGCAAGGTGGTGGGATAAGAATACTTGTGAGATTAGGTGGCAGGTCACTGACACTGGATAGCCTCATTATCTGCTGCGAGTTTGGATAGTCTCATTTTCAAGAGATAATCGAGTCTATGTCGATCTATGTCTTATATCAACGCCTATCAGCATTTTCGAAGCCTGTTTGTAAGTTGTCCACAGAGTATCTCTTTTGTCAATAAAGTCTCAATTTGACCACACCATCTCCCGGACTTACCTTTTCGTATCCTATACTTAGAGCATGACGGCAAAAGCCGTCAAATTCCATAGTATGGTGTTGTCGTTTCCATCGCCTTTCAGAAAACACATGGTGCGTATTGAGATCTCCGTGGAAGTGGGACTGAGATCAACTTTATACCACGAGTTGAACCTCAGCTCCCAATGAGCATTCCAGCGCTCGGCTCACAACTGGGTCCGTGGTGCCCAGAAATATCCCATGCATTATGCGCCATTGCGAATCTGGGGCCGTGGAGAAGGTAACCTCGACATGTCCCAAGAGATAAGGATCTCAAATCGATGATATCCAAGGAGATCTTCGAGATCAACACCACCAACAATAGTATCAGATCTATACTTTGAGACTATATATCAAACCATAATCGCTTTCAATCTATAATCATTCTCTTCTTCAGCAGCCTCATTCTCTCGACATCCCGGCTTTACCCCTGATCTCGCTTAGCTCATCCAGGACGACGCGTCGGACAACCACCCCACCACAATCAACAACTTCAACTTGGAAAATGGGTTTCAAAGCATCTCATCTCTGGAAGAGTCCAGAGGTCAATCCTTTTAATCTGAAAGCGCGCTCAATTCCCATTCTCAATCCCCTCAACAAATATGGCAGAACATTTTTCTTCTCCTGGTCCGGATTCTTGGTGGCATTCCTTTCCTGGTGAGTTCCCTGACTTCCCATTATGTCTAGAATGATGCTGATTGCTCTAAGGTACGCTTTTCCACCATTGCTAAACCTCACGATCAGAAAGGATCTTAAGATGACCCAAGCCGACTATGCCAACTCCAACATCATGGGCCTGACCGGCACCTTGGTTGTACGCGCAGCAGCTGGGCCTCTCTGTGATAGATTCGGTCCTAGATATGTCTTCATTGGATGTTTACTTGCAGGTGCTATTCCTACAGCTATGGCTGGTCTCGTCACTACACCAAAAGGGTTGATCGCTCTTCGATTCTTCATCGGTGTTCTTGGTGCTTCTTTCGTTCCTTGCCAGGTCTGGTGTACTGGATTCTTTGACAAGAACGTTGTCGGAACTGCAAATGCTCTCGCAGGTGGTTGGGGTAACTCTGGTGGTGGTATCACTGTATGTTTCCCCTATTGACTGTAAGCGAATGACTACTAACACCAGAAATTAGTACTTTGTTATGCCCGCTATCTTCGACTCACTTGTCAAGAATCAAGGTTTAACCCCTCATGTCGCATGGAGAGTTGCCTTCATCGTGCCATTCATCATTATCACGGCCATCGCCATGGGTCTCCTTTTCACAGCCGAGGACACCCCAACCGGAAAATGGTCTCAACGACACGAAGCACTCCAAACCCTTGTCGCTCAAAATGTTTCCACGAATCCATCCCGAAGCCCCTCCATCAAGGGCTCTGACGAGAAATTCGCAATTGACGAGAAAAGCGAAAGCAGCCAGAAGCTCGAGGCCCAAGCTCCTTCCCTCAAGGCCGCCGACCTCGCAAAAGGCGAAGTAGTCGTAGCTCCTACATTCAAAGAGGCCATGAGTGTCGTGTTTTCTCTTCAGACATGGGCTTTAGCAGCACCTTACGCATGTTCCTTCGGCGGTGAACTCGCTATCAACTCCATCATCGGATCTTACTACCTCAAGAACTTCCCAAAGCTCGGTCAAACCGGTTCCGGAAGATGGGCGGCAATGTTTGGTCTCCTCAATGTCTTCTTCAGACCTTTGGGCGGTGTTGTCGGAGATATCATTTACAAGTACACCAAATCAGTTTGGGCAAAGAAACTGTGGATTACCTTCTGTGGTGTCGCCATGGGATGTTTCGAGCTAGCCATTGGACTCGCAAACCCGCACCACGAAGCAACCATGTTCGGACTTGTCGCTGGTCTCGCTGTATTCATGGATGCATCAAACGGTGCCAACTTCGCTGTCGTCCCTCACGTTCATCCATTTGCCAATGGTATTCTCTCCGGCATAGTTGGAGCAACCGGTAATCTCGGCGGTATCATCTTCGCAATCATCTTCAGATATAACGGTACTCACTACGCTCGTGTTATCTGGATCATTGGTGCTATTTCTATTGGTGTCAATTTGGCTGTTTCTTGGATCAGACCAGTCCCTAAGCACCAAATTGGTGGACAGTAAATTCTTCTTTTCGAATGTTTGGAGTAGACGGAGTTTTTGAGTGTGTTCTTGGAAAATGAGGGTGTATAGGCTGTTATGTGCAGCGATGTTTTCTTCTCATAAATAATAGATGCATTGTACCCATGATGTTCAGTATATAGATTTTCTAATTCATCGATATTACTCGTAAGCTGGTTTTTCTCTTCCTCGGCCTAATATAAATTGTCTCTACGAGGATGTATGAAAACTATTCTACGGCGCCTAGGCCTAAATAACGTTAAATATAATAGTACTTAATCCCGAGGTCTACGAGATGATTAAATCTAGTTAGGTTATATTTATTCTTCCTACGAGAATAAATACGACCGTTACCTTAATACAAATCGCAATAGTATAACTGATTATAAAAGCATAGTTTTTAAGTAGAGAGTGTGCGAAGGCGACGTAATAGGAAGTTGAGTGCGTCCGCGTAGAGATTGCTTACTACTTCTTTTAATTTACCGAGAATAATAGACGAAATATACAAATTCGTCAACTATTTTGAGCAAATGTCGTATTTTCATTTACTACATGTTTTGATTTACCTAGAATAATAGACGAAATACGATATTTCGTCGACCATCCTCAGCAAATGTCGTATCCAAAGCACTGGGCCATGATCTATCCCGAAACCCACCATTTACTTACACGAAGCAGAGACCTAACCAGTGGCACTCGAAACACAATAGTTAGTAAAACAATATGAAACGTTATCACATATTTCGTTAATTATTTTAAGTAAATCATTTTTAGTTACGCTCTACTGAATCACCTATCTCATCCACAACGAGCTAGTTTCTAACGATTATAACCGCCTCCAGGTCTCACCTCATCGTCGCGCACTTTCGGTCCGTAACACACCTTACATCCAGCATGTTTCTTGCAAAAAACACAAACCATGTCACCGTCTGTGAGAATAGGAGTCTCCATATAACAATAGTAAGATGATTCTATAATACTTTGCCACTGTTTTATCCTTTACAATATTCCTACTACAGTTATTAGAATCTACTAGCCTATATTTGTAGACTAGCCTAAATAGGTCGGCAATTCTCTTTAATAGACCCTAAGTAACTGTTATATATATGTCTAATTATTATAACTAAGTATAGTTAATGTTGTATACACTTGTACTAAAATTGTGTTTGAACTTCGGCGAGAAATGGAAATGCGTTAGTGGGATTGACTGAAAGTTTAAAATTAGGCTAGTGTACAGTTCTTTCGCTAGAAAGAGACTGTCTATGTAGGGCAGTACGCCAAAGTAGTTTTCGCCTGCTAGAATCTTCCTCCCTCAGTTCTTTGCCGGCGAGCCTGAAACTCCATTACCCGACACAAAAACAACCAGAACTGCTGTGTAGGCGGCCCCTGAAGCAAAGATTTCACCCAAAGATGCTTGACTGGCAATAGTGACAGCCGAAACAAACATTGTTGCAGATACAAACAACACAATAAAACGGACAAGCGTTCTTGTCACCGCGTTCAATACAATAACTGGTACAAGAAGTAAGGTAATGGCCAGAGACGCAGCAAGAGCCCTTGCAGCACTTCTGACGAATGCGTTCGAGATAGAAATGCTGTCTGGACCACTAGTTGATCTAAGAGAGAAACACTAAGAATAATATACTGTTAGCTTAGTCGTATTAAGTGACCGAGAGCTTTTACCTTATAGCCAAGTCGATAGAAGCCTTCGACCAAGATCCCTACGAAATTTGCAATTTTCGCCATACCCCGGTCCTTCACAAGACCTATGTTTAGAAGTTCGCGGTCCCCAGCATTGATGTACGCTACCTCTTTCCGAGCTACTGACCCTTTTGTCCAGAGCCAATTTACCTGCGAATGAAGGTCCCTCGTTTCCGGTCCCGGTGCATTTAACGCCCATTGGCTCTGTTGGAGAAACTCATCTGGATTCATGCATTGTCAACATGCACCCGAGAACATACCAATACGATACGAATGTATCCATACCATAAGTTTTGAAAGCTTCATCGAGTTTCAAGAGGATAGATTTCCTTGCTTGATTCATATCTTGACGAGAGCTGCCCAGGAACATCTCACTTGGTTCAGCTTCGTCGATCTTGCTCAGTTCCTCTTCCAACAGAGAAATCTCATCTTGCTTCTTAAGAAGCATGCGCATACGTAAAGTTCGAAAGCGACGAAAAGTCTGGAACTCCGAGTGCCGTCCAAGAAGCGAAGAGTAGGCAGGATAGCCTTGCCTAACATTTTGGGTGTCGTTAGGAATACTATGGCCCTCGTGGTCTACTTTGAAGTTCAGTAGCCTCTTTGGAGAATCTCGATGGAATGATTTCACCTTCAACGTCGCTGACCGTTTCACTGTCACTATCACTATCACTATCACTATCACTGATGCTTACAGGGCGTTTTAATGGCCACAAACGGAGACCAATTGCTTTGAAGTTTTGCAGTCGGCGCTGAGGCCAATTATACGCCACATACGAAGATTGCTCTCCACTCTCCAAGACCGATACCGCTGACATTGAAGTGCGAGTTGGGCTCCGGACCATGGACAGCGAAGTGAGAGTATTAGAGTGTAAAAGTTTTGTGTAAGGTTCGCTCAAAATCTTGAAGATATTGGCTGCACACCATGTACTGAGAAAGTGGAGCTAAATATTTATTAATTATACCGTGATGAATATTCAGCTGAGGAAAACAATTCTAACAGCCGGTAGAGCTGAAAGGCGGGGAAAAGCCATCGGCATACTTCATTGGCGGTCCTCTGTAAAGTAGGATGAGAGATGCACGTCTGACGTGGCATGATTCTGCTTACAATCTACAGATCAGAATCAACAGCCTGCCCGTATCATTTTCTTAAATGACCTCAACAACGACCTTCAAACTAGACCATGGGGTGGTTCGATAATGATCGTCGAAAAGTAAGTCTCCTATTTAGAGCCAGACTTATGTGCGACTAATTAGAACTTGCACACTAAGGTTAATATCGAGACACACCAAACGGGACAGAGCGCGAGATCAAGACCGCTGCAGTCTCTTAAGAAGGTATACTCGAAAAGATCAAATCAGACAGAAGTAGTAACAAGCTGATCATGGAATGCAACAAGAAATCCAAACCCAGACACTACGTCGGTGACCGCGGTGATTGGAAGTTCAAAACGACGTACGGAGCGCACTTGATGATTATGGGAGGAGTGATTTCGCGTGTTATTCCAGGAAGGCCTATCCAGTACAATCTTTCTGACTGGGAAGGGAACTCCATCGCTGAGGGCATCAATGAAAATGACTTAGAACTTCAAAGGGATGAATACCGACCCTCGTTGATCTCGAAACAACTCTTACCCCGGCGACTCGGTTTATTTTGGAATCGTCACCGAGACATGCTTAGTTTATTGGGAGTCATCATATACTTCCTTGTCAGACATAAATCGAGCTGGAGGAAGATTAATATCTTATTTTCAAGATATCCGATATCTAGCCTAACAGCATAATATCTTTAAAACATACAGCCCTTTAATTCTACTATCCCTCTAGGGGACAATTTAAAAATAAAAGTTAACTATCCGAGTTCTTCTCGCTTGTTCTTACCCGCTTCCTGAAATTTAGAAGAGAAGCTTAGTTCGGCTAGTAACCTGATCTCGAACATAAAAGTTACGACGTAATAGACTAGAAGGCAAACATCTGTTACATCTCTAGAATAGAAGGTTCGAAGCAAAAATTTATTACTGGGATCATGCGGCATATTGTCTGGATAACAGCTCAAGATTCCAACTCGAGAAGAAAGTAATCATAAATCCGAATCCTAAGAGCTCAAACAACCGTCCATGATTCGCTCAGCCAGCAAAATACTGTTATTCCTCCGCACCAGTCGTGAGCATCCATATCCTAGAATATCCACATAGGAATAACCAATGCACCCCTAGTCTGACCCCAAATTCCACATTCAACACATTTGCCATGTCCACATCTCGTACAGCTGTTATTCGCGGCGTAGTTGAATACCATGCACTGTGCGCTGTCAGTATCATTCTCTTCGTACTCACCGAAAATGAAGCTTAATTCACATCAACTTCTTGAAACCCCAAAAAGTTCCAACACAACCAGAAACGAAAACAAAAACAACTCACATCATGACAACCCCAAGGCATAGCCGTCTCTTTCACAACCTTCTCCCCCTCCAATTTCTCATATCCATCCCCACTCACATTTCCACCACTCCACCATTTCGTAATTCTGATCTCCCCATAGTTCTTCCCGCTTTCTCTCACATTCCTCTCATTTTCTTCTTCAATTATTTTATTCCTCCACTGCGCACTTCCTTTTATTCTCTCCTCGCTCGATCTCGATCTGAATAAATTTCGGAGACGCATTTTCGGGTTCGAAAAGTTCGATGGAGATTTGGACTCTCGAGGCTTGAAACTCAAAGATCTTATTCTGAGCCGCAAAATCAGCAAATTTCCCATTCAATACCCGAAATTCTCACTAACCTCCTGCCTAGCAGCAGGAATGTCACGTCACGTGATGCACACTTTTCCACCTTCACATTTCCTTTCTTCCTTTCTCCAACGTACTTCTCCTCTAGCAGAAAGTGCAAAACGAGAAAAGCAAAAATCAAAACACGAAGAGTATCTCCAAACATGGGATATCTATGGTATATACGTCGGTGAGCGGAAGTCCGTTGCGTGCATGACCGAGAGACTAGGGAAGCGAGGTCCGGCATTCAAAGGTACGCGAGGAGCGGTAGTTGCTGGCTATTTATGCGGGGAGGGGTGGCGTTTGTATGCATCTTATCGGATGGTATTTGGGAGTTGGTTGGTGGGCTGACGGGTTGATAGATGCCCAGGTGGGTTCAACCGTTCACGTGTGATTGAGGCTGAGACATCGTACGAGAGCTTGTTGTGATGGACTTTGGAAGTGGCTAACGGAATGATGTTTTACTGGATTGAGTTGATAGAAAATCTATTTTCTCAGTTGTTGGGAGACATTCTGAGTATTTGAAATCTGTTGAGATGGAAGAAGGAAGTCGCTATTTATACCTGGGTATATTTAAGGATAAGGCTACCTACGCCTATGTCATTCTCTACCAGGCTTTGAGGAACTAGACTTCTACGACGTGATAATGATTGCGAAGTAATTGTAGATTAAATTGGCAATTGGATAGCTGAATGTGTTTACTGATCGAAAGATTTCTGCGTAGAACAAGAACTGTGTACTTGGTAGAAGGGGAAGTAGAGGTTTACATCCGAAGTCGAATTCAATCGCAGTGACGATGTTTTAAGCACTTGTGTAACGAGCATCTATAACTAGAAATGCTTGCAATGGCATGATGAACAGGAGCATTGAGCGCATGGAACAAGCAAGATATGAAAATTGGAAAAATATGTTGCGTGTACAAAATATTTGGTCTATTATTATTTACTGACTTTTTCTATGATGATTTAAGTTTTTCTTTTCGTATCTAGCAGTAAGAAGCGTTGGTCACTGGCGTTGCGACACCAGCATCGATCAAGCTCATATAGTCCCAATAGTCGCCAGTAGTTCCCTCGCCGTCAACAGCTACAGTATTCTTATTTCTGATGTTCCAGAATGCTCCTCCGGAAACATACTGTGCCCACGAATATCGCTGAGTATCGAACAAGGTCTTTCGGTTGCCAAGAGTGTTGTTGTACTGGGTTTGCAGCGACCACTCGCCGACGAAGACAGGGAATTTTCCATCACCCTTTGCGGCTGATCCTTGACCGCAAATAGCTGGCGCGACGTACTGACTATATGTGCCTGCAGCAGCGAAGTAGTAGATGTGTGTGTCAATGACAATATTGGTACCAGCGTCATAGAAAGGAGACCAAAATGGCTCTCCCTGGAAAGAGTCTTGAAGCATAAGAGGGATACGTTTGTCAATCTTAGCAATTTTCTTTAGGCAGGCTTTGATATAGGTGTTAACCCAGTTTGTACCATTGGTCGTCAAACCGGCAGCGGAACCGAAGCCAGCAAGATGAGTATCGGAAACCTCATTGAGAGGGGCGAATGTGAAGGATCCGAGATGTCCAGAGTTCTTAAAGAAAGAAAGAACTCCGTCGACAGCCTTCATGGACCATTCAAGCTTAGTGGCGTTGAAAAACCAATCACCATGACCGAAAGCCTCTCCGATGTCGAGTCTATAAAGAATTAGCACGGCTCGTTCTTGAAGTGCTGGGGGATCGGCCACTACTTACGAGTTGACACCACCTGGCAAAGAGTGTAATCCCACAATGACGTGCATTCCATATTTCTCAATAGCATAATTTGTGATGGTTCTCAAATACTTTTGCTGGTTTCCATGATAAAACTCGGACTCGGGCCAGTCAATCCAAGCCGCATAAGTGGTCGGAATACGAAGAGTGTTGATACCAGTAGCAGCAAGCTTGTCGATATCGGCAGTGGTGACCCATGTAGCATATCGCTGCTCCAACAATGGACCACACTTAGGGCCTAGAGTCTTACACCAAGTCCACTCGTCCATTGCCTCTGGTGCGCCGGTGTTCCAGAAATCAATATCGTAGTTCTGTTCTTGTTCCAACCATGCTCCTAGATTAACGCCGTTGGCCTTGTAGGTCTTCCAATCAACAAAGTTGACATTTTTCGGCCAGATGAGGCTGTGCTTGAATCGCTCTATAGAGACAACGATTTGAGGAAACGTGAGCTTGTAGCAGTTCCAAACTGGTCCGTGAGAGGCACCATTGGTCTGGAGAGTGACACCGAGGTCTGAGAGGATGGTGTTGACGGTGTTTGTAATAGATGAAAGTATTGAAGAAATGAGACCTGGCTCAGGAACAGGAGCCGCGAGGGCCGAAGTGGCTAGAAGAACCGGGAGAACTGGAGAGAAACGCATGATTGATAGCAGAGTGTGATGGTCAAGATGCTTGAGATGCTTAAGATGCTTGCGATGGAGATATTAGACCAGAGAAGATACCAACGTCTTATATGAGATGTCAGTCTCGTATTTCGGATCGGGAAGCGGTCATGATTGCAAATCATATCGGCTTGAAATGTACTAGACGACGTAAATTAAGTAAAATTAGCACTTGGAACAACAGTCTAGAGGTCTAGAATGTGGAATTTTGACCGAACCCATTGATACTAGGAAAAGCAAACCACAAAACAACATCCATAATTGAGGCGATAGCAAATTTTGTGAACGTTGGAGACCAGCCATCGGGTTCATCCGAAGTGATGTTTACTACTGTGGAAGAATCGGATTCAATAGCGCGAGATGTCAACCGGTTAGCCAAAACCATCGGGGATTCGGAAAATAGGTGACAGTCGAGACCGCAAATGTTGACCAAGGCGATTTTGCCATGTGGGAAACGAATGGAGCTAACAGCACTAATGGAGATATCCTTAGCAGTTCTCTGTCAGAACGTCCACATCACTTCCATATGGAAAAATATGATGCACTAACAGCACTAACGGAGGTGTCGAGAGTCGAGGAGGCCCCTCTGGTTGAACGTCCACTTCACGTCCACATATTTGATAGTCCGCCATTAGCATTCCCTTAGCAGGATCTTTCACCCGGCAAATGAGTTGTAAATACATCTGTACACGCTTGCACCTGCTCAAGTACACGTCAACTCGCGAAATCAGTTGGGTTGTTGAGGCATCTGAATCCTCACAGACCGTAATTTAATGCTGAGCATGGATAGATCAGAGAGCACTTTGCGAATAACAATTATCTCTGAATTACCCGCGTCTCTAGCTGCCAGAAACTGCTTTGAGATCAGCAAACTTCTATCCAATTTCAAGGCATAAGATGAGGCACCGGCTCATCGCACCGTTGAATAGTGTATTAAGCATAACTTCTGTCATACCGTTAGCTCCATCAATAAAAAGTTCTGGAATCATATGGGGTAAACCTTGATGATGGAAGCTTTCAAAGCTAAATGTGGACGGGAGTCGTTTTGGGCCCAGGTGGTGGACGAAATAAAGTTGCAGTCGCAACCCGCGGTTGGCCTGAAATACTTGAAGCAATATGTGTACTTCGTACATGACTGAAATAACCAGCCCTTCACATCTGTGCACTCGTCTAAAATAGTGTAAAACAAGAAATATCTAGCGATATCATTGCCTAAAATTGGATGAGACTTTATCTTAGTGGGTAAAGTTGCTGTATGGGGTGGCGGCGGCGAAAGCTGGCTAGGTATTTAAGTCATGTACGAAGTAAATTGTTTCAAGTGAATCCACTAATTATACGATATTTCGTCAACTTAATTAAAGAAATATCATGCTAAACTGCCACTTGTTTTGTCCACGAAGAAGACCAGATTGTAGCCTGTGCCCCTCGTCCACTTCTATGCGATATACGACGTACTCCGGATTCCAGAACTTTTAGGTCGATTTCGCTTGTGGGCAAATTTCGTCATCTGCATAGTTGGAACTAATCTCGACAAGGCGATTCTATCTATTCTACTACTTGTTAGTACTTCCGTCAAGACTTATGGGATTTCTTCAGCGCCATCAGCCGCAACTTAGCCCAATGATACCTTTAAAATATGAGGTGTAGCCAATGGAATACAAAGGAGAAGCGTAGTTCCACATTACCAAAACATGTACCTTTCGCGCGGGAATTGCCCAGATCCTGCTTCTAGAGTCAAGCGTCATTGCCGACGTCCATTGCCATTGCAAGCATCATGGTAGAATAGCAAAGCTTACTGGGAAGTAACAGACCCTTCATGACTAGTATTTTCATGTGTGTAAGGTAGGATATCGTTTTTCCCGTCACGTAAATCCGAAGCTGTCTAATTATAGACTAAAGAAGGTTGTTCGGCTCAAAGACGAGACGAGTCGTGAAATAAGACCCATAACGCGGTCTCGGGGCGAATTAGCCAATCGCGTTCCAGTATCGCTGCTCGATGACGGTACCTCCCGAATCAATGATTAAACAATCTCACTGTCAACGTTTTAGTTTTCCCAAGTCTTCCCTTCCCGTGATCTCATAGAACTTGTTTCTTAAATGCTGTTCCTACAACTTTGATTTAATTATTGAAGAATTAAAGTTACAATTTGCCACTGCGACACGTGACTTAGTAGCTGTGAAGAACGCGTCTACTTCGCGCCGGAATAAGTGTCTACTAAGAAAACCACTTTTGAAGTTTGCTTAAGTAGAAGGCAAGGCCGTTCGAAAGATTCCAGTTACAGTTTTGCTCTTTGAGGGGTAATTTCCCAGTGATGCTAGAGAGTTTGTACATTATAGATTATCTTAGGCAAAGTTCTGTCCAATCATAGTACATTGAAACAACGAACCCGTTTTCGGGTTAATCGGGGGATTGGTGTAGTGGTAGCATGTTGGATTCCAGTTTCTCACAAGATGGAAATACCCATTGGTCGTCGGTTCAAATCCGGCATCCCTCAAACCAATATCGAAGTAAACTTCGATGTATCATGCGATATTTTTTTTCTTTTGGGGATTTAATAGAGAGTGGTAGGCAACGGGGGTGAGGTTTGTTTGTTTTTTCCATAATGTGTACACCTGTCCAGGCATGCAATTCTATGCAGTGTGCTCCATCAGTTCGAGCCTACAGTTCTCCTCGAGCCAGTTCCCTCATTACACGGTATCTATTTTACAAAACTTATCCAATATACAAAGTAAGTATCAAGTCCAATATCTCGTCTCGCTCTATACAGCATGTGAAGGGTCGCTTTCACGGTGGGAGGTCGGCATAGTTGATTCCAGTTTTGCAAGAAAGTGCGCAAGAAAAGGAAGCACTCATTCAGTTCAAATCTGGCATTCCTCATGCGTTCGTCGCTTTTTACATTTTTCCAGGGGGATTTACTCTCTGTTGAGGATGCTGAAACTTTTTGGCTCAATACTGGTGACGTTCCCGACAATCTGGGTCGCTTGACTACCTCCAAAACCTTGAGGCGATCGTCTTTGAGATAGCTCGCCGTGAGCAGTCCAAGAATAAGTGGCAGTTGAAAACTGATGTTTGCTAAAACGAGAGTTGATGAAATGCTGTATCGTACCTCAAAGGAATCTAATATCATTCAATCCTTCGTCAGTTGTTTTAAGCGAATGCCGTGCTTCCACTACCTCTTATATTGTCTACCGCGTAAGTACAGTCTAGAGATATGCTTGAATGGCTTCTCTAAATATTTTTACCTTTTCGACCTATCTCTATCCAAAATTAGTTTCTCAGTTTTCATTGTAGTATGCCTGTTCACGAAATATTGGCAAAAGAAACTTTAGTCAAAATCATATTGTACTTTTGCCTCTCATTTTTGTTACTAATTCCATTGCTAGTAGCTCATCGCTGTATTCAACTCCGTGTAAAATATGACCACTTCCCCGACCGTAAGATAAATTCAAAGCTGTTAAATACTGATCCCGATTCCCTTGGAGAATTGCTATCATTTGATTTTGTCCATTTTTCATGTATGATCCTATTGCTCTACGCCTTTTTAACAGTTGATAAAATGATAACTTTTCCCCGAATAAAAATCGTATCAAACGTCATTGTCAACTCAGAAAAACTCCACCAGTTTTCCAGATTCAGACTAGACTCGCTCGTGTGGTAGAAATCGACGTGGTGGAATGTTGCCACCTACACGTTGATGTGGAGGAGATGGTGTAGCTGACATCCGAGCGATCTCGTGAGGAAGAAGTCTTGATTGTTGAAAAGGAGGCGCGGCAGCATTCATGGTGGGCTTCTTTGGCTGTGGTGAGAGTATCCTGGAGTCGATTTCTGAGGGAAGAGATTTGACATTTTTTCGGTCGATTTCTTTCTTCTGATTCAGTGGCTTCTCTGCTGCGGATTCAACAGAAACTTGAGAAGCTGTAATTTCCACAGGCTTCGCTGACTGGTTTGGCTCGACAATTCCGAGTTTCTCTTCATGAAGCTTTTCTTCAACTTCTCCAGCAGAATTTTTGCCGTCCTTCCCATCTATAGACAGGCCAACCAAGATTTCAGGTAGCTTAACCGAATCGTCCCCAGTTTTTTGCTCGCCCAAACTATCCTCCAAAACTTGAGGAAGAATGATTGTCTTCGTAAAGTAAACAGCCTTCTGCCCAATAACAACGTTAAAGTCAATCCTGGTCCAGAAGATACCTTCTTCGGCACATGCGATCATCTCTCGCCCTGCCTGCTCAACTGCCTCGGCAGGAGGGGCATCCTCTCCACCTTCTAGCAGCTTAGCGAGACTCTGGAAGATAGAACTAGCTGCTTTCGCGAGCTCGACAGTAATTGCTGTTCTTAATTCGTGATCGCCATCGATTTGATGAATCTCGTGTTGTATGTTTTGGATTCCAGCGGCATCGAAGAGGGCTGGAAGGTTGTTGGAGGCTGCGAGAGAACGATTTAAGACTTCAGCCCAACCTTGGACAAGAGATATGCCGTGCTGGATCGGGTTCGGGATTTGAGACGAGAGAAGAGAGTGTTCAGGATCAATTTTAGGGAGATCAGTTGCCTTATGCGAGATGCATTTCCATCCGGTTCGCGAGAAGTCTGCATCAACCCACTGAATCCAACCTCCAGGCTCTAGATCTGTGTTAGTAAAGCAGCTTCATCGGCATTTCTCCAACTCACTAAGGCATTTATGCAAGTTCTCTAGGACCTCCTTCCATTGATCATCACCCAGGACCACGACCAAAGCTCGAACATGGATGAAATCATATCTTTCAAAGTGTCTCTCTTTGAATGCTTTCAAGATGTCACGTTCTTTGAGCTCGACATTGTGAGGAACGCTCTCTCCTGCTGGGAACTGTGCAGAAGAAATGTCGGTACCGTAGACCTTCACTTTTACATCCGGATAGTTCTCAGCAAACAACTGAGCCACCTCGATTGGCCAAATAGCGGTGCCAGTTGCAAAGTCAGCAATACGAATTGTGTGACCATCTGCATTAGCGACCAAAGATGATAGAATGGTTGGGTGGATAAGGAATTTGAAGGACTTTTTGATAATATCATGTTGGAGATTGAGCCTTGGATAGTCAGATTCGATTCGTTTTCGAGGGGTCGGCATACCTTTTTGTTTCTTCCTGGTCGCGCTTGAGGGGGTAAATTTCATCGGCCAACTTGGCTTCGGAAGTGAGGGCGTGAGATGACATTTTCGATTGGTAGTTTGTAATAATGATGAGATCTCCAGCTAGGAAGACGAATTTTTGGTGGGAGCAAGGTTAGGTAGTTAATAGATCGCGGTGTAGTGCTGTTCCAATTCAAAATAAAAGATCGAAGTCGCAAAACACCGGTGAGGTTGTAGAGTGGAGATGTCAAGTCAACCCGCAAATGTGTTGTGAATTGTGGCAAAGAAGGAAAGCTGAACGTCCTAACATGATTTTGTGAAGATCAGGTCTTGGTAATTTTTCTGATCTGTCGCTTTTGAATAGCAAAGTAGATAGTAAGATGAAGTTGTTTGAAATATTCCAGAGCCAGCTTGAAAAGAAAGTAAGGTTTTGAAAGCAATTGCGGGGCTATTGAAAGGATAAATGACCGAATACAATAGAATAATAAATGAGGGGGCGAGATAATAAAAAAGAGGGGTAGATAACAATTGCTGGTAGATTCATTGTGTCCGTACAAGAAGCAGAATAGCCACATAGCGTCAGCTTAGCGAGCTCGGTCGTTCTTGCCGTATTCTAATCTCAAATACCTAGTAACTTCTTATCTTGATTATCACAGATCTATACATGGTTTTTGCTTGTTCAGTAGTGAGTTTTTAACTGAAATTTCATTACCAACCAACAGTGTACTGCAATTCCGGCAGAACACTATCCTGGTATAATGACGTCAAAAATCGAAATTTATACGCTGTCTTCCTGAAATCACATTTGGCCTTTTATGTAGAGACAACGTTGTGTTTAGGCAAAGGCATTAAAGAAATACAAGCTCTTGGTTGAGTATCGTTATTCTGCCGTTAGAAGGTGTTGTAATACACTGGTGGTTTACTAGGTTGAGATGGCGAGCGGCCAAGTATTTAGGACGGCTTCATTTTCAACAATTCGAATCAAAATTTGACCTGGGAACAAAGATGCCATATCACCCAAAGTCGAGACAGTGTTCTTGATTTAATATTTCTTTTCCTTTAGATATGAACAGGCAAAGTTTACAATACCCTTCTCTGAACTCAATGAGGCTGTTTCTCTGGAAGAAAACATGCCAAATTACAACCGGGTATCTTGAAAATGCCCTTAGAAGAAAAAGTACCAACGTCCAAGCGTGTGGCAGTTCTGACCGGACATCTCCTTGTAGAAAAATTAGGATAAAATTCACCAAGTTAAATTTACTTAATTCTCCTGAGTGAACGAAATATAATGTTTCTTTGGCTAAAAGCCGAAATATTTTTCATGAAAGGGCCTTAGATTATCGGGTTTCTAATACTATCATACTTAGAGAGTTTACAGAAAGCCCGGTCAGTCTTAAAATGTAATGGTGAAGGGGTTACGGTCTTCGTTCTTAGGTTACCAGGTCGTGTCACAACTTATTTCCAAACCATAAGTGAAAATTGATATCAGAAGACTATGGGCTTTGCGTTTGTTTCAAATAACAACAGCAAATGAAATGTGCTGGGAATAAATGCTAAAATTTCCTGGTGGGGTCTTGAATTGGAAATCGACGCACTAATCGACGATGATAGCTGCTACCGCTGAGTCAACTTATCTTAAGTCCTACATTTCCATGCCGTCTTCTGTAGCCTGCCGAATTTTTCTTCTAATACTCGCGTATTTACGCTAAGATCACTGCATCTTCTTTTCAGGAGAGACTTGATATTCCCATCGAATGACGCCATTTCTGATCATAGATATTCACCAGTCTACTATCTTGAGTTCAGCAGCACCAAGAAGTATCCGAATTAATCGCATCCATGATCATGAGAAATTCGCCAAAGAAACCTTAACTCAAATCAGTAGACCAAATCTGCTGAGCGCCATTTAAACTTCCGTCACATGCAGTTAGCCTCCCGTCTCCGAAGGCATAGCTGCCTTACTTGTCTGTGGAATCTGGTGCCAACTCGTCGTTCTCGATCTGCCCAATCAATTTCGATGAATTTAACTGCCTAGCCCATGCACACTCATATGACAAGCACGAGCCTATGGAGAAGCATTTCTTAGAACTGCGGGGAGTCGTTCGTGGCGGTTTGTGGTGTTGAAGCTCGGCATATTTTTACGCGAGTGACGGCACTTCGGGTGAGTATATATATTGTGGCTTGCTCAAATTTGCGGAGTCTCCATACTCAGCGTCTCAGAGTCTGAGACTTCAAAAGAAGAAGAATTATGTACTGAATATGCAAGACTTGAGAAGGGTCATTCGTGGCCCAAGTTCCTCAGTGGAGATTCAATTGAGGAACTCCGTTGACTGAGCTGTCGTTTGAAATTGTTTAGTGTAATGAATTCCAGTTGCCTATTGCTCGCTACTGATGGTCCTGTTTCAGGAAATTTTGTGCCATGTAGCACAATGATACTCTGAGAACATCCATGTGGGGTAAAATCCGAGCATCAAGATTGCTATCTCTCAGGAAAACGTGAAGCTGGCATTGGGCCTCTATGTTCCGAAGATGAAAGAAGTCCTTAGTCTCAACAGATAGTAAAACTTGTCTTAGCACAGCACAGGAGATTTTGTCTTAGATAAAGAGGGAATAGGGTCAATCGGCCGGCTTCAATCGTTGTTTGGTGGTGGCTTGATCAGACTATGTAGCCTAGTCAAATGATGTCTTGCTGGTGCAACACGAAAGATCGTGTTATTTGGAGGTAAATTTTTGGCGCCACCAATTTTAGCAACCCCTACCAAGCCTCTTTTCCGAGTTCATTTATTTGTCATGCGGGAAGCCAGGAAGACTTTGAGACTAGGCAGAGACAGTTTCTTCTCGCAGCTTATATAAGAGCAGCACTGCTATCACTCAGTGGAAAATAATTCACGAATCCAAAAATCATCAAGGCAACGAATGAAGCTATCCATCTTTGGCGTAGTAGTGAACTTCCTCGCGAATTATCAGTCATCTGATATACAAAGCCTTCTTCATAATAAGATAGGTCTTCTGCCTCCGCATAGGTTGTCAACTCCATAACCATCGACACAACTTATGAGGCCATAAATAAGCCTCGAAAATCTCTTACGATGGTGTTCTACAGGAGAAACATCGTCATTTCTGATGATACCATTACGAGCGCAGCTCAGTTGACTTTGAAGCAGTCACTGGTGCCCAACTTCTTGGGTAAGTCTCTACTCTTCTTCGTTGGTATCAAGTAATAGCTGACGTCTCCTCTCAGTGACGATCCTTTTCTTTCTTTGGTATGGTAATCCAACTGAAACCTTGATATATGCGGCTAACACACAATAAAGGGGGTTCGCATATGGCCTGTTGGATGTCTTAAGTATACATATTTGCACTATACGGTTTAGCTAGCGCAATAACTAATCCCTCTTTTTGAAGATCCACACTTCCAGAAATCACTCAATATTACTCCCTCTATGGCCTCCGGCCTCTCGGCGGCATACTTCGGTGCATACTTCCTCTGCCCTCCCACAATAAGCGGCTGGATTCTTCGCAGATTTGGATTTCGTGTTACATTCATGAGTGGTTTGGCTGTTCTAGCAGTAGGATGCCTCTTGATGTGGCCCAGTGGAGTCAAAAGCTCGTTTGGCGGATTCTGCGGAAGCATGTTCGTTGTTGGGTCTGGTCTCGCTACTCTAGAGACCGCAGCAGATCCTTTCTTATCTATCTGCGGTCCTCCTCGATACTCTGAGATTCGATTAAATTTGGCTCAAGCAATTCAAGCCACAGGATCGTTCGTCGCTCCGCTTCTAGCATCCCGCGTCTTCTTCGCGCGCAGCGTCGACACTGCAGAAGGTCTTAAGAATGTACAATGGGTCTATCTGGGTGTTGCTGGCTTCGTTGGCCTGTTGATTGTTCTCTTCTTCTTGGCACCTATGCCCGAGATTACGGATGCGGATATGCACACCCAAGAAGCTCTGATTAGCGACGTAGATCCCGGACCATTGAAGAAGCAGTACAATCTGTTCCTGGCTGTATTTTCTCAATTCACATACGTTAGACATTATCTTCTCATTTTGCTTTGCACTGCTGACATTGGCATAGGTCGGAGCTCAGGTAGCTGTCGCCAATTATTTCGTCAACTTCTGTGAAGAGGCTGGCAAAACCCCAGCTGTCAGTTGTAAGTAATACCCTTCTGGGGAGGTTTCTTGATACACGATTGTTGACAATTAATTAGCCGACATATTCGCTGCTGCTCAAGGTCTCTATGCCTTCAATCGCTTTGTTGCTGGTGGGCTTATGGGCTTTCGAGCCGTCAAACCTCGATACGTTCTTGCAACATACTTGTTTGGGTGCTTCGCATTCGTTCTCGCGGCTTCTCAAACTGCAGGCAATACCTCAATTGTGATGATATGCTTGGTTCTCTGTTTCGAGTCCGCTTGCTTTGCCACAATTTTTGCACTAGGTCTTCGTGGCCTAGGTCGACACACAAAAATTGGTGGTGCGTTGATCGTCGCAGCTATTTCCGGTGGTGCTGTATTTCCTCCAATGACTGGTGCAGTTGCTACTCATTTGCAAAAGCAAAAGAGCACAAAACCTTTCCACACGGCAATGCTCATCCCAATGGGTGGCTTCATCTGCGCCTGGATCTATCCAATCTATGTCAATCTCTTGAAGAGGGATTTGATGGATGGCCATCGCACGACTGATGTCGGTATTGGACCTCCACTTGCTGAAAAGGAATTCAGCATGGTCGGTTCGCATGTGGCTAAAAATGATGGACATGTTACCGCAGTCTAGCGTACCTAAAGGTGTTTTCGGGATCTTGGATCGTCTCAGTAATCTAGTGGTGGATATAATTTCGCAGGTGAAATAACCTGTAGGTGGAGGTATCTAGGATTATCATCTTATCACATGTAACAATGAAATGGTATCAATCCGGCCAAATTGCATCATATGCAAGCGAAGTTGTTAAAGTCAAATGATACCAATCAACACAGCCATGCTGCTGAGACAAAACTCATGACCTTACACTAATTCGTCAATTGCCGTAGAAAAATAAACGATTTCGTATGTTATGAAATGAGAAGCGAAGATTTCCATCATCAAAGCAGTCAGATGTTTTAGCTGGATCAATCCCGTATGGTTTTAGAGCGTCGTGAGGTTTGACATATTTCCCGTCTTGTGATGAACAACTATAATGGTAATAACATACTATGTGTATTCCATTGTGTTGAAATAGTCGTATATGTTGTCTATTATTTTCAGTAAATGAGATATTTGAGACTGGAAATAACTTACTAAGCTTATTAGGCTGACAGAATCCATGGATCTTCGAGAGATCCACAAGTCACTACTTGTATTTTCCACCAGGAGCCGAGTGTCGGTAGAATGCACTCAATGTAATTCTAAATATTCTGTCCACTGGAAGACGGTGATGTGAAATAGGGGTTACATATTTTCGTTCATACCTTTCAGGTATGGATGGTCCTTCGCTTGTATTGGTTACCGTTTTTTGGTCTGGCTGTACGTGACCAGATTCAGAATGAACATTGCCGGTTTCAATCAACGCCGATTTTAGACAACCTATCATTTTCATTTGAAATTTGCATCTCGAAGATAAGTTGGACGAAAGGTGGTGAGATGCTCCACCCAAGCTACCTAGGCAGGCATTTGTTAGTGAGTTCGGTACTTCTTAGCCTGCTTTCATGGTACTGGTCTTCTATCAAAGAGATCTGCACTCTACTGAGGGGAAGCACTCTTAAGTAGCACTCGCAAAACAGTTCATTCGCAGTTTTCCTTCTCTAGGAAGTATCGGCCGGAGACAAACTTCATCGTGAATATACGCGAAGTGTAGTAAATATGAACAAGTGTTTCCTAGGCAACCAAGAATACAGACCAGCGAGGTGAATTCCACACGAGAATCCCCATACCGGTTGAAAATCCAATCTGCGAACGGCAGGAACGAGTCAGCTTTACGTCGAAGCAACCTCGTCTTTTCATCACCAAGGAGGTCTTCCAAACTCCACCATCCAGTTCCAAAAACCCCTTTGAGCTTTTAAAATCCAAGATGCAATGCAATGTTTTCTTTTTGGCCTTATTGGGTATCGGTCTTGGAATCGCATTCCCACAGCAAGCAAACCGAACTGTTTACGATGATCTGCTTACCAGCCCTACCGAATATGGCTTCAGGTCTTTCAATCGAAAAATTGATAATCAAATTCGACAATTGAGAAATGAGTCGATCGCTAAAAGTTACAGCAAATGCCAGAATGCTGTACGCACCGAACCATCTGAAGTTCTGGGACCAAGCTGATGAAATACAGTGTGCTCTTTTGGCGATTTTGTTAACGAACGTCAGCTCACCCAACCAACTCGACTATCGTCCGCTGCAATATTGGTCGGTCCAGCAGTCTGAAGTTACTCCGGCGTGCAGAGTCGATGTTTCCAGTGCCAAGATGATTTCGTCAACGATACTAGTGTCTAATTTAACGAATTGCCCATTTGCGGTACGGAGTGGCGGCCACACCAGCTGGGCAGGCGGATCTAGTATTCAAGATGGCATCCTAATCAACCTAGCGAATCTGAACATGGTTTCTCTCAACAGCGATCGGACAGTAGCCAAGGTGGGGGCAGGCAACAATTGGTATGACGTCTATAAAGTACTCGATCCTTTGGGTATATCAGTAGTAGGAGGGAGAGAAGCGGGTGTTGGAGTCGGTGGTCTGCTTCTAGGAGGTAAGCTCGTTCTCTATTCATTTCCGATCTTCGACTGATACATATCAGGTGGTATATCATACTTTTCAGGTCGATATGGATGGGGGTGTGACAACGTTCTGAACTATGAAGTCGTGCTTGCTAACGGTAAAATTGTGAACGCTTCGCCATATCGGAACGCAGCCCTGTATTGGGCGCTTCGAGGAGGTTCAGGAACTAATTTTGGCATTGTCAGCCGCTTCGACTTAGGAGCGTTTGAGCAAGGCCTGCTGTGGGGAGGAAACCGATTCTATTTGTGGGATAACAAAGACGTCCTCGTAGACACTTTCGCGAAGTTTATTGTGGATGCTCCCATGGATGAATTTGCGTAGGTTATCTCATGTCTTCAATTGTGACATGATGGGAATACTGTATTCTTGTTGCGTCTCGGTGAGCCAAGAGCTGATTGTGGCTCTGCAGACACCTCTATATTTCCTTCGGCTATAACATCCAACTCGGTGGGTTTGCTGGAATTGCTGGGCCGGCGTATGGCAGAGCAATCTCAAATGCGACAATTTTCGAAGATTTGAACAAAATACCCGTCCTTTTTGATACGACGCACATCGCGAGTATGGGCGTACTAGCTGTTGAACTCAACCAAACGGATTTCCTCAGGAAAGTTGAGTCATTTCCCCAACCGTCCCATAGTATGCTAATCGATAATTAGGGAAATGTAAGTGCCGACAGGATAAGTGGTGACATCAGATGCTTTTAAGAGAAATATTAACCAGTTATAGCTTTAAGACCGTAACATTCAAGAGCAATTCAACACTGATGAAGAAAATTGTCGGAATATTCCACGAGGAAGCCAGTAATGTCTTGGATGTGACAGGCCTAAACCCATTCTTCGCCTTCCAACCATTATCCGTCAATATAATAGCTCATATGCAAAAGAATGGTGGCAATGTTCTGGGTCTTTCCGAAGCTGATGGACCATTAACAAGTAACACTTTACCTGAAATGTCAATAGACTGTGCTAAGATTGATACTAGTCATGAATCTCAATTGGGGGTGGGCCAATTCTGCCGATGACGGTCGTGTCAATGCTGCCTTGGATCGATTCGTATTCAGAAGCGTAGAGTTGGCAAAATCTCTGAACTTAGATCATCGGTTCATTTATCTAAATTATGCTACTTTGGATCAGGATGTGTTCAGCGGGTATGGACAGAAAAGTCTTACTAGACTAAAAGTCGTCCAAAAGAAGTATGATCCGACTGGAGTGTTCAAAAGACTGCAACCCGGATACTTCAAGCTCTGAAATTGCCTGTGCTATTATTCTTGTTTTAACAGGGCGGTTAGCAATAAGTATGTACACATACATAAGCATAATCAAAAACCTCGAATTCATACGTGTAGTACTCTGCAGCATCTCCTCTCTGTAGGGGAGCACAATGTGGAACGACTACCTACATAAAATGTAAGGTCTCGCTTTGCATTATGTCCCACTCCACCTTACTAATGGGGGTTGAATACAACTTTGTGAAAGGCGGTCAGAGTAAAAGCCTTCCGAGTTCACGTTGTCACGAGCAGCCGTGTCGCTCTCACTAAAACTATACCGCAGGTGTTCACTATAGAACCTCACGATTGGGTAGTTGTAATTCATCGGCAATTTATGTTGTATTACCACTTCTTCGGGGCGCCAACCACAGTTCTAGAGAACACAGCACTTGCAATGGGTTCCGAAGCTTTCGCCTTCTGCCTCGCTTCAATACCAGTCCTGTCTGTTACCGGCGTCGCGTTGATAATGTTGTCGAACTCATCGTCGTCCCCGTTGTCGGAATCTGCCTCGACATCCGAGTCCTCTTTCACGGCGATGGGGCGAGCAACCTTTTCCAGAGCAGGTTTCGATGTATCCTTCGGATTTGTGAATGGCTTCGAAGCCAGAACACGACGCCTAAGTTCCGCCATTTCTTCCTCGTCGTCTTCATCATCTGTTATATTCAAAGGGTCTTCTTCCTTCATTAGGTCTGGTTTTTCCTCAATTTTTGCAGGTTTCGTGCCGAGATAAATTCCGTCCAGTTCATCGTCATCGTCGCCTTCTTTGTCGTTATCATCGTCTTCGTCTTCATCGGAGCTCTCCTGAACTCTATGGTTTGTGTTGCCACCTTTCCACATGTCTGTTTCTTCGCCGTCCTCCCCAGTCGCTCTGCTATCTGCGTATTCTTTCTCTAACCTCGCCATCCACGCCTCCTCGGTCTTCTTGATATCGGCTTCATCCGTACACGCAGCATACCGTCGCAAGATAGAAGAATTGATCTCCAAAAAGGCTGACCCATACGAAAAATGTGACAAGACTTCTTCCGCCCACTCTGGATGGCCACAAATATAAAATGCAGCACCCAATGCTTCGACGCAATTTAATCTCCATGGTTTCCCGTAATTGACGCTGTTCGCAGCCACCAAGTAAGGTAACAATCTTTCGCATTTGCCACCGATTTTGGCCCAAGGAACCTCTTTAACTCGTGCCCACGAGCACTCTACCACAGCGGCACCAAATTGCTCCATGATCTCGCGGTCTGCTGGGGAGATGGTCTGCTTAGCGTTTGGACTTATGATGACCCCAGAATGCTTTTGACCAACGTGAAGCTCGCGCATGAGGCCCAGCTTCATCATTTTCTTGCCCGAGCATCTCTTGGGGTCGCAGTGTCCCAAATCCCAACATGCTGCTTTGAAGGCGGGGCGCGAGTTCGCCGCGGGGTTGTCGTCATCGTCTTCGTTATTGCTTCGCAGGCCTCTTTGCTTTGGGGCGTTACTGTACTTCTTCCCCTTGGCTGAAAATCCATCCTTCTTGTGTCGGACCATTTTGAATGTTGTGTTGAATGGCAGAGAAAATTACTTGTAAATGTTGTAGATGGCGAGAAGCACGAGAGGAGGGACCGCGTCAAAAACGTCAGGCCGCTGCAGCTTCGCTTCGTCAGAACGCCGCAGCAGCCACGAAGACAAGTCTCCCCCACCATCTGCGCCCCAAGGTCTTGACAGTTTGCCCTTACTACAATCAACGTCGCAATTCTTTCAAAGACGGCATTGGCAAGTTCACATCGATCACCTCCAAATGGAGGCCGCTTCAGCGCGAATGGCGGCCCGGGACCGCTTCGGTGTCATGGGCGACCCAGGCCCGTCGCAGCTACAACGATATATTCAACAAGCCTGCAGTCCAGAGAACTTCGAACCAAATCTGGCGCTCAATCTTGAGATATCCGACCTGATCAACTCGAAGAAAGGCAACGCGCCTCGAGAAGCGGCCGTAGCTATCGTCAACTATATCAACCATCGAAATCCAAACGTCTCCCTCTTGGCACTTAACCTGCTCGATATCTGCGTTAAGAACTGCGGCTACCCGTTTCACCTGCAGATTAGTACGAAAGAGTTTTTGAACGAGCTCGTTAGAAGATTTCCTGAACGGCCACCTATTCGAGCAACCAGAGTTCAACAGAAGATTTTAGAGGCCATTGAAGAATGGCGGGGTACAATCTGCTTGACCTCGAGGTACAAGGAGGACCTGGGGTTTATCAGAGACATGCATAGACTTTTGAGCTACAAGGGCTACGTTTTCCCAGAGGTTAGAAGAGAGGATGCTGCTGTCTTGAATCCTAGCGATGTAAGATGTACCGCCTAGAACGCGATTGTCCCTCTAATTGTTTAATAGAACCTCAAGTCGGCAGACGAGATGGAGGAGGAAGAAAAGGCTGCTCAGTCCGCGAAGCTTCAAGAGTTAATAAGACGCGGTGGCCCAGAGGATCTTCAGGAAGCGAATAGGTTGATGAAGATAATGGCGGGCTATGATACGAGACAAAAAACCGACTATCGAGCCAAGGCAGCAGAGGAGGTTGGCAAGGTGCAACAAAAGGCACGACTCCTAGAAGAGCGTCTTGCTGAGTTCAAGCCTGGGGATAAGATGACTGAGGGGGACGTCTATGAAGAGCTGGCATCTGCTTTACAAAGCGCACACCCAAAGATCCAACGAATGTGCGAGGAAGAGTCCGACGATCATGAAGCAGTAGCGAAACTGCTCGAGATAAACGATAGCATCCACCGCACGGTTGAGCGCTACAAGTTGATGAAGAAGGGCGAAGTAGACGCGGCTGCAAAAATCGCAGCAGGAACACTTGGCACTAGTACCGGTGTTGGCAAAAATGCTGCTAACGAGCTATCGTTGATTGATTTTGATGGCGATGCAGCTGATACCAATGGCAATGGAAACACTGCTTCAGAGCCGCCGGCCTCTGGGCAAGCTGGAGGACTTGAAGATGATTTACTGGGCCTATCCATAGGTGAAGCAAACTACGGTCAAGGTGGTGGCATTTCTCTCGGATTCGGAAACAATACAGGCAAGACATCAGTGTATCTGAATCTTGCTAATACTGACTGTTATAGGTATGCCAGGACCTGCGTTAATGTCTACAACGACGGAGCATAGCACCGCACGAGGCCCGGCTCCAACATTTCCTGCTACTTCTCAGCAGCCAGCTGTTGTCAAGCCAGATTACTCTGCGTTTTCGGCTTTTGGCTCTCCTTCGCATCCTGTATCCAAGTCCACAACGCCACAACCATCATTGTTCCAGCAGCAGCAGCAGCAGCAAGCTGCTTTGGCACACAAACCTCAGCCAGCTCCACCCGCTGCCGATCCCTTTGCTGCTCTAACTTCCCCAATACGAAACTCGACGCCACAGCAACCAACTCCCTCGATGTTCGATTTTGCCTCTCTTCAGACATCAAAACCGGGACCAGCGCCTTTGCCTGCGGCGGATGACGATGAGTGGGCATTTGAATCGGCTCTACCAGATGGACTTCCGTCTTCGAACACCATCGCAGTCAGCAGGACTGGTTTAAGTATAGATATGATGGCGTCTCGCGAACCACAGAACCCATCTATTATCAATCTCTCCCTGTCTTTTTCGAATCAGTCAGAGATGCCCATCTCAGAACTTATGTTCATGGCCGCAGTCACAAAGGTACGTCGTCACGTGTTGGTGCAATAAGATCATAAGCTCGTTTTATGTCCTTAGTACACTCATGGAGCTAACAGTATTCTAGGGCTATTCTCTCAAACTACAGCCACAAACTGGGCGAATATTACAGCCACGGGAACAAGCAGGTATCAAACAAGTCATATTGCTCAACGGGGTGGAGCCCGGAAAAGGCGATTCGGTAAAGTTACGATGGAAGGTTTCTTACATACTAGGTGCTCAGCCGATAAACGAGCAAGGAGAGATCTCCTCCCTAGGTATTTCTTGATTCTGTCAAGGCATACTAGGTAAACTAAATCTTATGCAATACCCGAACTCGGTTGCACTTTGTTTTCATGGACCGATATGCGACATGACTAGGCAGCAAAAAGAATTTGCCCTGAGTTATCAAACGCCAGGAGTTTCGCGAGTATACAGCCCGTGTTGTGGGATAGATGGATTTACAATTGACTTTTATATGATGTCAACATAACAACTTCTTAGAGTTAAAATAGCGGACCGTCTAAATCGATCTAGCTACATCCCACGCATCGTTTCAGGAGTTCCTGCTCAATCTTAAAAAAAATCCAGCTTCACGATTCATATTTTCTACGAATCGTTCATTGGTAACTGAATACGATACCAGTGCAAGTGATCAAGAAACGACTTCTCAAACTCCCCCCTCATACGCACTTTTAGTCTTCTCAATATAGATAATAGGGTATTTTCACTCAACTAACTCAAGTGAATAGTTTTTTCAAGCAGGATATCGTCCTTTTGCAATAACAAGGTTCCCGGTCAGACGGCAGCCCACTTGGGCGACAGCCACGATCATTATCATTACGAACAAGCGTTGTTAGCCCATCTATCTATCTATCTAAAATACCTTTCCTATCCCCACAGAATTTGAACACTCTTCGCTGGCCCGCTCGCACTTTCGGTTTGCGTCATCAGTCAATCCTGCGAGCAATGCCCCCCCTTCATCAGCAAGGAATCCGGGATTCGCAAGAAATCTAGGATCAAGCCAAAACACTCTCTCGTCGCCATTCTGGATCATTGTACGTACATTCTGAGCCCTCTTGTGACCACCAAAATACCAAATAACACTACGAATAGCCCCAAAGATACTCACAACGGCGTATAACCATTTGTAAACAGGATATGTGACACATCCCCAGAATCTAGGCTGTAGATCTGAGCGTCTTCTGGTATGAACATATTTGAAGACCAACAGCGGTATCATCGATACTAAAGTGAGCAAAAGAGCTTGTCGCCAAAAGCTGGAATCGCCCGCCATCGTGACTAGCACAGGAACACGCACCCAATCCACAATCAACGTGGCAATAGCGTATGCATGTACGAATTTCTGAGTGAGGATGCCTTTGAAGGTATTTTGCCCATTCAGAGATAAGAATAACCGACTAGCGAAACCGAGCAATCTACCATGTCGTCCCATTTCCCAGCTGTTCTTCCTTTGTTGCCACCAGTTCAGACCAGGTCCAAAAATTGTCGTTGGGACTTCTGTTTCTAGTACGACTCGAAAATCCATCGCGATCCTCTTCTTCATTTTCTGCATGCTCAATCCAGTATTGACGTCTTCAGCGATGAAGTCGAGCGAATGGTAGTTGCTGATCAGGTCAATCAAAGTATCCCTCTCACAAAACCAACCTGCGCCATGAGGATACAACACGCCACACAAGCTCGACTCTGCCATTTTGCTTAGGCCAGACATCTTATACTCGCAGTCTTGCCACGCTACTAGGAACAGAGGCGATTTTCCGGATGCGTCGATTGCGCGCAGAGGAAAAGCAACGCCCTTCGTCACATCATCTATCTTGTCAGTTGGAGCCCGGAAGTTCCTAGGAATAGAAACATCATCTGTTTCAGAGTCAGATCTAGCTGCGAGTAACCCTTTGGGGACATACCATCTACTGTCATGATGGAGTCGTAATTGCGACAAGCGAGGGCGCCAACAAGTTGCGCACAGTTTTTACTCCCTATCGGCGACCATATGTACACGATATCGGGGTGTTGCGTTCTTATCCAACCTCGAAAGTCGTCTGGCGGGTATTTTGTGCGTCCGTTGTCGACAATGCATACGTCTTGGGGTCGGAAGTGCGGATATGCTAATTCTAAGACCTTTCTCATGGCATCTCTATCGCTATTATGGCATGGAATAACCAGAGCTGTCCGATGATCTAGATCTTTGACGTCTGGAGAAGCTCCTTCAGTAGGTTTTCTCTCCTTAGCTGAGACATTGAGTTCACCTGTTCTCTCTACAGCACATTCGATTCCGACCTTCTCGGTTATGCTTTTGGTACTCTCGTTGAAACTAGCCGCATTCTTTGTTTCGTTGAAAATTCCTGAGTTGGCTTCGGCGTCTGTGCAATGCAACGAATATTCCGGATCTAATCGTGGGATTCGGACGACAAGGAGGACGATCCATATCATGATAGGTTCCAGTGCCAGTACAAGCACCAGGATAGGAAGCATGTTACTCCTCGTAATGGCCATGGACTTTTCTATCCATTTGGTGTAGTGCTCTGAGAGTACGATACCTGCGATGATAACTGCAACGCCTAACAACACGGTGTACTTCCAAATACCAAACGGCCAAAATATTTGTCGGACGTCAATCATTTCCAGAAAGACCTTCGGATCGATTTGCTTGGATAAGCTCTCCTTGATGGCTTTCCAGCAACGCCTTACACCACAACGATTCCGCCTGAACCGCTTCTTCTCAACTATATGAATGGATTGTTGACCGCTCCATTCTGTATTCGCAGGGCTTTTGTCGTTGCTCCCATACGGATGGGCATAAGAGTCAAAGACTGTGGTGGTAGAATCCCAGGCGCGTGTTAGTGCAGGCTTTTTCTCCCCATGTGTGATATCTTCCTTCGACAATCTCTGGATGGTAAGCGGTGAGCTTCTATCGGCATCTTTATACATCGATATCAAGCTCGGAGATTCAGATAAACTGCTGGGCTTTTCGTTGTTGATGTTGTGCAAATGTGACCCTGAGCTTGAAAGCTGTGCTGGAGGGGGTCGAATTGGTAAAGAGATGATTGATTTGCGAATCTTAGCAGAGTTTGTTTTCTCTGCGAACGGCAGCGGATCTTGATACTTAAGTCTGTTATCTTGCCAATGAATACTGCTGTAGTCGTTTGTGTTTGGCGGCGTATTCGATCCGCATGTGTACAGTTTTGACGAACGTTTATGCATTGGACTAGCTTCTGAGAGAGGTAAGTTGAAGGTTCGATTGTATGTCGAATATACACATGTAGATGATGGCTCGAATTGGCGTAAGCTTTTGTTGTTATTATTATTCGTAAGAGATGGACATGAGAGGGTTTGAAAATCAGAAGGTTCAGAAGTCATCGCCATGTTCTCTGAGAGAAAACTCTATCAAATGCTGTTTGCCATTCAACGAGAGATGGTTCTTAACTTTTGTGGAAGAAATTAAATTTCAAAGCCGTATAAACAAACTAGTCAGAAAATCCAAAAAAGAAGTTGAAGGTGCAATATGGTTGTTTTTTCAGCTCGTCAGGGAAATTACATGCAGTCAACGACTCAACAACAAGCAAAAGAACACCACAGTTTTGTTGATCCAGATCCATTATAGTCTCAAATCATATAAAGATCTTCCGCTGCCAGGGTTCCGATTGAATATTTGAGAGACACGGCTGTCAATTAACATGGATTGACGCGCTGAGAGGTGACATAATCGGCGTTAACCTGTGAGAGATCAAATCAATATTACCATAGTACGAGTCACATAATAATTTCTTCGGCGAGGCCCTCTCAGTAGATTTAATTATCAGAGGCTACGTTTCCTACTCGTAATCCTAAGAAGCTGTATTAGGGCGTCGTCGAGTTTCTAAAAAGTGTTTCTACTCGTTATGAAACCCTTATTCAGGCAAGGCTGGACTTTTTCAACATCTAATTGTAATTTTGTGTAGAAAATTCGTGTACCTATTAAGGAAGGAGTATTGGAATTGTTTTTTTGGATTTCCATACTTGCGGGAATGGAATCTCCACAACTTCTTTTCCGTAAGAGGCACCAATTCTTCTACATCTTATTGACTATTGAATGCATGTAGTAAAATCCCTTGCGTCAACGGAAGATCGTCGTTCCAACAAACATTAAGCGAGACTCTATACTTGGAAAAAGGGGCTTGCCTGCATGATCCGATGCCCCCTTACGTGCGCCACGTGATTAATAAGATCTTCCAAATTTATTCTAAGACTCGGGTTCTCCATTTGTAGGTCTCAAGATTGAACACAAAGTGACAATGTTTTTATTCACCATTTCCTTGTGTCTGTTTACCGCGCTGGTCGTGGCTGACGACCTGACTTCGTGCACCAGCTTTAGCATCAACGGGTCTTCTAAGCAGAACTTCCAATACTACCGCTTTTATGATTTCAGAAATCTTGGCGCAAATACTACAGTGGCTGTGAACAGCCAGGTGAGATTTCGTGATCGGTTGAGAGCGGCCAATGTCGCCAACACGTCGTGGACAGATGATTGGAAAATAAGGGATCAGTTGAAAGAGCCTTCCGAACATAACGACCTAAGGTGGAGATATACACCTCAGAATGTTGCTATTGGTATGAGCTGCAGTAGTAACTTTGTTATTTCTTGCTAATAGATGTAGGGACAACTGCGAGCGATGTGTCGAATTCGGAAAACATTAGTACCTTCCTTAGCCTGACTGCATCATGTATTGGAGATCAGACCGGGGCAGAAATCGACTTCACAGCCACTGATGTTCTGTATGCTTCTATCCGTGCTCGCGTTCGAGTTGGAGGTGACAGCAGTGCTGTGGCTGGCATCTTCACGTACCACAGCGATACGAGCGAGTCCGATATCGAAATCCTCACACGCGATACTCAAAGCAACATTCATTATTCCAACCAACCCACAACTGATGACAGTTCTCGAACAATACCAGGCGCAACTTTCAACGTTACCATGGCAGGAGGTGTAAAATGGACGGATTGGCAAACTTATCGACTAGACTGGCTCCCTAATCAAAGTGCTTGGTATGTGAATGGAGTCCAAACAATCAACACTACAACAAATGTTCCGCGGGAACCTAGTGCCATTATATTCAATATGTGGAGCAATGGTGGTCTATTCAGTGGCAGAATGATTCAAGGGTCTCGGGCAAGGATGGATATCGCTTGGATTGAACTGCTGTTTGATACTTCACAAGGATACAAATTTCACGATTCAAATCAAGAAACAAAAGTTTGCTCGATTGATCAAATGGGCCGGGGTACAACGAGCACAGGGTCAAAAAGTAATGGAAATATGAAGGGTGGTTTAGTTTTACCAGCACTGTTAGTATATTTATTCTTTTAAACTCGAATGAGAGGTCACTCCTTGCTCCAAACACTCAACATGTGTACTTTTTCCTACTTCACGGTAGATAATATAAGTAGCAGTCGGGCGACAATGGTTGCTCAAAACAATTGACGAAATATCGCGTGTTTCGTCTTTTGTTTTCAGTCAATGAGAAATTCTTGGACCGTATTTGGAGATTCTTGATAGGAGAGAGTCTTGGTACACTTAGTCGTAAATATAGTAGTCGAACGATACCTACTCTCAAACCTCTGAGTCTCCACTGCGGGCATGCCAACTCATCTCGCAAAGTACTTTTTCGCAAGATCGTCCCACTTCCATGAATCCCACACTTGCCCAGATTTTCAACTCCCATGTACATTCTTTCACGACCCCCCAGATCTCAAGCAAAGAATATTAGCTAACATAGATCAGCTCTCCGGACAGTCAGAAATGGATATTAAGAAATGTACTCAAGCAATCACCAAAGTCAACACTCTCAGCCAGGAAGGGAATTCCTGTTCATGAAACTTGTCAGGCGAAAGATTCTGTGAAATGCGCTCTACAGCATCCTTGATACTGACTTCCGGATGCTACGGATAATGTAAGACGAATGGAAGAGAACGTATTGTTTAATACTTTGAGGCTGATAGAATAATACATATTTAGCTCTATATTCCACACTTTCATTAATTATAGAATAATTCATGTGAGCATATGCACACAAGATCAAGACAACACTTAAAAGTTTCGGGACCTAATTATCCTGTCAGGTTCCGAGGATTGCCATTTTTAGACCAAAACTTTACCATTTTATGGTCCAACATAACAACATTAAGAGATCGTGATCGTGAGGTTAGTTGTTCCACTAATTGCGGCTACCTAACCACTTCACGGTAGTCACAACACAATTGCGTAGAGACCCCACTTGGATCTCCTTCATCTCGATCAGTTTCCGAAAGTGTAACATTCAGCCAAGATTTAAAGACATTAAGTTGTTGATGGGAAATATCGAGAGTTGCAGCGTGTGTCTGTGCAAAGTTACCTCTGAGAGCAGCAACGTTCTCTTTGAGTTCTCGAAAGGGGGGAGATCTGAACTCGCTTATTTGCGGCTTAATCAATACTAAGAAGCTACGATCTGATTTAGCGGCTTCTTGGTATCATAGTATTTAACTATACAAGACAGCTTACCGTGGTATCGGGTTGTTCGCACAAGAAAAAGTTGTCATTCAGATCATAAAGACAGTGACATCCGGACCCCTACTAACAGACTTTCTTCGCCCACTGGGGACCATTTAAAGCCTCTCAAGGCTCTTTCGGCCTTCATTTCTAAACTTCCTCATCGTTGAAGCATAATTCCTCAAAATATGTTCTTCTACGCACCATCCCAGATCCGTGCTCTCCCAGCACAGAAAGGCTTCATAGCAAACGACCCTGTATGTGATTCTCATCCCATTCGATTCCCACATTCTCATATCTAACTCAAAAGCTCACATGTCATATCCAGACCTTCCAGGACCCAGTCAATGCCACCAAACCCGGAGAGACAGGAAAATCATCTCTGCCCAGGAGGAAACGACCAAGTGTGGAAGATTAGCTTTTTTGTTGCGATTTTAGTGATTTTGGTCATAAGTTGGATTTCAGAAATTCCTGTTTGAAAGAGATGTAGATTAATGGGAAGATAGTTTCATTTTTTCTTCGTCTGGTGGCTCAAGCGCAACTTCATCATTACAAGAAAGAAGAGGGTCATGGAGAATGGTGAACCCGCAGGCTCGGTTGAGATGACTGCGGAATAAGAGTTTTCAGGGGCGGAAGTGTTCAGGGAGAAGGATAGATTGAGCTGTTGGTCTGAGGAAGGGTGGTTTGATTTCATGTGACATCTGGATTACTATGAGTTGACCTAGAGCTCATATCCGCAGATAACAATACCTTGGTGTTGAAGAAAAGCAATTTATAAATATCAATAAGAGCATCATTGAGCGCATAGAAAACATGATCACGAGAACAGCGAATGTGTGAAGAATGAATGTGTGATGAAACTGCCCGGCGTCGAACAACTAAGCGAGAAGAGTGACGGCCAAAAGGAACGAAAGACTCGCCAACTTGCACGCGGCCTCTTAGACTCAAGCTAACCAGCAACGAACACAAAAGGTCGATCTAAGGTAATCTGATGCTGAAAGCACGTGCTCAATGGGGGCTAAACGAATTTGGCACTGACTATGCTTATGTCAAGTATCAAAGCATCACTTAGATACCCGAAGCATAGTACCACCATCTTCAGGGTTTAGACAACAACCTCATTTTATGCACTGCTCGAGACCCTAAGAGTTTAAACTGTCATGCATAACACTTATCAAGAGTAGTCGCAATCTCAGTCAAGAACTTTGAGAGATCATTGGCTTCCTTCTCTGTCCGCTCTCTCACATTAATCGCGAGACACTTCCTGACCACCTCACCATAGATCGAACCCGTCAACCTAACACGCATTAGCCACATTTCAAATTCCTCTCACCTTTAGAATAAATCAACTCACCCATTCAGTTTCATAGTCAAACTCTGAAAATCCTTCTTCGTCCTCTCAAAATCATCATCCGCAACCTCCACAATACTATCCAAACTTTTCCACAACCCAATCTCCAGCAGCAGCACACCCAGACTATACACATCATGCGCCCTCGAATACCTTATCATAGGATTCCACCGCTTGTCAGGATGTTGATAGTAATCGAGATTGAGATCATTCGGGCGTCGCGTGAGAGCTGCTCTCTGGTCCTTTGAGTCGTATGCAAACCCTGGATCGTTGACTAGATCGTCGACGCGAGCATTGCCGAGACCGACCAAAAGCGGTTCGTCGTAGCCGATAGGTTGAGGAAAGCCTGATGCAGGACCAGGAGGACCACTGGACGGTTTGTTCTTTGCTGGGAAGAATAGGATGGAGTTTGCGCGGATGTTTTTGTGGACCCAACCCACACAATGCATCAAGTGTACGGCGTCAACAAGTCTTTTTGCGAGGGCAAATCGTATACCGAGGTCTAACTTGTGTAGACATGAGGGGTGCTTTCCTTCTAGGAGTTCTCTCAACGATACGGGCATCCGTTTTTGTGATATAGCACCTGCTGGAAGTATTTGAGGGAGATTTGAGCGGATGTGAGTTGGAGGTGCCAGCACCAGACCATATTTCCTAGTGTATGGATCTTCCACCATTCCATAACACGTCGGAAGTAGCAGCTTTCCTGGCTTCGGTGTTGCTAGCATCAGAGTCTTTATGCGAGTATCTCGTTCTTGATCGCGATCGTTGTTATTAATCCACTCAATGAGCACAACTCGATGCTCCTTTTTGACTGGATAATCGAACAAAAGAGCCATCGTGGAGGATGGTGTGGAAGATATGATATAAGACTGATCGAAGCGGAAGTCTCGCATTCCAAATTTGATTGCCGCATGTGGCCGTTCGAACTTGACAACAGCACTGAATTGTGCCGCCAAAGATAGATCGTGGTATCTCCCTATGTGTTCGTTACCCTTCGGTGAATGTTTCGCCTCGAATGCAGCAGCCTCCGCTAACCGCTTCAACTCCTTCAGCTGAAGTTGTCGTATCAATTTAAATTCCCCCTTTAACATTTTTTCTAAGTCTGGTTTCGGACCGTAGGTAGACAGGTTTTCATTATACTCTTTCAATAAATCAATCAAGTCGTTCCATGCGCTATCCTTTTTCCTGAACACAAATCGACAACGCTTCATGAAGGACAGGTTGATGCGACATCGCTCCAGAAATGGGCCTTGCGTCTCGATTGTGAGCTCTTGGCCACTTCGTAAGCGGAACTGCGAAAGGTCTTTGGAATCCTTTTTCAGAGACGATCAGTAACTGGAACATAAGTCGTGTCAGGGAGAAGAAATCTAACATACTCGGTTAGATCTGTCAGGCTTAAAGCCGAACTGCTCTTCTAAAGCTCTTGCATCGAAGAGTGCTTGCGAGAGCAACGCCAATTGTCGTAAGATTCGCTTTGCAGACGCGGGATTACTTTTGGCATATGATTCGAACTTGATATCTACCTCGCCATCTTCGTTGCGCCATATTTCCCGCCATTCATCGAATCGCTTTCATCACGTGAGCTAATTATCGAAGACAAGCGTGGGGTATCAAAGAAGTTTACTAACATCTCGTTGGAGTTCCACTCTACCAACTGCAAGTTGGAGTACGTTTGTTGCATCAAACACATCCTTGATCATGCCCAGCCCATCTAGCCACAGTCAGTCATACACGGCAGCAGTGAAAGTTCAAAGTTACAAGCACGAACTGACCTCGACAGAGTGGGAGAAGCCCCAAAACCCCCGAAACGATCCCAAACACCTCGGCCATTTCATTGAGAGCGAGCTGCAGAAGTGGTACTCATATATTTGAACTCAACATTGTGTTGATTCAAAATTGCTACCCGAATATCAGCTGGCGGAGGCCTGAGATGCAATGTGTAGGAGCACTGTCACGTGTGACCAATTAAATGATCTGGCGTGTCAGATCCTGCATGCAGGAAGTATTGTGCGGCTGGCTAATATATTGCTGGGCCTGCTGTCAGCGGGTGGATTTTATTCCGATCCAAGTGACGAGCTTCAACCAGGAAACTAAGAAGACGGTTGCAAAATCGACCTTTAGCTGTCTTGTAGGACAAGATATGTAGGAGAACCTCCCGTCCACATAAAGTACAACATAGAGCGAGCAAGGGAGGTTAGCGTTTCTCATTGTTCTGCATTGATGAAGACTGAGAGGTTCTTAATTACTGGAAAAAATAGACGAAGTACACGACAATTTGTCAACTTAATTGAAGAACCATCGGAATTCGACTACAGATTGTATTTTGTCCGTTGTGGGGCAGTGTCGACGCTCATATCGCTCGTTTTCCCAGATCATAAAATTCAAAACGACTTACCTTTCAAAGTTCGATCAATGTGCAATTTGGGACAGAATGTGTTCGAACGGACTACGAGCCTGTGCATACAGTCAGAATGATATGGGTCTGGGAATGTGTTCAACCAGAGCTGAAGACCAACGCTTCAGCACTCAAGCTTTGAAGAACTTCACGCAGCTTCGAATGAAAATCGAAATGGTGTATAAAACTGATCAACCAGCTGGTGAGCGACGTAGAAACTAGTACACTATTTGATCCTCTGACTATCAAATCCTCATATGTCTTCATGAATAGGTTCAAACTCGTCTCCGCCGCTTAAGGTCCGATATAACTCGTCGCCATCCGAATGCTACTAGAGGAGCCCAAAGAGACTTTTGGCCTACACGACAATGGCACACTGAATAACCACGCCGTCTCGTCTCGCAAAAACAGGCCTAAAACGAGCGGACACTCTAGCTACACAATACTCGGCACAAAATAGCATGCAACGAATTCTGTGATGTGGTAAAAATTGACGATTCCGCAACGCAGGAACAACATAAAGTCGAAACACCATATTTACTTAGTATAATTGACGAAATATACAATATTTTGTCAACTGCGTTCAGTAAATATGGTTTATTTTGTCTACCATTTTCAGTAGACAAGCCGCCTCTAGTCTCGTTTAAAATCTCCCATATGCTAATTGAATGAGTCGGCGTGAGAACCGCGGGTTACTGCCACTTGTCTTGTCCATCGCGAGGCAATAAAGAGGACAATCAGAACTCTTGGAGCGCACTTGCTTATTCGGTGAAAGGGAACATTGCTCATCAGCTATTATGCAACGGACGACGACGTAGGATAAAAGCTACTGGGCACTTCAATAATGCGAGACGCGAAAGACTTTTGTGGTAAAGAGTACGATTTCCAGTCAGTTGACCGGCCATACGATGATTTGAGGCATTTCAAAAACGACCAGATCCTCGGCCATTCCCCCAAAATATAAATGCGCGGTTTGACTCTGGTAAAATTAGCCGATGTCACGTATACAATGCCTAGGAGATTCCGTTTCCATGGGAAAAGGTATGTGAGCATGAACATAGGTAGTCCAAGCTGATTAGAAGCTTTCTTTTTGCGCGGAGATTTCAAAATCAGACGACCACGCGACTGGACGCGATTTCATTACAGCGTGGAGAAAACGTGGGGGAATTGAGCTGTGAAAAAGAAACGATAGTATGAAATCCGTTTTCGAGTATACACGATGTGAAGTTGTTGATGAAGAGCAATTTGTGAGCATGACAATGGCCCGGCATAATTGATTGACAAACACAACAAATCCATGGGGATAAACCGATCCATATTGGGCCCCCCTGCAAGCGTTATTCATCTCTCACGTAATAAGATAAGTGGGGCAGCCCGAGTGGAAAAAGGTAAGGCTGCCGAGATGGCACGAGTGACATCACACACCACCAGAGTTACATCGATTTCATGCAGCTTCAAAGTTCAACAAGAACAGCTAACAAAACGCGAGTAAGACATTCAGACACCAAAAGATGCTCCCCCACATATTCTTGCAGGCGGGCATTTAATATCCAAAAAGCAAAGCATCAGCATGATAAACCCTTTGCAAAGAATGACCAAAGACAGAGGCAATATGCACATAATCAGATCTAGGCCGACAACAGATATTCTCACAGCCAATACGAAAGGCTCTATGCAGCAAGGTTAAGTAATCAGTGCACTACAGTTCCTGTTACGTCCGATTGAGTTACGCTTATTGGTGCCGAAAGAGAAAACACCTTGAGAGATACGAGTAGCTCGATACAGTCGCATTCGCTGCTGTTCTCTGCCCCTCAATTACCCCACTAGTGACGACCGCTATGAGGTACTTAAGGAAGAGACGACTCGATGTTTTAAGAAGTTTTTTTCTGCCATACTATACCCGTCTCTTCTTCCCTTCTCTATCATCAACATCTCGCAAAGTCAATTGACATCTCTTCTAACATCAACTTACACACATCACAACCGCCATCATGATTGAGATTCCAAAGGCCGAATCCCTCTTGGAGATGTTCTCCTTGAAGGGAAAGGTTGTCATCGTCACCGGTGCTTCAGGGCCAAGAGGAATGGGTATTGAGGCTGCTCGCGGATGTGCCGAGATGGGAGCGGATCTTGCCATCACCTATGCCTCCCGCCCAGAGGGTGGTGAGAAGAACGCCAAGGAGCTCGCTGAGAAATACGGTGTCAAGGTTAAGGCGTACAAGTGCGACGTTGGAAGCTTTGAGTCTGTTGATACTCTTGTCAAAGATGTAAGTAGATCATCACAACTATATCACCCCCATCTCCTCCCCTCCAGCGCCCCCCGCTCGAAGGTCTCCCCAGTCTAAAGATACCCAGGTCATCAAGGAATTCGGTAAAGTCGATGCCTTCATCGCCAACGCTGGACGTACTGCCGATAGCGGTATCCTCGAGGGATCCGTCGAGGCCTGGAACGAAGTCATCCAAACCGACTTGAACGGAACCTTCCACTGCGCAAAGGCCGTCGGAGCACACTTCAAGGAGAGAGGAACTGGATCCCTCGTCATCACCGCCTCAATGTCTGGTCACATTGCCAACTTCCCACAAGAACAAACCTCATATAACGTTGCAAAGGCTGGCTGCATCCACATGGCCAAGTCTTTGGCCAACGAGTGGCGCGACTTTGCCCGTGTCAACACCATCTCCCCTGGTTACATCGACACTGGTCTCTCTGATTTCGTTGCCAAGGAGACCCAGGATCTCTGGAAGAGCATGATTCCTATGGGCCGAAATGGTGATGCTAAGGAGTTGAAGGGTGCTTATGTTTACCTTGTTTCCGATGCTTCAACGTAAGTCTAACCATACCCCCACCAGCATTACATAGCAGCTAACACGGTTTGCAGCTATACCACTGGTTCAGATATCCTCATTGACGGAGGTTACTGCGCTCGTTGATCGCTTTTATCATGATGAAATAAAAGCGTCTTTTTGTTGCAATATGGAAATGGCTGTTGATATTTGGACCTTGTTATGTTTAGCTTAGCGAGTGCGATATACAATAGAAGTCTTATCTTTCCTAATCCAATATCCGCTGACTATGTGCGTAAGTTAATGATGAGAAAGTTCGCAGAGGAAATTGTGTCGAGCGTAGATTATGCCTGTCAATCGTAATGGTTTGTTAGTTTCCTTCGTTATCGGTACACAAGATCATGTGAAATCACACGGAACACATTCATAACAAATGAAGGACGCTTAACTCCTTCAATGATACTACAGTGTATTTCCTCATCTCGAGGATGTTTTGGATATTTTCACAAAGGGACTCTTTATTCTCTGTTAGAAATTGGTGACTTGAGGTGATGTGTGAGATTTTGTATTTTGTTGATGGTCTCCATCGAGCCAGTTGCCGTACCCATACCATAACCAGGTACCAGTCATCAGACCCAAAAAATCAAAATAATTACGACATATATAAACAGTATGAAGAGTAACTCTTGCAGAATAAACATAAATGATCATAATTCTATTTCGCGTATTATCGTGCAACCGCTGACTTGTACTATCGAAACTTCCTTTTTGTCAAACCGAAATCTAATCAAATGTATGAAGTCTGCGCGGCGGTCATGGGTATCAGCAATAGTCAAATCAGTGTGCCATGACAGCATCAGCTTGAGGAGCGACTGCTCCACTTGGCTTTTCAACACCATCCATATCCATATCAGCATCTCCATCACCCTCGACTTCCTCCTCCTCAAGCTCTTCATCCTCGCTGCCAGAGCTGTCGGCCTCGAGGTCCTCACTACCAGCATCGTCATCTTCTTCACCGGCAGCGGCTGGGTCTACCTCAGCCCCAGCCATCTCGGAATCGTCGACCATGGCATCGGGGTCTGCAGCAACTTCGGCACCCTCTGCGAGTTCCTCCTCTTCCTCTTCTTCGGCTTCCTCAGCACCGTATTGATCTCCATCGGCGGTCAAATCTGCCTCTGGCTGCTCAGGTGGGAATTCAGGTGGTGCCGAAGCGTCAGAGTCCCTGTGAAATAAGGTTAGCAAACGGGAAACCGTACTTTTCGTGGAATGTAAACATACCATTTGATAGCAAAGCGGGTAACTCTTGGCTTTTCCGCAAGGATGTTCCTGCGGACCTTTTCCAAGATTGGCTTTGGCGGTGGATCGGCATTGAGTTCCTCCGAATCATACTCATTGTTGACATAGTAACCTACACGAACGAACTCTCTGCCATCGTAGGCACAGGTGAGGAGTATCACCGTAACGCCCAGGATTTCAGCGTCAGGAATCTTGTTGGTCTTTGGTGGGTCGGCTTCGAAAACGAATTTGTTGACGCCCACAGGAATGGGCCCGACGAGGAGAGAATCGAGCTCTTGGTCGTGCTCATCGCTATGTCTGAAATTTAGTCTTCAACAGCAGGCACGAGCCTGTAAGTGGGACTTACGAGGTGGCAGATCCCACATAGGTCAACTTCCATTCGAGATCTGTCATGTAAGTTAGTATGTCGATAGTAGAACCATGTGTAGCGCAACATACCTTTCTGCAGTGATTCCAAGCACTCAAAGGTGATTTCGAACTGGTAAGGGTCCCCAAACTTGGCTGGGTTGTTGAGGACATTTACACCTAACAGGGAAACGACCGACATTTTGTGCGTTGGCTGCTATGCAAGAGATCGATATATTGTTGTGGTAGTTGCAAAGATAGGATTGTGTGGAAAGCGTTGTGGTGTTGTTGAATAAACAAAAAGAAGGTCTGGAAATTGGGATGCATCTCCACTACCTAGACGACCAGAGGGTGGACGCGGTGAGGGTCGACCCAAAAAGCGTGTACCGTGGAGTCGCGATTTAAGCCTTGATATTGAGGCATGAAAAGCCGGCTGGGATTGATTCATTCGCGCTAGTCCAAATTCCTAACGAAACACCTTTCGCGACTCACAGATTCCGGCAAATCCATTGTCAATCCAACCACCAACATTCATCTTTTCTTTGTTGTGCGCATCTTCTAAGCTTCCTGAAACTGAGGGTGTTCTGCGAAGTACGTTGTTCTCAAGGTCTGCATTTCCTGACAACGTCGCATGACACAACTGACCTGTACGCAGCGCACTTAAATCGATCTCGGACCGGCTCGCCTTTACGTCGCACCCAGACTTTATCTAGACCGAATTTAATAATGGCGGAGGAGGACGCAGAGATAGCTCTCTTGCATCAACTGCAGGCTGGTCAAGAAAGTGTCGCATGGGGAAACGAGGGAGACAATGGGGTCGCGGAGGGCGAACTACCTTCTAATACTGAGCATAACAACCAAGAAGTCCAAAAAGATGTTGCTGCAGATGACCAAGTTCTTCGTGCTTTATCTCCTTCCGGCGCTGATGATGTTTCTGATGGTGGCGAATATGACCCATCTTCTGTTACTACTCAACCCGCTGTCATAATTGCTGGAGAAGAGAACTCGAGATCCAGCTCTAGAGCATCTACTCGAAAACGGCGGACCGTTGGAGGTTTCCTGGCGGATGACTCCGACGACGAGGCTGATTCGTCTACACCGACTCAAAACACTTCAAGTCTTCTTCAGCCACCTGCAACCAATTCCGCTGCTGCAAGAACCCCTTCCCCTTTGCACACGTCTGTCACCCAACAAGATGTTCAAGGCATATCAGAGAATCAAAGTGATTCGAAGACTGTTCCGCTTCCATCAAACATTTCATCTGTGAATTCTAATACTGGCGGTCAATCTTCTGTACAGGCTCCTGCAATTTCACTCACTTCAGCAGGTCAAACAGAGAGCGCCTTACCAAAAGCGCGACTTCCAAATGACAAGATAGGTATATTAGAAGATAAAATCAAAGAGGATCCACGAGGTGATATCGACTCGTGGTTAGCTCTGATCAATGAGCATCTTAGTCGCGATAAACTTGACGATGCTCGTGCTGTGTATGAACGGTTTTTCCAGGTTTTTCCTCAAGCCGTAAGTGTCCATTCCCTATCTGTCATACTCAAACTGACACAAGCAGGGCGAAATCTGGGCAGCTTGGGCGGAGGTGGAATTAGAGAACGAAGTGCGCCATGGAGCTGAAACTGTGTTTCAAAAGTCTCTACTCAGCGTGCCTAGTCTCCAGCTGTGGTCGGTTTATCTCAACTACATTCGTCGAATACATGATTTGACAAACGACCCTGCTGGAACGGCCCGCGATTTGGTATCTAAAACATACACGTTCGTCCTTGACAACGTAGGTATGGATCGAGATTCTGGGAAAATATGGCAAGACTACATCCAATTTGTTCGCAGCGGACCTTTCCAAATAGGAGGGGATGATTGGCAAAGTAAACAGAAGACAGACCAAGTCAGAAGTGCATATCAGCGAGCAATATGTGTCCCTATGAACAGCGTGAACAACCTTTGGAAAGAATATGATCAGTTTGAAATGGGTCTGAACAAAATAACCGTAAGCCGCTTTTCCCCCGCAATATGCTCACTACGCTCATCTTACATAGGGTCGTAAATTTCTTCAGGAGAAATCTCCAGGATACATGTCTGCTAGAAGTGCCAATACAGCATTGGATTCCAAAACCAGAGGTTTGATCAGGACCACTTTACCAAAATTGCCACCTGCTCCTGGATTTGATGGCGCAGAGGAGTATGAGCAGCAGGTCAAGCTTTGGGAGGTTTGGATCGCGCACGAAAAGGAGGATCCGTTGGTTTTGATGACAGAAGATCCAACACTTTACAGACAACGGGTTTTGTATGTTTACAAACAGGCTCTGATGGCTTTGCGATTTTATCCTCCAATGTGGGCAGATGCAGCCGATTGGGCGTTTGAAAACAATTTGTCAACAGAAGGCAATTCATTCCTTGACGATGGCATTAAGGCGAACCCTGAAAGCTGTTTGCTTGCTTTCAAGAAAGCCGATCGAATCGAAGCCAATCCCGCTACCGCCGAGGGCGCTGAGGGCAACGACCCAGCTACGCAGGGTGCAATGGTTCGCGCTCCATTCGATAAGGTTCTGGACGCCCTATACGATCAGATCAAGCAGCTAAAGACCCGGGAGGCCAGGGATTTGGCAAAATTAGAAGAATCATTAGCGCTCGACGCATCAATTAGCGCCATTATCAGCAAAGCAGAAGATGATGAGGAGGTGAACGAGTCTGATAGAATTGCAAGGGAAGCTGACAAGGCGAACAAGACCAAAGCTATCCAGCTTGGGTACGCAAGTCAAGCAGAGCTTATCTCGAGGCTTATCTCTTTTGTTTGGATCGCTTTGATGAGAGCGATGCGAAGAGTGCAGGGTAAAGGAGGTGTCAAGGACGTCATTGGAGGATCGAGACAAGTTTTTGCTGATGCTCGGGCTCGCGGCAAACTCACCAGCGACGTCTATGTTGCTAGTGCTTTAATCGAGCATCATGTTTACAAAGATGCTGCAGGCACAAAGATCTTTGAGCGTGGTGCAAAACTTTTCCCTGAGGATGCTACCTTTATTCTGGAGTACCTCAAACACCTTTTATCCATTGGCGATACAACGAGTAAGTTAATTGCAATGATCTACGGAATTTCTGCTAATTTTTATAGATGCTCGGGTCGCTTTTGAAACTGCCGTGACACGTTTGGTGAAGAAGCCAGAGCTGGTAGAGAAGTCTAAGCCACTCTACGCCTACTTCCACAAGTATGAGTCCCAATATGGCGAACTCTCACAGATCCGTAAACTTGAGCAGCGAATGGCAGAGTTGTTCCCGAATGATCCAAAACTACAGCTGTTTGCTACTCGCTATAGTACTGACGGGTTCGAACCAACCAAGATCCAACCGATCATCTCCCCTAATACACAGATGCGTCCTAGAGGCTCCACTGTGCTTCCTTCAATTGAACACCATACAGGGCAGCCTTCTATAACCAACAGCCCTCGTCCACATTTTGTACAGGAGAATAGTCCAAGGCCACAATATGCTCCGACAACAAATTCACCTAAACGTCCATTCCAGATGGATGATACAGATGAGCTAAATCGCCCACGGAAGCTTGCTCGCGGGGAGTCGCCATTGAAAGGAGCCGCGGGTCGGCGCTTAAATCAGCAAAAGCAGCTTCAGCAAAATCAAGGTGTACCAACGTGGCACTCGAACGCTCCTCCATTTGTTATCCCCAGAGACATCACCTTCCTTCTCAGCATCATACCTCGACGAGACCTATACAATGTCACCAAATTCAATAGTGATGCCATTGTTCGCTTACTTGCGAAGACTCAAATTCCTGATTTCAGCTCTTGGAAATCTTCGCAGAATCAGCCACCACCACAACAGCAAGTTCCACAATATGGTAGGCCTTCCGCTGTTCCGAACGATCGACCTCAGTCCCGAGATACTCCTGCGTACAATTACGCTCCTCCAGATGACAGGCGCAATGCCAGCGGCTGGCAAAGCCAGGCAAACGTTTATGCAGGTGGTCCGAGCCCTGTAACTCATGAGCAGCGTGATGCCTTTAGGCCGCCGCCAGCTCAAGCTTTACACCTTCAAGGACTGCCTCCACGGCCAGAAGCCAATACCGCGGGCTACTATCAGCAGGATTATAGTGGTACTCCTGTCGCTGCCAGTGGAGGTTGGCAGCAACCACCCCAACCCCAATATCCAAATCAAGGTCCATCTCTTCTGCCTACTCAAACTTGGTATAAGAAATCATACTAACCAATACCATCAGGCCCACCAGGTTATCCTTATAATCGATGAATATTTTCGGACGGGCACGCTGGTATGGCGAAATTAATCTAAATACATGGAAAGGTGTGTAGGAACAAGGGAACGCCATACGAGTGTAAGATTGGTTTAGCAGTGATATTCGGGATTTTCAGCTGCTCAGCGAAAACGGGGAGGGGTGGGTAGTGGCGCTGAGGAAGTTGCATATCGATCGGTCATTAATCATAGCATGGCGTTTTGAAAACGGGAAAGGCAAAAGGGCTTGGTTGGCACCTACACCACTTGTATTCTAGGAAGGATAATCTCTGAATTTAATTCTATTCACAGCGATTTGTGGTGTACCTAAACACCAATCTCCTGTAAATCCGCCGGGCTGTTCAGTTACCTGAAAGGGGGGTTGGTATAGTGTTGGACATATGAAGTCTAGACGATCCTTATCTCATAACCGTGAGAACAATTATCTCGTAGGTCTGTACATCACTCTATATAGCCTACTAAGAATACCTCTTACAAACTAGACAAGCCAGGCATTTATCCCCCCCCCCCCCCACCTTCTCATAAAAATCAAATGTGATCTTCCAAGATCTCCTAAAGCGTAACAACGTACTTTTTGCTTGAGACAGGTCACGAAATATACTGTATCGTATTATTTCTAGTTAGTTAACTAATTACCCTGGCCACTTACTGCTTATTCTAGTTTGCGGAACTCTGTAGGAGAGAAAAGGGGAGTAGGATTCGATAGATAACACCCTGTTCATCACGTCTGTGTAGGTCATGTTTATCTAGTTATGTTTGGGTTGTGTGATAGTTTGCGTAGATTACACGCTTTTCATAGCACGAGTTCAAGGTGATTTCGTTTGGTCGTAAAGACTAAGGATAATAGCTAAAGTAATTTCCTCCCACAACCTTTCTAGAAAAAAAAAATTGTAATCTAGGAAATTTCGCATCCTGTCGGAGAATTCGAACCGTTTGGTTAATTATGTGCGAGTAGCCTGATAATTACTCGCCTATGGGTTATACCTTTGCGTCGTTTTCTTGACTGTGTAACTTCGAAAGTGGCACTCAGTGTAGAGGTACTGGATGAGATCGGTATTTCTTTACTATTAACAGTAGTAATTTGAGTTACTACTCTGTTTAAAGTGGTTTCTACCTAAAGAAGCATAAATGGATCGACTGCTCACTAGGAGGAAGCTTAGTTCGTCTTTAGATGCGAGTTGCTGTTGAATTCTATGGAGGTATGGAAAATTTATAAATGAGTAGGAAGGAGGCTGTTGTCGTTGAATCTTGTGAGTTTAGAACTCAGAATCGACGAACAATATATATATTGGTGTTGATATTGAGTCATTCATCTCCATTCATTCAACTATGCTACCCCAACCCTCCATTCTCCACAACCCCTAACACTCCATCCATAACCTCATAAACTATTCACACATCGCACACCTGCCTCAACCAACACCATACTCTACACCATCCAACCCCGTATCCATCACATATCGATACAAAAAAAAACCATCAAAAGGGATATCCGCAGAAAATCATCCATACAACAAACCCCCCATCTAACGCGACCAGCCTATGCATTTTCCCACCTAAGATAAAAAAGAACATTTGAATCGTCTGTATGTGTACATGAAGAACGCGGCAGGTCGTTCTTCGTCCTGTGTATGTAATTCTTACATATAACTTCGACTCGCGGCGTGAGATCGCCTCACGCAAGTCACCGATTGCTCGGTCAAAAAGACGCGACGTTGTAAAGCTCGTCATCGCCAACATGCCAGTTTCCGGAGAGCAGCTCTGAACTTCGATTGTTTTCCCGGATTGCCTTCCCCAGATTCCGTCTCCAGTGATTTTTCCGGCCCTCCAGGTAATGGACTTAGTGGTGCGGTCACCGCTCTTCTTGTTCCTAACGCTTCTGTACTCCCATGCCTTCCTAGACTTAACATGCTCCTTCTCCCTTTCTCACCCACGACATTCCCATCTAGACCTGTGCCACTGGGCGCACCGCCAGCTGCTATCCTCCTCGCTTCTACCACCCTCCTTACTATTAGGGCAAAGGTCTCTTCTATGTTCACTGTATTCCGCGCACTGGTTTCCATAAATCCACATCCTCGCTTCCGCGCCCATTCTAGCCCTTCTCGCGCAGAGACCGCTCTCGATTCTTGCAAATCGCATTTATTTCCTGCCACAATTTTGATAGGTTGTACCGGTCCAGTTTCCCTATTGCCTTTCTTTTTACTCTTTGGATCTCTTCTGTGTTCCCAGGCATCCAGTCTCGTTTCCGCCTCAATATCTATTAGGTCGTTGAATTCCTGAAGGACATCGAGCGAGGAAGGACTCGTTATGTCGTAGACGAGTAGAAACGCATCGGACCGCAAGTTCGACGACGCCCACATTCCTCGGTATTCTTCTTGCCCGGCCGTGTCGGTGAGGGAGAGGTAATAGGTCTGGCCATCGATTCGGCGCGTCAGAGAGTATGAGTCTTCGATGGTGGGGTCATATTCGGAAGTCCACTGGGAGCGCACCAGACGGAGAGTTATGCTCGATTTTCCACATCCTCCGTCACCGCAGATTGTTATCGACACTTTTTGTGGATTGTCCATTTCGCATATGCAGGTTCCTAGAGTTTCGCAGCAAAGAGGGGTGTTTTATCCTGCCGAAAAATGGCGGACGTAAACGCTTGAAGGATTCGGGGCGAGGTGCAACTCTTTCGGTGACGAGGAGCATACGAATTGGCAGCGGCGCAGAGAAGATTCGGTGCCTTCAACAACACCGGTTGGATGTCTTTGCCGTCGCTTGTGTGCCGTTTTAATTTTTCTGTGCCTTGCTTCTTCGTTGTCTCTCCTCTGCCGCAGCGTACGAGTCTGTTCCCTGAGCGCACGAGATCCCACCAATGATGACAGATGACGAGCGTGTTTCGAGATGCCACCAACGTCCACTTCGACTATGTTACATGAAAAAGGCAAGTGTTTCTTCTAGAATGACGGCTTTGTGAAACAATTATAAGCTGGATAAGGAGAGGTTTGTATGGCGACGTTTTGCAGGAATAGTTTTGTTTGTGGTCAGCGCGCAGTGGAGACAAACTGGTGGAGAAGTCCGATTGAGCAGGAAGCAGAGGAAACTTCTATATGATGCCCGGATCGGATTATATCCCAAAGAAGAACACTGTGCAGTTGCAGTGCCGTTTGGCAGTCGGTACCAGTCCGAAGGGTATTTTCGGCGGGGGAGTGGTGTTTTGTGCCGGGGATCTGACAAGGCGTTCGGGGTTCCAAAGGGGAGGCCGTTTCGAAGGTTTCACGACCGCTGCGAGTACTTCGTACGGAGTAGATGTGTTTGCGCCTTCTAGCCTACTTTTGCTGCGATTGGATTGTTTGTTGTCATACAACAGTCAGAGCAAGCAGAAAGAGAAGCTAAAAGAGAAGCAAAAGATTTGATGGAAAAGAAAAGAGTGAACGGAGTAGGATGGCGTTGTTGGAAGAAGAAAGTCAGTTACAGCCCCGGTGGCCATAGGCCCCAGCAATTTCACGATGTTCCCACTCACCGCCCAGCTGGGTCAGGTCTCGGAGGATTCTTATCTTTGAAAGCATCAACCCTTCTTCTCTTCTCCACTCGCGACCACAACATCCATACAAACACTACCATATCAGCTCTGATATGAAAATCCCCAAGAACTTCTTCGTATGCCGAAATTGGACGATTGTTTAGTCGTATTCCACGCCGGTACTGCATCCTCCACCGCCCAGCTTATCATTCTAACTAAACATCAGCAAACTTTGCGGTGCTGCGCGTTCCTCGCCGTCGCGGCCTAATGTAGGACAAGATACCACTGAAGATGGACTTGGATGCATTAGTCTTGCAGAGACATGCCGAGTCTTCCCACCAGATGAGAATATCTGGACACGCTCTATGCAAGACCGGCGTCCTTGCAGTGGTTCGCCAATGGTATGGCCTGCAAAGAACAGAAGATGCACAGAAGTGCGTATGACTGCAGGTACGTCAACTGCAAACCGGGATTCTTTACTGTGGGATAAGTGTTGATACCGGTTGATATAACGATTCGAATTGCGAAGTTGCATTCTCTTGTCTCATCGACACAATAATTTTCAGACCACAATAATCACTGTGGGAATTCGAATGCACACGACGAAATGAGTGAGGATAGATTGACAAGACCGCTCCAGTCGGGTACAGATCCAAGAATCCAGACCAGCGGAGGATTACCTCCTTTAACCTTCCGGTACACTATTTACAGAAATCCAAGCGCGATTACCTAAATGTCGATCTGGATTGAATAGTCGAACCGTCCAACCTCCACGAATTTAGTAATTGTTATGGCGCAGGAACCCGACGACGCTTGTCGCTCGTCGTTCACCACGTTCTCAAACATCAGTGCAATGGCCATATCGGGTTAGCCTGGCGAAACATCTCTTAATTAGATCTCTCCAAGATCTAGCCATCCGCCGTCATGGCTGTGTCCGGCCGCGTAAGGAAACCTCCGTGGATTTGCTTGAGATAGCTGTCGGCTGCTGGCGACGGCTCCTGACTCAACACAGTTCGACAAGTACATGAACATGACTTTTTTGAAGTATATTTCTGGTACTCTCGTTGATCGTTCATGGCCCGGTACCTTCTAACCGCCATAGTACCAGCTCCAAGGCCTTTTCTACTCTAGGGCAGTCTTCACCAGAAACTGTGTTGCTTACCGGCCTCGCCGTCGTCGAGTTCGCTCTCTCGTGGCTGAGTAGTTTCAGCATTATCATTCTTGTTTTAAGGTCTTTATTAAGCCTTACGCAATTAGTGTTCATGCAACCGCTTTAGCACGTTGCAGTTTGCGCCATGGTATCACCGTCTGATGATATACACTGGATCTACACATTCCAAATGCTTTCGAGAAGAGTTCGCCCTGTCTTAGGCCCTTCTAGCCTCGATATATTCTCCGATCGAAAACGTCGAAGAGCAACAAATACTACTTTTTGTCAAGAACGAGTATAGTCTCAATATGTCAGGCTTTGTCCGGCTCTGTTGTTGTGTTAGGGGTGGGGAGTTGCATATTCTTCGTCCCTTCTACGATGTTGAGATGAGATTCAGAAGCAGGGAGAAGCCTTCCAATTGTCCACAAATAGATTCGGTGGCTTGACAATACATCAAGGAAGACTGTCGCCCATAGGACCCTTTTCATTATTCATTATTCCATCGCCTTTCAGATATTTATATGTTATATCTTCAAGTTCGAGTACCGAGGACTACTCGTTAAGGCCTTTGAGAAATCTTGAGACTTGTCTTTCGGTCTCCTACACTTGCCCTGCACGTGAAATTCTCTTCTTCGAGCCATGATGAGTTGCGAACCAGTACAGTCTGGATGAGCATCTCACATCTTTGTTTCTACCTCCTGCTTTCACATAATCCTTGAGAGACACAGGCTCGCGGAGGACAAAATAAGTGTCAGTCTCCTGCCTGCTAGTCTTCAAAAAGAACTAGTTGATTTCAAATAGAGCTTAAGACCGTATTATTTACTAGAAAGAGTTGACGGAATATCCAGTAATGTGCCAAATTGGTCCACTAAACATACGATATTCTGTCACCTTAATCGAAGAAATGTGTTTTGACGGACACTTGTCTTGTCCACTGGAGGCGGGCTCATTTCGAGGAAAGAATACATCTCAATCCATAAATACAGGGTGGCTATACAAACCCAACAACACTGCCATCTTTTCCTTATCGTAGCTCTTGTTTCTTCCCTCGTGTCGTTGAGTCCATCACCTTTCGTCAAGTTTGACATAGTCAAAGAAAGCATTTCATGTCCATCTCAAAGATCTTCCACAAAGTCACGTTAAAGATTCTTCAGCTCCCAAACTTTGAAATTGCTTCAACACCAATTTCATCCACAGCAAAATATAAGTTCAAACTTCGAAACAACACCGAAACCGATATCCGGTCCTCGGATCCCGTGTCGGTGGTTCGGGATCATCCGGCTCTTGCTCGCCCCCCGCAACGGCACTTGAGACTCGCGGAGGACAAAATAAGTGGTAGTCGAACCAGAATAGTTCTTCGACTAAGTTGACGAAATATCGTAATTTAGTGGATCAACTTGGAACATTATAACTATTTCGTCAACTATTTCAAGTAAATGAGACCTTTCATTTAGTCTAAGATTTGCGGGTAGGTGACTGCCACTTATCTTGTCCTCCGCGAGACTCTCATGTGTCCTCGGGCGCTTGGCGTTGTTGTTTATTGATATTCTCCGAGGGGGGGCGAGTCGAGAAACTTTGATGGAAAGGTGTGGTTTCGAATTAGCAGCTTGAGAGATGGCTTACACACGAGTAATCCTGTTTCAAATATGATTGGGAGGTGGGAATTGAGCAAAGAGAAAAAAGCGCACAGAAGAAGATGAGTGAGGTGAATTGAATGAGCGAATTTTTCTTTCTTAAAAGTCAACCTGCAGGCATACGTTCGACTAGCTCGCAATGAATAAGATGAAAATGCGGACCCTCCTTCTATTCTATTGACTTCACTGAATCAAGCGAAGATAAAGAAGAGAATTTTAGTAACTTCCAAATCTTGGACCGAGCTCAAGAAATACCTGATTTACAGGGGAAAACAGACGACAGACACGATATCTGGTAATGAATCTAATTGAATGAAGAATAGGCTTAAACTGCCACTTACGCTGACTGGCAGCATGCGATGATAGCTCTTGTTGATGGACAGGAAGGATTCGCTGTTATTTCCCTAATTAATACATGCTTACGGCGTTTCTCGCTCGATTTCTGAAGGGGGATGTGTTAAACTCGATTGGTGATATTCGTTAGCCTAAAAATAATTTTGTCGTTTGTCTTTTCTCTTGCTTCAAAGCCTTTTCTCATTCAATGGATCTTTGTTCTACGAGAGATCGATCATAGCAGAATTGTCGAGATCTCACAATGGAAATAATCAGATTTCTCGCTCAGATGATATGATATTCGCTCAACGTGTCGCGAGGTATATCAGCCAAGAGGATATGTTTGTGGTTTAAATCGCCCTGCCGACTCTGGCGTGACGACGTTTCCAATTCTTGTAATCCTATATATGCATTCGAAATAGGAGATTTGCGACTTAGAGCGAGTGCGACAGTAGAATTGAAAGATCGTGGTACATTGTATGCCGAGATGGCTTGAGAACACACCTGGAGGAGTTATCCGCTGAAAATGAAGGCCAAAATTTCCAAAGACGCCTCCATACTCCCAGCCTAGTACATTCAGTCCCATATCAAAATCTACCTCTAGATCGTCTAGACATCATCCCAGTTTACCTGTTCTTGCCAGACTCCGCCCAAGTTCTTGTCTTTCAAACCACCATTTCCTATATCTCTTTAATTCTTCCCCTCGCCACCCTTCTCAACCCATTCCTTCCAATTCTTATACTCATCCCACCCCGCGCTCTCCGCCTTCCCCTGAAATCGCACACATTTCAAGTCGCCCACCTCAGTCCATTTCTCTTTCTTGCCACTCCAGCCCGCCTTTCTCATCAAACTCACAATCGTCTCCTCCTTATCCCATCCCTGTTCCACAGCCACATCTGGCAGGTAACAAGCCCCATATCTCTTATTCCTGGCGTAGAAACTGATTCTCAATCCGTGGATCCCGAGTTCCCAATCCATCGCATCTTTACAGGGCTCGAAGTCTGTGAGAAGCGTCACTGAGACTTCGAGGGTGGGGAGTTCGCGGAGGGAGATAGGTGAGAAGCGGTGGTCTTGGAGGGCGGATGTTAGGGCGTAGGAGGCGAGGCCGCTGGCGATGGGTAGGGATTCGAATGTTCCGATACAACCACGAAGAGAGCGGGGGTGCTGCGATGATGGTTCGATGGTATTCCAAGTCACCTATACTCCCTGATCAGTGGCGCATTCCAGACCGTACATGGTAGGGTCGCGGGAAACTTACAAACAATGGACTCTCTGTGATCTCCCCACCCCTCTGACTTGTCCTTCTGGGATGTAACCCGACCGGCGAATAACTTCCTGAACTCCCTGGCGTGGAGGCCGCGCTTTCGACGCTGAGGCTGTTGCTGCTGCTACTCGCAGGTGTAGAACTGCCACTCGAGCGGGAACTATTCCTGTTATCTGCTATCCTCTGAACCGAGGGATGGCGTGGGGTGGGACGTGACACGGGTTCAGAATCTCCAGGCTCAGCAGCCGAGGAGGTTTCGACTTCGGAATCATCTTCGTCAAGACCTTTAGGATATGAATCCCAGGATGTTTGGACCTGGTAGAGGGACATAGGACTGCGCTTCTCGAGGCTGGCGGAGAGTGCCTCGAAGCAGTACAGACAATGTTCGACTGTCGCCATGATTGCGTGTTGTTTTTCAAAATGTGCGGGGGTGCAGAGATGAAGGAACCGAATATAGACAACGGAAAGATGAAAAATAAATGACGTTACTTAGGAAGAAGAAATGAAGGGGTCAGTCCGGGGAAGGCGAGAGGAAGATGTGGTTGATAGCGGGGTCAGCCGCCGTGGTGGGGTGAACTTTCATAAAATTCTGACGCCAGGGGTTTGTGCAACAGAGCAGCTGTGCACGCATAAAAATACTCAGTCAGAACCGGAACGGAAAAATGCACCGGAGGCCTTCAACATCTTCAAACAAATCCCCCTTTCAACATGAAACGAGCCTCTTTTGGTCCTCGAGAGCGAGTTGAGCACCAAAACAATGGTAGCGAATGCCGTGTGCATCAATTATTTGTCTCTGATGACAGTATAGGGTTTTATTTGTTAAAGAATTCAGAAGAATTATTCTATCGACAAGACAAGTTGTTGGAAACCCAAGCTCATCGAGTCGTCAGCCAGCGTCACGCTTCGAGAGTCGAGACCCCTTCAATGCTTCATCAATCCGAATATCGCATTACCATCTCGTACCACTCCCTCCTGCCATAAAACAAACTTCCTCGGATGGTTTCTTTCCAGTCGTATGTTTTGTCAATCGTCCATGAACTCGTCTTCATCCCGTTCGTCCAATTGCTTCAAGTATCCGCTATCTGCTTCTCGCTTAGCCGCCTCTTTGAGGAACCTCGTCGTCCCCTGTCTCAGCATCGTCTCAAGTGCACCCGCAAGCACATATATCCGCAACCCCCCGTTCTTGTGGTTTGTTGTAGAGCCCATGTACCAACCGCCGCGTAAAACCCACCGAGAGACATAAGCTTTTACCCTGAGGTTATTTCGATTGAACTTACCAATGAGAACGGCACATGAGGCGCTGCGCCCTTGAATCTTCTCGATCTGGACCGCTGACGTCGAACTCCCTTGCAAAAACTACTTCTTGCTACAAATCCAGTCTCACCACCTCGTGATCTCCAACATCCGAAGGCTTGAACTCTGATGTTATCCACAAAGTTTGGTCTGATCTTGCCTTCCCCAGCCTCATCTTCTGCAAAGCCTGATGTTGTCACTTTACGTAGCCTGTTACGCTACGGGCATCACCCTGATCCCATCTGAAAGACATCCGTTTCCGCCAAAAGTCGTCCCTGCGGCGAAAACATACGGAAATGAGCCAGTGAGTTGAGAGACAGGGGAGGGGGGTGAAAATCTCCTTGGCACTACAAATACAAATACTCATCCTCCTTCAAGTGCTCTTCTTTTCTTCTTCATCTCATTCTTCAACTCATCTGTACTCGCTCAAAACACCGTTCCTTTCTTCTCTTCTACATATTCTTCAAGACTTTGTCGCCGGACGACCTTTACATCCACGCTCCTTTCCCAACCAGTTTTTAAACACAACCGCCAACATGCAATTCACTCTCTTCACCGTTCTTTCCCTCGTCGCCGTTGCCCTCGCTGGCCCAATCCGTCTTGATGGTGTGTACTTTTTTCTTTGGTCGTTCGTTCGACACGTTGTGGAAGTTGTTTGGTCTGGATCTTTGGAGAAGCTCCTGATCTTCGAAGATGGAGCCCCAGACCCACCATTGATCCACCATGTCCAGCATCCACGATCTCGACTCCACCATGTCGTGAATAGGTGAAGGTTGCTAACATTGTCATAGCTCGTGCACCACAAGTCGCTTCCGAGGCCGCTGCCATGACCAACTCAGCCGGAGAGGTCGTTGCCTTCGACTCTACCTCTGTTGTCCAGCGTAAGTTTTTCATTGTCATCTCCATCTTCACACACTAACTCCCATTCCAGCAGCCACTGCCGCCGGTGCCTAAGCGCCCAATCCCAACCGCCAACGACGAAAACAAGGAAATCTAGGAGTCACTTTAGAGGAGGAATACATGCTTGCATTTTGGAAGGTTTATAAACAAGACATACTATTTGGGGACTTGTAATTAAGAATAGTCCATGCCACTTTTTGGCTGAGAGAGTTGAGGAATCGATGGAGTTTACAGATTGAGTGCAAAAAGCTCTTTTGGTGCTATGGTTTTGTTTCCATTTGGAGACAGACCGGATGTGCTGTGGTGAGGGTTTATAGATAATCTTAAAGTCCTTGCCAAAATCGTGTCTTGTCTCTGTATCTTGCTGTATGATTATCCTGTGAAGCAAAACCCAATTGTGTCTGAGCGAGAAATGAGTGATCTTGCAATGAATTATTTATTAATTGCTAGCTGTTGATTTGAAAATCTACAATCTTGCAATAGAATAAAAACACTTCGTTCTAACACAACGGCAGATGACAGAAAAGTCTTCAAATGATACCTATGGATTGTATTTACAACTCTACCAGCTTATAATCTACGAACTATTATTCCGATGTTGAAAGTTTACGTTACACTTTATAAAATACATGGAAAATTACTCGGCACTATTGACGTGCACTCCTATTGCCGGTACCTCAGTCTGCTCGAGCAAGATAGGCATTTTGAGTTATTATTATATAGGTGTGAAATCGTTCGAATCTCAAAGGTTTCCACGAAGAGCCACATCCAAATAAGCGAGGCCCAACACGCTAAGATGCCCATCTTGCTTTCTCTTGCTGAATTTCGAGCGACATGCAACAAATGTCGGCTTCAGGAATACGGGCCGCATATCGGATCGGGGTGTGCGGACGCTCCCTCGCTTGGCGCTTGTGGATATTTTTGCAATGCACCAGTGGGTGACAAGACTCACGGGCCACCTCTAACCGAGGTCGACCAAAACAACTCAACGCGCTCTCTTTTTTAGATAATTAATAATTAAATAACCAACAACCTAAATGTCTTACCAAACGCGTTCTAATACTCGCATTGAGCAGGAGAAAAGACGTGAATATGGTACGCCAAAGAAAACTGAGTTCTTTAAGGCGTGGGACGCGCGACAACCTGGGGAGGGTGTTGGGACGATTGCTAAACAAGAAAGAGTATCGAGGACTGCCGGCCAACGCTGGCTTAAGGAGAGGGGTTTATATGGTGATATAGCAAAGAGAAAGAGTCGAAGATATGCCCAGAAGCTAGGGCCGAAGCCAAAAGTACCCCCGACACTCGCAAAAGACCTTGTGAATCCGAAGACGAATCCTGTTCGAGACAAGACCTACGGAACGATGGCTACTCACTTCGAAATTAATGCCCACCCTCGTACAATCGAAAGGAGTGTCAAGTCGAACACTAAGAATGCTAGGAGGTACAAACAGGCATATCGAAAGAAAGAGATCTCGAAGAAAAACAGAGATAAGCGGACGGAATACGGTTTTGAGCACCGGCAAAAGAAGCTACCTGATTTTTGGACAACGATTGTTTTTACGGACGAAGCGCACCTCGATCCTACTTCCTACCTTCAGGGTTATATTCTACGAGAATAAGGAACCCGTTACGATACCGAAAACATTCAAATTCGAGGTGAAAAGAAGGGCGTAAAGCTCCATATAGTAGGGTGGATCAATTGGTACGCCAAAGGGCCACTAATGTTCTACCACGATGAGGAAGAGTCTTTGGAACCTCCTGAACGTCCCCGAAAGCCTCGACGAAGTCAAAAGCTTTCCGAGGATGAATATTAGCAAAAGATAATCGAGTGGGACGCGGCTATCGGTCACTGGAAATCGGTCAAACCGAAGGGCAATTCAATGACCCAAAAGTACTACGTTGAACGTCTACTTCCAGAGTATATATCTGCGCTCAAGAACCTCAAAGAGCAGTACCAACCGGAGGCTGAATGGCTCCTACAAGAAGATGGCGATCCTAGCCACGGCAAGCGTAAGATTGGCCTAGCAACCCAGCTTAAGGAGCGAGAAGGTATCAAGTCTTTATACTATCCTGCTTAATCGCCAGATCTTAATCCAATTGAGGCGATTTGGAACATTATAAAGCAAAGAATACGGCGTAGGGAGTGGGAAAACCTTGAGCAATATAAGGCTGTTATTTTGGAGGAATGGGACAGGATCACTTTGGAGGAGATAAGAAGCCGCATATCTGACATGCCAGGTAGATGTAAAAGACTAGCTAGAACCGGTGGGAAGGTCATTAAGGAGGCAAAATGGTGATGTTTTTGAGTTATTCATAAAATAATGGCTGTTTACTCGTGTTTTTGACCATTTTCGCTTATTTCAGGGTGGCCCGTGAGTCTTGTCACCCACTGGTGATGCAAACAAATATCTACGGCTCTTCGCACACCGACATATTATAACTTTGTGGTAGATCTGAGGAATACGACGTGCTAGACCTTCAATTGTGTTTTATTCCAACTAAGTTACGAAATAACCAATAAGATTGCAGATGTCTATTAGTCAGTCGCAACTCTACGATGTTCCTCTGACCTGAATTACATTCAGCCATTCGGCCATTGGGTGGTTCGGTTGGTATCTTGCAGCACACATTCGACCTGGGCTGTTTACTTGCCCATCTAGACTCTTTCGGGCTTCCTTTATTGGAATTGCAAACAGATTCTTCATTTTCCGTGTTCGCTAAGTCCATTTTTTCTACATATCACGTGTGTTTGGTCACGTCATGACTCATTTATATTCTCCATTATCGTTGATCTTGTTGAAATCATCATAGATACACTAGCATATTTATAATTTTGTTTCTATACCTGTATCACTTTTGATGTTTAATATTTTGCTATCTCTTCATTGATATGGCAACTCAGAGCTCTGAACTTCCCATCCGGAATGGCCCCGCCAAGACCGATCCTCCTCTTAATAGAGCGGATGAGGTTGATGATGTACGTTCATTTCCATACATAGAGCAAACAAAATCTTCCAAAATGACTGACAATGTCCCAGCTACTTACATCAGTCAAAAGTCTCATAATTCCATTCATCAAGGCAGCTGATGAGGATGCGTCCAGCAAGGCATCCGGCCATGGACTTGCTATCCCAGGAGCTGGTCCTCGGACTGCGCTAGTGGAACATCATCCACCACAGAAACTACGTTCTCTAATGGACTTCCAAATTCCAGGAGATGGCAGAGGAAAAGAAGGATTGTTGGAAGTTGTGGAGAAAGTGTTGAAGTTTAGTGTGAATACTTGGGATCAGGGGTTTTTAGATAAGTTATATGCTAGTACTAATGCTGTAAGTGCTCTTTTCAAAGACACTGGGAAGTTCGACTAATTTTAAAATAGGTGGGAGTCATCTCTGAACTCCTTCTCGCGGTTTTGAACACAAATGTAAGTAATTCCATCATTTTTGCTTGTTGAGGTTCCTAACAACTCTCAGGTACACGTCTTCCAGGTCTCGCCAGCTTTATCAGTCATTGAGAAGACTACATCACAAGCACTCGCTCAGAAATTTGGCTTCACGTCACCTCATGCTGGTGGAGTCTCTACACAGGGCGGTTCAGCCTCTAATACCACATCTCTCATCATTGCCCGTAACACTTTATATCCTGAAACGAAAACATCTGGGAACGGAAGTCATCAATTCGTACTGTTTACTTCAGCGCATGGACATTATTCCTTGGAAAAAGCAGCTCAAATGTGTGGACTCGGAACGGAGAACGTGATATCCGTCCCAGTTGACAAACAAGGTCGCATGATCCCCGAGGAATTCGAGAAGCTAGTCCTCAAATCAAAAGATGAAGGAAAGACACCCTTCTACCTGAACGCAACAGCTGGAACCACAGTCCTAGGCTCCTTCGACCCATTTACCGAACTGTCAGCCATTTGCAAAAAGCACAACCTCTGGCTCCACATCGACGGCTCCTGGGGCGGTCCAGTCATCTTCTCGTCAGCCCAAAAACACAAGTTGAAAGGCGCAGAACTAGCCGATTCTCTGGCCGTAAATCCACACAAAATGCTCGGCACACCCGTAACCTGTTCCTTCCTCCTCGGTCCCGACATCCGCATCTTCCACAAAGCAAACACCCTCCCAGCAGGCTACCTCTTCCACAGCAACGACGGCGCCGACTCCGAAGTCTGGGATCTTGCTGACCTAACCCTTCAATGCGGACGTCGCGGCGATTCTCTCAAGCTTGCGTTGAGCTGGATATACTACGGTAGTTCCGGCTATGAAACGCAAATTGACCATGCGTTTTCCGTAACCGCTCATTTCACTTCCCTGCTCAAAAACAGCTCGAATTTCGAACTTGTTAGTGAGGATCCACCACCCTGTCTCCAAGTCTGCTTTTATTATAAGAAGAACGGGAGTTTGGGAAGTGATGAGGAAAATACGAAGACGACAAGTGAGATTGTGAGGAAACTTATTCCAAGGGGCTTTATGGTTGATTATGCGCCCGGGGAGAAGGGAAGTATGTTTAGGGTTGTTGTAAATGTGCAGACTAGACGGGAGACTATTGAGGGGCTGGTAAAGGGCATTGAGGAGGTTGGGGGGGAGTTGTAAAGGTGGTCAGATGGAATGGTGGAGAGGATGTTTGGGATATATTTGGAGTTAGCGGTTGTCAGGAAGTTCAACCTTTTTGGCTTTGGTAGTCGCAACGGTTTCATTCAGCTTGCAGTGGAGTGAAAAAAACTCAGTACCATTCGATTACAATGCTCGCTTACCTTGCGATGTAGCATGGAGGTCACGCGAAGGCCAAAGTAAGTGGCAGTCGCAACATACTATTTCTTTAATTAAGTTGCCAAAATATCGTACATATTATGGATTAACCTAGAAAAATATCACATATTACGTCAATTCTTTCAAGTAAATAAGACTTCATAAGCTCCATCCGAAGTCGACTTGTTTAGCCTGTGAATTTGTAGGCAGGTGACTGACACTTATTTTGTCCTCCGCGAGGTGTCTTTAGTCTTAAGTTAATGGATATTCAAGAGAGTCTAAGATTTCTGTATATAATAAAGGGTAATAGACGAAATGTAGCATACTGTGTCAATTTGGTCGATAGAAGATGATTTCTGCAATTACTATTCCGAGTTGAATCCTGTTAGTAGTTACCATTCGCAACGTCACTTGAGCAAAACATGATGAACAATTCATACGGGAAAAAGTAAGCGTCAAGAATTGTATGAGCTGTGCGAAACACTCTACATAACATCTATTACCAAGAAATCTAAAACCCAAGTCTGCATTCTAACCAATCTATAAACAATACCCAAACATTAATCTCTTATTACAACTCCAACATTCAAATACCCCCTATAATTAAGCGAGAATACAAACAACCCCTTACTCTGCCGTCTTCGTCTTCTTCGTCCTCAACTTCATCAACAAATACACGCACCCATAACTCGAAAACACAAAAATAGCCACAATCCCCGTATCCCTCCAGCCATAATAGTATTCCGGCAAGTTAAGCGTGCGCAGGTAATCCTGTCCAGACTTATACTGACAGACCTGACACCCGGCCGTCGCGTCCGGGTTCGTGAGGTTCGTGCCGGACCCCATGCCGCTTAGATAGTTGGCGAGGTATTGCGCGCAGGTTTGGCCCGGGAGGGGGTCGAAGATGGCGAATTCGCTGGGCCGACATTCGATTTGGATGTCGTGGGTAGAGAAGACTAGTAGGGAGCCCATTAGGTATTGGAAGGGCTGTGGAGAGTTAGATGAGTGGTTCTATGTAAGAGAGGGGGTGAGATTTACATTGAGGTAATAGAGCCAGTATTTCCAGAAATCAACCATCTGCGAATACGGGACAATCGCACCGCAAAACCCAACTAGCGTAAATATCACAAGCGGGTTCACGAGTGAAGCTGCTACGGCATTGTGCGCGTATGCGGCGATAAACTGGCCGATGCCCGTGTAGATGAACTCGTAGAGCAACATGATGAGGAATATTGGTCCTGCTTTACTGGATTCCGTGGGGAGTCCGGCGGTATAGTAGAAACAGAAGAAATACAACACCGCGCAGATGACTAAGTATGGTAATTCTGCGACGATTAGACCGGTGACAAACGCTACCCAGCTGTACATTTTGGCTTTCTTCTCACGCGCTTCGTAGATGTCGCGTTTTTCGATGAAGAGAGGTTGCAGTTGAGCTGAAAGCGGATTAATTAGTAGGGAGGGTAGTTCTGGGGAATGGGAGGGACGTACAAATCACTCCGGGAGCGACGAAAATGAAATTAAACATTGCGAATAGTCGGAGTTGGAGTTCTCCAACGCTATTTCCTAGTTTCCAGAATGAAAAACCGACGATAAGACCGATGAGGATGTGGAGGGCGAATTTGTTGTTGACGTATTCGGTGTTACGCCATATTGAGATGTTCATACGATGTGTGACGATTTTGACCTGATCCCAGAGTGGCATGGCGAATTCGAACCCGTCGTCGCCGGTCTTTGGCGGTGCAGAAGACGCTTCGTCTATGATATGGTCTAGTTCGGTTATCATGCTATTGTGTTCCTTCGATTCTAGCCAGACTTTGTTCCAGTCTTTGCCTTCGCCGGTGACTACATCGATCATATGTTCTGCTGGATTAGCATTTGGCGGACATGGTGCGCCATTACGCTCGAAATAGTCTTTGACTGTAGAAGCACCGTCTCCGATATCACCGAAGTAAACAGTATTTCCGCCTTTGGCAAGGAGTAACAAGGTGTCAAATTGTGAGAACAGCTGAGCACTTGGCTGATGAATCGTGACCAAAATTGCTTGTCCGGCGCTGGCGAGTTTCTTGAGGAAGCGGATGATATTGAATGCTGCTTGGCCGTCGAGTCCAGATGTAGGTTCGTCTAAAAACAGTAGGATAGTTGGTTTCGAGACCAACTCGACTCCGATAGTGAGACGTTTTCTTTGCTCTACGGAAAGGCCTGCGCCGCTTGATGTGCCGATGAGACAGTTCTCGATATCTTGCATTTCAAGTAATTTAATGATCGTGTCGACATATTTCAGCTTTTCTTCTCTGGGGGTTGTGCGCGGTTGACGTAGTAGTGCAGAAAACTCTAAAGCTTCTCTGACGGTTCTAGAAGGGAGTTAGAAGTCATCGTAAGGTAACTGGAACAAGTGACTTACGCTAACGGTTCATGGATGTCGAGCTGCTCACAATAGCCTGCTGAGCGTTGGAAACTCACAGAGAGGGGACGGCCATCCACCAGAACAGAGCCTTTGATCGTGCCATCAGTCTTACGTTGAGCTAGTACATCCAACAAAGTTGTCTTTCCTGCTCCAGAGCTGCCCATCAAAGCTCCCAGCATACCTGGCTTAATCCAGCCATGAACATTGTTGAGTAATACACGTGGTCCACTTGGCGTTTTGACGGTATAAGTCAAGTTCTTCCATGTGAAGATAGACGTGTTTCGAATGAGTTGATGATCTTGGTCTTGTGACTGATCGGAAGAAGATCCGCTTGAAACGATCTGCTTCTCTGAGGCTTGAGCTTCCTCGTCAAGAGGAATCTTGGGGCTTGATTTCTTTGAGATCGCCCGAGGTACAAGCAACAACCCACTTTGAGAAGCATCCTCCTTCCATCTCGAGGTGAAGACGATGGTCAGAGTGACATAGAAAAGCCACCACACCCTGTATGACAAGTTAAGTAAGTAACCTCATTATTGGACCAAAGTGTTTTCACTTACCATAAAATGCCAACATTTCTCCACATATTAGAATGGCTATAACTCAGACTGCTCAGGTATTGTGTACCAGTAACGCTCGTGGCTCCTGGTAGAGCGCCACGAACTCCTGTGCAAGCTTGGTTCACAGCCGATGCATATCCTGGCCCGTTGGGGACCAGATTAGGCCCGACGCAAGGCAATACCTTATTGTTCATCTCATTGGAAAGAAGCGCGTCAAAAGCATATACGATCGGATCGATCCAGTAAATCCTAAATATCATTAGACTTGGACTCTGAAGTCGGCCAGGATAGGTCCATACCAAACAAACCACGGATGCATCTCCGTCTTCGGAATCATGTATCCGCTATACAAAAGAAAGGTGCTAACTAGAAGCCCGGAGACTTTGCTAGCCGCATCAAAAGTTGGAAAGGCGGCACCGATTGCTCTAAATAGAGCCGTCACACACATTGCAGTCGAGAATACTATAAACCAGAAGGTGAAGAAGGCGTCAGCGGTTCTCGTGAGGTCGACCATGAAATAGAGAATTAACGAGAATGCTGAGATCTGGAAGATGAGGATAGGTATATCGGTAATGATCTGAGCAAGACAGAATGCTGCCGGATGGTGAAGTGCAAAGCTCTTATGTTTTGCGAGAATCGGACGACCAGCGAAAGAGTCTGTCACCTCAGACTGCGCTAACAGAGAGTTGAATAGAAGAGAAACGAATAGGGCTCCTGATTTGATGAACAAGCCAAGCGAGTTATCGGGTGCCATGTAAAACAAAGAGCCTGAAGTCAATGCCTGGACAATGTTCGAAGCTTGTTTGATGATGAGCGTGGACATATCTCCGCGAATGATGGAATATTGACGCTGGGTGGCCGTTTTCAATTGCGTACTGAAGTTAACCACATAAGGTTGGTTCTTCATGAATTTGCTAGAGTGCTTCTCGTCCCGAACCGCGAGTGCAAATTCTTGGGTATTGTCCTTGGCTGCTTGTGTTGAGGCGTAACCATACTCGGCTTCCATTTCCGATTTTATGCTCGATTGGAGGTACTGATTTTTAATTGCTTCTGCCGTCCTCGGAAATGACATCTCGTAGCCTGGGCGAATTTTTCGTTCCGTCGGGACCGTGACACCTGGTGTTTTTTTAGCAAGAGGAATAGGACATTGTACTGTGCAAACCTACCCGTCAGAAAATCGGCCACATTAGCACCATCATCACAGACGAAGCCTAGGTCTTCCATGAAAGGCCTGGCTTGTTTGAGTGGCCCGTAGAAAATCTCAGAACCCTCATCTAGAACCAAAACTTTGTCAAATAGCTCGTAGATACCATTGCCAGCTTGGTAGATCGTAACTACTGATGCTAAGCCAAAGATATCTGTCATAGCTCGGATACTCTTGATGTACTGAAGTGCTGTACTTGCGTCGAGACCTCGGGTTGGATTATCCCAGCAATAGATGCTACCACGAGTCGCCATCGCTTCGATAATAGATACTCGTTTGCGTTCACCACCAGAAACACCACGAACATACTCATTTCCAACCTTTGTGTCGGAGGTGTGGGAAATGCCTAACAAGTTCAGAAGAAAGTCTCTGCTGGCTACTCGTGCTTCTTCCGAGTTATTATAGCCTTGAACGGTGTTCCGGGGCATTTTCATTCGGGTTACGAAATCGATTGTTTGGCCAACGGTAAGGGTAGGGTAGAAGATTTCCTCTTCCGTATTCATCACGATTTGGCCCCGATATTTCGCTGCCTCTTTGTGGTCCAAGGAACCAAATTTGACGTCCCCATCGATTTCCGAAAAGCCGTGTCGTCGATTTGCCAGAACTTTCAAGAGCGATGTGCAACCCGCGCCTGGTCGACCAAGAACTAAAAGCATCTCTCCTGGCTTCACACAGCCATGAGTTCGGTCAACGATGGTTCTCAAAGATGCCTTAATTCCTCCGTTGGTACTCTTCAGTCTCTCTGGTAAGAATTGTGATACGATACTCTCGTTGAAACTGGCGTCAGCTGCAACACCCTTCACAGTCAGGTTATTCCAGGTTAATCCGAGTTTTCTCATCTTGTCGGGGCCATTTCCTCGACCATCTTCGCCTTTTATGGCTTTGACTTCTGGCATTTGTCTCCATTGCTCCATGTTGTGACCTGATTTCTGTTAAAATCCATCGTAATAATACAAGATATTTGTGAAATCTACTGACCACCATCAGAGGATATTGACATCGGCGTTCCATCAGCTGACGCAAACTGCTTCTCTGCATCCATCGCGTTGAGAGTACTTTCGGAAGAATCCATGGTAACCGTTCTTAGACTCCCAAGAAAGCCGACTCACGAAAGAGACGCGAAAAGGAAAAGGAATTTCGAGGATTTGTCGCCAGAGCTGAAAAGAAAAGTTGTTGACAAGAAAAACTTTAACATTATGAAAGAAGAACGCTCGTGATCGTGCGCGATCTTTTAAGATATCCATCTCGGATTTCCTCTCAGAAGCTATTCCGAGTCCTGGTCTACTAGGTATCATGGACATTTCCAGGTGGTTTTTCCGAGTCCGAACCCCTGCTCCCGTTCAGCTTTGCAACAACCACCAATTCTGAATGGACACTTGAATAATACGCTCAGCGATAAGGTTTAGTATGGTACTAAAAGTAAGTAGCTTAGTAAATTCTCTTGGTGCCGGACTTTCGGTTAGATCGATGTAGGAGACTTGGGCTGGTAAAGCATTGATTGAATATCAGGGGAAGTTGATAATGATACTGGATTACTCTCCTTGATAGAAGCAATGTTTCAAATTCGTCGGAAGAACAGCCTGGCCTCACGGACTAAAAAACCGACTTTCGAACCTTACCAAATTTTGCTGAGTGATACAACTATCGGGTTTGATTCACTAATAATATATCGCGAAGACTGAGTCGGGCGTTGGCCGCGACTATCTGCTACCTTATTCTTTGCCTCAAAAAGAGGCAATCAAAACCTACCAAGCCAGATAGACATTTTCTGCATTGAGAGAACGATCCTCTAACATGTCAGCCATCCAAAACCAACAAATTATGAGTTGTGTCGACGATAGAAAGGTGTTACGGCGTAAGTCCGAACAGATGAGTCGTTCAGCGTACCAAGTCGATTTGCTTCCGCCGAGCATGGAACTTTACTTCTCACAAGCGCCCAACCACCAGTGAATATTACTGAACAAACATCTCCTTACTTCAATAACAAAGACTCAGCGTTCTCAAAACTCTAATTCTAAGCCTGGGCCTCTGAAATTTTAATCGCACAGGAAAAAAACAAAAGCTGTCGCATGTTTACTGATCATTCCGACAAAGGAATTCCCACCACGCTTAGCGACGCCGCTACTCAATCTCCTCACACAAAGCCAACTAACCTCCACTTAAAAGTCTTGACCTACGCCTTGAATACTAATCGGCCTTTTTTCAAGATAAGGACCTTGAATGACTATGTAATCAATTACCTAATCACGCATCTGTGTATGATATTTGTATAACAGCAAAACGAGCACACAGTGTAAGGGATAAAAATTGAGTAAACATGAAAACATTATCCTGCACACCCTGTCGGATCAGGAAGGTGTGTTGTGATCGTGCGCAGCCGGTATGTGAGCGTTGCGCGACGACCGCGCGACAATGTCAGTATCCGGTTCGGAAGAAGAAGGTTGTGCCGCAGAATTCGCGGGTGAAGGATTTAGAAGCACGATTAAGTAGGCATTATGTTATTCGAGAATGAGGATTGAGCTGATAGTACGAAGCGCGTGTTGAAAAACAGTTTGTGGGTGGAGTGACGGAGAATTTGGGGACTTCTGAGGGCGACAATGGAAGTGAGGGGATTGAGTTTGGGGATTGGGAGGATGTTGAGATTGATTGGAATCTCCTTGATAATAGTCAGTTTTCTCCCATCGAGTATGCAGGAAGAAAGATAACTCACTGGCTGTCACAAGATTCTCTTGAACTTCAACCTTTTAATATTATACAACGTCAAGCCGATGATCCCGTGCCGCCACCACATGTACAGCAAGATCTGTAAGTCTGCCCTGTCACTGAAATTCACAGGTTCTCAAGGTCTTAGATATCAGATATATTTCCGACAAGTACACCCGTTCGCGCCTATGTTCGATGAATTACGGTTCTACAAGGCAATAGAAAGAACCCCAGATCACCCCCCATTAATAGCTCTTCGGTATTCGATTTGGGCTCTCGCAGCTAATACGACAGTCGAGCATCGCGCCCTCGCGCCTACATTGTATGATTTAGCTCGTAAGCATGCGGATGATCTTGAAACGAAGGTAATCCCCATGCGTTATCCCAGTTCATGAGACCAAACTGACAGAACGAAGGGAAGAGGGGAGTATGTGCTGTCTCTTGCCTCTGCTCAATGCTGGTATTTGATAGCTTCATATGAAGCAAGTAACGTATTTTATATTAAAGGTTGGATGAGTGTAGGGAAGTGTGTTAGGATTGTGCAGATGCTTGGTTTACACCAACTGGATGTGAACGGTGGTGCATCACAGAACCAAAATTGGGTAGAGGCTGAAGAAGGACGTCGCACGTTCTGGGCTTCGCACTTGGCGGATCGATTTGCGAGTACATTGAGTAAACGACCATTTATCTTTCAAGACGTGGATGTGAGCTACCAATCTGCAAGGTCGTTAATTAGAAGAACATGTCTAACGTTTTTCTCTTTTTTAGATATCTACTAATCTCCCTTCATCTCAGAGATCATTTGATGACGACAAAGAAGAAGCAGGAATTTCCTTGGACCAAGTGACTGCAACGCAGAGCTTGCAAGGACTATCTCCGTATGCTGCAACTGCGGTCGTATCCGTCATATTCGGACGGTCTTTGCAACAAATACTGTCTCGAAAGCGCGTTGGTGCTTCAGATGTGCAAAATGGCGATTACTGGAAGATCCATCGATATCTGGATAACTGGATATCCCATATCTTCATGACATTACCACCCCAGCTGGATGTATGCCGTGGAATACAAGATGCCACTGTTCTTTTTCTACACATAAAACTTCACACCGCAATCGTAGTCCTTCATCAATCGGCGATAGAAATCGCTGGATCGCATTTCCTAGATCCAAATATCCGAAATAAGTCTTTTCGCAGATGTCTTGTGAGCGCGCAAGAGGTCAAAAATATCATATCGTCGATCCCGGATATGAGATCTTTCCCGGTAATGCGAAACAATGCTTCCTCGTGGATTACTTGCTGACATGCCAATAGATTGATATGTGGGCGGGTTATTGCCTCCAATCAGCTGCCAGCGTTTTCATTCAAGATATGACTTCGTATAACGTCTCTTCAAATAGCCCTGAAAATTTAAGAGCGGTTATGGTTGCGCTCAAGACTTTCGGTATGAGGCACACCATGTGCAGTTGGTTTTTGGAAAAGGTCGAATTGGATATCTCTCAGGCCAGAGTCGGTCAATTGAAAATCCAGGATTCGAGGACACTTGAATGTATACCACCCCGACGCTTCGCTTAGTAGACCTCAATACTAACATTAATACCAGCTTTCGCTCAATTCGCTCCACTCGATATATGATCAATGCGAAATGATGATGATCTTCGTACCTTCACTCGCCATCGTCCTTCCTCGCACCCCAAAAGCCACGTCCATAACTAACCAAGATTTCCTCTCCCTTCCTAATACCCTTATTCTTGCCCTTTCTTCCCTCTGGCAAAACAAAAACACCCATTCCCCTTTCCCCTCTCCTCTCGTCCCAGATCTCCTTAAATTCAGCATTCGGCCGCTCAGCAACTCCTCGGTAATCATTGATGAACCTTGCTTCCGTGCCCGCTTTATCGGCATCAACGCCGATTCCTAGTTCTCTGTCGAGAGAGAGATCGTAGTTGGATGTTGAATGGGTGTCAGCAATGTTGTCTTCTGGATTTGAGTGACGAGGGTCTGGAGAGCAGTGGATTTCACCTAGGTATTGGAGGATGAATGTTCCAGGTTTGAGATCCATCGAGGCGAAGAGACCGGATTGGCCGTTTGCTGGATGGGTCGGAGATGATATTGGGGTTATTTTTACAAGGTTTGAAGGACCTTTCGTGGTGTTGATTGACGGGAGGGTTGGATCTTGCGTTCGAAGCGCTGTGAGGTGGTCTTTGGTTATTGTTGGCGAGTAGATGGGCGCTGTCAGATACAAAATGCTTGACGGCCATGCTTTGGGAGCGGGCTGCTTTGGTGGCATCGTACGTCTATGCCTGACCAGCTTTTGGGAGACTACTCATGAGTCGAGACCACGTGCAGCTCCTGTTCGAACGGACTAAATGGAAAAATTAAGCGAGAATGGCTATACCTACCTAGAGGGAGAATACATATATGACTGACGCAGGAACATCAATAGTCGTACTTGCGCTTAATGGAGCTTTACAAAACCCAACATGCACGGGGAACATCGATAATTGAAGCTATTCAGAGTCTGCTTCTAACGTGCCAAGGCGGTGGTGCCCTGGGCTAGTCCCCGCATTCTAAATCTAGTCCGTGCACGACGCCACTGACGACCGGATCAATGCTTGACATTGTTGACTGTCACTGAAAGAAAACAAACAAAAGTAAGTCGAGCCGAGAGCTTATGAACTCAGAGGACAAACAAAAACCGATCGCAATCTCCCAGATACAAGTTTCCAAACTCCTGTTCCAACAGCCAGGTAACAACCGCTGTGACGTAGCCACGAAGGAGGACCAACGCTCCGTCATCGCAATCACAGTTGGTTGAAAACAGGTAGAATCGTGAAGATCCAAGCTTCTTTGAGGACTTGGGTGAGATCATCTGCGCCACAGGCAGGATGCGATTCTTGATGCTGGTTTGAGCTTTCCCATATATTTGAGCCACACCTCGTGCCTGTCTTTGTTTTGTTTGTGTGTGCTTTGGAATCTAAATCTACGCAATAAACAGATCTCATCTTACACACTCTATACACCTTCATCTTATTTCCAAGAAGGAAAACTACATATTCAGTCATGCCTTCAATAATCAACTCACTCGAGAGCTTGATCTCGTCGATCTTTGGCGCTATCACAGCCGTCTTCACCTCCATCCTAGCCGTCTTTCAGAGCATCTTTAACGCCTTTATTGGTGTCATCTCAACGGCTTTCTCAGCGTTGGGTACGACCATCTCGGGATTGGCACATACTTTCGAGGGCTTGATCAAGTTCTTGCTCAGTGAGTTATCTGCTAGGAAAATAATCAGTACAGCTACTAATCATGTGATAGGCAACATTGTGGTCATTGGTGTCGTTGTTGGAGCCATCTTCCTTTATGGTGTTTACAATCAACGTAATGGAGGAGCTGTGAAGGCAAAGAAGACTGCTTAGGTTGGAATGGCTAATGGTCAGGGAGGTGGTAATTGGCGGATTGGTTAATGATATGAATGTATAGATATATGGCGTTGGCACGGTTGACTTCGATTATGAAATTGGGATACCAGGGGAACCATCAAGTAGCTAGCAATTACCAAAATCTTGAGTCGTTTGCTCTGTTAATGATGCTTCGTCCACTCTCGCATTTTCTTTATCAACCCTTGTCGCGTAGTATCAAATCGAGTCAGAGAATTGTTTGGCTGCCAAGGTCGTTTGAGAGCATATGCATAAATAGGATAATAACATATGGGAAGCCAAAAGAATTGATGGCATAGCGTAAGCGTATAATACACGACCTGCGACGATGGACTTCAAGGAAGGGAATTGGGAAGAGAGCTTGAAAGCTTGATGTAGGGTGGCCCGTGAGCACCCGTCCGCAATTCCCGAGCACTCCACCAAAAAGTTCCAGCAACGCGACACAACGCGCCCTCACATTCCAAGACACATCCCCAAAATGCCACCCAAAAAGGCTCGCGCCTTCAACCCGAAACCCAAATCCAAATCCGCAGCAACGACAACCTCCAACACACCCAAAAACAAGCTCCCAAAACCCTTCGTCCCCGCTCCAAAAGCACTCGAACCCTTCACAAGCTCCCTAAACAAAAACCATGTCTACATCACCTCCCTCGACTCCCACCCGAAAGACTTTAAGAAGCGGATCTTCTTGGTACCTGTTATCATGAACATCCTGATCATGGCGGCAATCATATATAGGGGCAAGGTCATCGGACCTTATTACATGAAAATCTGCTTCTCATTAATGGGCAAGAGGAATGAAACGACGATGAATACGAGACGAATGGCGTCGAATGACCTTGCGAAGGAGTTATTACGACGCACCGGTACCTTTATGTTAGATTTACTGATCTATTCATTCGTGTGGCCGTGGCCCAAAGCGTTTTTCCTAGGCCAGAAACTCGGGAATCCGGTTGCGTGGAGGACGATCGTTGGGTTTCGGGACCAGGAGATTGTGGTGCGACGGAGTCGGAAATGGTTCTTACCCGGCACGGATGTGTTGGAGGAGGGGAAAGAGCAGGATTTGCTGTTTGGGGTTGTGGGTGTTGCGACGGAACCGATGTGGATGAGTGAGAAGACGGGGTATTTGATGTTGAATAAGGAGTGGGATTTAGATTGGACTCTCATCATTAAAGCGACGAAGCTGGTGGATAAGAAGGTGTTGAGTATTGAGGATTTTAAGACTACGATACTGGTGCATCATGAGGAGCATGGGTGGTTGGCGATTGAGACTGCGGAGGCGGGGGGGAGTTTGAAGGAGGATGAGGGGAGGAGGAAGATTGTTGCGTTTAAGGATAAGTTGACTGCGATGGGGAAGGAGGATCTTTTTTTTCGATGGATTGAGATTGTGCAGTATGAGTCTTCGAGGCCGGGGGAGTTTGGGCCGGAGCGCCAGCAGCAGACAGTGTTGAAGGCTAGGGAGTTGTTTGAGAGTAATAAGGTGGACTTTGATAAGTTTTGGGAGGAGGTGGGTGGGATGAAGGGGATGCCTGGGATGGAGGTGGATTAGATTTAATGGCGGAATCCAAATTTTGAGCAAGCACTATGATTTTCTCATGCTACATCTATCTGTTTGCGCTCTTACAAGTACAGAAAAGACTTCATTGGCTTGCAATTTTTGGGTGATTCGATTTGCTTTCGATGGTACGCGCACCAAGCTTGAGCAAAACATCAGTAGCAAAGCCGGTTAACAGCACAGGTTGTGTTATTAAATGGCCAGACATTGTTTAGTACGGGCCTATGCTCACCTGCATTTCGCGGGATATATACACTTGTTAACATAAACCACGACGTCACGTATTGTCCTTGTTTGTTGTCCCTTCTGGTTGACAAACATAAAGTCTAATTGCACTTCTAGCGTGACACGACATGAACTACAGTAGTGTGCGAAGTAGCTTCCTAGTTTCTTGGAAATGATGGTCAAGGATACCTGGTCTAATCAATGAGGTACTTCATTATGAATGAGAATTTATATACTGAGAGAGGATATATGGTGTATGTACGACAGTTGAGAAACCCACATGAAGCATCCTATACGTTAACACAATGTATTTTTAATTCATCAAAATTGATTCAATAAAACAAAAAGATATCACAACTTTGACGTGGTCTCGACCGAATCCTCGCTTATGGATTGTAAAAGCTCGTGCCACCCCAAGGACATTTTACTCCGCTAGACTGGATTTGGACTGCGGCGAATATCCAGTCGAATCCATCTCAGTTCTCTTTTCCTCATCGCGACTGATTTTCCTCCACATCATCCTCGCCCAGCCCTCCTCAACATCCCATTCACTCAGTCGGATTGCTTGAGCAATTCATCTCGTCGCGTCATTTTACTAACCTCGACTTCTCGAAATTATCCGTATTGGTTCGAACATTCATTGACAACGTTCTGCAGCCTTGGAAGCTTCCTGAATTCTCACTACTGTCAGACTTGGCTGTGCGCCCCGATCTGTCCAACGTCAACCACAACAACTTCTTCCGTTCTACTCGTACGCGGACCTCAGTACGCCTCGTTTGCCGAGTCAACTCGTCACCTCGCCTCGCGCTTCAGCCTCTCCTTCGCGGATATCAAACTTGAAGGTCCTCCTCTTCCCATTACACATAACTGCCCCTCACCTCTTTTGAGAACTTGAGCCCTTGAGCCCACCTTCCACCCTCCACCCTCCCTGCCTCCCATAGGCTCTCATATTGCTGTCGCGACACACTCTTGGTCAAGAATCACATTAATCTCCAGTTCTTCATCTTGACTTGAAAGCCAATCTATGCCCCCAGGGGAACCTATCCTCCTGGCAGCGGCCTTGTCACCAGTCTCTCCTCAGCCAGTTCATCCTCCCGCACCATCCAACCTAGCCATACTACGAAACCAGAACAATCCCGCGTTCACCATGACTTCAACCACTGATCCCTCTGAGCCAACTCAATCTACTGATGCTGCATCTGCCGACCCAGAACCAGAGCAGGCTGCGGACACACCCGCAAGCGACATTTCGAATTTTTCCGATGCATACAAGGAGCAGGCCGTAGATGAAGAGGAAATCAAGGAGAAATCAGTCGATCAAGTAGCGGAAGTCAGCGATGACTATGCCATGACATTTGATTCGGACGGAGAAGAGGTTGCAGATAGTCTGGATGTAGCCGCGGCACAAGTAGAGCAGCCTGCAGTTTTGCAACCTGCTACAATACCAGTTATCGATTGCAATCAATCTATCTCGATCGAGTCCTCTTCAAACGATGTGCCGCAGAATGGCCAGTTCGAAAATCCCACACAGAACAATTCCTCCTCCCTTCCAGCGCCTATTGAAGCGCCTTCCAACCACTCCACAAGCCCAGCCGTTCAAGCTCCAGTATCAACGGCCCCGGATCCATCCAACCAATATGAGAATATCGCAAATGGTGGTGTTGACATCCAGCAACTACTAGACAATATCACAGCCAACGCCGAAAGAAATGAAGCCGCCTCAGCCCAATCCCCTTCCTCCCAAAATGCCAATTCATCATATCCCAAACCGAGCGTTGCGCTGCCCGCTCATTCAAGTCTCCCACCACGCCCACTTGCCCAAAATTATGCACAAAACGAGGATATGCAAAAGTATCATGCCGGCCCTCCAGGTGTGTCACAAAACTCCTCATATAGAGCACCAGGCGGTGCTCCCCCTAGCATAAGTACAATTGGATCAGGTATGTATAGAGATCCGACTGGTGGTTTACCCCCTCCCCCTTCGTCGTCTTTCAGACAGCCAATGCAGTCAACTGCCAGTCCCAATAGCCCATCGTTTAACCAATTTGGACCACCTGGTCAATTGAAGGGTGAACAGGGGGATGAAGTTGATGATATAGATGCAAGATGGGGGCCGGAAGTTCAGGCAAAGTATGACGCTTTTCTTGAGAGGGAGCGGAAGAACGTTACGGAAGGCTTATGGGAAAGATTTGAAAAAGACTCGCGTTTGTTTCTTGGTAAGTTGCGAATACATCCTACGCATGCTTGTTACTGACGAGATCACAGGAAATCTTCCATCCGAAAAAGTGACAAAGCGCGACCTATTCCATGTGTTTCACAAATATGGTGATCTGGCTCAGGTCTCAATCAAGCAAGCATACGGTTTTGTTCAGTTCCACACAGCCGAGTCATGTCGGCGAGCTTTGCAAAAAGAGCAGGGCGTTGAGGTTCGGGGGCGGAAAATACGTGAGTTAAAAAGTGTTACATGCTGAAGAGTATCTATTTACTGATTGTTTCTCTAGACCTGGAAGTTTCTAAACCTCAAAAGAACAGCCGAAATGCTCAGCAGCAGCAGAACAATGCTCGCCAAGACCGCTCTCCAGATCGTGCTCAGCAAAGCCGTGGTGGGCAGCGTAGGAACAACGGCAACCGGAATGGGAATGACTCCTATGATGGTAGATCAGAACCCCGCGATGATTACGGCCGTCAGTCGCGCATGCGAAGATCACCAAGTCCACCGCGAGGAGCATTCCGTGGTCGGGATGATTATGGTGGTCGTGGTAGAGATTCATACAACAACCGAGACGCTCGAAGGAGCCGCTCCCGATCCCCCTATAATAACCGAGACAACATCCGGTATCGCGAACGCAGTCCGAGTCCAAGACGGAATCAAATGCAAGAACCTGAGCTCCAGATTCCACGCCGTGATTGGGATAAGGTTCCTGATGTTCAAATTATCATGATGGAGCAGCTAGACAGAGGTTTTGTTGAGTGGGTTGAGAAACAATTCATCAACCGAGGTCTGAAAACCGAAGTCATGATTCTCTCGCCTCGGGTCTCACTCGAAGCAGTTATTCAACGACAAATTCTCGAGAATGTCCACGCTGTATCACAACTTACGGTGCAGTCTCAGAGGTTCAATAGAATCCCAATTCAAGTATTCAAGCGCCGGGGAACTGCAGAAGTGCAATGGGAAGAGTACGAAAATCTTGAACCTCATATCGCAGCTGAGCTTGTTGTTCGCGAAAAGAATAGTCAACCACCTCCTCAAGCGCCTCCAATTCCTGCGCCTTATCCTCCTCCTCAACAATACGCTCCACCTCCAGATCCTCGCTACGCCCCTGCTCCGTCTTTCCCAGCGGCTCCTAATCTCCCTGCTACGACGATTGATCAGAATACCCTACAAAGTCTCCTCGGCTCTCTTAAAGCGCACACGCAGAATGCTCCAGCCGTAGCAGCCAATTCCGCCGTCAATCTCGCAGGTAACCAAGCAGTCGATCTTGCAGCGTTGATTGGTGGCTTACAGAACCAACAACGTCAACAGCAGCCCACTCCAAATGCCTACGCCCCTCCGCCTGTTCATTCGTATAGTCCATTACCGGGTCAGGCTCAACAGCCGAGTTATATGCAGCAACCTGGCCAGATTCCGCAACAGAGTTATATGCCACAACCCGGTCAAATACCGCAACAAGGTTATATGCCGCAATCCGCTCCACCTCCGAGAGAGAATGACCAGCAAGTCCAGAATATTATGGCTACTTTTATGCGGAATCGGCAGTGACACATGGATGTTAGTCTAGGACGCTGAATTCAAATATTTGAAAAGGGTGTTGATTAATGGGAATGGAAATGGAAATGTGTGTATGAGATTGCTTTCTTGATGGTATAATACATTGATACATGAGAATGGAGACGACCCTCCTCTATCGGGTGTTTGCTAATCTAATACCAAGACGCCGCCCCCGTCTGTTTTTATGCAGATGTTCTACAGATTTAGTACATAGATCGTAATGTATACTTTTAGACTTTAACTTTTCCGGTTCACGTGTGTTTTGCTGTGGAGGGCCATACATTTGGCCTGGTCTTCATTAGCCCCTCATCCCTATCAATTCGTGAAGGGAACATACCGTGACAACAACAGTCTCTCAATCGGCGCACCCTTCTCTTTAGCTTTTAACCACGCCTCCAAATCACCCCTTATATCCCTCTCAGGCCGTCCAACCACATTAATCCCCCGCTCTACACACGCCATCCTTGCCTCCTCCACATCCAACTCCTCAACCTTCCCTTTCCTCAACAACATATCATCCATCTCCAAATACTCCACCCTCCTCTTCACCCTCCGCCTTAACATCCAATCCGGCAACCCAGGATATTGTCCCCCCAGATAATCCCACACACTACTACTCAACCCAAGACTCCAACTCACATGTATCAACTGCATCCTCACCAACGCCCCTCCCTTCTCCGTCGGCGGCGCCATCGTCAGATTCCGAAACGAAATCCCCCGTCGCTCCTCCAACACCCGCCGATCCTTCTCGATCTGCCGCGGGATCCGACATGTCCACGGCACGATGTTGCTTATCGCTAACACCACCAACGGAGTGAATTCTCCGCATATTAAAAAGACCAAGCCGAAGAGCGGGACGCGTTTCGTGTCGTGCCAGGACCGGATTAGGAGTTGGAATTCGGCGCGCGTGAGGCCTTGGGAGTGGAGGTAGGAGCGGAGGGCGACGGCGGGGTCGTGGCGGGAGGGGGGGTAATGGGCGTTTATCTTGGATTTGATGGGTTGCGTGGCGCGGTAGTTGTGATAGATGTTTTTGCCGCCGGTTTTGTAGAAGTTGGCTGGGAATTGGGGGTTAGTTGGGTGGTTTGAAGAGGAGGGGAGGGAAAGGGGAGAGGGATGTACCGTATGTTTTTCCGAGGTTGAAGAGGTATTTGAATGTACTTGGATATTCTTTCCTCGTCGGCAGGACGAGAGGGGCGGGATGGGTTGAGAGAGGTCCGTTTAAGGTACTCCGGTTGGTTTCTTTGCTGGTTGTGTTTGTGCTTGTGCTGGAGGCATGGCGGTATTGAGCTTGGAATTGGAGGAGGGATGTGTAGTTTGAAGGACTGTATACGCGTTGGAAGCTGGAAACGGTGCGCAGACCGTTGGGGGTGAGTTTGGTCATTGCATTGGGGAGTGAGGAATTTGGATAACTTGGAGAGAAAAGGAAGGAAAGATGTAGTGTACAGAATAGAGAATTGAGATGATGAAAATGTGTGTGACGTTGTGAGAGGTGAGATATTTCTACAGGGGTTGAGAGAAGCTTTGTGGGGTGTAAAGCGGCGGGCTGGGAGCAGTTAGGACTAAATGAGTTTACAACGGAGTTTATGTTGCAACCTTAGTTTATTTTTGGAGAAAATATATTGAAGTATTCTCCAAAAACTGTACTATTTCAAGAGACAATTCAATCAAGCGATTAAATTAGAAAAAAGCCATATGCTGCTTTACAATGTACAGCTACGGCGTGACAGCTCTCCACCCAGGTCCAGACTGGCCCCGAGTTATCGCGGCTTACAAACTCTCGGTGTTCGCTCATATCGTAGACACGAGTCTCACTGTGTCAGCCCCGTTGATTAAACGTGGCATTTACGTATTCTCAAGTCTTGAGAGTACGTATAAGTTCACTCGTCTAACAAACTCATTATGATAAAGCCAAGAACCTTATAACCTTAAACTACATCCAACGAAACGACCCTGCAATTCCCGAGAAATCCAACCACCATTTATCCGCATTCATTCAGCCTCCATGGCCTGGCCCTATCGATTCGTCACGCTAACTGACGACCAAGTCAAAGCGCGGAGGATAGCTTTGGATCGTGCGGGTCTGGTTGCGCATTTCTCGGTTCTGGTACCGCTTGTCGTGCTCCTGATACTGAGATTCGGGAAATGGATTGTTAGGAGGTCGGTGAAGAACGATTATGATGCTGTTCCTGGGAGTCCGATCCGGAAAGCTGCGAGGTTGGAGACGGGTGTGAAGGTTTCGAGGACTTGGGGGAGAGTGAGTTGGTGGTTGGATGAGGAGATGGTAGCTGGATGGGGGGAGAGGAAGTTTTGGATTGCTGGGTTGGGGTGGTGGGCTTGGTTGATTACTCTTTGTGTTGTGGGGACTGGTGATGGTAAGTTATACTTCTTTCATTGGATTAAGTGAAATAGATTGGCTTTTGAAACACTCTAAAGCCTCAGATTAAGGCAGAAGCTTGTCTTTGAAAAGACTATTAGGAATAGCTAGTTCATGAACCGGTCACATGATTAGCCCCCTTGGGACACCTTTATGTTACGTTAGTCTTTCGCTAGGAGCTTATTGTACTAACATATCATAGACTACATGCACATCACCAAGCGCTTCGGGATAGTTGCAGTCTCTCAATTCCCAATCCACTACATGCTGTCCATGAAATCAGCTTACTCGCCATTATCCCTCGCCCTCAACACTTCTCACGAAGAACTCAACCCTTACCACCGAGTCCTCGGTCGTGTAATTTACTCCCTCCTCTTTCTACACGCAAGCTGGTATCTCAATTTCTTCGCCTGGGCAGGTTTCCTCAGTGCACTCTACAAACGCCCGGTAGTAATCATAGGATGGACGGTCTTCCTACTCATAACCACCATGGTAACCACAGCCCTCGAACCGATTCGAAGATGGTCATACCGAGTGTTTTTCACCATCCACCTTATCTTCGGCATCATAATCCTCCCAATGCTCTTTTTCCACACCTCAGCACTGAGAATCTACATCCTCGAAGCGTTCGGACTCTTTATCTACGACATAATCTGCCGCAAATTAGACACCACCACAGGATTCGCAAGCATAACCGCCATCCCCAACACCAACCTCGTAAAACTCGAAATCCCTATCCCAGCCACAAAACAAAAACGCTTCACCGCCGCACCAGGCCAACACATTTACCTCTCCATCCCCCCAGAAAGCACACCTCCCAACACCTCCACCCTCTCAATCCACAACCTCCTCTTCAACCCCTTCACCATCGCCTCCGTCTCCGCAACTTCAATAACCCTAGTCCTCCGCTCCCTCTCGGGCCCAACCTCCAAAGCCCTAAAACACCTGACCACCCTCCCGAAAGCTCACCCACCAATCTCCGTCGAAGGCCCTCTCGGCTCCACAAAGTCATTTCCAGATCTCACATCCTACGACAGAATCCTCCTCATCGCCGGTGGCATAGGCGCAACTTACATCCTCCCACTCTACGAACACCTCCAAGATCAAATGGAAACACACGCCCGCTCGCCAGATCGCGTACAACTCATCTGGTCTATCCGTTCAGCGGCGGACGCTTCCTGGGCACTTAAGCCTGAAGGTCGCGTCCCGTTAAACGACGACGAGAATGTCAGGATTTTCATCACGCAACATTCTTCAGCGAGTGAAGAAAGTGTTATTCCTGGCAGTCCGACCGCGATCGAGATGAGTGATTTGAAGAAGGAGGAGGTGGTTGTGAATGCGAGAGGTGGGTATGAGAGGCCTGATTTGAAGGAGGTGGTGGATGGGGTGTTTAAGTTAGGAAGGGAGGAGAGGGTTGCGGTTGTGGTCTGCGGGACGAAGGGGATGGCAAGGGTGGTTAGGGGGGAGGTTGGACGGTGGGTTGAGTGGGGGAGGGAGGTTTGGTTTCATGATGAGGGGTTTGGGTGGTGAAGGATGGTGTTGTTTGGGGGTTTGAATTGTTTTGGTTGACGGGACTAGTGGTAGAGATACGTAGTTAATTGAAAAATTGTGAATCTGATTTACATTTTCTGCTCGATATCTATACTTGGATTTCAGTCACTAATTAAGCGAGAAAACTTCACTCGATACACCAACTTACAAGGGAAAAGTTATTCCATTCCCAGCCGCAACGTCAATTTTCGTAAAGCATATGCTATGCTTTCGTTAATGCAAGTCGGGCTTGTTCATACTCTATTCAAAAGTTTCTCGAAATTATATGTACGCCATCACTGAACTTAACAGCCCAACGAGTAATTTATCATCACCCCTCTTGTCCATCGTGATGCTGAACAATGACTTCTTGAATCCTCATCAAGGATAGGATCAGACGAATTGTCCTTCTTTCTTTGCCATTCCGAGATAGATAAGCACCACCAATTTGGCGGTTTGTTTAACATGATTCTGAGACGTTCGACTTTGGCTATCAGGAGGTGCAAATCATACAAAATTTATACAGAGAAAACGCATAGTAGGGAAAAGAATAAGTCGAATCATGGTATCTCATGTTGAATGAATATACCAGTGACAAGATAACCTCCATAAGACAACAAAAGCGCCAAAACACCAAAAGGTAAGAAATACACCTAACGAGCGACGAGAACTTATCCAATTCCCCGCAAACATACACCTTCAACACCCCACACGCACCCATCAACCATCTCACCTCCCACCCTCATCCTCCTCATTCCCATCCGGATAATAATCCGTCTCCTTCTCCTCCGTCACCCCCTGACACTCCTCACAGAAATCCGAACAGCCTTTATCCTGCTCATCCAGAATACTTTCCCGAGGCGGATCACAATGTTCCGGCTCAGGCAGCGGCTCGCCGTTCTTTTTCGCTTCCTCGCATGCTTCGAGGTAGGGGTGGCCTTTCTCTTCGCATTGATAGATGATACCGTTCGGGTGGGGGAAGGTGGAGTGGCAGCGTTCGCAGGCCCAGAGGACGTCGTAGCACATGGCGGGTAAGTCATGGGGAGTGAGTAAGTGGTTGTGAGGGGGTGTTGTGGAACGGTATTTTGATTGTGAGTTTAGAGCTTCGTTTTATGTTTTTGAGAAGAAGCTTTTGTTGAGTTGTTCCAACAGTATTGGTATGCATTTTAGAATTTGCCCAGTGACGGCATCAAACGTTCGGGTTCGAAGACAAAGAGTTTGTCGAGAGATAACTCGCAATGTAACAGCATAAGAATTGGAAGATGGCAGATGGTTTCCGTGATTCGTACGGACCTGCTCCCTTTGAAAGGATTTGGAGTGTGCTCAAAGAACGTGATCGTGGTTGTGGAATGAACTTCCCAAGGATTAACATGGTATAACCTTTCGATAGAATCCTCCGACGTGATACTGAATGGTAGAATTATGTCGAGAGGGATTGAAAGAATTCGTATAACAGTTGGCTGGATTTCGTTGGTCAACGATGTGTGCTCATGAGGTGGCTCGATAAGGGCCCCACGAATTTCTTCCAAGGGAAAGATTGGGTCGGAGGAATTTTCATCCAATCCATCGTTCCAGAAACGGGAGCTGTTTGAGATTTGTGGTTCTGAGAGAGCAAAGTTTTGGAAGTTCGTTTTTTGACTTTGACCCAGGTACCACGGAACATTCGATGGATAAAGAGCTAAAAGAATTTCGGCGATTTCAGAGCACTTTTACCTTATGACCTACCTGTGAAGACTGAACTTAAGACAATTTTCTTTTGATTACGTGGTACCCATATAGATATTTTAGATGTGCATAAAAATGGCCTTGTTCAGCAGAGTGTAGTATCACGGTTTCTCGCTTAACGATTGATGCTGGTTCTGGTCGTAACGCGGAGCAGGGCTTTGCTCCGAAACCTGCTTCTCGCCCACTTGTCAGTATGACACCAACATTCCAAATCGTTTCTTGCCACTCATTTCACTTGGTCATCTTTCAAATTATCGAAATAGCTGAATGATAGGGCCGTTGAAATCACCTGAGGTTCTCTTGGCACATTAGGTGGTTACGATCCATTGACCTTGACAAAGAGGCTTGTGGAGACTGACAGATCATCGTTTTTAATACCTATTTGGGAGCTCTTTCAGAGTTTTCAGAGTCCCTTCGAAGCTCTCCTAATTCCTCTTCATCTCGTGAGCTGGTAGAAGTGAGAGCAAATCCTCCTTTTGTTCCCTCGGGATTCTCATGTTTATATAGCTTCATGTTCACAAACATCGCGAAGAGCCCAAAGTCGTAGGCAAGACGTAGAACTCCGGCAGCCACAAACGCTATCCAAAATTTGTCATTTCCAGCTAGTAAACCGGTAACAGTAGGCCCACATGTTGCCGCTAAAGTTCTAAGCATACTTGTGATGCCCATAACTGCTGTTCTCTCTTCCGGCTTAACAACAGCCGCGATGAAAGCAGATCGAGGGGCTTGATCCATGTTGTTGAGACCAGTTCGAAGGAAGAAAAGAGCAACTGTAATCCAGACACTTGATGGAAATGGAAACAGTAGGACCGCTGCTGAGGATGGTACATGAGTATATACCATGGTGTTGACGAGTCCCAGATGACGGGCTAGTGGAGCCGCAAATATTGTAGATAGGGAAGAGAGCAGATAACTTATAGATGTGATATCTCCCAGTGTCGATTTAGCAAGGCTGAACTTCAAGTCCATGAAATACACCGTCAAAGAGTATCCCACCATGCCATCAGCTAAAGAGTCTACAATGAGTAGGAACCAAAGCTTATACATCACACTGCGTGTCTCCTGAGATATCTGCGAGAAGCGACTTTTCTTCTTCCCGAGTTGGAGGTCTGGGCTCGGAATTGATCTTGAACTTCTCTGATGTTGGCCTTCATCCCCAGAGTCTTCGTCGTGCTCGTGCATTTCGTCAAGCAGAACCCCTGACTCTTCTCCATGTGACGACCCAGTGTCAACAACTTCTTTTGTTTCCACCGCCTCGCATCTTTTGTCGAGTAAAAGTGTCAGGACCATGTTGAGGATTCCCATAATGGAGTAGATCCAAAACACCATGTGATATGCATCAAGTATCGTCCATCCATCTCGCTTTTGCAAGTAATCCACCACACGCCCAGCAACCTCCGTCCCGATTGCAGAGCCAAAGCTAGCAGTAGTAACATACCACGCAAGTACATCCGAACGAGTCTCAGGAGTTGTGAGATGTGAGAGCGTAGATTCTTCAATGGCTCGGAAGGGTCCCAGGTCGCCACCTGTTGTACTGATAACACCAACAACAGCTGCGAAAAGCAGCAACCAGAAGTTCTCAGACAGCGCAAACGTAGCCCCTGAAAGAACCATAAGCAGAGAGCCGCCAAACAAAATCCGGCGTCTTCCCACCCTATCCGCCACTAATGTCAAGAGAACAGACAGAAGAACATCCCCCAATAGCGTCAAAGTCATGAACAATCCAATTCGAGTATCTGAAAAGTCTAGGGCAGAAAAGAAGAGAACAAGTGTTAGGGAACTAGTCCCATAAGCCAACATCCGCGTGCATCGTGATAGTATTATGAGCCACGAATTCTTGCCGGTGTGGAAAAGAGACTTGAGGCCAAACTCGCGATAAATCCATTGGATTTGATTTAGGACAGGGGCCATATTGATGGATGGAATACAACCAAGACAATGAATTTGGTTACAAGAGTTACAATTGAGGATTAAGAGTTCTTAGCGATGACGAAAAATAGCATAATCCACTAGCAAATCATCGACAATTGGTCGTCAAAAGTGGGTGCCGAATACCGGTATCGTATCCCGACATCGCAATTTGCTTTCTCGTAGCGTCATGTTTGTCTGAAAGCTATCTATAAGTGAAGTGCACATCGATTGCCATCAGATGAACATTGGGAGCAGAAAAAATGGTCTTTATGTTTGGTTGCGAAGTTGTCACATTTGCGGGGAAAGAAGATATGGAGAAGCGAAATTTGGTGTCAAGATTCTGCCGCCTCCACCGCCTCCACCGCATTAGCCGTCAACGACATCACGGCCTTGGAGATAACCTACCTTCGAACCAGACTGTCTCACAATTCCACATCTAGTCTTTTCCTATCAGACAAAGTAAATTCCGCCGAGTTTGTTGAACCCTGAGCATTTGCACAAAGTAGACAGAATCAAATTTGGCTATTCCCAGCTACGCCTCGGCAGCCGACGGCATGATTTCCAGCAATATTCTTCAGCATTAAGTTAAAACAACGATTCTCATAAAAATCGTAATGCAGACTCTTCCAACATGATTTCAAATTTTCACACAACGGACAAAAATACCTCGCGCTGATCCAATTGCGCATATCGTCATGAGGGTATACGCCAGACCCAGGTATCCTCTCCATCACTGTTCGAGTAATCTTATCCCGGCCTTAAACCCCATTTCCTTTGCTATGTCGATGGGCTTGTTGCCGCACATGTCGGCTATACCACGATCCGCTCCATTCTCTAGAAGGAATTTGAGCGTCTCCTTACACTCTCCTTTCACAGCTTTGTGCAGAGCCGTACCGAGCCCATTAAGGGCGTACATTCTGCGCACGTCGGGAAGATAATCATGTTCGACTTGGTTTATTGGGTACCCAACCTCGTAGATGAGATAGGCCATAACTTCGACGCGGCCGGGTCTGCGGCTTCCCCACCAAGCCGCTTCATGTAATGCGTCCGTTTTTGTGTAATCAATACCGTACTCTCGAAATAATTTGACTACCGACAGAGGTGCTAAGCCCCCGGAAACACTTGCAACACTGTGATCCAGGGCGGCAGTTCGTAGCGTTGGATCTGCGCCGTGGTCGAGACACCATCGAGACTTTGCTTCCGACTTGATCACAAACCTATAAAAGCAAAGTTAAAAGGCCGTGAAAAAAAAGATAACTATACATAGCTATAGTGAAGCAGAAGGTGGTGGCAAATGGTGACATACTTGAGTACAGGATACATATTACTGCCTCCCACGGCACTATTAATGTTCCAGCCGTGCTTGATGAACAGCTTTAGAATTCCCCATTGTTCGCGCTTGAAAGCCGCGAACACTGCGGGCGTACACGTGATACAGCCATATCGTTTGATGAGGATCTCAGCTATGTCCACCTGTCCGCTCTCGGCAGCCGTGATAAGTACCCTGTGTAAGAGCATTACCTTCTTGCCTGGAATGACGTCCCCTTCCCAGAGGACAAACTCCTCCAAGCTGACCCTTGGCCATCCTGGACTTCGAACGGCTTCCCATTTTCGCATAGCGGAGGAAAAGCCTTCTACATCTCCCGCCTTGGTCAGAGCTTTGAGCTCTACTAAGAGGAATGTACCCCTTAGGTTAAAAAGTTGAGCGAGCATGTTGGTGTCAGGTGTCTTTGAAGTGGTATGTATTTCGTAGGAATGCGAGATTTTCGGGAAAAAGCAGACCAGTGGACCGTGGTATGTCATACGACCGAGAGAAAACACACGTTTATGCCCAGAATACCAGAGTCATCCCTCGCAGAAGCCGCTAGCTTGAGTCAGTGTATTCTACAAGCTTAAATGAGAGCATCTGCAAGGACGAAGCCGGGATGAGCCTTGTAGCTCACATCTATGCTTTCACTTCTTCTAGGAATACGTCCCGAGACAATTGAGTGCGTGTGTGGGACACTATTACAGGATGTTCATGCCTGTACCGCGTATTGACCACTGGACACCTGGTGCTGATACCGAAATAGTGTTAGCCTACTGATGATCGTGTTGAAACGTAAAAGTTGATAAAAACTGAAGCTACAGGTCCGGGTGTTGGTGTCGATGTTGGTACGATTAGGCAGGAACATGGCATTATTACAGACGGTGAAAACTTATCGGCTGCAGGTTCTACACCGGTCCGGCTCAGAACCAATCGGCCCGGCACTTGCCCCCCTATGTTTAAGCGAGTTTTTATATATCCTCAACAAAATCCCCTCATCAGGATTTCCTTTAACAAAATGGTGGATCCTGATAGCCATGGCTGTAATGTGTACTGCTCTTCTAGTTTACTCTCGCCGCAGCTAGCAATGTGAACACTAATTTCCAAGCTTACATCTACCGAATTTGAGTGTCCGGAATGTGAGTGCCAAACGGCAAAGCCTCAGCGGCCCAGTGAAACCTAGGTTTCGCAACTTGACAGCGCTGCTAATATGCTCAATTTCAAGCTGAAGGCTGACTGTAATCAACAGGAGCACTCATCGATGATTCCTTGGACTCGTGCCTTTTTTCTAAGGGAAGAGTCCCATTGCACTTATGACTTCTCCTTTATCCATTTCTGATGGAGGAAAAGGTATGAAGTTCGAGATCCCTACGGTGCAAATAATTTGGAAGCAAACCATACGATATTCACATTCTACTATCATTTCTTAACTTTACCATCTCCACTAACTCTAGAGAAATTTCTTTTGGAACACTCAATTTTCGACTTTCCAATATTCCTGGCCACTTCTCTAGTCTTCCCTTCGATTTTTCAAGCAGCCTCACAGCCCTTTTACTTTGGCTTGAAGGATCAATGAGGATGGCTTCTCATATTTTTTGTGCAAGTGTATCTGGGAAAAATTGTTGTTCAGTAAACCCAGGTTTTCTTTTACAACTGTCGAGTTCCATGCGATTTAGATGTAGTACTTAAATAACACGTAAACTTACAGATAAAAGATGAAGGATGACTCCGAGGTGAAATTTGATATGCCAAAGCATCCACATCCACGAAGTCCTTGTGCACCATAAACTATCCATTCCGAATCGAAGACTGGCATTGCATCATTTCGAAAGTGAATTGGACCTCTTGGCAAAGCATGAGAGCTCGGTGCTACACTTTGTTGATTTCATGCCAGTATTTCATTGTGTGTTGAAATATTCAAGCCAGGAAACACTTGGGTGTCCAGAACAATGTATTCACTTCGAATTTTACTGATAAAGACAGCTCATCGCCCGTCTAAACGCCGAGACTGTGGCTCTTGATTTTTGAAATCCAGAGGCTAGGTTAGGCTCACAATCAGGTGAAGGTATGGTTTCATAGCATGAAATGTTGCCCGCTATTTTTACCTGCCTTATGTCCCTACTGATACGGCGTGTAAAATGATATTGGAATGTTCAAGTATTACCAGCATCCTGGAGTATGTTGCGCAAAATGGAGGGTGTCGATTTATGGGTGTTGGTGTTGCTACCTCAACTGGACGATGGCATTGAAGTTTTGATATCCTAATTAATGTTGGCGAGTTTCTGCTAAGCTATAGTGTATCAGCATCCGATAAGAGTGGTTGGCTATCAACTGCGCCGCAGGGCTCGAAGCCTTGAAAGCACTTTCTATGGGGTTATTTAGTGTTTACCCGCATATCAGAATTGCTCAGGGATACGTATTTACGTACTAACACCGAGATTACCCGTACTCGGCACGAAGATTTCCGACATATATCCAATATATATTACTTGTTCCGACCTCTTGACAGTCGGACAGAGTCGAGTATCCAGCTCAAATTTCGCCAAAGACTCGTAATTCGTATGGGAAATCATCATGTCTGTAACTGAAACCCACGCCAAGGCCGACAAAGCTACAATTTTGCTTGTCCAAGGCTCATTTCAAACCCCTCTGGTGTATACATCCCTCGTCCAAAGACTACTGAAGCTGGATTATCCTACTATTCATCCATCGCTTCCGAGCTGTACCAACGTCGATGACCCCGAGTTTCCTTCAATAACGCTTGTTGACGATGCTCTAGCGGTACGTCTAGAGCTTATACGGCAAATAGAATACAAAGGCAATACAGTAGTGGTAGCGATGCATTCTTACGGCGGTTTGGTGGGCAGTGAGGCAATTCCAGAAGAACTTGCTTATAGCTACCGCAAATCCCGTGGACTATCCGGTGGCGTTATTCACCTGTACTATTTTAGTGCTTTTATCCTACCACCAGGAAAATCTGTACTCGGAGCCTTTGGAGAGTCACCTAATAATGATGTCAAGGTAAGACTTTACTCTAAGTCCTTATCTCAATACATGTTTATATATATTATAGCCTGATGGACGATTTGGTATCCTCAATGGTGCTTCAATTCTGTATAACGACCTTCCCGAGTCTGATGCCAAACTCTGGGAATCTCGCCTTATCCCCCAATCTTATGCCGTCCAGAAGACAGAGCTGACCCGAGGCGCGTACAAATATATTCCGTCAACTTATCTCATTTGTGAGAATGACAAAGCAGCTCCAACACAGTACCAAGAAATGTTTGCAGCAAGTGCCGGGGCGCACATAGAGAGGTGTAATGCTGGTCATTCTGCAATGCTTAGCCAGACTAAGATGCTTGCAGACAAGATCAGTGATGCAGTAGAAACCGCGATCGCAAAGGAGACACCTGAAGGCACCTAATCGAGCAGTAGATAAATTGGCCAGGGAAGAGGCTAATCGTGGTCGAATTGAGATAGCCTTTGTTTCTAGTGGCAATGGAATGCAACGTCTAAAGACGAATTCAATTGAAATGGTATTCCTCATGCGCAATTATTCCTTGATTAGCCGAAGATCTGAGGTAAAGGCATCCGACTGATATTGAACCAAGTAAGAAGAACTTGAGAACTAGTGATGTTTTAACTGAGTCTACCTGAAGATTCAAAACTGGAGCAGTGAACGATAAGGGGGCTTCAGCATCGTTTAGCCCAGAAGTTTGTTGCGGATAGAAATCGCCAAATGAAATGGCTGAAGTGCAATAAAATGTCCGTCTTTCTGGGGTACCAAGGTTTATCAAGGGCGGGCATTGGAAACCAACAGTAAAGAATAAACCGATGGAGCACGCGTGGAAAAGCACACTACGAGGATGCATTCCTTGCTGGAACCATTTTATGTGGCGAAAGTCCCGTTTGTATGATATCAAATGAAATATGGTGGTGGTAAGCAAAAAGTCATGAATCAGCTCCAGCTACCAGAACGTTTGTTGTCAAGGGTTTCTAGGTTCATTTTAGAGGATATTTTTCCGAGATAATATAGATAGATACCTCATACAACCATGCTAACTGATCCAGAGAAAATGTTGCAAAGGGCTGCTTTTTTTGGCCGTTGATCACGGTAATGAGCTTTTTATGTTTTTGCTTGACTATTAAAATGAAGTTACGCGAAAATGCCTATAGATCATAAACATAGATCGTAAACATAGATTATAAAAAGTGCAAATGAAAGCAGTCCGTCGTGGTCATGGATTACGTGATGGTAACCTTACACCCCTGTCAGCGAATGTTGGTTCTTTCCAGGCGACGTGACAGTCAACATCCTCATTCAATTCGAGATGGGCTCAGCTTGGAAGCTCGCATGTCGGCACCTGTTTTTTGCACGGATATGCTGGAAGAGGGGGTAAATATGTGTGCAGGGTAGTATTACTGGATATCTATACAGGTATCACGTCTCAGCGCCTGTTGGTGGCGCCCAGATAGCTTGAAATTATTGGCTGTGTCGACAAGTGTTGGAACCAACAAACCTCCGGAAATAGCAGGTAGCTCAGTCGCTGAAAATCTTCTTTCATGCCTGGATTGGCAAAATACTCCACAATTCAAACGATCACACAAGCTATGGGATCATCCTACAAATCCTAGCAGAACAAACATACAGCCTGAATTAGAAATCCTGAACGTAACCACGATGAGTTGGTAATGGGCCTTCACTAGGACAAATCCTTCGGCACGAATAGGAATGTTGGCGGTAGGCTTGTACTCATCTAACGCAGCAGCGTTAGGATTCTGTGGGCTTGACGACCACTATAGAAAAGATGGCTGAAAAACAAGAGCACATTTACTAGTGTTGAGCACTAAGTGGGGCCTCTGCTTTTGTAAGTAGTTTTTGGTGCTACCATACTTTGAACATATAGACGAGTAGTAGACTCGTAACCGTAACAAATTGACTTAGACGAGATTGAGGCGAGGAGGCTTTTTTCAACAGTCAAATTCTATTCAATCGCTATACTAAATACTGCACTAAATTCATAAAAAAAAAACCCCTCCTACTGTGCCTTTCCCAATTTCCCGGACCAAAGCGCATCAAAATATTTTCCCATAACTGAACACTATCCCAACCAAACTAATCAAAACACCCAAATTAACCAAATCCGCCAAACCAACATATACCGGCTGCTTCCAGTAGTCTCTTGCCGTCGTGATTTGATTCGTCCTCAAGAAAAATACACCCCCGACAGCGAAAAATTCCTCTACGTCTAGTCTAAGCGTCCGTATAACGAGATACAATACGCATACTCAAGGAACCAAAAGCCTCATCCTCTGGGCCCGTGGAATCTCGCTTGGTTTTAGCAACTGGTGCACCACATAGGTCGAATAAAGTGAGGTCTGTAGCCGATAAATGTACAGCAACCCTATAGAAAGTGTTGTCCGACTTCTTATATAAAATTCTGAACTCTCTTGGTTTGCCTCCAGTCCAAAGACTCCCATCAACCATGATCGGGAACTCCATGTATTCAGTTACTGCTCCATCTCTTTTCCAAGGCTTGGGATACGTTGCACCTGATCCATTTTTTCTTAAGGCTTGTGCGTGGGCTGCAATCAGGGCTGCTTTGCTGAATTTTTCAGTCTCGGGAAACGGCTCATTTTTTGGTCCGTCTCCAACGCCTTGTATTGAACGTTAGTAAGTATTCTTGTAGGGTCTTGGACAAGAGACTTCTTACTCGGACTCGGCGCTCTGACCAAATCTGGATAGGTATCTGCATAACTGCTAGTGACAGTGGTCACCTCTCCATCTTCGCCGAACGTAGTTCTAGCTGCGGTTGCGGCCCTCAGAAGGATGACAGAAGTAAAAAGGGTATAGAAAAACTTCATGTTGACAATGGGTTTTGCTGAACTGTACTTTTGTGTAACTAGAAAATATGTATTGTCGGAGTGATATATTGTTCAATTTGTGTAGTAGAGTGGCAGGTAGTAGCATGATATGATGTTCAGTTTATTAATCTATCAAGACGACTTTGATGATACTACTTACATTCTATCTGAGCCATGCAGGATCAGAAGGACGAAGTCTGTCAAAGCTCTCGATATAGTCATGATAAGGGAAAGATGGACAAATCTCTTGAATCACGGTCAGCTTTTTGCGAGGAACACTCCACGCGTGATCGATTTCTTCATGAGCCTCGAAATTGAAGTTTTGACAATCTATAAATAGTGTATCAAGGAAGATTCGGAAACGTCAAGTAGGCGCGGTAGTATTGAAAATAGCCACACACCAACATAAGGAATGCTCTCGAGTCTCGTGCATGTTATTGGATTCCGATGTTGGTACATGGCCTGTGCCTGAGTCGCCTACTGTAAAAGTTGATAGGTTTTCTCTCGCGCCAAAAAGAGTGATATAATGCTATCTCGCTTTGTTTTGGATATGGTTTATGTCTTATAGAAACCTCATACATTGGGTGTAAGTCTTTTGTTATTTAGTGCTCGTTTTATTACGTGGTGGTGGTTTCAGTCTTCTGTGCCAAAATTGGTGTCCTTGATGTGGAGACCCGGGCTCCAATTGGAAAAAGCGGGGTATGCAGCATCCTTAAGGCGAAGTGTTGGTTGCTTGCTGTGCGCACACTATACAACCTCTTGTTGTCTCTGAAGTACCTAGGGTAATTGGCAAGTCTTTTGAAGAAATTACTGACAGTTTATCAGGATCAAAGCGATTGACACTTCGGTCCTCGTGTAAAAAGCGTCATTATATCCAGTATTTTGAAACTTTCTGACTCACGACGCTGCCTCTTCACCGGTTTCAATACCTCATATCATTGAGGTCTTTGTATTTTCACTTGAGATATCTTGACTTTCCCGATCAACCTGCAGTCATGGAGGGACGAGGCGAATCGATATATATTGAAGCATTCAACAGGTCTCAGCGTCTCCTTTCGCGGTGTTTCGCTCTGGAATTAGATGCTTCAACGTTAGTTTCAGTCACACCGCTCATTCAAGGCTTTCCAAAAGAAGAGGACAAAGTAACTCAAGACTCATTACCTAGTATTTTTGTCCGTATGGTCGAATGGTTGCCTCTTCTGGAGCGAAGTGACGCCTCATATGGAATCTGCCACGGCATGATGACGCTCGCGAATTCATACCCTACGCACATCGACGCCTTCCTGATTATATACCTTGAGGCCATTGCACTTTCATCCAGCCATCTGATCAACTCAAAAGAGCAAACACTTGCCTTTCAGCTCCTGATGAATATGAGCGAGACGGCTAACACGGGCTACCGGACCAACGACTGTTGTAAGAATCCTGGTGTTTTCCGGCCCGGCACAGATGATCCAGTGAACGCCTCCAATATTATATTTAAGAAGAGCGATGTACAGGAGCATCTTGATCAAGTTCTAAAAGTGACTCTACAGCAGGCGAAGGAGGGCAATGATTACATCGTCAGAGCGGCAATGTATGCCCGCTTCGCTATTTTGGTGCAAGAAAAAAAGCCTCAGTGGTATAGCCGTGTCGGGATCCATGACTACGGCATTCAGGTTCAATTAAAGAAGATCGATTCCAAGGCCTGGATCAAACATGATCTAATTGCTGCGCTGATTAGACTACGAGGGTATGCGAAGTCACTTTCAAAGAAGTTTGCTATATCAGAGGAAACACAAGGGACAATGGATGAGTGGCAGAGTTTATTAATGCGCTGGATCTATGATCCGGAACTTGACAAAACAAGAGATTTGATGGTTAAATATCACGTTATCGTAAGTGGCCATTAATTCCAATCAGAGAGTGACATTGTGGCTAACACCTACAAGCTAGCACTCAAGAACCTACAAGAGGGTCCTTTCGATGAGACGAGTAACGAGCTTTTCAGGGCTCGGGACTGGGTTATGTAGTTGCACAGAGCCGAGAAGTACTGATAGTATGCGTTCCATGTTTGAGTAGTAAACAGCAAGGATGACAGGAAAAAAGGGTTATTTTTCTTATGCTTGTCAAGAGTCAACTACGTATAAGAAAGAGTCTGGAGGTATTTTTGGTGACCCACATCTTCATAACGAACACTTACAGCTCGTTTCTTACGGGGTACATTTCATTCAATTTCTCAAAATTATTATCTCCACGCTCAAGTGCTCTGCGAGGTTCTACAGACTTAATGAGCCCCTATGAGGCTATACATTAGCATCATGTGAGGAGAGTCAACCGCGATTAACGGCCGCTAGAAGATCTTCTGAGGAATACGAAATTATGATGCCGCAAATTCTGGCTCTGATATCGCCAAACCAACACCCATTGAGGGCCTTCCTTTGAAGGTAGTTGAAAATACTTTGAATGACATAAAATGAACACCTGTTCAGCATTGGGGCGCTCAAGGTCATGTGCTGTAGAAGACGTCATCCAACCAGCACCAACAAAGAGGAGACCGCGGCCTGAAGCTCTGGTATTGGCAGACCAACAGAATCCCAAGGGACTTGGTTGGAAATACATTGAACTATCAACAAAAGCGTGGCGTTGATTTAGCAAAGTGACCTATGATCGTGCCGTCTGATAACTTGATCATTTCTACACCGACATGATGGTATGTAGAACGAAGGTAATGAGGTATCGTATAATTAACATTCATCATACTCATGAATCATCAGAACTCTATCCAGATGTCGTCTTGAAGTATTCAAACGACACTTGGGGTGATATGTCATAGTTTCACCTTCATCATAGGAGAGAAATGGGACGTATCATTCGAGGGCCTCACGACGGCCGTATCACGTGTCTTGTTCAGCCAATGTTGGTTCTCTACCAGGCTTGTTGTATGTCACAATCCTCGTCCTCAATTAATTCAAAGGCTCTTCTTATCATTCAACGTCTCTTGACCCCACGAATCCTCGTCGTTAGACAAGATGTTTCCCATCCGGTCGAGCTGGAGATATATGCTCATACTCTTCGGCGTCTGCAACCTTGTTAATTCAAGTCAGGTTGTTTTACAAGACGCGCAAAAGGACGTCTCCCAAGCCCCATATCGTGCTGATAATCCTCGCATATACCCTTTGCCTGAGTGTGAGAGATGCCCAAGCGAAAAGGAGATTAGAGCACCGGGTGTTGGATTTGCAGTGGAGACTAGTTATGGGTAAGGCATTAACTATCTCTATGTCCTCTCTCTTTTATGGACGGCGGTAGCTAACAAATCGATATAGCGCTGCCGTAGTGAGACTCCAGGACGGTAGCCTTCAGCAAATTGCCTTGATCGAAGGCGATGCTTCCTACACAGCTCTTTTCCGCCGCCTCGCGACTGGCCCAATGTTTCCAGATCCGTATTATTTTGACTGTAAAAGGGACGTGTGGGATTATTTCATGAGACAAGCACAACGCTATTTAAACAAACTCATCGGGCGGCCTGCAAATCCGGAAACAGCTATCCTCGCCGCGATGGTATCGGCACTTCAACACGAGACGCAGACCTGGTTAGGCGTAGAGCAGCCAATCACTGCGGCGGTAATCAGTTCTCCGGCAGGCATTCGGCTCAAAAAGAAGAGATCAACGATGTTTTCGACCATCTGAAACTTAAGAATTTCCTAGCTCAATCAATCTATCGAAAGGAGCTATACGCAACCTCAGCAGCATCTGCAGGCTATGAGACTGCTATGTGTAACAACTTTACAGATGTATACAAATGTGAGAATGAGGAGTTGGAACTTCCTGCACGGCGTGTTCTACACATCGACTTCAACCAAGAGAGTTTAAGCAGGACGATCATAACACTAAGTAGTGTGTGGGATGGGTCCATAGATTACAGATTTGTAGATACAGATCTGGGATATGCACACCATGGTGATCTACTCGATACCGCACCCGAAAGAGACAGTGAACAGTATTGGACTTCCATCTCTGCTCGGATTCGCAAACTTGCTATGTCGTCCCGACATGCCATCGAAAAGCTCATGCTCACCGGAACTTCAGCTTCAGACCCTCGTTTCGAAGCTGCGATTCGAGAGGCGCTCCATGACATACTTGCCCAGGAGGTCATCGCTGATCTTGTGGGTGATGCCGATACTGCTGATGACGAAACTGAGTGGAGAGTGAAGTTTACCTTTGCAACTGCTCAAGGAGCGGCCAGAGTTGCGAAGCGTGTCCAGGAAATTCCTTTCATGTGTCGCCAGACCGACGAATGTAGGAAACGCCATGAGCGTGCACAAGACGAGATTCGAGATAGGGTAGCTTCAGGGTAGCAAACTAGTGGTTGATCTCATGCGCTGCAGAGAAAAGACGTGGATACATACGTCTTTTCTCAAATCTCCCATATGACCCCAAATCTGTGCAGTTCTTCTCGAGATTGGGACTGTTCTTACGAAAAGCGAGTGTATTTTTTTGAAACTTTTTATAGATCCTTGAATCTGTAAAACCCTTCTCCAGATCGATGTTCTTCTTACGAACAGCGAGGGTATTTGTATGTTCTAAAAAAGATTAGTTCGATTCTGTCGTCTTTGAATAACTATTTAGATGTAATTATACTTATGTTACCCGTGGATAACCTTCCATACCCCTTCTTTAAGTACATCTACCACTGTCTTTTCCACTGATAGATTGGTAGGCAAATAAATCGAAATGGAAGTACGAGAAAGCTCTATCTAATTGGACTCATATTGGTAGAGAATTACACTCATTCGTATAGCACCAAACACCACCATGTCTTGGTAAAAACTGTTTGCATGGTGCATAAGTGAAGGAGTGACCGACGACGACGAGCAGCATTCCGATTAGTCAGATCATCGGACGAAAACGATATTAAACAGAACCGTAGACATGAATAGCATTTCAAACCTTGTCCCTCGATGACTTCTGACATATTTAACCAAAACTATTTCAAACGTATATATATAAGAAATGCCCATATGAAAACGCCAAGCGAAGTCCCGCCATTTAATCAGTTTGTACCCTTCGCCTTTGGACAATGCCAAGCTCAACTGAAATCATTGTGATTTCTTAGCGCACTCACACTTCTAGCTTTGACATTCGGCGGAATACCATCAACCATCGGATGAGTAGTATAGTAATCCGCAAGCGCAGCCTCAACATTGGCAGTAGACGGATACGCACCCAGTCCCGCAAAGAGAGGAAGAACAGTCGACTCAATCTCCGCAACATTAGCAGGAAGCCCATTCCACGGCTTTGCGCGCCAGATCGCAGCCATTGGATCAGTGAACGTAGCATCGTCAGGATATCCATAACTGCTAAGGTTCACAGAGGTGACGTTGAAAGCAGCCATCATGTCGTGATCTTCGTGCACGAGATTGTGGCAATGGAACATGTACACGCCAGCCCAAGGTTGGTATTTGGCGATGACTTCGACTTCCTCGTTCTCGCCGAGATAAACGACGTCTTTCAACGCTGCTGCTTCATAGGGCTCGACGGCGCCTCTTCCGCCGACTCTGGAAACCACTTTGAAGTCTATGAGATGGATGTGGATTGGGTGGGACCAACCACCGGAGCTGTTCTTAAGACGCCATTTTTCTAGACCTCCTTGGGGCGGCTTTGCAAGAATACGGTTCGGAATATCTTCGAATCCGACACCGTTGATTCTCCATTCGCCGTTGTTGCGCTCAAACTTGAATTCGTGGTCGACAGTTGCGCGAGATCCAGGATCAGGGAGAGTGGCAAGTGTAGCAGGTAGTGGCCCATTTCCAACCTGAGATGTGGCGGTGCCAGTGACCACCCATTTCATTCTGCAAATCAAGTTAGCATTGGTCGATTTGAATTATTTTTGCGATGACTTACACTTTGTGCGTTTCGGGATAATCCTCATTGGTTTGGAAATCGCGCTCGTTCATCAGAATCAAAGACTTTCCCTGGTAAAGCGCGAAATCGATGACAATTTCCCAGCGCTCGGCCATTGAGATAACAAGACTGGTAGTTTGCACAGGCTGAGAAAGATATCCAGCATCACCGCCAACGACGTGAAATGGGAGGCGGGTATTTGGTCTTGCTGCATCAACCTTCAGATGATCAGCAGTAGTCTTGGTACTGATACAGCAGGACACTTACAAGGTAGAGCTTAAAAGATCTAGAAACACTGGCATCGAGAAGTCGGAATTTGTACTTTCTTGGTTCAACGTTTTGGAACGGCCATGGGACACCGTTGACAGTAACAACGTCTCCCCAAAGTGAGTCTCTTTCGGCTTCGGGCGAGAACAATTTTCCATTGCTTTGGAATTGCTTTGCGGAGATCATGAGGGGAATATCGTAATCACCAGTGGGCAGAGTTGTTGGTGCGTTATTATCAGTGAGGATGTAAAACCCTGTTCAGATTAGTTCGATGAGTGTGGGAGATAATCTTTCTAGTATTCTACTCACCAGCTTGCCCAAAGTAAGCATTCACAGCGGTAATACCGATAGCATGATCGTGATACCAAAGAGTTCTCTGTGGTTGACTATTTGGGTAGTAGTAATCCTTAAACTGTCCAGGATTTGTGACGTCGTCTGCCCATCCATCCCAAGGTGCGCGAGAGTAGCTACCATGAAGATGGATAGATGAAGGACGCGAAGCAGAGTTTGTAAAACGTACAACAGCCTCGCGACCTCTTGTCATACGAAGGGTAGGGCCTGGAGCCATCCCGTCGTAGCCGACATAGGTAGTTGGGCCAATACCAGAACTAAGCGGGTACTAGGACGGACTTAGTAACTAGAAAAGATTTCAACGACAGCGACCATCACTTACTGTCTGAGCAGTGAACTGGCGGATGTCGATTTCAAAGAAGTCAATGACCGTTCCATTGATAGGTTCTGTGTAAGTTGCTTTAGGTAGCTTCGTTGGAGGTACAACCAATGGAGCTTGAAATGGAGTGTATCTGAACAGGAATTAGCATCATTGACTCCGAAGGTATATAAAGTACCAATAGATAAGTAACTTACTGGGGGCTCAGCCAGTCTCTGATTCCATTCTTTGCCGCGGTGATCTGTGGGAGAGCTTTAACCTGGTGGGCTAAGAAACTCAAGTGTAGAAGTGTTGAGCCAATTGAATGCATCTTGGAGTATTGTATCTAGCGCCTGACGTTGTTCTTGGGACCCAACACTGCTGTACAAGTGTTGTTGATGTGATGTTTGTATGATTGAATAAGAGATAGAGAACAACAACTTACGAAATGCTTCCTCCTACTTATGTTATTTAGCATTCAAGGATTCTCGCGGTGGCAAGAGAGTTGTCAGCCTCAGAATAGAGTATCATTACCTTGTGCCGCAACTGATCACACAAACCTAGCAAGATGACCTTAAGATCCCGTGTTCATTTGTGGCTGATGGCTAGACCGTAGCATGGTATCCCAGATAGTGATGGTAACTGTGACATTCTCCTCTGCCTTGCATCAATAATCTTAGCTCTGAAAGGATGCATATTGGTAAAACATGAAACAAAAGTTTACATGCTAGAGGGGAGATTATACCCCTAAAACATATACTTCAAGTCCTAATCTGAAAAAGACTCATGACTTTTAATGCAGCTTAGGTGTATGATACGTCAAGTGATAGGGCTAATATATAATACTAGTTACTGTTCGGGGATAGTCTGAGGTCAGTACCAATTTTCACTAAGAGTCTTCTAATACAAGTGTTTTCTAGAGTGTCGACTTACTAGGAAGATTTCCATTGTAGCATCTTGTGTATTTTTACTTAAAAGGGAGTTCTCCCGTAAACTCTGACACCTGCGAACCAACCTACTAATACACGTAAAATCGTATGATCAGTCCGCGCCATTCAATGTGCGAAGGGTGAAGCCACGACATGTGATAGAAACGGAGTTATCTCTTTCCTTGACTATCTTAAACAGATGAATAAAGGGAGGTAACTTTGCATCGTAACCCCAAGGCGCCATCGCACGAATTACATGGGCATGAGGGCGATTTCTCGTGGTTCATAATATCCAAACCACCTCCAGAGCACTGTTATCCGAAACGGGATAATCCACCGCGGTGGTGGGGACATATTCAGTGTGAAGTCGTCGTTGCCAACAGTCTAGATGCTCAAAATACATTCGCCGCAACTCTCACCTCGTGGGAGTTGTCTCATATGTCGACAAAGAAGGTTGGCCGCGCGCAACTTCCAAAATAGAAGAGCAAAAATATCCTGTACGGCAACAAGTGTGATGAATCATGATAGCATTGCATTCGATGCTGGAAACTAGGATATCGGACCAGCAACTGTTCAGAAAAGCGAGATCAAGAGTCAAGAAGGGAAAGAAAAGCCACAATGCCGGTCCAGAAGGATTGCCAAGTGAGAGTAGCGAAACGGGATGGCTTGATACTTCATCTGACTCCAAAAAGCTTGTGGCACGCTCTCTTGGCAGATATGGAGCGGGAACAGCACCACAGTCGTTTTCGACACGAGATCTAAGGTCTTTCTTGCGATAACGTATGTCGATTGTGGGCGGCTCACCTGTCATCCAGTGATGCCGATCTGGGTATCACGCCCCGATGTCTCACTCGAGATTGATGTATGGATTTTGGCGAGCTTTTCAGAATATTCATCAGGCTCGACGTCTTGGCTTTCGTGTCTGAGAAGTCACGAAGTTTGAAATACGGGCTACAGAAACAAGATCTCCTCCGATGACAAACGATCTCAGGCAGAAATACTATGTTCCTATGGCCAAAAGAAAGTCAGAATTTATCAGGCGAAAAGGATCAAACTTCATAGCAAGACTTACAAGAGCCTGCGAAGTCTTGTGGAACCGTCGGCGTGAGTTAGCGGCTCATGTACTCAATATGCAAAAGAAGGCCAACTGCTGTGAGGTCCGGCCAACTTGATCCATGGCATTAAAGTTTCCAAATCATTCGTTGTGATTAATCCTGTATTGACACTTTCAACAGGGTCAAGACCAATAAGAGCCATGAAGTTACCTTTCGGTTTTGTTTTTCATACGAAGCGCACCACCGCCAGTATCTTCAAGGATGAACGCCACTACGACTCTCGAGCCGCTTTCAAATCAGGTAGCGAAGAAAATCCACGTGGACTGCAAGCTGAAAGTCGGGATATGATACCCCTCCAATGCTATTGGTAATGTAGATGGACGTCGTTGTCGCGTGTATGACCTTTCCTGACCTTCAGATAATTTTGGGTAGAGAACGGTCATCAAGTTAACCCGCATCCGCTTCAAAGATTCCAACGCACAGTCAGAGCGCTTGCGGGTCGGGCATTTCACCTAGCGGCCTTTTGGCTCCCGTCCTGCACTTTCTTTTTCTTCAACGCTCTTTCTGGGTATACAGCGAGTAGAGACAGTCTTTGGACGGGTCTTGAGGAGAGTTCAAATGCGAGCGTATAGGAATGGCGCCGTGACAAAGATGGCCCAAGTAGAATCAATTATTGAAGATGGTGCCGGGAAGCTCCCGTAAGCCGCATGCATATCCACCTCGGGGTGTATTCACTGGGGGTTGGGTTAGACCCTTGAGCTTGTAGAGCTTGGCCAAAAGCTGGATTCTTCACATCGGTGAGTGAAAGATAGGGGGGAGGTTCAGCCGTCACGCGGTAGTCGTGCGGCGCGTACCGAGAAAGTACCCAATCTGGTAATTTAAGCGACTCCCACTGAATGCACCACCTTTTTGTGTACACCACCGCCTCTCCTCCACGCAATAACCACCACTACCTTAGGCCGGGTGCTACATCTTTGAACACGACGAGGTGAGAGTTTGTCAACCCCCACCTCTATAACCCACCCAGACACCTCCTTCATATGTGCCAACCCTCCAGCTGAGCGCTAGCAAACTCTTTAGAGCGCAACACCGCTTCCCAGCTTGAATTCCAATAAGCGTTTGAAAGCATTTGGTAAGAGGTGGGTCACAACCCAAGCTGGGAATAAACATTTACGGGAACAAGAGCTGCGCCCAATAATGTCTCATACGATCAAGCTCAGCCAAGAAGCAGATAAAATGTCGGCGGGGACCTCCCTAGCCAATCGAACCATACCAGGAGGCCGGAGAGACTCATCATAGGAAGCTCATAGTTTTGAGGCCTCGGCAAAAGACGGCAGATTTCATTCTCTCACGTCGGAGAAAGCCTCCTGGCATATTGTAAGACCGCTAGCAGATACTCTCTGCGGACAAGGTATACCATCCTTGAGTGTTCGAAATTCAAGGTTGAAGAAGCAAATATACATTTCGAGAGCACGTGCTTTGGCGATCCACTCTTGGCTTCCTTTTCGATACTTCTAGTACATATTAACTAAATAAGTATGAGGCAAACAAAATGTTCTAATTCACCTTGTCAGAGACCTTCGACGCATGATAGTCAAAATAACCTACATATGGACAGCCAAGCCGCGCAGCTGGGTAGCGCAAGATAGCCCAAGTCATGCTTGAGAAGCAGAGCGTCGAATGTTCAAGGTGCCAACGACAGCGATGGATGTTTACGATCCTGATGTCTGCCTAATCACAGCTAGTCTGTCCAATGCGTTGAGATTATGAGTTGTTGGACCTCTGAAATATATGACAAAAACCTCGGAGCCTCAAGGATTTGCGAAATCTTATTTAGAGCAATCCACATCTAGTTGCAAGTGTGCTATAGCACCCATAAGTGATTTTCGTAGTGTCCATTATCTTCTGATGAACTTTTACTTGCCCCATGGTCTATAGCTGGATAGCAAAGCAAGAGTGACTCTGTTTCGCATTGAAAGAGTTAGCCAAAATCGAAGTTAAGTGACAATAGGGATGATCGTTGGTCTGAGGTCCAATTTTTGTAGAATCGGGTTGCGGCGTAACGTATCCTAATCCTAATGACCGATGCTTCGAATCGGGGTTTCATTCTTTATGCGTGTTCTCCAGAAATTAGCCAGTCTACAGGAATGAATCAGATATTTATCAAAGCGAGAGCTGGTATTTATATCAGCACCTACCCCCCTAGGTAGACGAGGTATGTAGGTAGGTGTCCCCCCAGCTAGATTTGGAAGAGCTACGCTACGTTTGATCTGCTTCCTCGTGAATCTTCATGTTGCCCCTTATATCTGACGTATGGCAGACACAGCGCGCGCTTTCGTAGGTATGAACCAACCTTATATATTGGGCGACTGAAACGCAGCTATGGCAGGTGTCCAATGTTAAAGGGAGCGAAATTGGGGAACCTGGTTCGAATCGACTAATACAGCCCAGTGGGCGAACAGATTTGCTTAAATACTCAACCAACAGCTGTAGCATTGAACAGATATCTCAAGTACCCGACTAGCCGTGTGTGTGTCAGAAGTAGTTGTCAATGTCGTTTAGAGAAGAGACGGTCTCAAGACGGAGAGGTGGGTCGAGACTTTCGCTTAGCAGCAATTATGGGACGCTCGGACCATCTTACTATACTTTAGTGGGGCCGGGGCCGTTGCTCCGTGCTAGCTCCAAGCCTCGGCATCTCCTTATCTTATCAGCCTTGCGCATGATTTCTGCCTCCATCATCTTCAACCTAAATCTCACAGTCTGCCCAGCTGTTAGGCTGAGGAAACCACTCGGTTGACATCGACGGCCATTAACAGACTACATGAAACATGCCACGCACATCTTCATTAAGAGCTCCAGATCTCATCGAATTCTTTGAAGGAACTGGCACGGATGATCAAGGCCGCAGTCTATCACAAATTTTAGCCTGGTCTGATGAGAACTTAGAATGGAGCCATGACTACATCCAAACCGTCTTCCCTTTGCCAGAGCGCTCTGACTTTCAATACACTGTAGCAGTCATTGACGAACGTGTTTTCGACTCGTTTCGAGCACGAAAAGACCTCCGCGAAAGTTTGCGAACTGCTTTCAAGAGAATTCTTTCTTTCTATGGGTTCGAGCTCAGTGAAAGCGAGTCTGGTGACCCTGTAGTAAGTACACTTCTGCCTACAATGGCTATCAAACCTTCGTCTTCATTGCTGATTATCTCTAGGTCAAAAAGGGAGCCAACTACAAAACCAATCCAAAAGTATGGAACCGGCGAATGGACCATAATCATCTCCGCATAACCCGGATTCTACGATCGCTTCGGATATTAGGACTGGAGGCAGAAGCTCTGGCATGGACCAATACACTCTTGCCCCTCGCAGATCATGCCAGCGAATCGTCTAAAGGGTTCTGGAGACGAGCTGCGCAGCGAAGCCTCAACATCCCACCAGATGATATGCGCTCTAAGGACGATGACAGAACTGTTGGGAAACCTTTTCTGATCAAATACGAAGAAAATCGCACAAACAACACGCCAGCTGCTGATGGAGGTAATGGCGCAGAAGCTAAGCCTGGTGGTGAAGAGAAATCTAAGCATACCATCACCCAGGATGCCGACGGTGGATTAGAGGATAATAGACCAGTAAAAAGATCACGACCGACGTGAACGTTCGTTTTCGTGGCTGCGCATCTGGAGAATCTATGCATACATCGAAGGTGTTGTTCACTCACGGTCATCTAGATACATGGGTTTTTATTTCGCAGGCGCTCCGCATTCGCATTCAACTTAAAGAATACCCGGCGATCTCCATCCGCGCCATTCGTGCTAATATTCGGAACAAATGTTCAATAGACTAGATGAAGTAGATCTTTAATCAAATTGAGCATACTGCTCATAATTTCACGCAACACTTCGGTCTTGGGCGAGATATCTCCCTCCTAAAGACTTGCTGTTCCAGCTGGTTCTGGTTAATTACCTGGTCTTAGGATGATGTAGCTGATGCATTCCATGTAAGTGCCATTCTTTTACTTCAATATTTTCCTAGAGTGCAGGTTTACTGTTATTTCCAGTGACAAATCTGGTGGTCGAAAGTCAAGTGTCTCGCGCCTGCCTCTGCTTTTCGGTATTCATGGTGACTCCTTGTCCGATTTGCATCTCCGTGACCTTTACCACAATTTATCCAGCTTTCACTATCGACCATATCTTTACATTCAGTACTGCTCTACCACTCGCTGCTTCTATTCAACACATATCGCTCATTTATTTGCGCCAAAATATCTACCTCATGTCGTCCTCTCAGACTCCCCAAACCCTCCACCGCTTCTTGGATCTCCCGTCAGAGCTTCAAGATCAAATCTGGGCCCTAGCGATTGAGGCGGAGAACAAAATAATCGAGATTAAACACTATGACTTTCTGCATTACCGTAACGGTCGGCGCGTACCCGATAGCGAAGCTGCCAAAGAAAAGGAAATATACCGGCACAACACTACATCCAGCGATAGAAGAAGGCTCTTCAATGCTTCTAAAGGGTCAAGGAAAGTTCTCCAGGAAAAGTATGATGTTCAGCGTCTCAAAGTCATGTACAAACGGAGCGTCTATTTTATACCTAGACTCGATACGATATATTTTGGCCCGTCGTCATATGTAGCTTCGGTAAGCCGAGTCAATCTAGTCCTATCAAACTTGTCAGACACTGATATTATATATTTAGTGGAATTGGCCATGGGTAGACTCTCTCGATGCACGAGATGACACATATTGTGGGTATGACAGGTTCGGAGCCAACATCTTAGCTACACCCCCCTCGGGTTTGGCACCCTTGGGAGAATTTGCATGGGGCTGGCACCCTTTGATGATGTCTCGTGAATACAAAGCTGAAAGAATGAAGATTCAAAATGTTGCCGTTGAATTGAACTTCTGGTTAGGAACGCAAGCCCACGATGACGAAGCCTACCTCGTCAACGAATTTCCCAACATAAGAAGATTCACAGTTACCACCGGGGATCTGGGAGAGAGGGCTACATCTTTTGATAGTGGTTATTGGGGGAAATTCCAATTCTGCATGCAAAACCTTCGATTAGTACCATGCTGTCACATGTTTGGACAAAACCTCGCGAGCTTACCTGCTTTTTACAGCGCTCGCGGCAGAAAAATGGAAGCTCATCTCGGGGATATTACGTTCAAATCCAAATGCGTTCCGATCGATTTCACCCCTATCCGAGACGTTGCGTATGATCGCAAATATCCCAGGGAACTTCGTGAGCGTTTGAGAAATACCTTGTTCCAAACTAGGCTTGTCGAACGTGGTGGTGTCTATTACGGCCATGATTCCAGGATCAAGCTTCGACCTGGTGATTGGGGGTGTCCAGAGATTCATAGGCCGCAGGATGAAGATGGTCCGCTTTGCGTGAACAGGAGTGGATGGACGAGAACCGTTGAGGCCTTGGTTGATTACTAGAGATGATTTTTCAACTGTGTTGGATGCGTGTTTTTGCCAGCAAGTTAGCGCTGAAAGGGCACAGTCAGAGTACGATGTTGGTGGAATGTCCGCATATCATCTTTCATTAGCGAGCGAACAATACCATTTCTGAATAGGCTTCATTACTTGGTCCGCATTATGGAATCGTTGAACCCTCCCGTTAGCCAAGTACCAGCCAAACTTGGCAAGTGATATTAACCCGCCCTTGTATCGATTATACATCGACTGTCTAGACTCTTCCAATATAAGTTAGAAAAAGCTCGCACTTTGGACGTGTGGTTCCATTCGGAAAAAGAACTGGGAAGGTCGCTGTTTGGCAAACACTACCATTATGGGCGAGGTCGCATTACTTTATGCGTTCAAAAGACCGGTACATTATCCTTCAGACATCCCTTCGGCATCTCCCACTCTAAAAGTCTGCCTCGTTTTGATGTTTATGGTCGGTTTTCTGGTAAAAATTCACCCTACACATACCAATGGGATTTTTCTTATCAAATCGTGAGTTGTTTTCCTGTTCAAAAAATTAATTTGACTTGGACGTCAGCCATGTTAGTTTTGTAAACTGAAGAGTGGGGTTGATCAGTTCTGTTTTATTTGAATATGAAAGACAAAAATACAGGAGATAATGCCGTGGTTAAGTAATTTTTTCGTTTCAACTACTACTTATCTTAATCAAGGTCGTTTTATTGAGCTAAAGTAGTGAGTGATATTCAACGATAGCCCAGGTCAGCTGACTTAGCGAGCAGACTTGGTGCGCCATGAAACATGATTAGAGGACTCCATACTCTTCTCTACATATTCCTTGAAGTGAAATCTATTCCAGAATTGTTTCTTTGTAACGCGCGATGTAACACCATGAGTGCATCGCTACGCGCCAATCTGTTGTGCATATATTTCTACAAGGTTACAATATGGAGTCCTGACGTCGTCAAGTCGATCTTTATCTGGTGACGTAGCTTACATCGTGTGTTATTTTTGACTTCTCCGCAAACTACAAGTAGACTGTTACTTTGCTTTGAAATTAAACATCTTTAGCGTGTCGAAGTATTTTATTTCCGAAATTGATTTCTTCTACTCAAAATAATCTTTACTTGACTACATTGAAATAACGATTCAATAACAGTCACCTGATCTACAGTTTTCAAAATGGCTCTGTCCCAGGCTGCTGCTCTGGTCGAGAAGGTTTTAGGACATAACGATAATGCCATTACTGAGCAAGATATCACCAATCCTGGTAGAGACCGTGCAAAGTATGCGGATCCAAGTGGTGAAACGATGAAAGCCCTCTGTTGGATGGGAAAGAACACTGTTAAGCTCAGTAAGTCTTCTATATGTACCATTAGTGGGGGTTTCGCAAAAACATATGCTTTCATTATATGGGGTGAAAGGCGAAATATGAGATGACGCTAATAACGTACAGTGGATGTTCCTAAACCAAGAGTTGTAGAAGATAGAGATGTCATTCTGAAAGTTACAGGAAGCACCGTCTGTGGTTCAGATCTTCACTTACTACATGGATCGGTAATTGAGATGGAGAAGGGGGATATCCTAGGTCATGAGTTCTGTGGTGTTGTGGAGTCTTACGGCGCAGGAGTTAAGGGCCTTGAGAAAGGCGATCGTAAGTACAGTTGACATGCTTGATATCGACGCTGCATGCTTCTCCGCGAGACGCATCGTTGCATTAACCTCCTGGCTCTCCAATGAGTGTTAAGAGCGCTGGCTTACGCACCTTTAGGAGTGGTAGCATCTTTCCAGATAGCCTGTGGGGACTGCTACTATTGCAAACAGAAGCTTTCGTCGCAGTGTGAGAGGACGAACAGTAACACCTTGGAGCATGGTATGTATGGTGGAACCACAGCGTAAGTAAAGACCCATACACAAATAAAAGACAGATTGCTGATCGTATTTAGTGGAATGTTTGGCTACGTAAGTCTCCCATTCAACAGCTCGCAACCCAAAACTATATTAGAAGTATTCGGGCTCCTCTTTCGTTATGCTAATATATCTCTATCCTACAGAGTCACTTCACTGGCGGGTTTGCTGGAGGCCAGGCTGAATATGTTCGAGTTCCATTGTAAGTCGTCGGCAAGGAAAACCCCTCATATTCTCCTAATTTCCCAAAAGCTTTAATTGCAAGTACGCTAATTTGTCAAATGTAGTGGAGATGTGAATCTTTTGAAACTTCCAAGTGATGTGCCAGATGAGAAGGGACTGTATCTTTCAGATGTCATTGCTACATCTTGGAACTGCGTCGTGGATACCGGCGTTGAAAAGGGTGATGTCGTAGCGATATGGGGTGCTGGTATGAATACCTTGAAACTCTCAAAAAGAAAGAAAAGAAAATAAGAACTGATGATATGTTAGGACCCATTGGACAAATGTGTGCAGAGTTTTCATTCATTAACGGAGCTTCACGTGTCATCATTATAGATTCCAACTGGCGACTGGATTTCGTGAAATCGAAGTACCCAAAAGTTGAGACTATTGACTATTCTACACTTCCAAGTGGCACTTCAGTTACGAGCAAACTCAAGGAGATGGTCGATGGTCGCGGCCCAGACGTTGCTCTCGAGTGTGTAGCTGGGTAAGTCGGCTTTTTAATTTTCTCTGCTAAGGAGCGATTGTTGATCTTGGGAAAATAGTGAATACGCGAAAGGATGGAGTCATTATTTCGAGCTTATGCTTGGTCTCGAGACTGATTCCTCGGAGATTGTCAATGAAATGATCACAAGTGTTAAGAACTTTGGGCGTTGTGGAATCACCGTAAGTCTTGCTCCGTTTTGCTAATCAAGTACGCATCTGTGTACTTTTAACTGACATCGTACACAGGGTGTCTATGTTGGTTTCACCAATCATTTCAATATTGGAAGCTTGAGTACGTACCGACTTATCGCTTTGTTTATTTCCCGATAACTCGTACTGACGATGTATTTTCTAGTGGAGCGAGGAATTCGATTAATTGGTAACGGGCAAGCACCGGTGCACAAGTACTGGCATGAACTCTTGAAGATGATTCAAGAAGGAAAGATTGATCCTCTTCAGATGGTTACCCATCGAGTAGATATCGAGGATATGGTGGAGGTGTATCAGAAGTTTGAGAAGAAAGAGGATGGCATGCAAAAGGTGTATGTGCAAACTAAGTTCTCGGCACCCGCGGCTTCGGGTTCTCCAGCGTTGAAAAGGTTCAACTAGACATATCCGGCACAGGCAGCGGGAACTATCATGTGCAACGGTTCAACATATCTTCATATATATGCTCCTAGTTGTTTTTTCAATTCGAGAAGACTAATCAGACCAATCTGCAACGATTCCTCTTCCGAACACTTAGAGATGCATCAGAAGTTCAGGATCAGCGCCAAACCCGCACATCTCATGGGACTTCACCGGTATCATTTTGATGTCCACTCCCCAAAACGTCATGTTATCAATGAATTTTAGTCTAATACTCACAGTGACAATGTCCCCATTCACCAGCCTACGTGACTTCCGATCTTGTGCCCGCTTAGGCACTTTTTCAGGCGAAGAAATCTCCACTAAACCCATAACATAGCTTTCATTTTCCAAAGAATTTAATTCAACAATATCGGCGACGGCGACCAGCTCTTCGAATCTAAACAAAATGATAGCGAAGGAGTCGTTTGAAGACTGATGTCTAAATATCAGAAGTAAATTGTAAAACACCGTTCCGAACTCGTCACGGTGGGGAAGTTCATGTAAACACCGAGCTTCGGTCATGTCGAGATGTTTCTTCCAGATTTCGTCGAGTTCATATCCATGGTCAGTTACAGGTTGTATATTTATTACGTTCCATGGATATTCTGAGGCTAACCAATATTTCCCCGGAAGGAAGGAATGTTGATGGAAGAGGTTGGAGTTGTCGACTATCGCATCATTCTCGAAAAATAACGGTTTGACCAAGATTTGATCTGGCTTGATGGTAGTCATACTGACAACATTGAGGACGTTTCTTGAGAGTGTTGAGCTAAGTACTCTGTGTGCGTGTACCCAATCCGGGTCTACCACTATATCAATAGCGATATAAGACGATTGAGTTAATATGGTTGACCAGTCTTCTTTAGCGCAAGCTAGGATAACTTGGCATGAAGTGCTCTGCTGTCTAGTTCTGTCAAATGAGTCTCGATCACAAAGAATGCGGTGTTCCATTCGAAGTCCTTTGTTCGTCATCGCATATGGTTCTCTCCTGTTGAATTCGGTAGGAAGTTTCTTGGTGATAATGTTCCCACAAGTGTCAAAGTGAGCAATGGAAGGTGCGAGCAAGCTCGTTATAGCATATTGCTGGTACCATTCTGGTGCCCAAGCAAATATGGATTCATCCGCAGAAGTTCTCAAGACCTCTTCTTGGAACCTCATGAATGCTCGCTGACCTTCGCCATATAAAATTGGCATATTTATTGATAGGAGTCCCATCAATGAATAAGATTTATCCTCCTCTCTGGTGGTTTTTCTTCGAGCTGCCCAAGAGAACTTTTGGGCGACGCTAGCAGATTTGAACGTACTTTTCTCATCAATACAATTGATACGTGTGATAGTGATAAGCACGCTCCTAAGGCTTCGACGAGTACCAATATCATTCCATCCCTGGTCGAAGAATATTACATGCGGTGGTGCCAGTAGTTCTTGGAGAGTCCAACCTCGTGTAAACCACTCACTGTTGCGTAGGTACTCAAGCTCTTCGGCCGACTGTTGAGTTGCGACCGGAACATCGCATAAGTATACGTAACAAATTGCGGCCTTAGAATACCATTGGAACATCGAATTAATCGCTTCTGAAAGTTCTGCACTGCTTGCTTTATCTATGCAGCAAGAGTCGACCCAGACGTAGGGCCACCCATCTGCCAGAGCCTGCTGGCAGCAACCTTGTATTTTGGACCAACCCCGTTTACTTGTCCGACTCTGCGAAGACATGTCTTGATATAAAACTTCATCATTCTCCCATCTATGTGAAAGAATAGCGTATCTAGGTATGTTATCGCCAATGAACTCTTCCAGAGAAAGTGTTGTCGTGTTGATGAGTCTCATGTTTGTTGGCGCACCTTCTCTAAGACGCTTCCAAGTGATGGATAAAGATGATAGAATATCTATATTGCAGCTCGAAATTTTGCGGCCGGGCTTTGGATGTCGTATGGCAGGTGTAAGTTGAAGAAACATCAAGGCTGCTGTCAACCTTGAGCTGAATGCACGACTCACATCCCTGCAAAAGACATCCAATCAACCTACTCTCATGTCGCTAGTAAGTACCAAAGTATCCAAGTTTCTAGAATTGCCTGACATGAAGGATTAAACTCTGTGTGCAGAGGAAGCTTACTCCCAGTGTATCAGTAGCTTTCAAGCTAAGAACAATGGTCAAATCCTTGGTCTCTCTTATGGAGAAAAAAATCAGTGTTTGTGTTACAAAAGCCACAATCTGAAAATGAACCACAACAGCATCTACTCCTGAGTACGAAGCGGATTTTGAAGTACATTTTTTTACCGATTACAAAATTTCTCCTTGATTTCGGACTGAATTTCTACCAGGCATAGTTTACTAAGCCGTGACTTATTTTGATTTCTTGCCCCAACCTCCATTTTCCATAGACCATGTGACAGCTTCGTTCAGGCTTTTTTCAAACGTCTGTACAGGATTGAACCCAAGTCGCTTCTTGGCTTTTTCTATAGAGTAGGTATGCGTAAAACAAGCGTACTCGACCTGCTGCTTTCCGAGCTGATACGGTCTTTTGGTTCCTAGAGAAAAAATCCAGAATATCCACTCCAAGAATGATGCCAGTGCTAGCACAAGCCCTGCTGGAATGGAAATGAGACGCTCATTGTTTGGCTTGTGACCAGCGAGTCGCCACACTGTGCGTGCATATCCCCAGAATAGATGTGATTCGCCGTCGTGGATGTTGAATGCTTCTCCGTCAACTTTTGTATCATGACTCACTGATAGATCAAGGGTCAGCTAGCTCTCAGTGAAAATCATCTCGTTGATAATAAGACAATCAGACATATTAACCTGGATATGAAGTTCATGAGATAAAGAATTGCGAACCAAGCTGGAAAATAACAAGAAGTGACCTTACTTTCAGGTACATCAATGAGGCCTAACAGTCTGCGCGCGAGTATCGAAGTAGCAACACAAGCATTATGAGCACTGCAAAAACTCCACAAATTCTTCCCATCTCCAAGTTGCACATTCGTTTGGCCTTTTTTCAGCGCATTAAGACATGCAGGTATGCCGACAGGATCATGCGTTCCATAGACGATCGGAAAGCGAAGCGCAGATGTCAATAGATAGCCTGCCCAAGATGCGTCGGGAGACGTCTTGTCAAGCGGGAAGGGTTTGTTGGCCTTCAGAACAGAAATTTCTGCGAGCGCTTTCGTTCTAGCGTATGCTGAGCTTTTTGGATCTGTATTGGCAAGCGGATAGTCTTCTGTAAGTTCTAGGTGCTCGGCACCTTTAGCAAGCGTACATGATGAGATGTAAATAAGTGCTTGAACATCCTTGGATTCTTGGGCGAGTTTGAGAAGACATTGTGTTCCTTTGACGGTGACAAGATTGTACTCTCCCAGAGTTCCCGTGACTGGTGATGGACAAGCTGCATTTATTATGAGGCAAGGTTTGATCTGATCAAACACTCGTCTTATAGACTCTTGGTCTTTTAAATCTCCTTCATGGTATGTTGCGCCGTCAACTCGATTCGTACTCTTGGCGGCAGTACGGCTGACGACAGCAACTGAGGAAAAGAATTGATCTTTGACAAAATGATTGACGATGTGAAAGCCAACAAAACCGCAGCCCCCTAAGATCAAGACTGCCTTTTCACTGGTGGGAGCCACCATGATGAAGTCAGAAGGACTAGGTATAAAGATAATCCAGGGTATGCTCGAAATTATCTCACCAATGCCGAAATCTTCTCAGATGATTGTGGTTCCGGTATTTTCAAATAACTCGAGGTCAAACCGCCGGCGATGACGTTGGAGCCATGGACTAGACAGTTGGTATGCTGGTTGGATTCGGATTGCGAGTGGCGGGTTTGCCAGGCACGCTGTACCTCTGCACGACTTTACCCAGCATCTATGTTATCTTGTCCAATGTTCAGGTCACTTTGCCAATAATGAAGGGTCAGCTGACTCGGATGACTACCGGATGTCTCCGGAACGGCAACCCGGAAGCTTGCGTAGGGCCATAACACTAATTCGGAGCGACTTAAAATGCAAATTTTTCGATTCCGAGATTACTGCAAACTCCGACCAGCTGGATTTTTAACGAAGTGGGCCGCGACCGTATAGTATTACGAAAACGGCATGTCTGCGCTTACATGGTAGTTGGGCTAATTGTTTTCAAGCAAGCTAATGTATTCGCTGTCACAGTTCCTTTTCCCTAATACCAACAATCCAACTGTATTTTAACGGCACGCATTTGTTAGTACGGCCTGAAAAAAAACCCGACTAGAACAGAGCTACCTGCCTTTGGACCAAGAGTTCCTAAAATAAAGATGTGCCCATCGATACTGCGGCCATAGTTCTATCAGCCATGGGCTACTGTGTTTGAATACGTTTATCATTAGAGCTTTGTCGTTTGTCAGGAACATAAAATCATTTTATTTCACCATGGCTCAAATAGATCCGTGCCTGACGAGCACATCCCCAGAACTTCTGGTGTTTCTCTCCAAGACCCCAGCTATTCTGCCTCCTCCTAGAGTCGAATCCAATTTTGTGGATCCTCCAGGGCGTGGCTTGACTCAGATAGTCGTGAGCTCGATACTTTTGGGAATAATGCTTTGCTTCGTACTGAACAGAGTCTATGTAAAGATAATATTAAGTTATTAACTAAAAGAATCACCTGTGATGATGGTATGTTATTCTCTTGCAGCGCTGTTTCGACCGTTCTCTGTTCTGACAATCTTAGGTATTTTGTTGCCGGCTGTGGTTTGTCTTTCTACAACTCGTGTCAGCTAGAAAATGTCTGAATTATTTTTATAAGCTTACCTCTGTCGGATATTACGCATCCTGTACTTGGGGTATGGGTTTCCCTACCTGACACCTATGATTTCTCTGCTAAACAGTCAACAAGGAGTGCAGAGGGGAAAAGTAGGCATCCACATGTGAAATATCAATATTCTGCAAGTTTCTAGCCCCGATGTTTTGATTGTAAGTTTGCCCAGATTTCTCAGTCCTGAAAGCTTCGTTCGCAACATTTGTGTAGCCTGTCTGGTTCGTCTCCGTACTCACGCCCCCTGCCTTTCTGTTCCCTAAAACCTCGTTCTTTGTTCTTTATCTCCAGATTTTTGATGGAAGCCTATAGCTGAGGATATCTTCATGGATTGGATTGATCACTACCGCAGTTACTGGCACTGTTCTGACCGTTTGCGTATTTTGGTTCGCAACACCCAAAAAGGGTCCATCATGGTTGGCGCATGTAACAACAAAGGAGCAGGAGCAATTACTCTCATTCTCTGTACCGCAGGCCATTATTGGTCTAGTCATCCGTCTCTACATACTCGTGCTCCCCATCATGGGAGTTTGGGGGCTTCAAATGTCATTGAAACGTGAGATCGCTATCATCTCCGTATTCCTGTCTGGCTTTATGTAAGGACTCGGGACAAATTCTGTAGCTTGGACATCGACTGACACAACATGGGCTCTCGTTCCTGTGAATATTTCTACGTAAGCATGACCTTGTTTCAGAAAGTTTGCACCGGAGAGTAGTTCTAACCCTTTGTGGAGCAGCCTCTCTGAGATGTTTGTTGGTATCATTTGTGCCTGTATGCCAGCAGCAGCATATTCTGCGCGCCAGAAGGATTCCATTTGGCAAAAGCTCCTCAAGGCCACGTCGCATATTTTCACCTTGATCGGATCAACCCTTCAGGGTTCAAAATGCGCAATGAATCAAACTTCACGGTCTCAAGTTACAGAGAATTTTCCAGAACCAGATCCCTTAAAATCGACAGATCGGAAATATGCACAATACTTCAACCTTGAGGATATCGCCAATAATACCACAGCGAAAACAGCTATTAGCGGTTCTTTTACAAGTTTTGACAATGAAACGAAAGTAATTCAACGCCAATTTGATGTTGATATTGAAAGAAACTGATGTGGAGAGCAGGACATTGCAAGTAGTTGGCTAATTCGAAGTATCAATCCTACTCGCACTACATTGGAGAGGCATTCGCTTCTTTTTAAGGCATTATTCTATTCTAGTTGTGCTGAGTAGAAGTGAGAAATAAGCTAGTGAAATGAGAACTGTAAGATATTATGATATTTGCTTTATTCAAGTCTGTAATTAAACCACAGTTATCGAAACAGGTCTGTTTACACACAATCAATTTCGATTTCGGTTGACTGGCGGTCAACGACCTGCTTGTATGGAAGATCGACTTTGCGAAGCAACTACAATTTCTAGAAAACCTTCGCCATTGTTTATAGAATTTCGTTCTGTCATCAGTATTCCAGATTTACTGGTCAAGGAGAAAGTCAAACCCATGTTTTTTCCCTGGTTATGCAACTGGTCACACTTCAGCCAGATTAACATTCGCACACAAGTTATCTACTGTATATTAGGTTTGAAGCTAAGAATGTCATTCAAATAATTTGTCTCTCTGTGGAAAATTAACGACTGCTGGCTTTCAAGAAGCTGCGACATAAACTTGAATTAAATCATCGTCCGCTTTTCTTCTTCAGATCCCATCAACCATCTACGCTTCCATTAAGAATCCCAGTCACTTCCTTATATCTCAAGAAAAACTCCCATCCATTACTTGAAGCGGCGAGATGAGCAAGTCTTTTCTGGCTTTGAAATTAGCGAGTGACGAGTCTCAAATGGAGAGCGCAAGCCATCGGAGCTTACCTAAATGGATATTGGCCTAAACGGATGGTACAAGACTTGAAGACTGATTCTAGTTTATAGATTCTCCACATAGATCACAGATAATTGCTTCTTCGTGGTTGTTCATGTAGTTGCATTTCGGATTGGAGCAGGAAATTCCATTGACAAGAATGGTAGTAACGGTATTGCTGTTGACCAGCTGAGTAGTAGTTTTAGAGCCCATAGTTTCAGGTCGAGATTTTGCGTTGCAGTGCAGGAATATGCTTTTGATCTTGGAGGGATTGTGGAAGTGGAAGGTAAGTCGATCAATTGTGGTAGTGTTGTTGAATATTGTTCCAACAATTGCGAGAAGATGCTCTTCTTATATAGTTTACAGACTTTCCGGTATGAAGTGCCGGTGCCATCGGATATCGTGAAGGGGTTGCAAATGGTAGATCTTGAGAGATGTACAAAGCCAGCAAATTTGTAGTCATAATACCACAACAACCACCTCATCTCGTCGAACCCAGTGACTCACGAGTTGTTAACAGTATTCTACGTAGGTATAGCCACTATATACCCCCTTTCAAAAGAATACAGAAACATGAACTATCACACTTTTTGTGCTTTTTTGTGACGTTGAAAGCAACTAGCTAGAGTAGTGCGACAAGTTGATATTCATGTCCACGTCTATCTGACTCCGACAACCTAGATTCTCTGCATCAAACTTGAACATTTGTATTGCAATACTCTTTTCGCTAGCCGTTTTAATAAAAAGAGTACGTTTCAAAAGTTATCCTCTCCTCTTTTCTAATTGTCGGTGGAGGGCCACTGACGGATCAGCTTCAACTATCTTGTGTAGCCAGAACAGCAACAATCGGATAAAAGATGCAGATAATCTCCCAATGAGACAACATCAATCTCCATCCCCATTGCCTCAAGTTTAAGAAGTATTAATATGATTATTTCTGTCACGTGAAACAAGTCTCAACACACGTGATAGAGTCCACATTTTGTTTTCTCCCATGAAGCTGCCGAAGATCAAAATAATTTCTTACGCGTCAACGTTGATTCGACACCAGGCAAAGAACGCTCAATGGCAACCAACGGATTGGCTTGTCGGAGCCTGATTTTTGGGGCGGTGTGAACGCGTGGGATGTGACCAAAGACTTCCTTCTGATGTATTCACGATCTTTCGAATCCGAACTTGCTCTCTTGCTTCTCGCTGGCTAGTTACGACTGTTTTTGAATTCCGAATTCGATCTATTCGATCTTTCCGTACAGCTAAAACGGTACAATCGGTACGGCTAAGAATTCGTTCGAGATGGTTTTTCGGTATGTTTTTGGCACCACTAGCTGTGGAGATAGACTGCTTCTGACATTAATTAGTGAAATGGAACCGCCCGCGCGAGACTCTGTCAAAAGAATGAGTCCTACCCTCTGGGCACTAGGTTCGAGAATGCTATGTGTTAAAATCGGCGTAGCCGAAGCGCAACAACTGAACACCATTGCTTCCTGGAAAGACGGCGACAGCGAGTTTCGTCTTATTCCCAGAGATGAAGCCCTTCTTGTTGGTTTCGGCGAAGGAGACTCGGCAGTTGATCGCATTCAGGAGTGCGGTACTGGAGGTTCCGTTTTCAGTATTGGAAATGAAGCGATTTGCAAGGCGAAGTCATGGTATGAAGGTCGACAGCTTGAAGGCACCACCATCGAAGTTGTGCGCGAACAGTTCCCATCGGTACCTTTACCAGAAGTTCTGTACTCATGGAATGATCCAGCAATGCATCGCACCTTCTTGATCACAAGACGAGTCTATGCCCGAACGCTTAACGCCGCATGGCCTGATCTTTCTGCTAGCCAGCGCAAGACCATTGCTGTCGAAGTTGCCAGCCATTGCGCCTCGCTCGCGTCAAAAACATCTTCAAAATATGAGTCTGATTCTGGATGCGGAGTTCTCGAGTATTGGCTCATGGATAGGGTCCCTATGTCTGTTCCAACCTGGTGGATTACGACTTTAGGGCCATTAACGCATAGTGAGCTGAAGAAATACTTGTCAAGTATGTCGAAAGAACCCATCCCGTTGTTTGGAGACGCATTAGTCTTCTGTCATGCAGACCTGGGGCCGACGAATATATTGGTATCTGTTGATGGAAACAGTGTCGCTGCCATTATTGACTGGGAGGTTGCTGGATATTTCCCCGATTTTTGGGTGGCGACGAAACCTGCCACAGTTCGGGCTTTTCAGCTGGACGAGGCAGCTGTCGGCCCGCAAGTTGTCGATGAATGGCCCTCGTTATTTGTGGAAGCTCTTGTGAGTAAGGGATTTAGCTGCCAAAAGTCAGTCTATCAAGCTTGGAGAAGTGGACGGATTTGAGTCGTACTGGGAAAACAATACTTCAACATCACAGTCACCAAACCTTGCAGTAGAAGGATCATTATTGATTTTACTGTGCATTTTCAGTGCCGGCCAGCTGGCTAACCGTGTTGTACTCTTTCGGACTTCGGCTTCCTTTTTTAAAAAAGAACGCCCGGACCGTTGTCAGACAATTGATTTAGCATCGGAAGAGCCACGACAATCTAGGCAAAGCTTGTACTCTAATAAGCTTCGTAATTGACAGATCGGTGGAGCTTGTTTTGACACCCACCTTTGGTGACCCAATCAACTTGTTGATTATTTCTGTACTACTTTCCAATCCGGATTAGGGGCATTAGCTTCGTCATCTTCTCCCCATGGGCTCCCCGCTCACACCTTGTCAACCCCACGACGGCTTTCTTGCCGGTGCGGTATACTCCGTAGATTGTTGTATTGGGACACGATCTGCCAGGGCGAGGATAAGATTAATCATTCGGCTAGATCTCCACTGCTGCAATGTCGTGTCCATAAAATTCTCTCGGGCCTATTGTGACCTGAATCATTCGTCCGCTATTTCACTTAGAAATCTGGAATAGTGCATGGGTGTGAAAATGTTGAAATACCCCTCGGAACCCCGCCTCATCTGAATCTTATCTTTGACCGCTCTTGACTTCTTCTTCCTCACTCTCATTTGCACTCATAAAGTTGATGTTGTGACGAATCCAACAACTTCAACGAGTCTTTCTCCTGCTTGAATCTCATCAAAAGAAAACGCAAACATGGGAGGACAACCAGTTGGACCGGGGATGTTCAAGGCCGCGCTGGCAGATACACCTCGAGAGGCTTTCAACTGGCGGCTTGCGCTCAGTGTTGTTTGCTTTGGACTGATGGTACCTCAAAATGCTCGTCCGTCTAAGAAAAACCAAGAAGCTAACGTACAGCCAGGGAGCTGCTCGAGGTTTGGATGAAGGTTTGATTGGAACGACTGTTACACAAAAGAGTTTTGTTTCTGGTAAATTGAGAGTTGTCCTGCCTAAATTTTCTTGTTACTAACAGTTTTCAACAGAGTATAACCTTAAAACGTCTGTCACCATGAGTAAGACAGAACTCGCTTCGAAAGTCGGAAACATCACAGCAATGGTTCAGATTGGATCTGTTGGAGGAGCATTGATTGCATTCATCGCTTGTGACAAACTTGGTACGACACTCAATAGTATTCTTGTCGAAAAACACACACTGACTTTTGCTAGGACGTATCTGGGCTACTCGACAACTTTGTCTGATTTGGATAGTTGGAGTTATCATTTACATCACCTCAGCCGGAAGCTATGGTCAGGTTCTCGCAGGTCGTTTTATCATGGGACTAGGAATCGGACAGACTACTGTCGTGGCACCAGCATACTTGGCAGAGGCTGCACCACGAAGTATCCGTGGGTTGTGTATCTGCATTTTCAGTGGCTCGGTCTACCTAGGCATCATGCTTGGATACTTCGTAAGTTGTTACATAGTGAGGAAGGGTACAAGCGACTGACTCAAATCAGGCCAACTGGGGAACTTCCATCCATATTGCCAACAACACCTCGAGACAATGGATCGACGCAACGATTCTCCACTTAATCTTCGCCGGTCTGATCCTCATCCTCTCACTATTCGCGCTCGAATCCCCTCGCTGGCTCGCTAAAGTGGGTAAAACCGAAAAAGCGCTTTTGAATATGTGCAAGCTACGGCAATTACCAGCCGAGCATCCTTACGTCCAAGCAGAAATGCTAGATATCCACGATCAACTAGAGCGTGAAATGGAAGCTACACATGGTTCTGGCTTCTGGGGTCCGTTCAAAGAACTCTTCATCTTACCACGCAACCGCTATGCAATACTCCTCGGACTCGGTTGTCAACTCATGGGCCGTAAGTTTCCTCCGCTCTTCTTTTATATACTTACTAACCACACGGACAGAGTGGAGCGGAGCTAATTCAATCACTATTTACGCCCCTCAGTTCTTCGCTATCCTCGGTACGACAGGACAATCAGAAAAACTATTCGCAACGGCCATTTTCGGCGTCGTAAAATTTGTCTCGGCACTCATTTGCGCCTTCTTCCTCGTCGATTTTATAGGTCGAAAACGCTCACTCTCAATTGGAATTATTATCCAATGTGTCTCAGTTCTCTATATCGCCATCTACCTCACCGCCGTCCCAACCATCTCTTCCGGCGAAGTCCAAAGCACAATCGCCAAACACGCTGGTACAGGTGCTATTGTATTCATCTACTTCTCCGGTGTAGGCTGGGCATTAGGATGGAATAGTATCCAATACCTCATCGGCGCCGAGATCTTCCCTCTACGTGTCCGTTCTTTGGGAGTCTCACTCATAATGTGTTTCCACTTCGTAAACCAATACGGCAATTCCAAAGCCGTGCCGCTGATGCTGATCGACGGGTCTCCCGGTCTCAGCCCCAAAGGCACATTCTGGTTCTTCTTCGCAGTCACGCTGCTTGGATTGGGATTTGTCTGGTTCTTCTTGCCTGAGACGGCGGGCAAGAGTTTGGAGGGTATGGATGAGCTGTTTGGCTTGAAGTGGACGCTGATTGGGCGGAAGGGGGCGGAGTTGACGAAGGGGAAGGGAAGTGTGAGTGAGTCTATGGTGCTTGGGAGGGGTGTGAAGGAGATTGAGGCGGGGTATGAGGGGGAGGATAGGGTTGAGGATGTTGAGAAGAGGTAGAACGGTTGGAATGTGTTGGGTTTTCACAAGCTTTTAATGAGATTTATTGAGCTTCGAATACGATTGATGAAATGACGAACAAGTTGATGGCATATCTCCCTGCTTTGTGTGTATCACTGTGCTCAATTCCATCTCAATTCTTAAGTCATCGGCAAGGAATTAATTTATGCATTATCAGACGACTCTTCGCATGTGTGCCCGGAAGGTGGTCACAGCCTCAACGATCATATTTTCACTTCAGAACGACGCTATTGTGAACTATGCTTTTTAGTGTAAACCTTATTTTTATTTAACATTTCTTCTTCGCTCGACACATTCGGATGGATTACATACTCCTAAATATGTACAGTACCAGAGACGGCGAAATCTAGGCCAATTTACAAACCACTGTCACAAAACCGCTAACACGCAAGCCATAATCTTTGACGCAGCATCTTCACGTGCCTCAGCAGACAGCTAATACTCTCTGCTCCACCTGTGTCTCCTCCATCACGTCTTCTAATTCTACGAAGTCTTCATAATACATTTCCTCAACCTCCGCGTCTGTCCTTTTCCTTGCCACATTCATACCAACCTTCACATGAACAGTCTCATTTTTCGCCACAAAACTAGCAAAGTTCCTGAGCGGTTCCCAACCTCCCTTTTGCGTTTCAAGTAAGGACCGAACGGGACGAAACTGGGGTAGCCAAGTTATTTCCTCGATAGTGTCGTTGATGGTAGTATATTCATCTTTCTTCGCGTGAAACTTTTCATAGGCTTCTTTGGGATCGGTGGCAGAACTTAAAATATGTAAGTCAAATGTGAAATTGTCGGTAGGCGAAGGGAAAATGGCGGAACTCACCTCTTCATCAAGCTCATCCATTTGCTGAGACTTGGATGACGATTGAGGAACTCCGAGCCATCTCGCGCCCAGAGCATCCAGATTATGTAAATCCAAACGACCCAATATGAGTGATCCCAATCTTCGACGAGAATGTTCCACTTAAGGGGAAGCGGTTCACCTTGATCTTTAGCTATGATTTCTGTTACTGATTCATGAATATCTGGATAATTTGCTCTTAGCCAGTCGAATGCCGTTTCTAGTGGAAGAAGACCAGCAACACAACGTGTCGGTTGCGCCATGGGTTCTTCGATCTTGATGCCGAATTGTTTCCTTGATTCGGGTCCAGTGATGGCGTTGGCGGAGATTAGATCGTGAAATGAAGAAAACTTGAGTGCGACTTCGAGATGCTGGGTCACCCACAGCAAGGCTTCTTCAAGTACAGCAATTTTCCTCTCCCGATACTCAAGCGCCATCCTCTGATTTTGGTTCTGGGGGTAACTGCATCCAGTCAATGAGCAGCCTATAGTGGCAAATTCTATGAATAACTTACCCGAGATCCTTTCCTGCGTCTATAATTTTCTGCTTATCCCCTGTAAGCTTTATCAATAAAATCTGTAACGATTGGAACAGTGCTTTGTAAAGAGGACCCGAAAACATGCTTGGTGGCGTTTGAATACAGTAGTCTGGATTATCCAGAATATACCGACCTTCTCTGGCATTAGCGATCATGCAAATCAAAGCTTCGAACAGACCGTGAGAGAAAATTGGTAGGGCAACAAGCCCCTCACTAGTCTGTTGGAACACACTCTGCCTACGAACGTAAAACATGAACTCTTCCCCAGGCTGAAAAGGTGCATTACGCCTGTGGCATGATTGTGTGCGACGAAGCTCGGCTGCATCAGCGGCCGGTGTCATTCTCAAGTTTACAATATCTTGTTCCGGAGAATGAAGGATGAAACCATAACCAACAAGTAATTCGCTGTTCGACTTGTTCCCGTAAAAGTTAAAAATTTGTGAGCCTTTAGCCATCGTCTGGGTAGATGAGAATGTAAAATGACCAGATTCCGGACTTTTAGACCATTCCACTCGATTAACTCCATCGTGATTACCTATGTCCAAAACCGGGAAGAGAACAGAGAAATTATCTCGGCGGATATGTTCCCGGTTCATTTCCTGTATCTCAGGACTGGTTGAATCTTCCATAGGAATCGTATCTGGAATCGTCAGAGATACTCGAAAGCTTCTAGAGCTGAAAATCGAGGCAGCCCATTGATATAATTTGTACGAGTACATATGCCAGTCACTCATGTGGGGTTTGAGGTTCCATATCCCTAATCCCCATTCGTTTTTCCACAGCGTAAGCTTCTTCTCAATCGGTGGTTCAGCATTCGTCCCAGCAAGAAACTTCAAGTCAGCTTCAGGCCAACTGACTGGAACACCAAGAGCGTCTTGGTCATCGGGCTGTGGTAAAAGTCGTATGTAATTCCACCAGAAGGATTTTTCTCCCAGTAAGTATTGTTGAACAAGAAAGAAGTGACCGATAATATGAGGATTTTCGACTCTCAAAGCTTCTATGAATGGTTGAGGAAATGCACCATCAGAGCTGTGAGATTTGAAATGAGCAGAACTCCCCGCTGCGTTGAGATATGACAACGAGGTTTCGTATGAGGATGTGGCTAGTGTTGTTCCTGGCGGAATATCTTCTGATGCTTGAAAGGAGAGTCCAGTGACAGGATCCTGATATACTACCACGCTCTCATGAAGTGATGTATTGTGTAGGCGGGCCCACTGCAACAATTCGTCAATTTTCGAAGCCATGCTGGACGTGTAAATTTGGCTCAAATTTCAGATTTGTCGTGAGAATTTTCTTTGTAAAAACTCCGCACGGCGGCCAGGCTTTTTGATGTGAATTGTGTCACTCTTCCGAATATTTCCAGTTTCAAGCTAGCGCATGATTAACATCAACAAGCCATAAAGTAAATAATGACAGTGTGGCAGCACTATATAGGAGAAAATTCCCTAAAATGGGAACAGTGTGCAATTTCAGGAGTCAAAATTACAGACCCGAATTAATTTTTGATGTTCGGTCTGTAGATATGTGGATAATTTGAATATGTGAGGTTGAATGTTGCCGTTCGCGTCGCGCAAACAGTCGTAGAAAAATATTATCATAGCGGGTGTGCCAAGACCAAAAATGTATCTGCGAAGCCCCACTTTATTAGAGTAAAGAGCATTCGATACAGAATCATTCCATAAAAGCACAAAGCATATATTTACAGTACTTTATATTAATAGAAAGTATCAAATCATAAGAGACAGATGATGATTCTTTTGTAATACCGTTTAAGATAATCCAGAACTTTGTGTTAAGCCAACTTATTCTGACTATCCTTGTATGAAAGAGTCAGAAAGATCCTATCAGATGTGTAAATCTATATTTGAAAAGCCCGCTACGGTTGGTTTCGCCTTAAGAAGCATAAGATCCACCAATATTTTTAGTTGAGGAGAGAAATCAGTCAAACTGAGAGTTCTGTATACTAATTTACTTCCATAAATACTATACTCACATTGTCGTACAACCCCCTTCGCTTAACCCTCCGCCTTGTTTCTTCACGGTCATAACTGCTGTCTTACAGATATCTTCGATGGCCTCCTGAACCAACTCCCCTGTGAACGCAGAACACTCCATATATTTATCACATCTCATCTCTTGAGCGATACGATAAGCTTCCTGGGGGTATATTATCCCGTTTGGGTCTGTTTCTGAGCGTAAATCACGCTTTAGGCCCAACAAAAGCACTGGCGTATCGGCTAGTGGTGCTGGGTCAAAGGTCTTGGGAAGAAGTGGTGACCACTAGCTTAGGATTAGACCATATTCGAGAACAGTTTACAGAAACTTACAATACGCTGAGCATTTATTAGAGTTATACGAGATGAAATGTCAAAACATAAGATGATCACATCCGGCTTCAGGAGTTGCCAAGTCTGAGGGGAAGCAGTGTCGTAGAATTCCAGTCGGAATGATTGAGGACCAAACTTGACCTCAAGAATGAATGGTTGGTCTTCATCGCGAAGAAGGTAGATAGGAGGTGCGTCTTTCGAGGGGATATTAGGACCTAGTTGCTGACCCTTGCCCGAACCCTGACTGACTTTCCTGTCATTCGGTCAGTAATGGGATGCTCGACTCGAAGACTGTTCGAGGGGTGCAGCTGGTCTTCAAAAAACTTACGATAGAAAGGTTGATTTTCCACATTTCTCATCGCCTAAGAGAAGGATCTTTATCTCGGGGGTTTCAACATCTGCCATTTTATTATCTACATTGTGAACATATCCAAGTAGGAAATGCAGAAGCTGGAGTGACATCAAAAGAAGCAATTCTAGCTCCTCCTTATCACATCATCACGTGAAGATAAGAGACGCATCGAGAAGCAGAGGTACAAATTTTTGACGTGTATGACTCGACACAAAATCTATGAAGGCGCCCTCGGTGCCCTATGTCTGGGTGAGAGTGTTCAAGAGATTGAAACACTCAGGAAGACGTCGCGACGAGAAACCTCTGCAGCGAAAGTCAGAGATTCTGGCAACAATGGAGGCGACGGATTACAGTGCATGGTCAAATGAGAAGCTCATTGAGCGAGTCACCCAGCTGGAAGCAGATCTCAAAAGACGCAACGAAAGGTTATTATTTCCATGGTAGATTGCGCAGGAAACACTGACTGTTTCAGTGTTATCGCTTCCATTCCCTCAGTGAACAAACACTGGAAGAAACGAACCGAACGAGCCTTCGATCCCGCCAAATATAATACTCGTCTTGTCGCATTCAAGCTCGCGTACCTGGGCAAGAAATTCAATGGGTTCGAGAATCATGCTCATGTCACGCCGCTTCCCACGATCGAAGAAGAGCTATGGAAAGCGTTCAATAAAGCTCGGCTCATATTCCCAAAAGATCTGAAGCCGCTGGAACCAGGCGCTGTCAATTGGGAGGGTACAGAATACAGTAAATGTGGGAGAACAGATAAGGGAGTCAGCGCTTTTGGGCAAGTCATTGGAATTCGAGTGCGGAGTAATCGACCTTTGCCAAAAAAGAAGGAAAATCCCAAGGCCTTGGATCTAGCAGATTCTGGAGCCGACGAGATATTCAACACATACCCACGCGAAAATGGAATCGAGACTTCCTCTCCGCCACTTGACCCTTCTCGGGTACCTTTCCGGGAACCGCCTGTGGACAAGGTGACTCTCGATATGGGTAATCCAGACTTCGAAGAGTCACTGAATTTCGATCCAATAGCGGACGAAATTCCCTACTGTGCTCTTCTAAATCGCCTGCTGCCCCCGGAAATCAGAATACTAGCTTGGTGCCCATCTCCACCATTGGATTTCTCTGCGCGCTTTTCCTGCCGAGAACGTCGATACAAGTACTTCTTCACCAATCCATGTTTGCCTCCAGTGCCACATAACCTTGATTCGACAACAAAATTGAACCCGCGAGGAGTAAAAGATGGATATCTGGACATAGATGCTATGAAAGAGGCGGCGAGATTGTTTGAAGGGAGTCATGACTTTAGAAACTTCTGTAAGGTCGACCCTGGAAAGCAGATTACGAATTTTGAGAGAGTTATGTTTCATGCTTCTATCCAAGAGGAAACTGGCATTGATCCAAGCATTGGGTTTACAGCTTCTCCGGAGTTTGCGCCGAAGGATGGGGTGAAGCACTCTGTTTACAGCTTTAATCTTCATGGATCCGCGTTTCTGTGGCATCAAGTACGATGTATGGTCTCCATATTATTCTTGGTTGGTCAAGGTTTGGAAAAGCCTTCAATCGTTTCTGAGCTCTTGGACGCTACAAAGAATCCAAGAAGACCTACCTACGAAATGGCTACAGACACACCGCTTATCCTCTGGGATTGTATATTTCCAAAAGAGAACGACCCAGAACGCAAAGACACTTTAGATTGGGTGTATATTGGCAACGGTCGTGGTCAAGGAGATGCTAAATATGGCCCTGCTGGGCTGATGGAAAATGTGTGGAGTCTGTGGCGAGAGAAGAAGATGGATGAGTTGTTGGTGGGAAGTCTGATTAAATTGGTTCAGAGTCAAGGCGACCCGGTGCAAGAGTTAGAGCCTGGAAAGAAACCAAGTCGAAGCCAGAGGTGTTTCGACGGCAGTAATGAACCGAAGATGCAAGGCAGTTATACACCAGTGATGAAGAAGCCTAAGATGGAGGCTGTGGAGGTGGTCAACGAAAGATTTGCGATTAGGAAAGGGTTCGAGAACTCGGCCGACATGAAGATCAAGGGATTCAGGAATCCCCCTTCGATAAAAGAAGAGAAACAAGCGTCGGTGCAAAGTGCTGTTGAAGATGCGCCGCAGATACCCATTAGTAGGGTTGCTGTCGACTGATGTGGTCCTATAGGTTCGAATTAAGCAGGATGTATTAGACATATCCCATATCTGTAGCTATCTTGTAATCTATCTAGACCATAGGCATTTGACAATCTAGATTCATGCAAGCGTTCTCTCCAACTTGCTTCGTAGTTGAGACATGACGGTGGTACTTGGAGTATGCAACTCTCCCAATTACACATAGAGCGTAGATCATAGGTGTATCTGTTGTTTCGTGTCACGGTCTTTCAAAGCTTGTGGTTAACCCAGCGCAGTGAACAGCACCTCAACTGCCTCTCTTCCACCAAGCCCCCCTCTGATGAACATAACCCTTCATCAATAATCCATCACCCCCCTTTTGCACTCAACCCCCCAACCCTCCCCTCCTCCCACAAACACCCTCTAACCCCCCTCCACACACTCTCCACGACCTTCCTCCGCGGCAACAACCTCGGAAACACAACCACAACATCATCTTCCCCTTCCACCACAACCACCAAATAATAACGTACTTCGAATCCCCTAAACGCTTCGTTCACTAGTATATCCTGTACTTTTTCTGTCGGTATGAACCGCGTTGTCGCGGACGAAAGGTAAGAAGCTGAGGATGAAGAGGTTTGGATCCCAAGCCCGCGGAGGACGAGAAGGGTTTCGGTGGTGTGTGGGCGCTGGAGGAGGATATGGAGGAGAACAAGGGAGAGAGGAATTAAGAGGGTTGGGGGTGTGAGAGCGGCGAGAGTGGTTGCGAACTGTCCTGGTTTGGAAGTGTGCAGGAGATGGAGGATGTAATACAGGTAGTCTATAGAGACTATTGTTTCTGGCTGAACATTGTGTGTTGATGTAGCAGCGGCGAGGTTGCTGAGGAGGTATTTGGAGTAGAGGATTAATAGCACACTCCAGCCGATAAGAACTCGGAAGATTATTGTGGTGATGAGGAGGAGTCGGAGTGGGAGTGTGAGGGTTGGTGAGGTGGAAACCGTGTATTCGACGGTGGTTGGAGAAGGCCGCCTCGTTCGGAGGTGAGGGGCTGTTGTTAACATCTCATCAGAGGAATTGGTACCATGGATGTCTCTGGCGCATTGTGTTGGAACAGAAGAGGAGTGTGTTCGCAACTATTGAAGTTGCTGTTGAAGTCGCGTCGCGAAATGCTCTTATCGCACGGATAAGAGTGTGAGTACAGATGCTTACTATATATTTTACAAATTGGTAAATGTCTTCATCCGATCAGGACACCAGCTTGGGTGGTTTAGTGGTAAAATCGATGCTTGCCAATGGATTCAGTCAACTGTTTCCATGATTGCATTGGCCCCGTGTTCGATTCACGGTCCAAGCATGTCTTTTTTGATGTTTTTATCCTCGAGTTTGAAGAAAAAATCTTTTGCAGGATTGTGTTGGAAAAGGTTGTCGGATGGAGGGTGCAAGTGGCACGGCCGAAGCGACGGGTTTGCGACTGACTGAATATAACAATAAGCGAAGTTGGCCCTAGGTGTATAACCATTAAAGTGAAAATAGTAATTTCCCTTTTAGAGGTTACTCATGTGTAAGGTTACGTAGACAGCTACATACTAGAGCGTCAAATGCAGTTTACTAGGAATTTAAAGTTAATAATATGTCAAATTTTATTATTGACTTCTAAAAGTTTATATAAATTGTGCTTATACTGTTTTGGTGCCTTGTCACTAAAAATACATGTCAAGGTGACAGGTGTGATTTCTCTACGGCCTATAGTAAAATAGTTAGTACACACGGGTTTTCTCGAAATAACATGGCTGTTAGTATAATAACAGGCTTTTATAGTTTGACTTTTCCTGTTTCAAGAATAAGGTGTCAAAATTGAAACTCCAAAGTTTTGATATAGAATCTCTGTAAAACCTTGTCTCGAATTATAATCTAAAACTGTACTACTACTAAGTGGCAAATATCTCAGGAATATCTAAAGCATGGGACATTTTAGGCGTTTCTCCATTATAAGACATGTGAAGATCTTCAAGTTCAAGATAAATGGTCCGTCGCTTTTCTCTATGTGTAGAGACATGTCATTTGATTAGACGTGCGATTGAGATTTTAAAGTAAGAGAAAATGGCAACCTTGTCTTATAATTCATCTTGCTGGTGAAAACTGTATGTAACCATGTACAATACACCCGAACATCCTATCCAGCCAAGCATGTACTTAGTCTCTCGAGTATTAGAAACTATCCACATTATTCTTAGATTATCTTCTGACTAGGAAATGTAGAGATAATTAAATCTAGTTTTGTTACTTGCATATTCTAATATAATCACTACTTTTTGGAGGGGACACCCCGAATCCCGTAGAATTACTGTAAGATCTCAACCTCTGAAATTTTTCCAGGCTTCTATTTTCTAAACTCCTCCAATTTCTTAATTTGCTGTCCTCTTTCGTCGAAATTGTCATCAGATAACCAAGCTTCAAATGCGTGCTTAACATTGGCATTCCACTCATCGTCAATGATGGAGTACCAAGATGTGTCTCTCCTACGACCTTTGACCACCATACTAAACTCCACGTCAGTTTCATTATCACCAAAAGCTTCACTTGCCCTTCACCCAAAGGGGTCTCTCAATCGGTAACAAGAATCTCCTACCCACAATCGACTCAAAACCACTGAAAAAAAAAACTCACTGCTTCCTAAAAGTCCCCTCATACGTAAACCCATACCTCTCAGCAGCCCTCTTACTCGGCCCATTCAACGCATCCAACTTCCACTCCACCCTCTCATTTCCCAACCCAAACGCATAGTTTAACAGCAAGTACGCAACCTCCGTCGCCTCCCTCGTCCGCTGTAACTCGCGCGCATACGTCACAAACCCAATCTCCGCGCGGCGATGCGCCGGCACAATATTAATCAGACAACTAATCCCCACGATCTTAGAGTCAGACAGTTTAGTGATGACGAAAGGGAAATCGCCGGTAGATGATATGTTGGAGATGAGGAATCCGATGTAGGACGTGAAGGCTTCCAGGGAGTCGTAGGGGCCGGCGAAGGGGAGGTAGGTCCATAGGGAGGCATTTGAGGGGCCGCAGAGGGATGTGAAGAGGGCGGGGATATCGGAGTTGGTGAGGGGTCGGAGAGAGACGTATTTTCCAGTGAGGGTTGAGGTTGGTGATGAGGCATTTGGGATTTGTGCTGGAGTTGATGAGCTGGGTGCTCCTAGGGGTTGAGTTGGGGTTGACATCTTTGGTGGTTGAGGAAGTAATTGAAGCTGCACAAGGACGATTTATAAAGTCTCTGTTATTATGAGTCACCACACACAAATGTTAGAAACAAAATTCGAAACATCTTATACCGTCTCCAACTATCGAAATATGTTGTGAGTAAGCGAGATCCCTGGCCTGGGCTACTCGAAAACACCTAAAATCTTACTGGCACGTCATTCAACTTCCAATGTTGAGGATCAGACTTTACCCTGACTGCCAAACATCACGTGCGAACATTTTTACTGGTTTTGAGCCGCTCCAAATCAACATTAATTCTTTATCGTACAACTAACTCATGAATATGGGATATATCCTGCAGGGGTAGTGCTCATCTTCTGCCTCATAAACGCCATTTTCGCTTTCTTATCTGTCTCTGCTCTGGATGCCGCTTTGGCTTTTTTGGGATCCGGTCCATTGTCCTTTTCCCACTCGACGTAATCTTTATTGATCGACTCTATTTCTTTTTTGAGATGATCGAGCTGAGTTTGATAGTCCTCCAAAATCTAATTGTGTTAGCTGATGATTCAACAACTTCATGTCTGATCCTCACCTTCTTCGCTTGTTGTGTCATATTTTCGTCCAATCTATCAGGGGCGTCCGAACCACTCTTCTCCAACTCGGCTTTCAGTAGTTTTGCCCGCTCTTGTACCGTGAGCATACGTGCCCATATTTCCTCACCTCTTGCTCCCAATCCAGGATCGCTCACTCCACGTTCCAGCTCCTGTAATTTTGACTTGAGATCCTCTTCATCCCCACCAAGAGCGTAACCGCGGTTTCGTAGAACTTGAACCTTGGTCGCCAACGCCAGGCATCTCTGCTTCAACACTGTATGCCTCCTTCTCGCGTCCATGGCTCGAATGCTAGTTTTCGTATCATGTGTTTGAAGCATCAGCGAAAGCGAGTTGTTGATTTCGTGAAGACGAGCGTTATAGTGCGCCAGATTCCGCTGTTGAAGCTTGATCCTCTCCCCCAATTGAGCAAATCCTACACACAGGACTGGGATAAATCCAGGCCCTGGTTTGTTCGATAGCGCTTCATCCCATGCCTTAGGATCCTCATTTGGACCAGGCTTGTAAAAGGGTACCATATTATCGTCGACTTTGTTGTAGAAATAATGTTGGAAAGCGCAATTCGGGCTACTGGTATCCCACTTCTCAAGAACAGTTCCGATTTGTTCGGGAATACTCTTCTCACCTAGAGACATCGATTAGCATCTCGTCTTGACAAGCCAAGATATTACCTACGAGGTTTGACAGCACTTCCTGGTTGCCATAATGAACTCCCCATCGAATTATTGGTTTGACCAAGCTGACTCTGTCCGAGTTGAGGTAAGTTTTGAACAGTCGATTGAGAAAATATGCCTCCGGCTTGTTGATTCTGTGGGTTGTTCAAATTGCTGAAAAGTCCCCCCGACTGCTGCTGGTTCTGCTGGTTGTTCTGTCCGCCAAAAAGACTTTGCCCAGCCTGTTGCTGCTGCTGTTGGGGCTGTTGTGTACTCTGCCCAAGACCGCCAAAAAGACCCGACGATTGTTGCTGTGGCTGGTTTTGTTGTGTACTTTGATTCAGACCGGAGAATAGGTTCGATGTCCCAGCTTGGGCATTTTGAGGCTGCTGCTGCGTATTCTGATTGGTAGACTGCCCAAACCCGCCGAAGAGATTGCTTTGTGCAGGCTGTGTTGTATTATTCTGTTGCGTACTCTGGCCTAATGCGCCGAATAATGGTTTGGACTGCTGCCCACCAAACAGACCTCCGACCTGCTGACCCGCATTGTTGCTTTGCCCAAATAATGACATGTCTCAAACGGCTTCTATTGCTATATGATTGAGGCAGCGACGCTCCGAGTGTGATGGGTTCGTTCTAATGTTCGAGGGTTTGACGACTCGGGAATACAAATGTTAAAGATCGTAGAGGTGAGCGCGTTCGTAGGTGCGAAAAAAATGACAACAACTATATTTATACCCAACAATCGTGCACTAGAACCTCCGGATAGTGGCAACGCGACGAGTGGGAGATATAATTGTTAGGTCTGGAGACTTCACAGGCGCAAGCTGTTGAAGTCGAGTAGCTTGGAGAAACAAATATACAGACCGCGACGAGCTTTGGCAGGTCTTGGCAAAAACAGCTTCCGGGATCTGCATCACGTGCCTATGTATTCACGTCGTGTCTTCGTACCCAAACATTTCTTTTATTGGAGAGCGAACTGAGACTCTTCGTCATCCGCCTACATCACTTATTAGATACATATAGCTTTCATGTGCCACGATAACGGCGCAAAAGAGCAACCATATCTTCCCTCAACCATGCAGCGCAGTTCTGCTCTGCACCCATCGATCCGCTGGAGTCAATAATACCCTCGACATCTCAGCCTGCTTTTGTCGCAAACATTCGGTCATCTCGGAAAGACCACCATCTCCACTCAACTAGTTGGCTCTATCGAGTTTCAAACTTTGGACGTCTAGTAACCGGCGCGATCCGAATGCCCTCATTACCACCTTTTACTATGTCACGATCTTCGAATCCTATTCCGGCAACACCGAGAGTAATCTCGCCGTCTCCAACACCATCCGAGTCTCGAGACACGTCGCAAGATGGATACTTCGGCCCAGTTACGCGCTCCGCAAAGAAGAAGGCGGCATCTACACCAGAGCCCATAGACGAAGATTTGGACGAGGATGACGAACCTAGCGATGAACTGAGAAGGGCGCGGTCGAAAAGCAGAAGTCCCATGAGGGCTCGAAAGATCTCGGGGCTCACGGCTGCAAAATCATCAAAGCCAACTCCAGTTCAGAAGTCGGTGCCGTTGACGAACGGGAATGGACACGCGAAAGAATCCAACGGCCACTTGTCGCCAACAAGTGCTAGCGCGGGTTGGAGTTGGAGGGACTTTAGTCGAAGCCCTAGTCCGCTGGGCCTGATTCCTATACACAGGCAATGGAGGTCGTTCGTGCATCGACACGAGGTTCCACGGAAAGTGTTGCACGTATCTATCGGGTTTTTTGTTATCTGGGCATACCTACACGGCCTGCAGACATCCGACATCACTCCGTGGCTGATGGGTGCCCTGATTCCCATCGCTACCGTGGACTACGTTAGGCATAAATACGCGCCATTCAATCGATTTTATGTCCGAGTGATGGGGGCTCTAATGCGGGAAACCGAATATGAAGGATGGAACGGTGTCATCTGGTACCTCCTCGGAGCGTGGATCGTGCTGGGGTTTTTTCCGAAGGACATTGGTGTGATGGGTGTCCTGCTGCTGAGTTGGTGTGATACTGCCGCGAGCACGGTGGGACGGTTATATGGCCGTTACACGCCTCGCATCAGACGCGGTAAATCGCTCGCAGGGTCTTCGGCTGCCTTTCTCGTGGGTGTCCTGACGGCATTCGGCTTCTGGGGGTACTTAGCCTCTCACAACGGCACTTTCCCCGAAGACGTCAACTGGCCGTTCATGTTCACTGGCAGCCTGTCACTTCCAGCCGCTATTCGCAATATGATCGGATTCACCGAATCTCAAGCAACTATCGGGGGCAGCTTAGCACTGGGAATCATGAGTCTCTGGACGGGATTTGCGGCGTCGGCAAGCGAGGTGGTGGACATCTTTGGATGGGATGATAATCTCACCATCCCAGTGTTAAGTGGACTCGGGATGTGGGGGTTTCTCAAGGTTTTTGGTTAGAATGATGAATTTAAACTCCATTCACTCTTCATCTTAGTCATCTTTCATCTGACACCCATTCTTCATCTCACAGTCCTCATTTCATCTCACAATAAACCATCCCAATCCCTCGCACCAACGCAGTGCCACACATCTCAGAAATCAAGTCATCCATAACACACACCAACTATACATGCAAACCCGCCAGGGGGGCTTCACAGATAGAATTATTTTCTTCGCTGGTCGTGCATAACCAGATCCTAAACCGAGCGCAGCTCCCTTTTCTCCAATGGCGGACACAAATTCCGCGATGCACGTCTTATTGGTGCGTACCTCCACCTTTGCATGTGCGTGTGCCATGTACAGAGAAGCAGCAGGCAGGACGGATTTGCGCTATTCATCCAGGTTGGCGGGAAGTGCGATGGTAGTGGTATATCATTGATGCAATGCTCAGTGTTCCTTTAAGAAATGTTCGGTCTTCAAAGTTTGTCTAATGTGTCACGGTTCCTAGAAACGGGCTTGAGCAATCAGAAGTCAAAACTACGTATCACCATTTTTGTCCCATCGCGGCTGCCCTTTTCCGCTCTGTGACTTTGTGTTTGCCAGGTTCCTGGTTGGAGGGTGGGAGATAGGGTTACTAGATCTATGGTTTGAGGGTGTCGAGATGTTACTAGATCAGTGTTTGGGATGAGATGGGCGGGAAGAGGGCTACGAAGGGCTGCAGCTGCGGATGGATGGTTTGTGGTATGGAGCTGATACTGGTGATGTGTGAGTTGGATCTTTGGACTGATTGACCCGTTTGTTGGGTTGTTCTGAGGCCCGGAGAATACAGCTTGGGTTCTGAGAGTACGGCTGCTGCTGTCTTTCACTGTGAAATGGATCTGGCGTTTACGGCTGCTCTGTCAGTGTGGAGTTGCTTCGAATGATGGTACAGTCATTGATTTGAAGGTCTGGCTTGGGCTCGCTTCGTGGCTCATGAGTTTGAGGTTTGTGGATGGCGTTTTTACATCCGGTAGTTGAAGTATGGTAATCATATAATCAAGGTCCAACTATTACTAGCAGCTAGCATCCAAAGTCCGCATCGCCGGTTCATCCTGTGATCTTAATATGGTGTTGCTTGGCCGTGAGAGCTAGATGAACTCCGGTCTAGCTGCTAAATGAGTCTTGGTCTTCCTGGTAAAAGAGTTCTTTAGGATATTCTCATACAATGTCCCGATCGACAATCTGCCATTCAGACCAATAATGGTCGGACCAGGTAGAAGTCGTCGTTGGCCTTTGGATGGAGATCCAACCACTGCATCTCCCATTTCGCAGGGGGAGGACAGGCCAGGGGGGTGGGAAGGAGGGGTCGTTTGCTCGGTTGTGGAGGGGTCGACAAGAATTTTGATCGGACGTCGGTGGAAGGCTGATTTCCAAAAAAAAAATTGCCAACACATACATTTCGCGAAGCTCGTTAGACTCCATGGCAGGAACGTCGATATGCGTTGGAGCCTGACTTCTTCCACATTCGCCGTCGACGCAACCATTGACAAGTCTGCGTTCTCGCAATTGCTGCCCACCATGAGGCACCATGACATACGGACGAGCAGATGGAGCCATGAGCCATCTGGTATTCGCCTTCGCCGCTGACACTCGCTGCTTTACTCCTGCTGGTCCTTTGTCGACGTCTGCTCGCACTACCGCGCTTGCTCGTTTGTGCAGTATTAAATCGCCGCTGGAGTCTGGCTGCGTCCGTCAGTACTCAGTCAGTCAGTCCGCTTGCCTTGCCTGCTCACCCACCGCACCGCAAATCCACGGCCACAACCCACAACCCACAACCCACAACCCGCAGCCTGAGCCTGAGCCTGAGCCTTCGATACACTTCTTTTGCCGGTCCTGCTCCCTCCTACCTGCCCTCCAACCCATCCTACGTGCCCTCGCGCGCCGGCCCCGGCCAATTGCTGTCTGCTCGCTCTCCGCTGCCTCCTGCAATGCCATGACGGCTATCTCTGAGCAATCGAAACGCTGGACCAGGCCAATCACTGCCGGCTCGAGGGCTCCTACTCCAGGGATCACCTCATCGAATATATACTACTGCATAGACGAAAGATGGCGCGGGACAACCGCGAGAGGGCGGCAAGACGGGGCGAGGGGGGCATCGTCGTAGCGAGAAAGAGGACTAGCTGTCTCGTCCCAGGTCGAGTCGAGCAAGATCAGCCTATCTTTCTGCGAGTATTCCTCCCTCGAGCGGGGTTGACGAGGCAGATGGCAAGAAAGGGTCAAGCTCATCCCCCTCGAAGATGAATGGCTCGTTGTCGAACCGGGGACGCTGAACGGGTATAAAAAGGGGGTGAATTTACTTTGAGACCAGTTCTCCTTCTTCTTTCCTTTCCATCCGTTTGAACATCCCAAGAACTTCATTCTCAATCTACATACTCACTCAAGAACCTCATCCTCAATTCACATACTTCCTTTGTTTGCTACTCTACTCTACCTAGGCACAGACTCTACTTGCTTGCCCGTTTGTTCTATTCACACACACAATCTCACATATCATCCGACATCTCACTACCAAACACTTGTCTGTACCCGGCTAGTCTCTGTAGTTTGACACTATATTCCCACTTACATCATGGCCTACCAACAAGCTTATTACCAGACCACCTCCCTCCCCATTGCTGTCCCTTCAAAAGGTCAACACGCTCAATACTACACTCCTCAAAATCATGGCTATGGAATTTCACCCCCCGAAGTAGCCGAATCTGTCACTACCGGATCCAGCATGACACCCGCCTACGGCCACTCGGCCTATTCCGCCACTAACAGCAGCTACGCTGGCAGCTCTAGCGACTATGACAGCACGTCATCTGCCAATGGCCTAGACATGCAGGAATATGTTCAGGATCGCTTCAATGGCGCTTTTGATCCTCTTCCGCTTGATCGCACACTTGCCGTCCAGGCGCAAACGTAAGTTTCAATTCCAGTGAATTAGTTAGTTCAAGAATCAAAAACTGACAAACGCACAGATCTGGTCTTTTGAATGCGAAGCATCGTGAAATCATGGACTTGCAGGCGCTCGCTCAACAGCGACTCGCTAAGTCGAGAGCGCGCATGGCTGAGGGCTACCAAGATGCCAAGGAGGTCAAGAGAGATCTCGAATGGACGCAAAAGCGTGTTTCGTAAGTTTCAACTTCTTCTTACTTGCCAGAATCGGTTTATGCGAATCACTCAAGAGCCGAGTTTGAACTGTCGCAACCACGAGAATCTCAACTAACACAAATTCCAGAACGATGAAGACCAAAGCCTCCCGCAAACACCCAAAAGAGTACAAGCAAGCGCGCGCTCGCTATCCATCACCAGAATACTAAACTGGTCATCCTCTCAATTTCATTTCCTACGATATTCAAAAGTTCTCTCACGAACATTTCCGGAATAGGCAGTTTATTGTCACCGGCGCCTCCCCCCTTTCTTCTGTATTTACTTTGTCGTCGTCAAGCATACATGGTTGTCTCTCGGTTACGGGCGTTTAGATTACAGTGAACCGGCGTCCTGAGATTTTTTAGCCGCTGGAAGGGCTGCTGCTGCTTTTATGAGCGGCGTTTATGCATGACATCTGCGCTTGTTTCTGATGAGGGAGGGGCGGCGGCCCTGTAGATGGGGGCTGCAGTAGGGTGCGGATGCTGCCGTTTGGGAGGGCTGGCGGGCTTGCTTGCTTGCTGCGGGTGTGGTGAGCTTGGGGAGAGGGAGGGGAAGGGCGGGTGTGACGGGCCCTGCATGTGTGGGCGGAGAGACTGGGGAGGGATTACAGAACCTCATACCTGGGTCTCTGGGCTGGGTTTTGGCCGGAGGGTTTTCTTTGGGACTGGCGTTGTAGGCTTTTTGGCCTTTTCTCGTGTCAGAAGCACGGGAGGAAACTGGGAGGGGGCTTACGCCTGGATTGGTAGGGGAGGATGAGATTTATGACTTTGTTTGCATTAGCGGGGTTTTTAGGTTTGGTAGCTTTGGTTTTGATATCATGAATATAAGCTCGTTCTTCGTTCTGGTTGGGCTGTTCTGTGTTTTTAAGGGTGAGAGGGGGAAAGTGATGCCTGTTTAGGTGTAGTCGACCTGGACTTCATGGTAAAACTGCTCGGAAGGGCACTGTAGAGAACAACGTGACGTGACGATGGCAGCGAGAAGTGTGACATCTTGGAGGGATGCTGCTAGCCCACGGTCATGGGCGTGGAGAGTGTCAAGTGGTGTGGGTGGTGATGAGAGCCATGAATGAGCAGGCGGGTCACGTATTGCCCAGACGAATTGGGATTTGGAGTGTATGACATAAGCAGAATTTAACATATAACACACCTTTATTTCTAGCGGGGACCCCGGTGCTTGGCTATTTCTATGAGTGGGTGTTCGGATGGGGAGGTGTTGTCTGTTGTTAGGTGGTGGTGATGATCGACATAAGACGCTGTCATGGTATAAATGAAAAGTAGGTACCGTATCGTGAGGATGTGTATGTGTATAAGACCAAGATGTCCAACACTAATAAATCCGGTAGACATACAATACATAACCACAACCAACCCCTCCTCATCCAAGATATCCTCAAAACCTGAAACGTTTGTTCACAGTATAAAATGAATGAAACAGACATACCAATACCGGTGAACATGACCAGAAGTCCTTGGTTATTCGTAGAGTCGATGTATATGTGTGTATATATTAAAAGCGGCGTCTCACGTTTAATCATAATCAAGAGCAAGATTATTCGCAGTGGATTTAGATTCCCTCTCTTTCCCATCCTACATAGACCAGTGAAACGTCACTGAAATCGAGATTATGGTGGAAAGGAAATGTGTTGGAGGGGTGTTGTGGACCTGGAATTGAAAGATTACAGACAATGGTTGTGAGGCGTAGAGATTTATGGTGGTGTGTTTGCGAAGGGCTGGCTGAGCGTCATGAAAGTATCTTGGATGTGTGTGAGCTTATGTGACTGATAGAACGAAATTCTCGTCTGGCGAGCTAATGGCAAGGCACAGTCGGGGGCAGATAGGATTCAGCAAGGTCTTGGGAGCGAACATGGAACAAATTTGATTAAGGTGTGGCAAAGAGTACACAGTAATATCAAGAGTCAGACGGCAAGGGTATTTAAGTTTGGGGGAAGGCACCGACAATTATTAATGTCCATTACGTAGACGGATATGAGTACAGACACACAAGGCACGAGTAAAGCCGAGATGATCACATACGAATCCAAAGTCAAAAGGTTTCGCAACATGTCTTTGTATTCTTCCTAGTATTATGAGTACCAAGATCACGGACTAGACAAGAAGGCACAAAAAGGGTGGAGCAACGATTAAGAGAACTCGCTTCGCCTCGATGGCACAGGGCTTTCCCTCTGACCTCTGAAATGAATGAACAGTAGTAGAGTATCTTTCCCTCATGAGTACCATCAATTTGACCCTTGAACACCTAACGTGGTCACGTAAAGATCATTTGCTTTTGTTGTGAGTTTATTTGATTTACCATTGCTCAGCCTTTGGATCGGCGGCACCCCACTCACCAGCAGCAGCTGGAGCAGCAGCCCACTCTTCACCGGGAGCAGCACTAAAATAACGTCAGCCTTGAGATCATAATTACCTCGTATGAGAGGAACTTACGCAGCATCCCATGATGCACTACCACCAGCAGCTGGAGTATCGGCAGCACTTGCACCAGCAAAGGCAGCAGATGTACCAGTAACCTCCCAATCACTTGCACCAGCACCTCCAAAGCCGGTCTCGGTGGTAGAGGTGACCTCCTCGGAGCCTGGAACCTTGTCCTCAATGGCCTCCTTGTTCTCCTCAGCCTCAGGATCACGGTAAAAGTACAAATCAACCATGACGTCCCACTCAGTCTCGCGGTTGGCGATAGAACCACGGAGACGGAGGACCTCACGAGCCAACATCCACCAGACCAAACCGATAGCGTGACGACCCTTGTTGTTGGTTGGGATAGCTACATCGACGAACTCAGTTGGAGAGTCAGTGTCGCAAAGAGCGATGACTGGAATGTTGACATAGGAAGCTTCCTTAATAGCTTGAGCATCGGTACGTGGGTCGGTGACAATAATGAGACGTGGTTCCTTGAAGGATCGGGTGATGTAATTGGTGAAGTTACCAGGTGTGAAACGACCGGCAATGGCGACGGCACCAGTGTGGGCAGCGAACTTGAGAACGGCACGTTGACCATATGGACGAGCAGAGATGACACAGATATCGGCTGGGTTGTCAACAGCTGCGATGATACGGGCAGCGAGAACGATCTTCTCCCTATAATAGAATTGTTAGAATTCTCACTCTCCTCTAAAGCCCTTTGCTGTCATTTGCGAATGCGAGTTTACGTACCAGGTCTTTCCAATGTTGATAACATTGATTCCGTCAGGGCGAGTCTTCCAGAGGTAAGGGTCCATGTGAACCTGCAAGTTCTTGGATCCGAGATGGCATTGAGCGCTCAGGAGCATCTCAATATCCTGAGGAGTAGCATTGAAGATTGGTGGGAGATTGGAAGGAGCCATCTTTGCGGTTTGACTGTGGTTGAGATTGTCAAATCCTGTGATGCTTTTGTCGTGGTTGTCGAGAAAAAGTTCGAGATGAAATTGGCGTGTGCGGAAATAAGTTCGCGATAGCGTACCGAAACCCTAATCGGATTGACGCCTTGCGCCTGAGGCCAGAAGGTGAAGCGGGTCCATAGATCGACCACGTGATAGCATGATTGAGCTAACCAAGTTGAGAATCTACAATGCTGGTTCAAAGATTTTGGGTCGAGAGTACGGGCGTTGAGGGACAATATCAACATGCCTCCACGAATACCCATTGCGTCGCGTTCGGCCGCCTCAAGCTGTGAGTCTTCAATCATATTCGCCTCTCATTATCGAAACTAATCATATCCAAGTATGCATCCGGCCAGCTCCAAGCGCATCAACCCTCTCCCTTCCCATCATATCAACAGCCTCTGTCTCAACATTTGCCGAACGGAAGGCCCATAAAGACCCATACGCCCTTGCCCAATCCGCACAGCGAAAAGCTGTCAATCTCGCTCGCCAGAAGGTCCTTCAAGCAGAGCGAAAGCAGGCATTAGGCGATCCAGTTCGAGGAATAACCACGCCTTTCGTACAATCATTCGACAGCGTAGGAGGATCCGCCAAGGTTAAAGCAGTGGAAAAGGATGGAGTGGTAGTCGGCCTGGAACCAACGATTGAGACCGATGCATCTCTCGGATATTTCCTCACACCCGAGGAGTTGAAAAAGTCCCTAGACCATTCATATTCGCTGGCCGAACCGTTTAATCTCACTTCCATCCAAGACCCCGTAGAAAGGCGAGAGATCCGGACGAAATACGAAGATGGACATCAACGGGCGACTGTCGCGTTAACGAGAATCGTCAGTCTGGCAAATGCAAGTCAGGAAGCGAAGACCAGGGCGAATAAGCAGCGTTGTATCGAGACGTTTGGACGACACCGGACAGATGGCGTGTTAAGACCTCGAGCGCCTGTAAATCCGTCGATTGTTGACAAAGACGCCCCGCAAAAGACACCGAGAGCCGGTCCAGATACCGGGAGCTCAGAAGTCCAGATTGCTATTTTAACAGCAAAGATCAAGGTTCTGGCAGATCAGTTGGAGAAGAAGGGCGGAAACAAGGATAAGGTCAATAAGAGGAACTTGAGGATAATGGTTCACAAACGTCAGAAGCATTTGAACTACTTGAGGAGGAAGGAAAGAGGTAGTGATAGGTGGCAGAACTTGATCAGTACTCTGGGGTTGACGGAGGGTACTTACAAGGGAGAGATTAGCCTGTAAATTATGTATACATCAAATACCTGGGAAAGGCGTATGTAGGATGAATGTAGAACATATCTGAAAGTTTCTTGAACATACTCTTTAGCTGTAGTCTTATTTTCTGGATCCTGCATCAATGAGGTTGCCTTCTCCCGCAGCCCGTTCCGTATTAAGGATCTGATATCTGGCAGTCAAAGATGCTATACATTTCCATAATCAAATTTTTACGTTACACGCCATACCACAGATATATTTCGTTTTTCTGGAGAGGTTAAAGGCATAGACTGGCAGATGTCATTTGGAGTGGTCAAAACGATTACTTGGTAAAGAGTCAGTGCGCCATTCAGGACTGTAATTTGGAGGTATTGATATGAGCTCGGGAAGCCAAATAGCATTTTTGCTACATCCGAGTAGAATTCCCATCTCCCAGCGCCTAGCAGCCAAAATTACCTTACAAAGTTTAACAAGAGCTCCTCAACAGAGACTATGAAATCTCAAATCTAGAATACACTGATGTAGTTACCAATTCGCTCCTTCTGGTTCTGCGCTATACACTCTGCAATCCACGTTATGTTTCGAATTTCCTAGAATGTTGTTAAAAGTTGCCTTGCCGAAAATGTTGCCTCACATACCTGTTCTCTCAACTTGACCCAAGCATATACAATCGCAAATGTGAATTGTCGTGTGAAAGCACCCTTCGATATCTCCATCTCTTTCTGGTAGAACAAATCTTCCAAACTCTTCCCGTCACTGCCGGAACCGCCGCTCATATTTCCAGGGCCGCTACTCTGTCCCATACCGGCCTGGTCAAAGTATGTCTTGTAGTCGTTCACACCCTCCACAGCTAACCTTACACCCTCAATATCATCTGCCCTTGACAACATGAAAGAGCCTTCTGGATATAGTCTTCCGAATGCTGGGTATAGCTTCTTGCGATCTGCTTTCGAAAGTTCTGTACCGAAGGAGTTAAGTGTGATGTTAATGGCTCTTCGATCAGCCTCGAATTCGAGAATTTCCGTCATAACTTCAGCTGTTGGAGTGCCAGCCATCTCAGAATCTGTGTTGACGAAATTGTGGAAATCCTCGAGGTAGTTCTTGTACAAGGTGTTTCGAACAATCTCGATGTTCAGCTCATCTAAATCCTGGTGACTCAAGCTTCCCTTGAAGTATGGCGCAAGTGGTGTCTCGATCAAAACACTGTTGTAAAGCTCCTCGATATTCGTAGCTACACAAAGAACCGGCATCGTCTCGAACCATCCTAGAGGGTGGCATCTGTCCAGTAGCTCTCTTGTATCTCGCTCATGGAGCGTACCGGTAATCAGCAGGGCGACATTATCGATCATGTATCCGTAGGTAAGGTAATCCATAAACTTCGCCAACGACCCAACCGCATTTGCTCGTACGTATCGGAACTCTGAGATTAATTTGTCGGTTGTCTTCGCCGCTAGGGTAGATGTGGATGGATTCGGAGGAAGTGAGGCAAGAAAGTCGCCGTATGCTGGGCCCAGCTGGAGCTTCAAGTCTGGCTTCTATTTAGAAAACGTATGTTATAGGAATGGCAAGCCTACCATCGATCGTTTCGCATTGTACCAAGTTGTTGTAGTTGTTACTAGTCAAAAGACCATTGCGATACCCTCTGACGATACCTTCAATGTAGCTTCCGACATGTCAGTATGAAAGAATTCGGCAGGCAGGGTCTTCTTACCCATTATTGGCGTTGAAGAAGAGACCTTCCATAGCGAAGATGTATGTGAAGTGGAGTTCTGGTTGGCAAGATTTGTCGTTCAGCAGCTTCGAGCTTCCTACCTTGATGATGAGGGTCAAGTGCCAAGCTCTACCACGTGATACAAACCTCCAGCTTCCACATATGCAATGATTGGCCACTGCTTTCAACTAGCGCCTTCACTGATTTTCCTGCCCGCAACTTTTTTTTTGGTTTTGACGGAACCTGAAGGTCAAGGTCCAAATATTCATAGCTGCAGCACGACAGCACCGCCAACAGAACAAATAACTTCAAAATGGGTTACTTCGTTCTCTCCGAGACGAGCGCTGGCTATGTTCTTTTCAATGCCGACAAAAGTGCTTTTAAAAACCCAGAGTCCGTTGAGACTGACACGGCAGAGGGCATTAACAAGATGTGAGTGCAATTGAGCTGCGACCTCAAATCTAAAGCTATGCGACCAAAATCTAACTTCATTTTCCTCATTACAGCTTGAAATTGAAGCATTTCGAGAAGTTCGACTCCGCTGCGACAGCTCTGGAAGAAGTCGCGTCGCTGGTGGAGGGGAAAGTGTCGCCCATGCTCGCGAACCTTTTGAATACCCTTAAAGACGAAAAAAAAGCTTCATTGGCCGTGGCGGATCCTAAACTCGGAGCTGCGATCAACAAACTCCCAGGACTCAGCTTAACACTCCTCTCCGATTCGAAATCACAGGACATATATCGTGCGATCCGCGACCACTTACCATCCTTAATCCCAGGTCTCCTACCTGAAAACATTTCAACCATGTCTCTCGGTCTTTCCCATTCTTTATCTCGACACAAGCTCAAGTTCTCGCCAGACAAGGTCGACACAATGATCGTGCAAGCGATAGCTTTACTCGACGATCTAGACAAGGAGTTGAATACCTACGCCATGAGGGTCAAGGAGTGGTACGGGTGGCATTTCCCTGAGATGGGTCGCATTGTGAACGACAATTTGGCTTACGCAAGAATCATTCTCAAGGTCGGCATGCGGTCGAACACTTCAAATACTGACCTGACCGACATTCTTCCCGAAGAAATCGAGACTGCTGTAAAATCTGCTGCTGAAGTCAGTATGGGAACTGAAATTACCGAGGAGGATTTGGACAATATCAAACTGTTAGCCGAACAAGTCGTCGGCTTTACCGAGTACCGTCAACAACTGTCAAGCTACTTGACATCTCGAATGCAAGCTATTGCACCTAATCTTACTGAGTTGGTTGGCGAGCTTGTTGGAGCAAGACTCATTGCTCATTCGGGGTCCCTCATCAACCTTGCAAAGAGTCCCGCCAGTACGATTCAAATTCTCGGAGCTGAGAAGGCGCTGTTCAGAGCGCTCAAGACCAAACATGATACACCAAAATATGGTCTTATCTACCATGCGTCTTTGGTTGGCCAAGCCACGGGAAAGAACAAGGGCAAAATTGCTCGTATGCTGGCCGCGAAAACAGCGATTGGTCTACGTGTCGATGCTCTTTCAGACTGGAGCGCTCACGGTGAAGGCAAAGGTGATGATATTGATGATGAGGAGCGCTCAATGTTGGGTGTCACCTCCCGAGCAAAGATTGAGCGCCAGCTACGACTCTTGGAAGGGAAGCCAATCTTGCCAAGGGGTGTCGCTGTTGGACCTAATGGCACTGCTGTCTCCACCCCAGGTAAATGGGAGATCAAGGAAGCCAAGAAATACAACGCTGACGCTGACGGACTTGCTGGGGACGCTCCTGCTGCCATTGAGCCTGTTTCTGAAAAGAAATCGAAGAAGGATAAGAAAGAGAAGAAATCCAAAAAGGAAGAGGCCCCTAAGAAGAAAATAATCGAGGAGATAGCTTCAGACAACGAATCTGATGGAGACGAGGAGATGGCTGATGTTTCAGCTGGCTTAGGTTTGGCTCCACCTTCATTAGATGGTACTGCAGCAAAGCCAGTTGCAACGAAATCCAAGGACAAGTCTGAGAAGAAGAAGGACAAGGAGGCGAGGAAAGCTGAGAAGAAAGCAGCAAAGGCCGTAGCGGTGGTAGCGGTAGTAACGACGCCTGCTGAGCAGGAAGATCCTGACGTGGAAGCTGCCAAAGCAGCGGGTCTGTCTCTCGAAAAATACAAGAAGAAGCAAGCGAAGAAGCAGAAGAAGGCCGAGGAAAAGGCACCTGCAACTCCTGAGGTCGCCAACGGCAAAAAGCGGAAATCTGAAGACGATGTTGAGAAATCTGAAAAGAAGAAAAAGAAGAAGAGTAAGGCTTGATTTACTTTGATTTTAAGATTTCTGTATCATAATGCTGCGATATTGAATCCCCTCTGGTGGTAGAGGTGGTTTTGGCGTATAGGATGGGTTGGCTTTGCTGTTTTGTATGGAGTCACAAAGTGGATAGTGTGCATAGGTAGTTTTCTATATGGCATAAATAAAATTTCAAAAGAATATACCCTCTAAGTTTTCGTCTTTGAATGCTCATAAATGGCTGCATCCCCCACATACCAAAGAGTAGAAACTGCAAAAGTACGCTGATTATCTATGTTTTTTTCCAGCTTCAACTCAACAAGCTCCGTTCAAAAACAAGGAGATACCTCCAAACAATAAATCTTCTTTTTTTGCTTTATGAATTTTTCTCTCCTAATTTTAACGTCAATCACTGCTGGAGGTGAACCTGTGAACGAACCTAAGAAGACATGTTATTCCGCCCGGACACCTGTCGTCAAGTTTCGCAGGGTTTAAGGACCCTTGCTCAAAATGTCCTGACCTCAGCCTTACCAAAGCATCATAATATTGCGACCATCTCTTACATCTAGAGCCATTATATACCTACCATGGCTGACAGAAGACCTCGCACAAGGTCACCTTCTCCTCGAAGATCTTCAATGCGCGACGAGCGGCCGCGAAGAAACCACAGCCGTTCAAGGTCCCGATCGCCCCATAGACGCCGAGAACCAGATCGCCGTGGAGGACGTCGAGGCGGAGGAGGGTTCCGCTGGAAAGAAAAGCGTAGACAAGATGGCGATGGTGATGGTGATAGGGAAGAAAGGGCGCCAGACCGCAATTACAGAAATAGATCGCCCAGGCGCGATGACCGTAAAGATAGAGATGAACCACCCAGAGGGCCTAGAGAATCGCGCAATGCGACATCCAGCAGTAAATCCGCCGCCAACGTCGACGATAAGTTCGATCTAGCTTCCAAATTTGGCTCTTCTACGTCTTCGAAAACACCTCAAGCGGATCCCGGGGCGAAGGCTAAGGTGGAACAAGCACCTCAAGCAACTGGGGAGCCTATGATTATTGTCCATGTCAACGATCGACTCGGTACAAAAGCTGCAATCCCTTGCTTGGCTTCTGATCCGATAAAATTGTTTAAGGCTCAGGTCGCAGCAAGAATTGGGAGACAGCCTCACGAAATTTTATTGAAAAGGCAGGGAGAGCGGCCATTTAAAGACCAGTTGACACTCGAGGACTATGGTGTTAGTAATGGGGTTCAAATCGATTTGGAAATTGACACTGGAGAGTGAGTTGGCTTGGAGCCGGGATTAAATGATATATTCGGAGTCAAGAGAACGTAGAGTACGGCTCCATTGAGCCATTGGTATTTCAGGTGCAAAACGCTACCGAGGCTCACAGCAAAAGGAACACTTCAAATGTAGGTGTCATCTTCTTGAAATGATGATTTCTGGAGTTGACGAATAAATTAGTACTACACTGCACTGAATATTCAACATCTGTATTTGATATAATTCTGTGAGGTCACGAATCAGACGCATCAAGAGATGTATCAAAGGCGACACTTTAAATTTAATTGCAACATGTTGTGACTATTGGAGCTTGGAAAAGCCTTATGTTCATGCGAGAGTTTATAAGCCATAATTCAAACCTCTGGAGATTGTTACATGACAGAACATATCGAGCAGTAATTGGAACGTACATACCTGGGTGGTAAATCCCACTTTGTTCGAAAGATAGTGGAGATTTTCCATTCTTCCTCATACGCGCGAATCGCATTCATTCTATACTGCTGGATTCGGTAGTCTCCTGCATCCCACGACAGTGATTCGCCTGTCTCGGAACTATAGAAGTGCACCGAGGCGATGCCATGGAGTCTCAAAAGAAGCTCAACATGACGATTCCCATGTGCCGCTAAGCGAATGATGGTTGTTTCGTTCAGCCTTGAATAATATTTGAGTTTCAAGAGCTGAGGTTTAATCTGAAGGTGTCTTGCAGTAAGCGGGATCAGCCTCCCATGCACGAAAATGTCGCTGTCGATGTTCGTGTTGATTTCTAGGGAGGGTTGGGCTTGAGCTGGCGGTGGAGTTTCACGTTCTGGCGGATCGTCAAAATAACTCCAGGAAGGCGGTGGCAGGTTGTAATCAACTGTCGCCATTACGAGTACGGCGGCATCCATATGATGGAGGCTTCAATAGACTGCAGTTCATCTGAGGCTGTGCGTTTATACAAGTGTTGTGAAAGGACATTGTTATGACAATGGTGATTGTTTTGTCTTTGTTCAACAACCCTGACGTCCGCCTATGTTATCTTTGTTGTCTTTGTCTTGCGCTAGATGACTGGAGTTGACCATAATCATGGATGGTAGCATCAAGCCCGACACGAGAATGACTCCTGTTCTTTAGTAGTCCGCTGGGAAGAACCAATTCAGTACTACACATCAGCGACGGCTATCATTAACTCGTAGCCCAGTCCACGATGGATGTAGCAGTTTTCGAGATATCCTTTCATAGCATAAGATTCTCTTGCCTCAGGTGGTAAGGGACATTGTCTTGCTAGCGGTGCCATTTTTGAAAACCGTTCCATCTCTCATTCCTTTCGCTTCATTCTCCTAGGTTCTTTTCGTCGTCTCTCCCGGTATTTGAGAAACACAAAGCTTGGTTCGAAAACGTAATAGCACTAAATGCTTATGTCACATCCACAAATCCTGGTATATCATTCTAAGCATAGCCGTCTCCGCAGGCCACGCATCAACAGCCTGAACAACCTTACTGCACCAATCATCATCCCATGAGAAACCCAGAAAGGAAGCAAAATATTCCCAGTAAACTGGATACCACCCTGACGCCTCCCAGTCTACTAGTGATACCCTGTAATCAGTCTTGCCACCCATGTCTGACACTTTCTCGACCAAAATGTTCTTCCGTTGCAAATCCGAGTGAGTAAAGACGGGTTTCCTTCCACCAACAGAAAGGGCAGGAAGTAATTTGCTCTTGAAAAAAGTCCGCAAGGTACGAGTAGCGCCCATTATCTTTTGCCGTAAGTTTAGATTTTTTGACGAGTCCTTGGATGAGCGCATGCTCGCCGGTGTAGGGACCTGAGATTTCCTCTGGGTATTCGGGCCAATAGAATAGATGATGCGGTATGTGACGCTTATCTACAGAACCGAAAAAGTCTGGGGGTGGGATAGTACGAATGACATCGAGAATTGATCGAGTCTTTTGAAGAATCGTGGTTTTGTCTGCTTCGGGTAGCGACGGCCAAAGTGCATCGAGCGGTTGGCCTGGTAGACGTTCCATCACAACAAAGAGCGTGCCATCAGATTCTTTCCACATGGCATACAATCGAGGCGCGAAAGATCCGACATTATTCTCCTCGAGAAAAAGCAGATTCTGGCCTTCGATTTGGTCATTGAGACGGCTGTATTTTGCAATAAAGTGTTGGCCAACATCTACAACTTTCCTTTCTGCTCAAGCTTCGGCTCCCTTGAGGATTTCTTTTGAAGCTAGGATCTCTGAGGCAGTGGGTATTATTGCAGGTAACTCACCTGGGGCTCGAAAGTATGGGAGTTCTAAAGTCGAGCTCATGTTAGGGGCTGTCGAGGTAATTGACGTCTGATGAGGCTGGAATCGGATGAGTAGCTGGAAGTGAAGCAGTTTCACTCGTTTGCAAACCAGAAGTTCTCAATATTGTTGTTAATGGAAATGTTCTCATTCACTCTTTATACTAATAAACTCGATTCCCCTGTCCGTTGCTGCTAAGTGAGTTTGTAACGTCACGTGTACTTCTCTCCTTATCAAACGGGCATTCAATTGACGTCTAGTAACTAGTTTTAAACTTTTAAACGGCGTTTGTCTTTTATTTCGAGTTTTCTAGTCTTGTTAACAAGGTAATAGTCGATTTCGTCAGATTTAACGTTACGATTACCGATTCTCTATACCTAGCAAGAAGGTAAATTCTTTCACCTACCTAGGTAGCTGCGAAATTAAGTATTCTACTTTTAACACATAGACTGACCCTGCTATTAAACAACTTACCCTAGAATAATATTGAGCAAGAATTTATGGACAAAGGCCAGCTTTCAATTTCTTATAGATATACTCGGTTGCAATAACTTCTAAAATCTACCTAAAGTCAAATACGCAAAAGACCTAAAAATGAGAATTCTAATCTCAACCTATACGACTTATTTCCTTACCGAACCATCAACAAGAAGAATCTCAATTCCCACCTCACCCCCGTTCACCCTCAACCCCTATCCCAACACACAACTCTCGCTTAAAACACTCCAAGATGCCAAAAAAAATCCAAAAACATACAACAGCAGGTATTCGCTGGTGGTCACCCACCCAACTACTAATCTGCCGATCTGAGGCTTGTGTATGGCAGAGCGGACGGGATGCCCAATTCTCCTCAGTCTGTGGTCGTATGTGAAAGCAAAAATTCAAAATAACAGTTATAATGATTGAATATTTGGATCCGCTAAAGTCTGCCTCATGCACCGATTATAAACCATTCTTAGATAGATCCGTCCATTCTCGTCTAACTCATGTTTCAATTATAACCATGTCCCAAGTATAGTACAGTGAACTTATACTTGTTTTCGCTGCCCAGCTTTCACGGAGACAATGACGTCAGCCCGCCTTGGAATAAACATTGTTTCTTCAGAATATATAATTACTAGTCTACACTTGATCTAAAATCTCTCTACTACGTTCCTCAAACCTAATAATGTCACAGGTCCAGAAAATGTACTTTACCCCCCGCCCCTCGTTCTCAAAACCCACCCTCACTAACATGTGCGCCCTATTAGCGCAGGAGGAGTGATCGCAGCCCTAGGGGGCGTATACGCATACAGCACGCTGTCCACGACAAGGGTATCAGGTGTAGACACGCAAGCCGATGTTGCCGCCGTTAAGCCCCGATCCAGGCCCGAGGAGAAGGTCCGGAGGGAGTACGATGACGACCATCCCAAACCAGTATGCAGCCCTGCGATAGCGCTCCGCGTCCCTTGAGATGTCCGTCCAGGCACAGATGTCTCGGGATCGCAAGGTCACGAGATGGTGCGATGCTTACTTGTGCTAACGAGTAGTAGGTGGAGGATAGACACGGGAACACCGTGATGAAGCATTCGATCGCGGCCGAGAAGAACCAGCACATGGTTCGCCAGGGCGTGTTCTCGGGCAAGGAGTTTGATAATCATGAGCAGAAGCATTCGGCGAATCCGTGTGATGATTTTGAGACTATTGAGAAGCAAAAGAAAGATGGGAAGAAGTGAAGTCAGCCATCTCTGGAGCGAGTTGGTGGGTTTGAAACGAGGAGGACTGCGGGAACCGGGTGTATGCCTGGGAGCTTGGAAGATGATAGTGCATTGGAGTTGTATACTATATTAGGATGGATCAGGAGAGTATGGAGATCTTGGTGACGAAGATCGTGGAATGATAAATAATAAATATATGAGAAGAGAGTTTCATACGAAAGTCCCTACTGAGACCTCCATTGAGTTATCCACAACAACTGATATACCTGTTAGTTGGACTAAAGGCGATAGAAAGTCAAGGCGGCAGCACATATCCATGCCCAAAACTCAATTCTGCAAATATAGCTTCAGCTTTGTGTTTAACTTTCATGAGATGAATCTCGGGATTTCTGTCTAATACTCCAACGATTATAATTACGATTATAACTAATTACAATATTTCTAGTCGCAAATATAACGTTGATAATTAAGACGAATACTAATTTCAAAGTCTATATTCATTATATTCGTTAGGCAGACACACACTTACTACCAACTTTGCAATACATTATCCTTAGGTACTCAAAAAAGTGTCGAAATACCTCTTTGTTTGTTATACATACAGTTAAAACTCCTCTGCCTCTAGTACTAATTTAGATTCGGCGAACACCTTATTTGTACGTCCTCGCCGCACGACGACATTGTCGCTACGCAAAGTACCGCAATACATTTTAGTCCTAGAGTTTCAACGTTACAATAAGAAATGTTCTAAAGAGTGGGGTAAGCCCCATTCTTCCGATCATGCGTGACCCATTCTTCCATAACCCATCTCATCCTTTCAAAAACCTCACCTCATGTTATCCGCACATTCAATATCAACTTGACTATAATGCAAAAGCCCCATCACCTACAAAGCCACATCCAAGTTTCTGTCCAAAAGCAATGAGCATAAATCTTATCATTCGTCCGGCAGCCCTCCCAGACGCAGCAGCCATAGCTAAGCTCCATATCACCGCCCGACAAGAGACCTACCGCGGCATGATCCCAGACTCTAAACTCGACGCCGAGCTTGATGTTAGCGCACGCGAGACATCATGGATCTCTATTCTTACAGCCCCTAAGTCGCTTGTATTTGTAGCTCTCTTAGATGGAGAAGTCTGTGGGTTTGTTAGCGGTGGGATAACGGACGACGTTGTTTATTTCCCTGATAATGAGGATAGAAAATTTGATGGGGAGATCTGGGCTATTTATCTCTTAGGACGCGTGCAAGGGAAGGGAATTGGAAAAGCGTTGGTGAAAGCGATGGCGGAGAGGCTTAGTAGGGAGGGGTGTGAGAGTGTAATTGTTTGGGGGTTGGAGAGAAATCAGGGGGCGAAGGGGTTTTATGAGCGCTTAGGGGGTAAGGAAGTAGCGAAGAAGATGATGGTTATAGCGGACACTAATCTAGAAGAGGTGGCGTACGGGTGGGAAGATATAAGGTCTTTAGTGAGTAAGTAATTATAGAATAAGCTATTAAACAAGAACGTCAGTTACCAAGCCGACAGTTGACAAATAAGAAAATTCCGGCAAAAAGCCCATTTGGTCAGGCCGTTAACGGTGAGCAGGCGGGAATCAGGCGCTAGAGGATCCCTACTAGCAAAATCCACTTCGCCTTGTCAACTTGCTCACGAATCCCCACGATTCCATTTTTGTATAATACATACGTCCTTTATCTCCCGCTGGGTCTTAAGGACTAAGGGGTCCTTGGACACTTCGGCTTTAAGAGATACTTCCCTTCTAGTTAAAATTGTTTCCACATCTAGCATTTCTATTGGTGGATTATACAGAGTTACATGGATAATAGTGGAGATTAGTCACAGTCCCATAGTCTAGGGACCCCTTAGTCCTTAAGACGCAGCGGGAGTTATGGCCTATATATATACGGTCCTTTGCTCCTAGTCAGCACCTCAGTGCTCACAAATCGTACTCCTCCAACGTTACTAGGGCAGCAAACGCTTCTGTCCCGAAAGTTAAGTTAATATCAAATCTGACCATGGCAGCTGTTCCGGTGATTGTTCCCCATGCCCAAGACTCGGCGCTCCTGTCCGAAAGACAGACACGAAGGAGATTCGAGAAAGTGATCGTCGAAAGAGGCTTCGAAGGCAACATAACCGTGACTCCAGATCCTGGCGAAGCTACGAAACTCGCACATCTTGAACACCTAAGCACCTCGCACTGGGGGGAAAAGGATAGCCGTATGGTATTCTGGGCCAGCAGCTATACGATTACAGCCAGGCTTGATACCACCTCAGGTATCGGAATAGTGAGCCGAAATAGTCCAGATCCTGACCAGTGGGTATGGGGCGCATACCGTGTAATAGGTCAGGTCGATGCTCAGATGGCGGACATTTTAGCAGTGGGAATGGCGCTTAGGATTGCTAAGGACGAGTGCGATAGGCTAGTAGGAATGGAAATGCCTTCGAAAGTGGTGGTCTATTCGAGCGCTAGGGATGCACTTATGAGAATTCAGGAATCCAACTTTGTCGCGTTTTCGGGTGGTTGAAGCTGGCATAGTGGCAGCATACTTCATCAGAGCGCTTGGGATCGACGTAGAACTCCGTTGGATTCCTGATGGGTGCGAAATTGACGATGCCCTTGAGTCGAATCGTGCTGCCAATGAAGGCGCTAAACACGAGCCTCCTCTCAAGGGGCCTGATGCTTTCATCAAGGACGCTCAAGCAGAATATAAACATAGGGAGAAGATGAAATTCCGGAAGAAAGAAGCAAAACAGAGGAAGCAAAGAGTGTGTAAAAAGAGATAGCAGGTTTCGTTTCTGTTAATGAAGTACTTTCTTCTTCTGTGTTACATCCTTCAGGCCATCAATGTCTTAGGACATCTTTCCAATGTACGCCCGAGTCTTAGATCCCCTGGCACACATGGCACCCACCATAACTCCAGTTTCCCTTTCCCTGTCTTGTAGAGAACTGACATGTTTTGTTGTCGCAGGAGGGCTTAGAAAGTTGCATCCATTGATGGTGACAGCCAGTGAGGGTCGAAGGCCTTATGGTGCGGAGAAGGACGTAGTATAGCGGTAGCAGGCTACCTAGAAAAGTCCGTTCTTTTCGTCAGCGCGACCGCTTAGTAGGTGTCGAAAGAAGCCCGAAGGAAAAAACGCCGCCTGACGTCCACCCCCCAGATGCAACGGAGTCGAAGCGCCCTTCCGGCGTCCCAACCTCCCCGGAGTGCACCCCCCTTAGGAGCGGGAAAATGGAGAACAAGTTCCCCTACCTTTTGTCTGGACCGTGAAGGATCTGCCGCGCCGGTGGAGTGACTGCACTTGGTGAGCCGAAGAATCTCAGACTGGGAGAGGCACCAGCCAAGAACGGCGAGTTGACTAAAGAAGACATACCATTCGTGATATAGAGCTACAGTCAGATGCTTTGGGAAATACTGTGCTATTGGAGCTTCGAAAAAGCAGCCAATTGTTCTTATGATTCAAAGTGAAGGGGTTTTGGAGAAGTATCGATCAACGTGGGCAAGTGAGAAACATTGAGGAGCGACGACGAGCATGGCGGAAGCCCTCAGATGGGGATTCGTGATGGGCATACAGGCTAAGAAGCGTGCGGAAGGAACCTTCACATGATGTATCATATGTGCGTTCGCCGGCGGAAAGAACGCTGTGGCGTGTATGCACTCAGATCTCCCGAATTTATGGAAGTTACATATCAAACCGGGCCATGAAAGCCCCAAAGCCTTGCTGGGCTAAGCAGAAAACAGACCTGACATCACGTACTTGTTTGCGGCCCGACAAGCGGCCAAGCTTCCAGATAATCTTTTCTAAAGCGCTTTAAAAGAAAGTGGATAATTTGCGCTGAGCTGCTACAACATGCGACAAATCCTGTATTTTTTCCAAACCATTCCTGATTTCCCTATTCCTCATTTGATATTAGGTGGAAGCCATTGCACTCCTAGGACCTACGGTTTGGGACCTAATCACTACAAAACCTCAACGGTGCTCAATTAGTAGAGCAAATCAGGGGTCTCTTTAAAGCAATGTTCACTAAAATCTATATTCACAACATTTGACATCTGTTTGATCTCAGGTCTCCAATCTCAATTTCGATTTTCAAGAAAGGCCGCGCGAAATCTAATAACCTACTGTCACAAAGGCCGAAATTCAAGAACTATTTATAGCTGAAAGCGCCGATCAATAGTTAAAGTACAATAAACAGTAGGGATAGCCCAATTCTCCTTAGTCTGTGGTCGTATGTGACAGAAGCGCTTGATTTTTAGGTACATTAAGCAAAGCGCAAAAGCCGTGTCAGTAGCGAAAAAATGGGTTCATGAGGTAGGAAGATGGATTGGTGCAGTTGGAAGTGGATCAAGAGATAACTGGCTGTAGTTTGAATGTATACCAAATATTTACGTTTAGTGAGAGTGCCAAATAGAATAAGTATAGGGAGGTGTTGTGAGAAAGGAGGTGATTCGGATGACTTCAGCGAGAATTTTATCCATTCGCAACACTACGGGTAACTTAAGATATAGTCTTGTGTCTTTGGGGTAAAGGCTAAACAGCCAAACTCTATATATATACTATAAACGGCAGACTGCTTTTCATCGTTAATCTGACCTTCTACAGTAAGCAATCAGCGAAAGTTAGGGCAAAGAACTAAACCACAAATCACGTTTTATACCTTTTTAACTTACATGAAATTCCAAGATAATCGGAATTACAGGGTCAAGATGTGAATGAAATGATCACCGAATGAAAGTTCTCACTCTTTCAGTGTTGGTAAAATAATAGTCATGACGGCAGCATACAAAGAACGAATAGACAAGAAATTCGATTAGTCTAAGTCCTTCAACCCTCAATCTAAATCTAGCGCGAACACATCTCTTTTAATCGAACATCAATCTAAGCGAGACCCTTAGCGTCTCCGTCCTTGATCTTACCAGCTTCAACAAGTCTCTTCACCTCACCTGACCAGACGCCCTTGATCTCATCTGCAACCTTAAGACCGTTCAATTTGGCGGCAAGAGCGGCGGTCTCATCAGCATCAATCTTTCCTTGAATGAGCTCAACATCGTTCAAGACAGAATCAATGATAGAGGCGGGAGGAGCGCCAGTGACGAAATAGTTGGCGTCCTTGACACTTCCTTTCATGACACGTCTGTTCTTCTTAATGGCAGCCTTTGCAGCCTCTTTTGCCTTCTTGCCCTGCTCCTTATCGACCTTGGCCTTCTCCTCTGCCTCTTTAGCAGCCTTTGCAGCAGAAGCCTTAGCAGCTTCAGCATCCTCCTTGGCTTTCTTCTCAGCGGCTTCCTTATCGAGTCGCTTCTTGTTTTTAGATGCATTGGCTTCCTGACGGAATCTCTTGATACGCTCATCACCAGCCATCGCATCATCTACCAATTTACGTAGACGAGCAGTGTCCTCGCTCTTCTTCTTCTTACGAGCGTTGTTGTTTTTGCGCTCCATGTGGCGCTTCTGGTCTCGGTTCTCGTTGTCGTCAGGAACATCCTCATCCTGGTACTCGAAAGATCGCCATGAGTCAAAGTTGTAAAAGAAGTTGTAGAAGGTATCAACGACATCTTGGGTGCTGTCCTTGTCGCCGAATTTTGGAACAGGCTGGGTTTTGGAGAAACGTCCCTCAGCCTTGAAGACTCGACTCCATAGCTTGTAGAAGTCTCCATCCTTCGCCTGCTTCTTGGTTGGTGGTTCCACATCGGCATTCTCGTCGACGGAATCGAATTGGCGACGCTTGACTGGGTCGAGAAGAACTTCGGTAGCTTTCTGGATACACTTGAAGAAGCTATCGTCTTCAGTGCTTCCAGCTGCAGCCTTCTTATCGGGGTGATGACGAAGGACCTTCTTGCGGTGGGCGCGCTTGATCTGGTCTTCGGTCGCTCTGTAACGGTATTTCGAGAGACCAAGGACAGCATAGTGATCTTGTGACTGAGAAAATGTTAGACCGAAATGCAAACCGGATTCCTACTTAACATACCTTCCAGTCTTTTGCGTCGCGGGACAACATCATTGGGTCCTCGGGTTCACTGATCTCTCCAGAATCATCCTCCTCGACCTTCTTCGCATTTTCTTGTGCTTGAATTCGGTCATCTTCAGAAAAGGTACGCTTATGGCGGGCACGGCGAGCGTGTGCTAGGAAGTGAGGTCCAACAGGTTCGATACTTCGTTGCGTGGCAGCGGAAAGGTTACCGATAGCTTTGAAATCTTTTTCACCAGTCCAGCCTTCCGGCAGGATAGGAAGTGGAAGCGTGACTTGAGCGTGAGAAGCCATTGTTTCTTGATCGAGAAACTATCGGATTTTCGAGCCTCCAAAAAAAGATTGAAACCAACGGTGGATCTTCGGAGTACTGTTGTGCACTAGCGCCAATTTTCTAATTTGACACGTGATGTAAAACCACCTCGATCGTGTTTCTTCATTCGGAGGAAGCGTCTCCTGTCTCAGATTGCTATTTCTCGAGTAATTCAATTAGAAGCCAGCGTTGTACCATCTTTTCGGTAAGTTTTCAAGCCTCTACTCTGTCTTCTCTGCTAACATTTCTGGCTAGGGACATCCTAACATACATAAGCGTCTCGATTGAAAGGTCAACGACTTAGTCTCTCGGTCGGGCTTAGGCTTAAAGCTCAGATCAATATTCTCATACTTCCTGTATCTTACTTAGGTACGCAGTTTTGGTTTTTTTGCTTGAAGTCATCACATCTGAATATGAAAATTCCATGTTTCTCTTGAGCCAGTGCTGCATCTTTCCCGCTCGATGAGACAGAATCTCCGTGAGGGTCAAGTTGCCATTGCTCAGTGCATATCTACAACATAGAGCTTGGTGAGTTTGGGTTCTGATGAGGTAGTGCCTCTCAAGACTGGGGACTATGAATAAAACTTTATTACTCCTGATTTCGACCGTACTCACTCATTATGCCTTCCCGTTCATTGTCATTCATACATTATTACCACATGTAGCAACTTCGTATACTGGCAGGAAACCCATCTTAGTCTACCATGAGCGTAACTGAGCTACGAATTTCATTCATTATTCATTCATTATTCATTCATTCCATTTCATCATCACAAGATAGCTCGAACGACGCTCCCTTGTTTCATACTAAATGGCATTATTCAATTCGAAAGCACAGTTGGAGGGAAAAGATCATCTCATTCTTTACTCCATTCTTTCAATAGATATGGACTCACACGAGCCAATATTCTTGTCACACATATTGAACATTTGAAAGCCTTACTAATCCACGTGCACAACAGACCTCCCATCATGTCACTAGCAACCTACAGACAAATTCTCCGCTCCGCGCGAATAGCATTCCAAGGTGCGCCCCCCTCCCCTCTCCCCTATCCCCCCCAACCTAACACTCCCAGGCGACGCACCCGTCCTCCAAGCCGCCAAAAAAGAAGCCCGCTCCGCCTTCCAGCGATATAAAGATCTCTCACCAAACGACCCAGCAGTCATAGCCGCAGTAGAGCACGGCGAGCAGGTCGCCAAGATTCTGTTGGAGAATATCGTGCAGGGAAAGAATATTGGGGAGGATAGATATAGTAAGTATTCCGGTGTAAGCCGAATGAAGTGGAAGAATGGGGAGATTAACGAAGGGTTTAGAGTTGAGAATACATGAACACACAGAGAGAGGCGATAATGATACGATCAAGATGCCTAATGGGCAGAAGGTAGTCATTGATGGGAAGAAGTGTTCTGATTGATGAGTTGAGCACGTGAGTGGAAGGGGAGATGTATATCATGAAGTAGGCTGTAATAATTGTGTATAATATGGCAGATTTGATAACTAAGCGTTTCATGTTGCGCTTTTGATTATATACTACACTACTAAACACTCCTGCAAAGGCCGTTTTGATTTCAGTACGCCCTTTGGAATCACCTAGTCTAATGCCCTCCTGAGCCACTAGACTTCGTCAATTTGGCGTCTCGATCTGTTGAGTCCCCCGTAGCGCACTGACTCGAGCCCTTTATTCTCACTGTTACCATCCTTTGTGCCCCTTCTGTGAAGTGGCGTATAGTTTCTGTATGTGCCGTCCGTTTACAAGAAGGCATTTAGTAGGTGCATATCTCTTCCCGAAACGAGTGCGAGTCCGCGGCTTGCTGATTGTTTGTTGGCCTACTCTGGATTTTCAGTTTCCTGCTAAGCTGGCATACTGAACATCGTCACCTCCAGGAGGCGCCGCAACAGCAGTCATGTTCGCCAAATCGTCTTGAGGTGCTGGTTGAAGGTAGCCTCCTCCTTGCCTACCGCCTGCATTCCCATTCTGCGAAGGGCTCGCGAAAGCATGCCGACCTTCTCTTCCAATTGCTGCCCTTTCGTCCTTATCCATCGTACCAATTGGTTTTGGTCTACCCCACTGAACTCTCAAAGGACATCCAGCAATAATTGCTCTTCCCTGGCATGCCGCAGCTGCCGCTTCTGCACCCTCCCTCGTTGCGTAATTAATAAATGCGCAATGTGACATATGTGAGCAGACTAACGACCGAAGCTTGCCATATGGGGTAAAGAAATCTCGGATCTTATGCTCAGGCAGATCATCCTCAACACCGGTAACAAAAAGAGACTGGATACTGGTATCTGCAGGAGGGGCTATATCTTGCGGTCCAGGTGGTAATTGTGCTGCACTTGGAAACGCCCTCCCCCCTCGTGCCCCTCCTCTTCCACCTCTCGTAGTTCCTCTGGGTGCTCCACCACCCCTGGTATCTCGTGTTCGTATGGGCCCTGGACCCCCTGTTGTCAACGCCATGGAAGTTCCGCTTGCTCCCTCTCCACGCGCATCGTCACTAGGCGCCTCGAGTCTTCGTTGTTTCTTGAAATATGGCTGACTGTTTGCCAGTCTCCTCAGCAGTTCCCTTGCCTTTTCATCGGTCTTTTCGTATGCTTCGGTCCCTCCTCGCCCGTCTTCTATTTCAGCTTCATGGTTTTGTGCGTAATATTCTCTGTTGACTTCACTCTGTGGCCCAGGCGCAATCATTTTCAACGCTGCATCTCGAACTACTATAGGAAGCCCGAATGACAGATCCAACATGCAGCATTGACAACAGTTCTTAAGGCGCGCGCATGTGAGGCATATATTTGTGCGCTTGCTTCGTGCAGTTCTATCCGGTTTCCACCGAAAATCTGTAAATGGACGAGTACAAATCTGAATGATATTAGCATCGCATCAATGGAAAAGGCTCGAGGATACGTACTTTGCATTGTTCGCCAGCATCCTGCTTGATCATTTGGACGTAGGGATTGTCTGGTAAACAACTTTCGCAGACCGACGGGAAGTCTGTAGTTTCCCATCCCGAGCGATTCAAATCTTGTTTGATTTGTGGAGGCATGTTGAAGGGTTCTCAGGGAGTACGCAAATGTGACCAGACGTTCTGCCTCGCAATGTAAGATTACCTTTGAGCAGTTCAAGTCTCGAATCCTAGTGTTTCGTAGAGAGTGACGTGGGGTGCAAGGCTGAGAGGCGATGATTTGAAAGACGTTTGGCAGAACGCTGACAGTTGACGCAAGGCTTCGAAATTCCAGCTTTCGAGAAAGAGTGGTGCTAAAGAGCCCCTCTTATTTGATAAGGCTACGTTAATGAGCCACACTGCAGCCACACCAACCGACCTTCTACAACAAACTTGCTGCTCATCCTTCAGCCGACAACCTGAGCGTTCCAGGTTTCTCCAAGGTTGGTTTTTGGACCTGCATAAACAGTCTTACAAGTCCCGAATACGAATTTATATCTCATCTCGAAGTCAACCGGTTTCCCTCCAACTCTATTTATTCAACCACATTGAGCGATTGCAGCTCACCGCCTGGCCTCAGGCATTCACACGAATACGAAGCTAACGGAAGCCATCCCGCTTTTGGTAAGATGGACCTGCCAAGACCATTTTGCCCCCTTGCGCGTTCTCTGTCCAGCAGATTGCGCTGTGGTAAATAAATTTACTTAAGGGGAACCAATTCCATACAAATTCAACAACTCCAAGATTTCTGCTTTTCAACAAGACCAATCTCTTTGTTACTCACTCTACTTTTGTTTATATCTCACAAAATATCACAATGGCACCATCTAAGCTTGAAACCGAGGACCATTCTCGAGATGCCGCTTTCAACAAGGCTATGCACAAGGACTCTTCTACCGCCAAAGGAGGGTTCAGCGCAATGATGAAGAAGGACAAAGTCGCACAGAAAGCTGCTGTTGACGAATACTTCAAGCATTGGGATAACAAGACTGCGAAAGACGAGACTGCCGCAGACAGAGAGGTTTGTTGCGGAAAACTGGTTCTAGTATACGGGTTCTAATTATTTCTCAATAGTCGCGAAAAGCAGAATACGCCACACTTACAAGACAGTAAGCATGCAACCTCCGACTTATATGATTATACTAACGCTATATAGTTACTACAACCTCGCTACAGATATTTACGAATATGGTTGGGGTCAGTCATTCCATTTCTGCCGTTTCGCATACGGTGAAGGTTTCTACCAGGCCATTGCCCGCCACGAACATTACCTCGCTGCCAAAATTGGTATCAAGGACGGAGACAAAGTTCTAGACGTTGGATGTGGAGTCGGTGGACCTGCGAGAGAAATTGCGAAATTCAGTGGTGCTCACATTACTGGATTGAACAACAACGATTACCAGATTGAGCGTGCTACCCACTATGCGGCAAAGGAGGGAATGTCGAATCAGCTTAAATTCGTCAAGGGTGATTTCATGGTGAGTAACCCAATCCTCTATCCTGGTATAATTGCTAATATTTAAGCAGCAAATGTCCTTTGAGCCAGAAACTTTTGACTGCGTCTACGCCATCGAAGCTACCGTCCACGCTCCAAGTCTCGAGGGTGTTTACTCCCAAATCTACCGTGTTCTGAAGCCCGGTGGAGTTTTCGGTGTTTATGAATGGCTGATGACTGACAACTATGATAACAACAACGAGCACCACCGCGCAATCCGATTAGGTATCGAGCAGGGAGACGGAATCTCAAATATGGTCAAGATCTCCGAAGGTATTGCTGCCATCAAAGCCGCTGGTTTCGAGTTGGAGCTTCACGAGGATCTGGCGAAACGACCAGACGCAACACCATGGTATTACCCTCTCGCTGGTGATTTCTCCATGATGGGCACATACAAGGATTTCCTCACCATTGCTAGAATGACATGGTGGGGCCGTGGTATTGCTCACAAATTCATCGCTGCTCTTGAGATGGTCGGACTTGCTCCAGGTGGAACACAAAAGACAGCCGACAGTTTCGCCGTTGCTGCTGATTGTTTAGTTGCTGGTGCCAAGGAGGATCTGTTTACTCCTATGTACTTGATGGTTGCACGAAAGCCTCTTAACAAGTAGGGTGGTGTGTTTTCATGATTCGTTTCTCTTGGTTTTAGTATTAGGGAGCATCTGATGGGTGCTAAACTTGTGTATAGGCTGCATGTTGTTTTGAAAGTTTGGGGCGTGGTTCTCCGTCACCGGCTCTTGTTCATGAGGAGATGAAGTATATATCTACCTAACAAGTACATGACAAGAAGCCAATGAGGCCAGTGGATAGCGAAATTTAGACTTAATATACCTAATTACATACTGTTAAAATATCAGTCTGCTTGTCAGTACTACATACGAGCTTCTTGTGTCAACTGGTTATATCTTGATCAATACAATTCTGTCAACTCACCGAATCATTTCGACTCCAATTAACATAGCCAATCGAGAGATACAGGTTCGGAACTAAGTCAGCATAAGTGCTTAGCCTCTAATACTTTGTTCTGGTTACGTTTTCGTTGCACGTCCATCAAATGGGTATGACATTGATGCTGTCGACTCGTTATGAGTTAATCTTTTGTTGTACCTGGCAGTGACGCGAGATTATACACCCATCCTGCTTCCTACATCGTATTGACAAAAACAAGGGGTAATCACAGCAACTTGTTAAAGCGAACAATTCATTGCTATCACTTAAATACTGGGAGGGTTCTTGTGTACTTGGATATTTTCGAATTTTGTTAGAGATGCGGTTTTGGTCTATATGTTTAAAATGCCATTGTAGTGTCTTGATTCACGCGGAAAACATCCAGACTATTAGTTATAGGCAATCTATGGTTAGCAGTAATTTTTGTTTCTACTGCAATTTCGGCTAGAATGACCTAATCATTGATTAAATGTGGTATATATTGTTGCCGGAACAGTTTTTAGCGGTCTGATCTGGCCTCGCTTAAATTCCATCATTAGGGGGGGGACCTCAGGGTTGCGGGCAATTATCACTTATTTCTGGTGTGTGCATATTCTTGTGTGTGTACAGTAATGAGGTTGAAACTTCTTTATTCTTTTTCTTTTATTTTCTAACAAATGGCATAAAAGCAATAGGTTACAAACAACTAATGAGTGACTTCATATTGACCCTTGCCAAGAACTTTGGCTTCCACTTCATCAGTGGTTGAGAAACTTCATCAACTTTCTAACATTTAATTAGAGATGGAAAAGCCTTGCGGCTTACGCCCAAGAGCCTACCTTTGAAAATCCATTCAAACACTGAGAAAAACATGGAAACGCAGTTAAACCCTACTGAACAAAGATCCATGCACGTCTTTCAAACCTCTCAAAAGTACTCGTTTAGACCTCCCCAACAGAAGAAGCCTCACTGTCACTCCAC